CAACAAGTAACTAAATCCAAAAGGGTGGGCTAAGGGTTCTATAGTGAACGAGTGGATGCTAAAAATGTTTAATAACATAGCGCGTGCGACTATATATATTATGTATACGAGGGTAAGAGTGGATAGATAGAATACACATACTACGCGCTGACGTTGTCCTCCAGAAAGATTTAATCCCCTACTTCCGATGACAGTTCTGTCTCCATTGAGAAGTACCGAAAGATCTTCATCGAGGCAACAAAGTCGAATGACCTCTTCATACCAGCCCGGACTCTCTGGAGAATAACCACAGACCGCCTGTTTAAGAGTGCCATTTGGAAGCCAGGGTAGCTGTTCACACCAAGCTATAGATTTCGACTGCACCGAGATTTCTCCGCTGGTGATCGGAAGCTCGCCTGTAAGGCATCTAGCTAAAGTTGTTTTGCCGCTTCCTACCGATCCAGAACATACAACTATCGACCCTTCATTAATAGAAAGGTTGATGTCGGTAAGAAGCGGAGGTTTCGATAGGGTTTCTCGAATAGTCACGTTTTTCAGGTGGATGATTGGTAAGGTTGTATCCGGCATGTCGCTAGCCGTGTTCAATCTCATCCGGTGATCGTGGCGTGGCGGGCTTACTAGATACTGCTGAATTCTCTCAAAGGAAGCAATAGAGCCAACTGCTTGTGGTATAATGGTCATGATCATGTTTGCCGGGTGAGTTACCAAGCCGAGTAGAGCTGCAGCTGTAAAGGCGGTTTCAGTGTCGAGTGCTTCGCCTTTGAAGCTTGCTATAAGGGCAAAGAGCATAAATGTTATGATGGGAGAGAATATTCCGAGAGCATTTGCTGTTGTCGTTAGTTAAAGGCGGGTCAGGAGACACGACACGCACAACGGTAACATACCACTTGCATTGTGAGCAACCCTCATCCACCGTACCTTCTGTGCCATAGCTAATTCTTGCAATCGCAGCTTCTGGACTAAAGACTCCGTATAAGGAGTAACTCCAAGCATTTTCAGGTTTTTAATCGAGGCAAGCATCGATGTAGTAATGGCAATTCTTTCTTGAGTGGCCACGTTCCAGGCCCTTTGTTTACCCTGGAGGTTTTTTGCCAGATATCGACTCACTCTAGAGCAGACTTGATAGAGATGGTCAGGTTTTAGTATATGAATGGGAGAATATCAACTTACAGAAGATGATAATAAGTGGAACTGGAGATACCCATCCGACCTTTCTAGCTAGCATTATCATGCCTAATAGGACTTCGAGTACTTGCGCCCAGGTTTCGTGGAACATCAATAGAGCTTCTCCTGCATTCTTCGCATCTGAACTCATCAATGTCACAGCTATGCCGTCATCGTAGCCGCAAGATTTCTGATGTAGCAACTTGTTGTTAATGAGACCAATAAGAGCTCCCCTAACCATAAGCTCGACTCGATTCAGACGGTGCCGGTACCATGCCCCGGAAATCTATGCTCTAAGGTCAGACTTTAGACGTAGACAGATGAAGCAGTGACACAAACTATACCGCTAAACCTAAGTATACAGTAATAGTCATTGTAATCACTACAAGTTCCGTTTCCATGGATTGCGATGGCTTGTTGATTGCGCGTATTGCGGCGCCGATTAGTACTGGCTGAGTGTAGCGAAAGGCGATGAGAGTAAGTCGGGGAAGGATTGGCGCCAAAAATGTGGTAGCATGCTATAAACCAAGGTTTTAGGTAGTGTCAATATCTGTTCAGGCCTGGCTTCAAAGATGTTAGATTCTATAGGGCCCTCTGTGGAATATTCGCTTTGAGATTACTTCTTTGATCCCAAGCCCGTAAAGCACAATAGCGCCTCCATTTAGATGATAAGTCACGGTCTATTGGCGGGAGGTCGTCGCTAGTAAGAACGCGTCGGTTTCCTCGAGCAAGAATTGGATTTATCCACCAAAAGACTGCCCTGTTTAGAACGCCCACCAGCTGTTCTGGAGACCACCGGCTGGGATCATCGCGCAAAAGGTGCCCTTTTCCTCGACTTTCAGAAAGAAAAAGCGTAAATTTGAGAAAGCCGCTCGTGGCCGTTAGTGAAACGCTAGCGGAGATACTATTCTCAGATGTTAGGGCAACCAGTCTAGCAAGATCGCAGGCGAAAGATGCGAGTAGGTAGATGGTGGCCAGATCTGATGGCTTGATCGATCTACGGTGCTCTAAAAATAACAGGGGCAGAGGCCTATACATGCTATCCAAGAAGAAACCGAGGAATAGATATTAGTATCAAGCTGTGTAGTCGAGACGATTCCTGAACCTAAAATGACTGACTGTACTATAGATAGCACAATCACAATTATCTAGGTCGAAGTTAGCCACTATCTGACCGTGTTTCAAACTCTCTTAACACCTACTATTTTTCCATAACCATGGCGCCCTGGAATGAGTTTTATCGTTTCCTTGTTAAGTTTTACTAGGCGGAATGGTAATAATAGGAGAAAGAAGGAGGAAAGTATAGTAGAAACAAGCCAAAGTGGAGGATGCATCATAGCCTCAGCTTAACTAGCTTAAGGCCGAAAGACTGATGTAATGCTACTAGAGCCTCCCTAACTAAAAGTGAGGTGTATTGTAGGAATAATTCTAAAGGGGAATGTATGGTAACTTAAGAGAATCTGATAACTGTATAGGTCGAGGTAGTTTCCTTAAGAGTAGGTCTCGATCACAAGTTTATAGAAGCGCGACTCCCACTTATATATGGGGCTTAGGCACTATGGATTAAGGGGCCTCTCGAAGCGATGCTATACGGATGACGAACTTACTTATAGCATAAAACGTATAGCTCATCGTCGTCTTCCTCCCCTCGCTTGTAAACAACAGAGGAATTGATACGAGGTTTTACGGTTATTAATTATTAAGTCTCCATTAGATTTAAAATTAGGACCAGGAATAAGTATTAGTGTGAGCGGGGAATTCAATCCTCCTGTACAACGTACGTTTCTACACAACTCGGTAGAAGGAGAGTGGGCATCACCCTCGTCTAACAGCGGCGGATGAGTTCAGCGACTGCTCTAGATCAAGGCTGACAGGCATGTTTGCAATCTAAGCCGCTAAATCCAAGTATTAATTGACGGACACGCGAGGCTTCCTTCTGCGCTCCGTTAATTAACGCGACCCGACCGCCTGGTTATCCCGCGTGGCAGTGTAAGTGGCACTCAGGACTTTTGTATTAACCCGTTGGTTGGGTCCGAGCTAATCCACAACACACGCATTGTCCATTTGTTACTTTTCCGATTGGCCATGTTTCCCAGATCAATGCTCGCAAACGAAGTCTACGTTTACTGATGTAAAGCAATGGCAGCAAGGACATCGTTAACAGACACGCACGGTACTGCGCCTAAGTCACGAGAAAATGCTGACGATACCTTAGTAGGTTAAGAGATACCGCTAGCTAAATTGTAACAAAGCTAGACTAGATTACCAAGGTAGATGATAGGGCTGATACTAAAAGAAAAGGAGGGTTGAGAAATTATATTAACCGGCGAGAACACGTAGGATCACCGATTATTATAGTAGACTCTAAATTTTTATATAAAAAAGAATTAAGATACTTAAATTTAATAAAAGTATCCCTAGATACTTATTCCTTATAGATGAAGTCCTAGTAGGTATAAGTAGCATTTCGCTAAACGAAAATAACTACTGATTTATCTCTCTATAGGTGTAATATATCTTCCCTCCCTCTTCTTCTATCATCTCCCTTAAAAGTCTACATGCACCGATTCCTTTATACTTATCACTATCACTAGACCGTTTAAGCACTACTAGATAGGTATATACCCGACTTCTAACCTCCCACTTCCCGGGTCGAAGTAGATAGACGTCTATAGTAGAGCTACTATGGTCTCTACCTGTCCTTACGCAGTCTAGTAGGAAGGGTCTCATACGTTTTTATCCGGCCTCTAGGACATTTGTATTGCCAGCAAGCTCTAAGGCAGCTAGTGAGAGAGTGCTAGCAAGGGTAATGAAACCAGACTCCAACTCACCTGTTACATCCTATAGCGTTCCAATTGCCTTTAGAATAACTCGAACGCCTATGACTCTCGCTATGTCTTCTATAATATTCACAGGCGATTGAATATAGTCCGCCCGGCTGTTCACGGCGGCCCGGGTACACGAGGGAGCTTGCCACACAGCCGACTTAGGTCTCTGATTACCTTCACTCACCCCTTACTGTAAATTCTAGAGAGGAGAATTTGCCTGGATTCCCAATATACGTGGATCCGGTTCCGCGCTCTTATTGTTTCGCAAGTCCGGTCAGAGCAGAGAAGCAGTCCCGCTCGAAGGGTAGAACCAACTTCGTGTGATTGATCACGACGGTATGCTAGGACGCGTAAGCTAAGGGTCTAGCATTATCAAGCACAGATTAGTAGATCCATTTGTTGCGGGTCACGATAGGTATATCTGTCAAGACACCATGGATCCATCTTTTTAGTATGCTAATCGGTGGGACTACGACCTACTATCCCGACTCTATAATGATATTAGGAACTGATAGCGGTAGCTTGGTTTATCTTCATGGTAACAATGAATTTAATTCTAGTAATTGACTTAGCGTAGTAGGTCTGACATTTCACACGTTCACACGTATCTCTCTAGGGCGTAGTTACCTACGACCTTAATTTATACAGTAGTAATAGCTTCAATTGGTACGCTGATGAGACCTTCAGTGGTTGCGTGGGTGGTTTGCGATATACCGTGTAGGGCGCTGGTGTCAAACCGGGGTTAACATGTGAAGGCCTGATAGTAGGCGAGCGAAGCTGGCATCAGAGGCTGATAATGGAATTTGAAACTTACACCGAATGTGGAGCTGCCTCTAGCTATTCAGGAAATCGAGAATTTAAGGACCGACCATAAATATTCATAAATATTACATGGTAATCTAAGTAGGACCGATTGATAGATTATATATTAGGCGATTATACTTGCTATATCTAGCTTGCCCTTTCTAAAGGATTAATAAACCTATTCTCCGGCTCCTCAACTATACTTTACTTATTCCCCCAGTTTTTAGCTAACTTCAGTCTTCGCCCGAGGTTGCTTATGATGTTTCTCCATGATCTCGCCGGTTGTTCCTCTGGCGGCGATATGTACGTGGGCTTTTCCTGCCTTATCCGACCCCATTCGATGAGCATCTCCTGCGCTTCCTGAAAATCCTCATTTGACCTCATACCCTCAAGGATAAATCGGACGAGCCGCCTAGCAAGAACATATTGCGGTGCATATGCGAATCGTTGGTACTCTTGACCCGCAGCTTTATCGAAGAGCTTCTTCAGCTTCATTCCATGACACTTAAGATTAGCTTCTCGATACTGAACTTGCTTCTCCCACTCGATCAATTCTTCCATATCTTCGTCCATCTCTTCTTCGTAAGCCCAAAGCCAGTAAGGAGGCTCGCAGGCCATGAAAATAGGAGCGAACGTAGCGCCATCCCAATCTAAGATACCAGAGAGGCTGGACTTCTCCCGATCGCTGACGAGGAGGTTGCGAGGGGCGAGATCAGGGTGGGTTAGACAGAAGGGCAGACCTTCGAGAAAGTTTTCCTCATGGAGCTCCACGGTCATTTTGCGAAACTTCTCAATCACTGTAGATAGAAGTATATGTTTAATCGGGTCCTTGACGTCTCTCTGCTTCCAAGCGGCTAGTGCTTCGAGAAGCATATCCTTCGTATTCTTTTCAGGCGCACCCGGGTAGAATTCTATAGTCCTTGAACCATCTTCTCCAAATGGTATAAGGTGGATCTTGGCGCGGAGGCTCCTGTCACCACTAGGAAGGACTAATCTACCGCACCTGCTACTTCGCAATGCTAGTAGTTCTTTCATAAGTCTCCCGAGCCCCTTAGCGAGATCACACTGCTGCTTGTCAGATAAATCTCTAAAGGCATGGTGTAGTGGTGTTCCTTCAAGGTACCTCAGAATCGTGTACGGCGACTTAATCGGGTTTTTAGTTGACTCGTCAATGCCCATCACCTCTGGGGAGGGGATCTGTCGGTGCTTTTTCAAGTATTGTAAAACGGCAGTATCATCTCCAACCTTTGTTTCGACGTGAAGCGGTATACGAAGAATGACACGCTTCTCTTGGTGCCTAGATTGCCGGGGATTGTTGATAGGGAGATGGAGATAGTTTGTTTGTACACTAGCGGTACCTCGAGCATCCATATTGTTCAAGATGAGAACGCAATTATAAGATCCATTATCGACGCGTTCGATCCAGAATGTACCGCCGGTGATATTCGAGAGAATCTTATTCACCTGGCTTATCAGCTGCGCAAGCGACCCCTCTTTAGAATCTTTTAACAACGGTAAATCCCATTCCGCACATAGATCAACTAGGATTGATATGTCCGTGGCCCCGACACTATTCGTCATCTCGGCCATACTTCCGGATAACAGGTGCGCTTCTATAGGTGCTAGTATGATAATTCTTCCCTAATAGTAGTAATGGGAATGGCTAGAATTAACCACGACGGCTAACTCAAGGACTTTCGAGAATAAGGTGTGCAATCGCGGCGCTCTTCGTCTTACGGAGGTAAATGATGATATTTTCGCGGTAGATTATCTTGTCGTTTCAGTGAAAGAGGCTGCCCTAAATGATACTTAGGACCATCAGCCGCGCTTTTTTAATCGATCCGAATATTATATCATCGTGGTGTCGTGGTTATTTACAATGCTGAAAGCATCTTCGCCGTGTATATTCGCGATTCATTCAGTCGTCTAAAGAGTGTGAGAAGGCTTAACATCGGTTGATATTAAAACGAAAAAGGGGGAAGAGATCGGTATCCCTTTAAGCCTTCAGACTAATAGAAGACCCGCCGCGAATAAGAGACCTTAATTTTAAAGTTTCAGGCTTATAAGCTAAAGGGGGAAGTTACTCCCGTATTTTTACCTACTTTTCGGGGACCTCCGAGACAGTCCGTGTTTATAAGGTGGCACTGCATATTCTTACTAAGGACCCACTAGCTTTTTGAGGCCTAACAAAAGCAATTACTTACATGATCTTCCCTCACCAATATCAAGTTTCGGTAGCTGATCGACATCTACTACCAAGCACGGGGACGTCATAGGATATCATTTAAGTCAAGTGACCATCCTCAACACCAGACCGTCGATGCCGCGGGGAGGTAGGCTTCATGCGAGTTTTCCAAGATATGGCGTCATTCGACCGCCAGGCTACAAGACTGTCTTGGGACAGGCTTTACACTTCTTCCAGAGGCGGCGTGTAACCACATCAGCTTCTATTATTATAGGCGTGAAAGGCTTTTTCACTCACATGATACCGACATTCATACTGCATTCTAGAGCCACCAACGTGCAGCGGCAAGAGCAAGGCTCCGGTGTAGCTGCCGCGGCTGAGGAGGAGGTAGAGGAATAGAATCTGGGGGATTAGGAGGAAGAGACTCAAAGACCTATATATTCAGTAGGTCCCTCACGAGAAACATCTAGGGGATTGAATTTATAGTTCTTTAATATTACGAAGCTAAAGTGGTTAACCTTGCGGCCATCACGATCTTCTGAGTTTTCCGCACGAACAAAGGCCAAAATCCGAGACCCGTCGCCATGCCTGCTAGGGGCCGTAGTAGCACTCATCATTGTCCGCGCAAAAGCAAAGGTAACTGTAGAGCCGATAAATTTAAAAAGATCACCTTTTGTTCTGAACATGAAACTGTCTGTACAAATCATCAACATAGACATCTAAAGTGCCAGCCCTGCATCCAGTGCGAGGCGCAGATAGCTCACGAGGAAGAGAGAAATCGAGAAGCAGTCCTTATTACTTGCAATATTCACCCAGCTATCACCTACAGTCAGCGAAATAATTGTCACGAGTGTAGCAAGGAGCTCCGCAATTGTCCTAAAAACATGGAGGGGATTGTCGTCTCTACATCATTGATGAACCTCGATATTGTGCATTACATCAGATGCGCTGTACGACGCATCTCGAGGTCCATATACGGCAGCAAAAGTGTTCTTCCTGTGTTAAGGGGAATAAGTGGAAGAAGCGAAGAAACGCTGAATAATGTCGGCCCGGCGCTGGACGTACCTCTCCACTTCTATTAAGACGTTCATCTACACGATAATCGAAAGGCAGTAGCGCCCGTGGATAGCCATCAGACAGAAGCACCGAATTTTGCCACCAATGTCAACCGTGAGCAGCGAGATTAGAAGGCCATTCTAACGAATTTCTGTCGCGTTATCGCCACCTTGGACAGAAGGAGTGCTGTAGGCAACAGCGACTTGGTCGCTTCGGTTCATTTAGCAGTGTTACAACTCTCTTATGCCACCGCCATATCTATAACAGCACTCTCTGAGCTCGATCTCATCACGACAATAACGCGGATGCCAAAGTGGCCGGAAAGCACTTTGTCCGGATACGCCCCGCTGGAGACCGTCTGCGCGAAAGCATATCGCTAGCTATCGATGTCGGGGAGGAGCTTCAACCGTTCAAAACAATACGTTTACTGCTAAGCAGCTGCCTAACTATCTTTCAACTACCGGCCCTGCCTCCGCCCATGATCTTAGCGAGAAAAGAAGGGGTTGAACGCTGCCAAGTGATTACCCGAGAGTTGTACCATGTCTATAGGCGCCTAGGTGTCTATACCTGACATATAAACAGTATTGGCCATCATTCTTTAGCCATGGGACGATATACGACTAACATTATCATCCGGAATTCTTCTGATACGATGGGACGCTCACGTATATACACCCCTTGTTCGACTATATTATCTACGTCAGTTAGAAAATAGTTGCCTAGGTGTCCTAGCTTACATTAGATTCGTGGAGGGCTACATTTTTATGTCTCTATATACGCTACTGATTTTATATAACGAATTGAAGATTTTCGTCTCGTATGCTGAATATAAACGTACGGAAGCAAACAGTGTTTAACAGCCTTCACTACGCCGCGTTTGTTTGAAATTAATAATTAGCTAGTTTAATCATAGACGAGCCTATATTGGCCTGGTATTAAGGGAACGTAGCGGCGTTCACCACTAAGCAGCCTTATATGTTATTCTAGTAGATGATTTCTAGGTGGAACTATGTTGATAAGGTGAAGGAATTAATGGTCGCAGAACTATAGCATCTTTCAGGCCCGTTCCCTTTCACTCTGTCTTACTTAAACTAGTACTATCAATACCATCTAAATTACCTCGGTATACTCTCTTACATCTCAACTCTCTGGGATATAGCTTAAGCTAGGCTGGTTGGCTGGCTAAATCAATCCTCGAAATATTCGATTAGTAACAGATCTGACGCCATCGCTACTCCGCATTTCACTACCCTAAAATATATATAGGCCCCAGGATCTTGACTTTTCTGATTACCACCTAGTATACGCAAACAATATCTACACCGAGGATTAGCATCCACCGTAGCTGATGGTCTCTTCGATGATTTATAAAGTCCTTGATGTTGATGGATCCTTCGGTCACGGCCATGGATTGGGATTGGACACAACCTGGCTCGAATCAGAAGTCAACTATCTCGCCTCATTAGGCTCTCGGCGAACAGGCTCGCCCGCTCATAATCAACTCATCGACCACATACAAGTCGAACTCGAAACGTTGGGATTTAAGGTGTTTACCCAGCTTCTCACATTTGATTACGATGACACATACTCACTTACGCCGGGCAAACTAAGCGTCAATGGGGAACACTTAACAGTAGCATCGACCGTGCCGTATTCTGGACACACTCCAGAAGATGGGGTCAGTGGACACCTGATATCTCTCGGCAACGCTACTGGAGAGCTAGATTGGGCGAAGGCGACAGGAAATATTGCCGTATTGAACATTAGCAATGAGCCCCTCGATGCGCGAGCGGCAGTGCCGCTTTGGGAAGGCTCGCCAGATTGGGGATCGGCATTCACAGGTGTTCCAAGTACTCCGGCAAATACGATCGTAACGGGCCTCGAGTTAGCCCGAGAGGCGGGAGTTAAGGGTATCGTATATTGCTGGGAAAATATTTCAGATGCATTGGCTTCACGGCTGTACGCGCCATTTCACACCCCCTGGTTCGACATTCCTGCACTCTTCGTATCCGGTGAGACGGCAAAGGCTGTACGTCTCGCTGCCGATGCAGACGCTGTAGCCACCCTTACTCTAACCGGGAGATTGATTCCCGACACACCGACAAGAAATATTTGGGTTGTGGTGCCCGGAACCGAGACCCCGGATGAGTCCGTCATCCTAAGCACGCACACAGACGGAACCAACTTAGTGGAAGAGAACGGCCACCTCGCGATTATCAATTATGCAAAGATCTTGGCAGAGCATCCGCCTAAGCGGACTCACATCCTATTATTTGTCACGGCACACATCCACTCGGCGCCTTTTTCCAACACGAAACGCTCCACCACGCGCTGGCTGCTAGACAATCCAGAAGTGTGGAATGGCTCCTCCCCCGCCGTATTTGCTACATGTGTTGAACACCTCGGCGCCGTAGCCTGGAAGGAGGACGTTCGGGAAAATACCTATGTTTCTACGAATGAACCACACGAAGAGCTACTCTACGCTGCGACTCCTGAACTCGCCTCGCTGCTCTACCAGAATTGGAACGGCGCCATCCCCCACCTAATTAGGGTTGCAAATCCTAACAAAGGGCCACAGCTGCAGCCCGGGAAGGGCTACCGCTTTGGCAAGCGGGGATCCCGGAGGTATCCCTAATCACGGCGCCGAGTTGGCTACTAAATGAATATTCGAGACAGTTTGACGAGAGAGAGTTGCTTGACATCGGGGCTCTCGAAAGGCAAGTTTCTAGCCTGGCAAGGTTATGGAGGATTGTAGACAGCAAAAGAAAGAAGAGCTTGGTATCATTGCGCCGACGACGGAGTGAGGTCCAGACTATGATATCCACTCACTGGGTTCGCTATTCCTTCCTTAAAGTGCTTTTGCTTTTTACAACTCATGGTTAGAAGATAGAACAACATGAAGATATGAATGGCTTTGAATACGCTAAACTTGTAGCAGAGCTTGCGAGTTGCCTTTTCAGTCATCACCTCGTAATATATAGGTAATAGGTGCCTCATCCGAGTGAATATGACGAACAGTCTAGGACCAGTTCTCTAAATAGCTGTACTAAATATCTCTGAAAGAAATGACCTATAGGACGAATCCATCACAGAAGAAATATAGAGAAGAACTTCGTTCTTTAAACAGCGCATACGAGGAGCATGGCGACGCACAAGGGCAGCAGGGCTCTTAGTCATAAGAATAAAAGAATCATATCTGATAATAATATAAGTAGCTAATTATGAAAATGTTTTCCCAGTCCTTTATTAGTGGCTAATTTTGTCGTTATTGAAACCTAAGTGATAAGCTCTTTTAACTATTAGCTTAAGTAGCAGGGGTGCCTCTTGGCCAAAAGGCTGAAATGGTGGTGTGAGGCCTTGACCATTGCCGCAAGCAAATCTAACCAAATACTCCTCCGAAGACCTATCACCGTTGACTACAATCTGGCCCTCTGGTGCTGTGACTGTTACGCCAAATTTGTAATCTCCTTGGCCGTTCGCCCAGAAAATCCGGAATGGGGTATAAGTTCCCGCTTCTAAGTTGATAGTAAAGCTGATCTCAGTGCCCACAGTCCCTTTATATAGCTGCTCAACATCTGCATTCTGTCGCGAATACCCGACGAAAGCCTTGTTTCCAAACCAAACATATGTAACTTCGTCGGAAGTGGGAACTATGACACTATACTGTCCAGTAACGGGGGCGTAAAGGTACCCCCGATGATTCACCGCAACGCTCTGAAACGGCATAGAGGGCGCATCATCGTAAATTTGAAAGGCTGTGTTTGAGGCCTACTGCCTCTTATACCTATTCGGTTTGTGATACCCACGTGAATTGGAGTCGCATCCCAAAACGTGCTGATTCTGAAAGAAGTATAATATGGAGGATCGCTGTTATAGTACGGGTTTCGATAGATAGCATACTCGACGCCTTCGTTGTTACACTTGGTAGGAGTTGGCAGGTCCGTTGAGGTTGGTGATGGCTCTTCGCTACTAGAGTTTCCTTGATCAGAACTGGATTGGGTAGAGCTCGAGGATGGTGTTTCAGTAGGTGGCTCCGGGGAGGTCGTTGGTGGGTCTATCCTAGGTGGTACCGAGATAATACTCCCCGTGGTAGCAGTGCTATCAGGTATAGCTGTAGAACTTTCTGAGCTTGAAAGCGACTCGTTGTTCTCCGTACTCGAGGGTACGGAAGTAGAGGAGGGTCCGGAACTCTCAGATGGAGTTGGCTCGGACGACGACGGCGCTGTTTCTATAGTGCTGCTACCCTCTAAGCTTGTCGAGCTATCTAGGGTACTTGCAGATACTATAGGGTTGGAAGGGGTCTCACTATCGCTGCTGCTTGGGGTATTGGATGGAGAGGGGATTTCAGAATTCTCCGTGACTAATGGTCTGTTTGTGGGCGGCACGTCTGTCGACGGGTCCTGGGAAATCGATGATACCTGAGATGTCGGCGTCTGCTGGGAAGTCAAGGGTGGGTTCACCCTTGAGACTGGATTGCTCTGGGAGCTCATGGATGGACTAGCGGTAGGGGAACGTTCAGGGCTCCGCGTCGAGGTTTCCTTAGACGAAAACGGCTTAGACTCGGAGTGCGGCAGAGAGCTCGAGGAAGGCAAGATTCTGTTGCTTCGGGAGCTCGTACTGCGAGCAGGGGCAATTGGAGAACCTGTCTGCGTTGGAATAGTTTTAATCTGTTGTGTCGGCTGTAAAGAATTCGTCTTTTGGGTGGTGCGTCGTGCGGCACATGCTTTGGGACTAGAGGCAGAGTTAAGATATAGATTTTTGATATCCATAGTAATTCAAGATACTCACACGATAGTAGTGTATCTAGTCGAGGTGATGGTGAACTGCGTTCGCAAGGTAACGGGAGCGTTTGTGATTGTGAGATACACATCGTCCACGACGGCATACTTGCCATTGCGCGAATAGAAGGCTACCAGATTGACGGGCTGATATTCGACCCGAACTGGTAAAACGGTTATAGCCGTATTAGACGCGGCGGAGTCATCTCTATCAGCTGGGAAAGCATCCCCAGGCCCGAGAAGGGCTAGCAATACTGCCAAAGCTTGCTTAGTTCGTTGGCTGAACATAGCGAACACTAAGTAACTAGCTGCAGTGTTGTGAAAAGCGTGAGACTTAGAACGAGGGGAACATGTAAGATGTGATGAATAGGTGGCGTATGAAGGCTATATATACTAGAGCGTGGCTTATAATCGAGTTTTAAGTCCTCGCTCCGATTAAAATCAGACCTTCACTAACGAGGCTCCTAACGGAATTTTCATGAATCATCGTGTCGCCCACGAGGCTCATAAACAGGGGACAATGAGTCACCTTGTCACCCACGAGATCCCGAGATGGCGATCCATCACGAGCCTGTATATCTTAGGTTTGACCCTTAACTAAGACTACTAAATGAAGGCGTAGATCCTAGGGTTGACCTACATAACGTTAGCTGGATATATGTACTAAGAAAAACACTTGCCGAAACAATGAAGTTCTTTTTCTCGGGGATGTTGCACTAATTCAAAGAGCGGCTATGCGACAGTTCCGTTCAGGATACTTCAGCGGACCAGCATGAGTAAGTGTATGTTATTTACCCGTCTCGTTCTAACCTTAGAAAACAAGGAAATTTCTGCGATTCGAGATATGCGGCTGGCTAAGTGAGAGGCGAGCGGAATATTCTAGAGACATTGGCTCGGGTATCATTGGGCTTGGTTTCTATCAAAAGGAAAACAACAAGAAAAACCAAAAAGAAAACATCCATTGGGGCCAAGACTGATGGCTGTCTACATTAATCACAAACGGTTCGCTGGAACAGACCGTCTAACAACTCTAGTAGTTTCATGTTATCAGCCTCGGCGAAGCATCTACTAGATACCTTTATTTTATTCAGAGAGGCCACCAATCTGAGCGTTGAGACAATCTTCAGAGGTATCATATCAAGACATTCAAAAGTCGTCGGATAATAACCTCTTCCTTAAATAGCATCGACATATAGCCCGACTATGATCTATGATACGGCCCCCTTCCCGCCTGTACCGTATATTGTCATGTTTCACGCGCTGGAATGGAATTTTGGTCCCTGTCTTAACCTAGTAATCTCCGCTACAATTTCCTTCCATCTTTACCTTACCTTCAAAGTATCCACCACTGTCCCCCTTACCGTGTCTCAGTCTGGCACCGTACCCTTACCCTGCCAAGTGGGCGAAGAAAAAAGCGGGACATATAAATGTTCAGGCATAAGCCCAATTGAGCATACATTGACTACGTCCTCAATAGCTATCTAAAATGTTCAGAAATTACTGAAAAAATGTGATAGGAAAAGACTAGGAGTAGCTATCAATATGAACAAGCGATATCTAAGCTGATAAACTGCTAAATATCCTTAAAAGTGGTGTTAAAGGTGAAGTATAAATGATGTTCTAGGGGTTTGGAAGTTGATGCGCTATTGTGTGTCCCGCTTTTTCTTCGCCCACTTGCCTGCTGATATAGAAGCCGAGATAGGTTGAGACAACTACTGAAACAACAGCTGGTGGACGGGAAAATTCCCAAGGGGGTCGGCCGTGAGAACACATGCTCTAAAACCCATCTTCTCGATGGAAATAGTACCTAATTAGACCTGTTGGATGTAAAGCGGCTTGCGCCACGAGGACCTAGCGTCCTTAACGCGTACATGGATTTCCGCCTCAGCCAATGCTCAGTGACTGTATAGACACGGTAAGTTAGAGTGCAAGCCTGACTGCCGAAACCGGGTTGGAGGAGACAGTGATGCCCGCTGGAAACTCCTCGCACGAAGAGCAACGTTGCTGCAACCGCTATCTAGACCTAGCATCGAGTGATTGATACGTGTGCATCCACGGTATATCTCCGGCAGCTACAACGAAGTTTTAACTTCCACTAACGCCCGAGTTACCCCTTCAACGTGGCATCGACAGCTATCAGTGCCCTGCTTGCATGCGTGGGTGTCCCGCGAGTTGGATCGGTACCTAGTCGTTTTGGAGCTTGATCACCCGAGTTACACATGCCTATTTGCTACCATCCTCCGTGTCCATGGAGGGTGCGCTGTGCTCATCTACCTCGTCGCTTGTTGTAAAGAATGGGGAGAGTTCGTCAATGACGGAACTGGTGCTCGATTATAGAGTCAATGCTCCCCGTTCCGACCCGCTAGACACAAGACATCACATAGGTTTCCTGCGGAGTATAATATGCCCACTTAATGTTATGTCTTGTACACCTGGATCCCTGATACCTAGTTGTGAAATTATCTCCGTGCTTCTCGCCATCGTAGGTTCATAACAAACGGCACGCGAGCACTACAAGTAGACGAACAGCCAACTCAAGTAGTGCTGTAATTGATTTTCAAAACTCGCTCTATGCCATCGGATCCATGGATCCATCGCTTGAATGGATGGATGTTTTCATTGAACGGCAACCTTTGATAGGCCAATAAACTGCAGGGCCTCTATCCTAGGAGCTGAGGCCATAGGACGATGCTCAAGTGCTGCGATTGCGCTTTGTTTAACGTAGCCTAAATTAAGATAAGAAGATTTTCAGTTGGTCTCCTCTATGAAGGTCGAAAGCATCAAGTGCACCACACATGGTGGGAAAATCATAGAGCATAATATATGAATATTGTCGGAGATGCGAATAGAAAAAAAGTGTGATGGTAGTTGAAGTGATTCGCGTTGCCATCTTCCACAACACTTCCATACCCTGCCCGGTTAGCTCAATCGGTAGAGCGTGAGACTCTTAATCTCAAGGCTGCGGGTTCGACCCCGCATTGGGCTCAATTCCCAGTGCGCCTCTTCAGGAGGCATATTTACTACTTTCTTTTTTTCTTTCTTCTTACTCACTACTGCACTCTGATGTGAGACGTTGAGCGCCTATCTGTTTTTTTTTGACTTCAAAATCCAGTGCACTTCATCCGCTACCATCTAGTCAAGTGGATCGATGCGCCTCCCTTTTCCTGATGGCCGGAGAGGTTGCTCCGGACGTACTCAATAGTCACGCTCTCTTCTCGCCGTGGGGAGGCGTCAAGCCCTAATTACTCATAATAACTCAGGTCGTGCTACTTCCGTGCCCCTCGCCATCACTTGGTGGAGCAATCCGGCCCTGTTATTCTGCCATTGAATCCGTCATGTGAGCTGACACGAAGAACCCGCCCAAGGCAGAATGAGGACGGCGGCTCGCCATATCCCGAAGTGGAGAGCGGACCGATATCACGAAGAGAGAGTGAGGTAAGGCGGGTCTTGGGTCGGCGGGCAGCGAGCCGGACGCAGCCCCAGGTCAGGGCAATGGCATGGCCAGCTAACCTAATCAAGTTGACTAATATTAGTTGGTGGCCACAACCCAAAGAAGGAGGCTTGCTGACAACGGCTGATCCAGCATTGGAGGAAATCCGCACAAGGCCCCCCACCAAAATGATTCTTCCTTGGCAATACCCACTCAGCCTAATCCGTATATCCGGCTCACTCGCCACCTTGAACGAGGCCACTCACGCCAGGCCAATCCCACTATCACAGAACCAGGGCTGCTGATTTGCATGTACGAGGGGTTTCAAAATGCTATAATTCATTCCAGTATCATCACAGCTTCAGTATCCCGCGTAAGACCTCACCAGCCTCTAGCGTAAACACAGCGTTATCCCTTCACTCCTACGATACATTGAAATCAATTTAAACGCCATACGATAGAGTATTCGGCGCTCCTAGACCAGCCAGCTTTGCTTTGAATTCTTATTTAGTATGGCGACAGACCCAAGGCCTCTCTCCGTCCGGTACTTGCCGGGTCCAGGTACGGTACGCCTCCGATTCCCGAGGCGCGTACACCTGTCCTGACACCCTCCACAAGGTGAGTGTCGGGCTATTTTCTCAGATTAGCATCCCTCCTCGACTAGAAAACGAAACGCAACGCCAACCGAGAGGGCTATACTTACGGTAGCGGCATGCAACGTGCACTCATTGCTCCAGATAGCACACGCACCACGTGTCCAGTGCATTCTAGCTATGCAGTCGTGGTTACGCGTAACAAGCCTGAGGACATAGTCCCGGATGAGCTGGTCCTCGTAGCTATGCACGCCATTGATGCGACTGACATGGAGTCCAACGCCAGCGAACAGAGACTTCCAACCGGTGACGGGATGGGTCCGAACTACGGGGTGCACAGGGTCGAACGCGTAGTCGACGTTAAGGGGAGCCGCGAGGCGACATGACATCGTAGCCGCCTGCTTCGCAGGCGCTCTTGAAGACGGGCTGCGCACAGGTGGCGGTCAGGGTCTCGAGGAAGTCGCGGAAGGGAGGCGACAGCCTGTCGTACATCTCGTAGCCAGAGACCCAGAGAGTGTCACCACCGGCTGGAGGGGTCGACTGCATACGAAGGAAAGAGAAGTCAGAAGGACAATTTTCGAAGAGGCCTAACGAAGAAACAAGCAGGGTTAGTGGCGAGATCATGCATCATACGAAAGAATGGTAGATAAAAAAACGGCGATAAAAGGTCGTGGGACTCAAGTTCTGTGAACTTACTATCGCTATGCCATTCACGGCCGAGATCACGGGGCTCGTTCAGAGCGTTGGGGCGGTTCTTCATAGTCGCGTAGAGCTTCTTTGCAGCCTCTGAGTTGATGACATATCTTCACGTACGTCCTGTCAGCACGTTGACGCGAGAATGAACACATGAGCCGCGACAACTTAAAACGGGGGAAAAGGAAGTGACAAAAAAGAAGAAAAGCAGCGAAAGAATGGATAGCAAAACACACATATTCTTGTCGGTTGTACCATCCTCCATGGGCAAGTTGTTGGGGTCGTTATATAGAGGATGGACATGCAGGCCATTTTCTTCGGGGCGGCCCGTTAGCTTGCCAAGCAGGTCGGTAATGTGCTTCTGCTCGTCGACGGACAAATCGTCCTGGGGTGCGCGGAAGAACACAACGCCGCGCTCGCAGATTGTTATGGCCAAGTCGCGAAGCTGCTCCTCGGCGTTCGGGGCGTCGAGCATCTCCTTGAGCCTCGCGGTGGGATACTCGCGGCCGATGATGGGAGTCACATCGACGTATTCGAGGTGGTCAATGGACGTGCCTCGCTTTAGAGGCTCGTGTCTAAGAGTCTTGGCACCGTTGGTACCGTTGGCGCGCTGGCGGCGCCATTAGTGGCGGTGGGAGGGGAGCCCATTACAAAAGCAGGGGAATCCACACTGGGTTCGGAATTTTTTCCAAGAAGGGACGGTATGACGGCAGCAGGGGAATTGATGGTCCGTGATGAGGCGACACGGCCCGTGGGTTAATGGTTAGGGATCTCGAGAGAAAACACTCGGACAGGGGAGAACTTGGGTGGCTAAGACAGGGGGAACGGAGGTGAAAATGAGATGACGAGCGATTGTAGATAAATACTACACGAGCGGAATATTAAACAAAGACCCTGGATTCCAATCTAATAAATAGGAAGAAAGGAAAGGAGGCGTCCTGGAGTTGAAATAACCTGGTGGGGAAGACCCGCCGCAAAGTCTGGGGAAGGGGTTCCCGCACATGTCGCTCCTCGAGTCGCAGGCGCGGACGATGCGGGGAAAGACGGGGAAATCAAGGTTCCTCCGCGCGAAGGATTCCTTTCCCCACAACCCCGACGCCAGTGATGTTGCTGGCAATTGAACTTGGTGTCCGGCAAACACGAATTCGGCCGGGAGCTTCAAGCTCGACCAAACTGCCGACCTTTTTGATCCTCTTGAAGCCTCCCCTCTAACTAATCCCCGCTCAGGGGCATCAGAATCCTACATCCTCCAGCTCTCTGCGACAACCAGGTTGCCACCCGTTACTAGAGGATCATCCAACTCGCAGCCAACTGCCGTCGCAAATGACCTCGAGGGAGAGGTCGAAATAGGTTAGATGATTATGCTTTGAAATCCAAATGCAACTTGGGCTCGTCGATCCCTTCTGTTTTCAACCATATCCACAGCCTGGCATCTCGTCAAGGTCCCAGCGTCGGGGTCAGGATTCCGAGGATAGCGGGTGGCAGATGCAGCAAGGTAGAGCCCTTGCTCAGGGTTACGATTGCCCCCTTCTGCGTCTGTTTGCTTGCTCACCCTTGACGCGCCTGTGTCGGGAGTTGTTTGGAGAGAAATCTGGTCGGTGCGTTACCCCATATAAACGGCGGAGCCCGTGGACTTGAAGGACAGAACAATCGGCCCATGGTGTTGCATCTCTTTGCTTAACCGGCAACAACCCTCATCGAGTTTTCTACCCTCCATCTGTATTTCAAGATGGCCGGGGCAGCAGCCATCTCCTCCAACCCACTCCAACTGGATGTGGCCAGTCATAAGAAATGTCTTATGATTTGCTTCGTCGTCACTCTTGCCAGCTTCCAGTATGGCCTCGATTATGGCCTCGTTGGCGGATTTATGGCCATGCCGGGCTTTCTCAAGGTCTATGGCTACTACGACGAGGCTAAGCAAAAGTGGGCAATTGACCCAACTGTGCAGCAGCTCATCTCTTCGCTCATGACCATCGGCACCTTTATTGGCTCCCTCCTAGTCGGACCCTTCAGCTCCAAGTTTGGCCGTCGCATGGGCCTCTGGAGTGCGGCCGTCATCAACGCCGTGTCTACCGCCGTCATGTTGGGCACTACGAGCGTTGGAGCCCTGTACTTTGCTCGATTCATCCTCGGTAAGAACCACGATGCGCTTCTGGACTCCATCACGTCCCGGAGGTTTCCACCCAACCTTGGTTCCACCCAGCGCTAATCTAGGAGAAATAGGCATTTCCGTCGGTTGGTTCCTTACCTTTGCCCAAGTCTACGTCAATGAGGTAGCGCCCGCCCATCTGCGAGGCATTGCTTTCGCAGTCTACCAGACTCAGCTTTCCAGTGGTTCTATTGTGGGCGCTGCGGTCGACTACGGCACACATTTAATGCCTGGCAAGGAATCATACCGCATCCCTCTCGCCATGTTCTTTATCGTCCCCACTATCCAAACGATTAGCCTCTTCTTCTTCCCCGAGAGCCCGCGTTGGCTCATGACTCAGGGGAGGGAGGAGGAAGCGCTGGCCTCGCTGAGGAAACTGCGTAATAGCAGCATTGATGAGGCGGAATTCCAGGCCGAGTTCAACGAGATTCGCATCTCCACGGCTGAGCAGATTCAACAGAGCGAGAACAAGAAGCTTTGGGTCGAGATGTGGAAGGGCACTGACAGGCGTCGTACCTTGCTCTCCATTGCCATTATCTGCTTCCATTGTGCAAATGGTTCGTTAATTTTTAAACCCCATCCAGAATTTTACTTGTCTGTATTGCGATGGCGGCTGCTAATCGTCGTGTGGATTTCACACATTTTCTCTAGGTTCATCCTGGCTCAACATCTACACGACTTATTTCCTCGACGTCGCCGGCATCAAGGAGGCATTTGCTTACTCTACCATGGTGAGCTGTATGGGCCTCATCGGTGTTCTGAGCAGCCTGCTCTTCGTACGTCGCCTCGACCGACGTGTCATTGTCATGCTGGGTGTCGGTGCCTGTGGCTGTTGCCAGCTCGCGTTTGCTATAGCCTGGACCGTTGCCCCCGAGACGGCTGCTGCAGGCAAGGCTGTTGTGGCGTTCATGTCACTATTCACATTTGCCTACGTCGCCTATGGTAAGCCATTGTGAACCCGACGTTATAGACCTTAGAAACTGATTCTTCATAGCACCCTACGCCTGGCTACTGGGTGGAGAGTACCCCAATAACCATCTCCGAGCCCACACGTATGGCATCGCCACGGCCCTTAACTTCCTTGGAAACTGGCTTGGTGTCTTTACTGCTCCTTACTTTATCAATCCAGCCAGTCTTGGATGGCGTGCCAAATATGGGTTCGTTTCGAAGCCCTCCTCTTTTCCCCTAAACGGACGAAGCAGACTTTTACTAACCACCCCCTTTTATTCTAGCTACATTTGGTTCGGATCCAACGCCATTTTGCTCGTCTTCACATACTTCTTCATTCCCGAAACCCGCGACCGAACTCTTGAGGAGATCCATGAAATGTTCGAGGCGAAGCTCCTGCCCGCAAGTTCAAGTCCTACGTATGCACCACCACCGCCGCCATGGGCAAAGGTGATGTTAAGGACATTGAACTTGAGGACGCAGACCATGTCGAGCGCTCCTCCAAAGTGTAGAGGCGGAGGCCGCTTCCTCTTTGTGCGTGTGAAGGCCCTCTAGCATAGCGTGTATGGAGGTTTTCTTTCGCGACCTTATGGGTGGACCACTGTAGCTTTCAACTTGTCTCGAAGATTACCTGGACTTAAATAATTCCTTTTAAAAGAATCTATATATTCTCCAGATATTAAGTTGGGTCTGTTACCCACACAGTCGTGCTATAGTTTAGACAACTTGGTTTAGGCAGGGCATGCGTATACGCAATGTCAACGATTTAACCCGGATCCAGAGATGCGCGTAGGTCCCTACACGGACATGGCGGTCCTGCGAGTCGCTTGTCCCTGGAACAACGTGATAGCATAACCGAAAGCTACCATTAACATCCAAAATATCTATAGATCATTACTTAAATTGCCGCTCGAGATCTCCAGAGGCACTGAATGTGGGTGAGTGGTGTTCCTTCCGTATTCTAAAGAAGTATTAAGGTCTAGGCGAACTGGTGGGTTTTTTTCCCACCATGAGGTACATTGGTGTGAATATTCCTTCTTTTCCACCGCGAACCAACGCGTCGGCAGCTGCACATAGACTATCGGAAGTCTTCACCATTCCTGGCGGCGCCATCCGCACGAACTCTAGTGCACTTAGCATATATCTCGTGAAGTTGCGGCCGATCCATGTCATTCGAAAGGTGGAAATCAGGTCGCCAAACGTTTGTGCATGTCGCCAGCTACCGGAGTCTAACGTCCAGTACCACGGGTATGGGTCCGGGCGACTTGCTATATCCTCTTCAAAAATCTCCTCGAAACCGGCGGCCTCGAACGCCTGCTTTGCCTCGGGGAGATTGACAATCTTGGCGATACCATCGCCTTGCTCGATGCCGATGCGAGTTTCGCGATGATGAAGGTTATCGTTGTCGTACTTCTCGGTCATGACCCATTCATACACGCCAAATTTTCCTCCCGGCTTCAGAACACGAAAAATTTCGGCGTATACATCTTTGAGCGAAGGGGCGTGGACAGTTGCCTCTATCGCATATACTGCGTCGAATGTGTTGTCCTCGAAGGGAATATTCTAACAGAGAGGCCAAACGTCAATCGTGATGTTCCTGATAAAGGCGGCCTGGACTTACCATGAAGTTGCCTTGCACAAACTGAACCTGCCGGTCCATCATGCCTTTTATCGTGTAACGTGTCGCACGCTCCACTTGATATTCGTTCAGATTTAGGCCGGTTATGTATGCGCCCGTGAACTTGGCAATCTCCCGCGCTGGTCCCCCAACTCCGCAACCAACATCTAGCACCTTCATGCCTTCCTTGATATCAATCATATGCGCGAGGTAGTGCTCGTGCCGGATAATGCTTTGTTGAAAAGACTCTCCGATTGCCGGTCGACCGAAGTGGAAGCTCTGTCCAAAGCCATACTCGTAGAAGTCGGTAGCTAGGTTATAATATCTATTCCTCGTCAGCATCTTGTCACGGAATTCTGCCACACTGGGAGCACAAGGTGGTAGGAGGATGCATGCATACTGCCTAGAAATAGACTCGTAGTCGGCTGCTCGTGCCTATAATGAAGGACCATATTAGCAGCAGGAAGAGACGCAAGATTTTCGTGAGACCGTGAGCTTACTGCGCGAATCTCCTCCGTCTCGACCTGAGCAGTTTTGTTGTCCCAGTGCCTGAAATAGTCATTGGAGGCAGCTTTCTGTGCCTCATGATCCTTTTAAGCATAGCAGCCATTCCCACATTGCGGGCTCCTGTATTCTTGTGAAGAATCTTCTCAAAGGTCGCCTCACGGGCAAGCAGAACTTGCTGCTCATGTGCTTGTGCCGGAGCCATTTAGCGATTGGAATAGCTCAGAAGGGGTGTTGAAGATGTCGGCAATATTAGATCTAAGTGGTAGTGACTTGAGACACGCAGAGATCAGACGCGCGAAGGCGCCTTTATATAGAACTTCTCTAGATATCTCAGGCTTCGATTTGACAAGATTTAGAAGCCGTTGACAAGAATCGGATTGGAAGCGAGGATCGAGCGGTGGGCCCGAATACGAACCCGAAACACTTGGTTCCTGACACAGCCAATGGCAGGCAAGAGGATTCCTAAATGGGTAAGAAGCCCTGAAGCCGAATACGAAAAACCTACTCAGCCTTGACAAAACTCTGGATAACATCTACGTATTCGCCGAAGATGACGGCAATCATTTTGTAATTGTTCCTTCGAGATGAAAAATCCTGGGCAGTTGAGGACAGTCCCATCCACGCAGCCGTCCAAGCGGATCCATCCCCTATTTTCAACACCCGCACCAAGACGTGATTGCGGCTTTTAATTCCGACTGCTCTTATGTCCCGTTTATCAACACAAATCCTGTTGCTACGTCGCTCCTGATGCCCCTAGTCGAATTTGGGGTTATTGCCTACGATGCTTCCTATATTCTCGGTATCGCTAACGTCGTCTTTCTCTCCTGAGAAGTCCCCACCATTCCCCTTTCCAAGAAGCAAGCAATGCAGCCGGGTCCGGACTCGATCACCGAGTCCCTTTTCTCAGCTAACCCAGCCCTCTTTTGACAAAAGCATGCGTATGTGACGGCTAATGGCAGGACGCAGTAGCCGCTGGGGCGTTGATTGCAGCAAATTGGAGCCTTGAGCTCCCAGCCACACGTTGCGCGGCCTTGACCCTTCTCGCCCGCGACATGTGCTTGCTAATCTGACCCTACTACACCTGATAGTGGAGTCCTAATAGCCCTATGAAAGAGGAGGGAAGTATCGCCAGGCAGCTAGGTAGCTCATTCGAACTCTCGTAAGCTATATCACGCGACAGTGGGGGATAGCGAAGAACATGGCTCGAGCTAGGCACGTATGAATTTGTGCTGTTGACTACAATTCTCCAACGTCCCTGCGCCATAAAGTCGCACTGACACTAGTGTGTGGACATCTGAAACAAGTGAGGGTCGGATATTGCACATAGAGGGTGTAGTGATCTCTCTGACATCTTGTATGCAAATTACTCGGGCCATCCTTCACCTTTGTAGGCATGCCAATGTCTGTAAGCGACGGTTGATGCATCTTCCGGGCATCATACATAACCTCAACCTAAAATGAAGGTTAAAAAGAGCCCGTGTTACCTCGAGATCGACCTGGCATATGACACCATACTATGGGCGATTCAGCTGCTCTATAGGAGATATCACCTAGAACCCTAAAGTTAGATCAAGGCCGTAAATCACCTATGCCTAGCCGAGGCTTCATCATTTTTCAACCCGTCCCCCTCCAGCGGTAATCCCATAGCCACTTATGGAAGTTTATTACCCCACTCCCCTACCATCCGTCTCAAAGCAACGATCATGTCAAAATAAGTACGTGAGGGTACCGCCAGTTAGCTCCGCTTTTACGGGAAGTTGCTCAAGCCTGCGTTTGAATCTTTCAGCTGGCGACTCACGTATGTTGCTAAGGCCGTAAAGCGACACATGTCGCAAAATCCGGTACGCATGCGAGAGGGGATCTTACATAACTTTATATCCTTGCGCTGTAAGAATCCAAAGTATTCATTGAGACGCAGATCATGATTTTGGCCGTGTGAGGGTGTTAAGCCTTCGTGAAGCACGTAGCTTCCGCTTGAAGAGCCGCCAAGCTCCGCTGCAAATATCCAGGTTCCCGAAGGCATTAGGTAGGCGCGCTTCCTGAGTCTGGGAGTGAGGCTTCTGACTGCAGCTTCCGCGACTCTGGGGCTGAATAAAAGTTCGGCCGGATGGGAGGAGCTAAGAAAAGAAATTGCAAAAGGAACAGGAGCAATGCCCGACCCTGACTTATCTATGAGGTTGGTAGCTGACCCCTCCGCGAGCGCGGGCTAGCACCGCGAATCTCCGGCTTAAAGTAAACCCGTTATATCTATCAACTGGTGTCTTCGGACCTCTGTTTATTTATTGAATTCAATCCCTGTACGCGACGAGGGTCGGGTTTCCCAATTTTAACACCGCTGTTATGGATCCCTTGTCACTTCAATGGTGAACACGCGTTTATGCCGTCGTTCACTTCCCTGCTCTAGCACTTCTCGGATATGAAAGCAGGGGTGATACCTAATAATGAAATTGTAAGATTGTTAAATGAACGTAACTTTACGTAAGGTTCCGGATGTCGTGTCCGGCTTCCGAAGATGATAACAAGGTCAATCGCCAAGCCAGAGAGGGCGCGGTTCCCATGATGCTTATTTACAGCGGCTCCCAGTATTTTAAATCAATGCCATGATAGTTTAGTTGCAGACCGATCGGTGAACTCGGGACCAAGACACCGGTGCCAGTGAGATTGCCGCTGCGTCCACTAGGCCTCCCATGAACACCAAACTACGTCGAAACTCGCAGGTCATACAAATTCATTTTTTACCATTCCCCGCGCCAGCCGCTGCCCAAGTTCATGAACGTATAGCGTGCAAGTTAAAGACTCCGCTAATCTTGTAGACCGATTACTTTGCATTGGCCGATCTGCCTTAATTTCTCGAGCTATCCGGGCCATTGGGAAATCGCTCAGCAAGCCCCAGCTGCGGGGCCGGCCCGGGACGCTAAGCTGCTCTCGGAAGCCGTCACGGGGATTACCCCTTTCTTGCAAGTTCTCCGGCGGCCAGTCACACCCCCAGTTGGCTCATTGGAGGAGAAACGTAGTTTCCACTAAGAACGGGTAACACAGCACTGGAGGAGCTGTTGCTTGCCTCACTTCAAATATCCCAAAGAATATTCTCCACCATACATCCCGACGCCAGAGACCTCGCAAAGATCCCTAATTGAGTAGTCTCGCCCAAAGTCGTATTAATCTAGATGTTTACAATAGACGGGGGTTAAGGAATACAACGGTTTCCAAAGTAGACTGCACATAGACATTAGTTTATTCCATCCGGTATTGCTATATATAGACTCCACGTCCACCTACATGATTATCTATTTGCTGAGGACTGCCTTACCTTTCTATGTCAAGCCCTAAGCTAAAGATTCCCGGCCAGCAAGATATAGACATTCGTCTTTATTGAGGTCTCTCCAATATTCGCTAATCCGATTCTCTCCCAATATCAGATATCGCCATGCATTCCCTCTTATCGTCGGCTTTAATTTTATCCCTAGCAGCTTCCGCCTCTGCGCTATACCTTTCAAAGCATCCGATCTTGATGGAGGTGTTTGGGAGAATGTGGCACCTCTCGGGAGTAATGATCCCGCCAACAGCCCATGGAATCATCCGAGGAAGCGGCAATCAGGATGGAACCCCCATCCAATTTAGCTACACCGTTGAAGCAGGTATGGGATCACTGCCTTGCAACATACTCGGACGGGCTCTTTGGGTTCAAGAACTACGGGTGGGATCAGATTATGGCGACGAAGGGGTAAGTGGCTCTCACCCCAGCAAGGCTCATGGAAGTCTTGTGAACCTCAAAGTGGTCCACACATGTTAACCACTCGAGCTTCAGCTCCATCAATGTCTGCGTACGGTGGGAGTCAAGCGTATCTGTAACCGAGGCTCAACGAACACAGGTGGCACAGACTCTCAATAAGCAGTACCAGAAGTGGTTCCAATATCTTTACGGCTACGATGGCTTTCCTTTCAGCGAAATCAAGGTCAATGTTGTGGAATGTTGTGGGTTGGGCTATCAGCAATACTAACCTCCTGCAGGGCTCAACCTCAGGTACCGATATATACACTACCAAGGACCTTGGGGGTTCCGGAATGTGACCCCCGGTGCGGGCGATTCTACCACCATGATAACAACTACGCATCCTGCCCTGGCGGGGCTTCGAGGCACTATGACAGCTCCCTCTGGCTAACCGACGGTCTCGTGGGCGGTTTCGAGGCGATTGGGGCCAACAGGTTGGACGGGAATACTATATGAACAATTTGAACACCGAAAATATCCACATCCTTCTACATGAGATTGGTCACACGTATGGGCTCGATGACTGTGAGTACTGCTTAGCTTTCTTTTCTTTTTGCCAACCGTAGTTGCATGCCCTGATCGGTAGCAATGCTACTGCACAGTAACGATCAGCCCTGTGAACTTATGTTCCGTTAGAGGTACTGACTAATACGAACGTCCAACCGTTGCAGTTTACGACTGGACCCCTACGGGCGTCTCGAACTTCATCATGCTCGCCGGTTCCGCCGCGCAAGTCACAGAATTTGACTACTGGATGCTCAGGAACTGGTGGACCGAGCTCTCCCGCAACCGCGGCTGGCAGACCGGCTCTTCTAATCCCACCACGACCACGACCACGCGTACGTCTACCACAACTACGCGGCCCGCGGCAACCACGACCAGTAGCGGCGGCAGTGGTACCGTCCCTCAATGGGGCCAGTGCGGTGGCATCGGGTATACTGGCGCCACTCAATGTGTCTCTCCTTTTACGTGCATTAAACAAAACGATTGGTACTCCCAGTGCCTTTAAAAAGTTGTGAGGGGCTCAGTAGAGCGGTCTGAAGACAAGTAATACCGCTAGTATCTGCGAAGGACTGACTGTGGTCGCTTTGAAGCCAATGACGGTGCTGAGTGACTCCTTTGAACCATTGTGGCGGTTTGCCCCATCGACGTCAGCCGCGCGGAAATATACACTAAATTACATGCCGGAATTAACTGCGTTCCGGAGTAACTCTCCTCCATACGTGTGTCTGGCTCAGCCGCTGTGATAGCTATGTGGCAAGAGCAATTACATTAAATGGTGCATGAAAAACGCCATACGCCTCGCGAGTAAGGCAGCATTTTTAAACGGATCGCTGACTGTATGTCCACCGGACCGGTCCTCGTAGAGAAATGCCCGCGCTGACCCAGCCTCTTGAAGCCTCGCGATTAATTTCCTAGCGTGTCCGGCCCCGACCCGGTCATCTGTCGTTGAGATCGTGGCGAAGAAGGCGGGGTACTGAGTCCCCTTTGCTACGTTGTGGAAAGGCGAATAGGCTCGCAGTATCGGCTCCATCCCTGGCTCATTAGGGTGACCGTATTCGTCGACCCATACGGCGCCAGCTCCCATAAGGTGGTACCTTAGCATATCCGTTATCGGAACGTCGGCCACCACCGCACCGAAGAGATCTGGTCTTTGTGTCCCCATGACGGCGGCAAGTAAGCCTCCATGTGACGAACCAAAGACTCCCATATGCTGCGGCGAGGTGACTCCGTTGGCGATGAGCTTTTCCGCGACTGCTGCGAAATCGTCGTACGACTTCTGGCGATTCTCGCGCACCGCTGACTGATGCCAAGCCTCGCCGCGCTCCCCGCCACCCCGGATGTATGCAATGACAAGCGCGCCCCCGCTCTCAAACCATGGTACAATGGATACTCCGCCAACAAAATAGTTAAGGTATCCTGTTGTGACTGTGATGCCGAACCCGCCGTAGCCAGTTACAAGCACCGGGAGCTCTCCATCTGGATAGCTGTGGCTGGAGGGCGCAAGCACAAGGTAGTCGATCAGCGTGCCGTCCTTACTTTCGGCCACGCCCTTGCTAGCTACAAAGTCTTCGCCGTTAAATACAGCCACTTGACTATGGAGCTTCTGCGTATTGATGCCGTTCATGTCCTCTACCCAAAATTCGGCCGGCTGGAGATATCCACTTTCACTGACGACAACATGGTCCGTATAACGACCCGACGCAATGACGGCGGCATGTAAGCCGTTGCCAGTGGGCGAGGTCCGAACTAACCTCCACCTTGGGCTGTCGTATTCGAACACCAGACGTCTCTCGTTGCCCTCCAAGGTAGTAGTGAGATACACCCGGGACTGGCTCGCCCTCATGCCATCAACAATTATATCAGGATTAAACTCGTTGTCTTCTGGGATGTGAACGACCGTAATTCTAGATTCGCTAGGCCCACCGGGTTCCTCGGTATCGTAGGCCAGGACCGTACCGGGAGGAAGCTCCGTGTCATGACTGTCCCAGGCCTGTGTCAGCGACACAATGAGATGGCGATTAGTCGCCACTTCCGGAGGCGTCATGGACACCGCGGTGGGTAACATGACCTCTTCGACCGTACCATCAAGTGAGACAAGATAATGGATGATTGTTGAAAAGTCCACATATCGCTTGATCAACCCGCGATGGCCCTGCTCACCTGCCCCAATGTTGGCAGCTACATACAGCGAATCAGTCGGTAAAGCCGAGTGGATGGGCCTTGCCTCTTCTAGTGGGGTCCCACGTTGCCAGATATACGCCGTAGTAGGCCAGCCTATATCGTTTGTTGGACCACCAGTCAAAGCGTGGATGATGAGGATATGGTCGCGATCCAACCACGCAGCTGTTGTATGGCCTGGGCTAGTGCGAAACCCATCTTTGACAAGCTTTCCCCTCTCGACGTCCACCTCGCGAATCTCAGTGAGGTCTGAACCCGCGTTGGACAGTTGGAGAAGCAGTCTCGAACCATCCCGACCAAGGATCATGCTGCCAAAATTGAAGGCGGAAAACCCAAAGTCCTTGTCTTCATCCTTACTCAGCTCCTGAATGTCAATGACCTTGCGCCATTCACTCAAGGAGCCATCCGTAACCCTCTCTCCCCGCTCTAAAATGCCGCGCTGGTTTGTAGCATTTTTCCGCAGTCGAAAGAGTTGTCCAGCGACCCAAAACTCTGGACTCTGGGCATTACTATTGGCAAGCTCCATAATTGTATCCCGCAGCGTCCCCGCGTTAGGCAGCCCATCGAGCACCTTGATTGTGAGATTGTTCTCTTGGCCGACCCACTCTAAGGCCCTGGGTGACGTCTGCTCCTCAAGCCATTGCCAGTTTGCAGGCTCAATAGAAGTCCTGCGCAATATATGAGACGGGTTCAGCTATGTAGACGTAGACGGAACTTTACACTTACAAAGGAACCTGCGAGTTACCATATGATAGGCAAGGTAGTAATAGGACTGGCCCCAGCCGGGGGCCTCATCGTGGTGTTCACTACGTGACCTGGTGTGTTTCTGGGACGAAGCTGAGTATTGATAGCTAGACAACGCGTGACCGAAAGATTTTCCAATCATGTGGTACTTTCGGTAAGTAGAAATAGCGTCGGGGCCGACTATACACCGTGAAGACTCGAGATACACTAGCGTCTGGAAGCTCAATCGATGCGTGCGGCGAGGCGGCTGACGACTGCCACTGACTTTCCTCCGTCGCGAGCACGCCAATGCCGAGCTTCGTTTACGTGCAGGCCCGTCAAAAAGGGCACAGCTATTGATGATGGTTAAGTGAGGACACGAGAGGATATTGCGAACTTTTCCTGTTCGCTGACCTGGATGAAGTTTTGGGAGCAATCGTGGCACCCAAGCACCCCGCTTCGGGCGCGACAAGCGATGCCGCGCCAAGGTTTCGTCCCGTCCACCCTCGTGCACAATTTTACTCAGCAATGCCATCATGAATATTCCCACCCCAGTCGCTTACGAGCAGGCGGAATACCTGAGCTGATTAAAGAATAACCGAGCACTAGCTGTGCTTTGATCGTCGTTGCCAAGGGCGAAGCCATGGGTGCATTCTTCATTTGTTCGGCAATCCTGAATTATCAAGCTTGGTACTAAGTACGGTTACAGAAACATTGAAAATAGCACGTTAATTGATGATCTAACTACCTCGGTATGCCCAATAGCACATGGCCCAGCTTGCCTAGCATGTCTTCGATCTTTGAAAGGTTATCGCCGTCGGCCTTGTCCTGATTTTGCATCCTGAACAAGGCGGACCTATATGGCCAGGGCATCTTGCGTAGCAAGTCATCCGTTAATGACCACGAACAACGCAACATTAGCCGCCACGAGAATCTGGGTTACACCGTGAGGCAGCTATTCCCCAACATCTAGATATTTCCAGGCCCCATCACGGCATTCCTAGGCCGCATCTCGACGGTCTGAGGCGTCACTGATGCGATAAACACTTATTTTATCCAGTTATAGCTCGCCGGGCACCAATTTTCCGAATTAGTGGAAAGGTTAATAGTTTCTAAACTCTTCTCATCACCCAAAATTGCATGTGTCAATAGCTTTGAGCTATGCCCTGACGCCCGACTTCAATGTACACGTTTGGCGCTCAAAAGCGTCCGACCTGGAGTCTCCCATCACGGATTCAATCGAGACCCACATCATTCCCCTAGGCCCCTCTTGAGCTACCCCACGGCACCTATGCAGGCGGAGTAGGCAATAAGAGTGTGGGGGCGGGGGTCGCGTAACTTTAATACTCGGTTCTCAAAGTCTGCCCACCAAACATTGAAGCATCACCTTTACATCGCGTACCACAAAGGGCAAGATCCAGGCGCTCCAGGCTTGTTACGTTGTTGATTGGAGAACGTAGGAATATATACCATGGCATAAAATAACGATGGGAGGTCAGAATTATACCAGTATAGATGCAATGCTCCCCTTCACAGCTTCATCTGAATAACCAACGACAGTCCCATCCCCACAATTCTTCTTCTAGGCACTACAGCTGCTATCAGAATATTCATTAGCCTCAATTCCAGCGCGAATGGTCCCTTACAGCAATGTGCAAGAACGCTTTTACCCCCGAACCACGAAGCTAAACATTGGAATTAAGGTCTAGGAGACGTACGTGTGAGGAGGAGCATACTAGACTAGACTTTCTGCTTCTCTGGGAATCTCCCCGTGGACAGAGAAGGTATACAGGATGGTTGCTGGAGGTATTGATCCTCTGTTAATCAAGCGATTAGTCGGCAGGGGTTGGGGTTAATCGTATCTAGCCCGCCCGAGCGGCGGGCTGTATTGCCAGAATATATTGCCAAGAGAGCCCGGGACATCTTGGAACGATACGCAGGCTCAGTGTGGTGGTAACCATTGATGGATGCGCAGGATGATCAGCCTGTGCCCGAACCGCAATCACGAAGTGCCGTTATCACTCAATGTACCGCGGTGTCCAATTGAGACAGCGGACGGATCTGCTTGGCAGATCCCGCTCCGTATTGATCGGAATCATTGTGAAACTGGTCCGTGGAACAATGTCTTGAAGCCTCTTCAGAAATGATCAGGTAGACTACTTGCTTTTTGTGTCGGATAAGGGACCTTGAGACTTCTGACACAAAAGCTGAAAGCCTTGCCGCATTTTAAGACTGCGGCTATCAAGACAGCTCAAGATCGCAGATGCAAATTGCGCGCCGCCGCTGGGACGCATGACGGGCGCATCATAGATTGGTTCGGCGCGTGGTTCACCAAGCACTAGCCCCGGTGTCATCCACTCCGTCATTTGCCCTCACCAAGTGTCTAGTTCAGCCGTGATTTGTTTTTGGATTCGCGGAGAAGATGACACTAATGGTAACTACAGATGTGGGGTCTATCAATCATTGATCGTCCTCCCTGGACTGGAATCTGTGGTGAGCATAGACTACCGTCAGCAGGCCATGGCACGAATCATGGAGAATGAGTTGTGGATGGGGCGCGTAGACCCACAGGCAAATCAATGTTTGATCCATCGACGCTTTCGCCGCGCTCAAGAGCATTCGGCCAGAAAACTTTGAACGAGATCTCATATTAGGTCGAGGGGCCCGGCGAGAATTTTTGGGGATAATCCTTTGTTTTGCGACTCTTCCCCGAGCCGATACTCTGGAGACCTAGATTTCACTCTTCCGTCTTCGTCGTTCGCGTCGTGGCCGGTACTATGGTCTGCTCATCCCCGCCGCTCGTTGTGTTTTTGTCTGGGTCTGAATCGGGGATCGTCGGCTGAATCAGAATCATCACCCTGTGTCCTAGAGTTGATGGAATTGAGGGCACTTTGGGAATCCGTTCCAGTAAGGCGAGTATGCTTCACCGCTTGGCAGCTACTCACTCATACACGACATATAGGCTCCATACTTAAGACGATTCTTGAGGCAGCAAAGTTGAAGCAGCTGTACGTTGGCACATCAAAGGGGATGTAGCTTATTGACATCCACCTCATCCAGGCTTCACCCACCGTCAGTACGGCCTACACTGGAGAGTGAATTTATGGTTACGCGCTAGACCTGGCCTAAAGTGCGTGATGAGCTATGAAAGCGCTTCTGTCATTGGTTGTTATGCGTTCTTTTCCAATGAAACCTACGACCAAATGTGGGAGGAAAAGACCAACTTTCGCAATCAAACGTGTACCACGCCATACGAAGCCCAGTATTCCACTCAGGTTTCCTCGAGGAGAACAAATAATGACCTTAAGGGAGAGGTTGATAAAGGGGCATTAGTTGATGAAAAAGGCTAGTTCGTTCCGCGCCAGGACAGTGCTTGTGAAGGGCCCGGAGATAATGAAAGACGCGAGAAAGCGACTGATGGTACCACGCTGGCAATCCGGTTTATCTATGGAAGAGCTGTGTTGCACGGCGGAATTTGTCGAGTTTCAGGTCCGAGGATTATCCAGCCTAACATCGCTCTCTGCGGATTTGCGGATTGATGGTTGATATTGCCAAGTTAGGCCAATTGAGGCGCTTTCTTTGCCAGTCCCAGGGAGACGGGACCGGGGCCTGACGAGCAGCTAGCCACTGGTAATATATTTGGCCAGTACCACACATCAAGCCACGCGCGAAAGACTGACGACGCTGTCGTATGGCACCGTAGCAGCCCTACTAAGAGAAAGCTATCGAATACGTGCCTGACACTTCGGCTAGTCTGTATTGTCTCCCATCTAGGAAGGAGTAATTGTCTCCATGGCCACGTGGGTTGTTGGCGTTGTACATTCTGGCAAGCCCAAGCGCAAGCCAGGAGGCCATGGCCTCGTGTCAGGTCGCCAGGTATTTGTGCTTCATTGGCGTCGACGGTTGCTCCACTTCTCGAATACGCACACACTGCTCGTCTCGTGGCCCGTCTTGTGTGGATGTGTGACATTATTTATCCGAGGATATCACAGCGAAGCTCCAACTCTCCTTGGCGATAGCGAAATGAGACTCGTGCGTGCTAGAGGTAGACGACGGTCATGACTGAATCTTCCGACTCATCCAGGATCATGGCGTTGTCAAGGCCCTAACCGCCAATCAAACCTCGACATTTTCGTCAATGGGAAGGGTGGCTGATTTGGTCAACGCACCTGCCAACCCGGGACTAGGCCGGCTTTGCCCCTGTTTCATGCCGGACTGGCTTCGCTGCGATCCAGGCAAATGCACGTCGATGCCATGCCATGGGATTCGATATCTTCATGGGAGGCCGCTAGCTCTCATCTAGCCTAGTTGTGCGTTTTTTCGACGGAAGGTGCGGAAGGTGCGGAATTCCGGCTCCGAACTAATACGGAAAGTGGCTAGGGCGTGGAAAGTGACTAGGGGGAAGGGGAAAATATAGAGAGAGGGGGGCCAACACTAAAATACGAGGCACTCAACTTTCTATTTCGTGGAAGGCAAGGTTGACGGCCCTGCGGGGTTCGTCACCACTCGCAGCCTCAGTGCCGAATCCCTGGGTCCAGAGACGTATGGAGGGAGGAGAGGATCTCGGTTCAGTTCGGGGATGGTGGGGAACAAGCACGGCCGGGGGTGAAAGATAAGGATCCAGTATTTCTTCATTGCCGTCGAGAGTGGCTCTGTTCGCTTAATCCTGCGAAGCCCTTCCCCCAATCACCCTCATGGGCGCTACGCACCAGACCCTCGGAATGGGTAAGGCTGGAGTGAACTAGGGTGAGTGGCTTGGTTGGACTGTGGGGCTAGGCTCGAAGTAGACGCTAAATGCAGGAACTAATCGCTTCCACCACTGCCCTTTCTTCAAGTTCACGTACTGACGAGTTGAAGCTGACTCGGGCTGGTGGCTAGCTCGTGCTGTCAAAGCGCAAAGCAGTTGGAGGCCCTAACGAGCTTCCTATTTGGCATATCGAAGGGTTTTCACGATTCAGCTGTAATCGATATTCTCTGGACGCTGGGGGAGCCAGGAAGATAACGCAGGCAGCACCGCCAACGACTCGTTTAATTCGGAAGTCGATGCGTTATGAAAACATTAGAAATAAGTTATTTTTTTGGCGTTATGGAAGACGCCGAGGGAGTTGGACTAGTGTATAGAGGGGAGATTTACGGCACTCCGCCGACTGAACCGTTGGTTGCGTGTCATTGACCAGTCATTTTCTAGATAACAGTAAACCCCTCTCCTTGGAAAAGATCTCCCTGAAAGCCGGCCATCTCTCTCCACCCATACTCTCTCAGCAGTTTCCAGAGTCGAACATACGAGGAAACGGGCTGCCTCGACGACCATTGCCACCATGGGTTGGATCATCAACGCAACGCCAGAGGTGGAGGCCCAATCCAACTACAAGACGATCCTGATCGTTACCCTCCTCCTCTGCATTCTCGCAACGTGCATTGGCTCATTGCGCATATGGGTTCGAGCTCGGGCTCGAGGTATGGCTGCGGATGACTGGATGGCCGCCCTTTCCCTAGTTTTCGGCGCCGCATATTCCATCCTCTGTATCATCCGTAAGGCTTCCAAAATGATACGACTCCCAACGCACCTCAGAAGATCTAGCCCAGCCCTTTAGTTTCGGGATACAACGCCTCAACGCGTTGAGCAAAACGAGTATAATGGATTCTAACGTGGCATTGGTATATAGAGACGAGATACGGCCTCGGCTTACCGGTAGCCCTGCGCCCTGCCGAGAATCTTATCATATACACTCGAGTCAACTTCGCGGGCAGGCCAATCTACCAGCTCGGCATCAGCTTCTTCAAACTAGCCCTGCTCATAAACTACCTGCGGCTATTCAAGGGCTCACATAGGCAGGTCTACAGGAAGGTTGTCTGGGGAGCTATCGTTTTCGTCATTGCGGGCCATCTAGCTTGCAGCTTGGCTCTCATTTTTGCCTGTAATCCGGTATACCATCCCCATAGCCACGTCCTTAAGTAGCCTTGCCCTTGGGCCTCCAAAGGACCTTCTCTCTGATAACTAGAGATCTGGATGACGCTAATTAGGCCCTTTGCAGATCGACAAATCGTGGAACCCCTTTAAAGAAGGAACATGCCTTCCTCCCACCCCGGCGTTTACGGGCTATGCTGTCGTTACCATCCTTTCCGATATTGCTGTAGCTTTGATCCCTATTCCAGTTCTCCTCGAACTTGGGATCAGCCCTGCTAAGAAATTCGGATTAATCGGAATCTTTGTGCTTGGTTTGTTCACGACCCTTTGCTCAATCCTTCGCTGCCTCCAAATCAACAGGATTCAGCATGGCGATGGCAATTCAACAATGCTGGTGCTTTGGGGCGTCATCGAATTCAACGTTGGGGTAAGTATCCGATCCTATTCTTGTCTCCCCTCTTTCGCAAAGCTTTTCGTGAATAAGTAGATAACTGACCTTGGACAACCTCTAGAACATGGTTTCCAGCCTCCCCTTCCTGACGCCAGTCTGCCAAAGGAGAGTGAAGCGATACAGGAGCAACTACTACGGTAGTCAAGGCGGCAGCCACCACCATACAGCGTTAGGGGGACAGGTTTACAAACTAAGCTCCCTCGCAAAAGGAGAAGAACAAGGGTTAGGAGAGAGAGGAAAGGGGGCCTCGACAAAGACGTACATCACTGCCGGATCCGAAATCAACGAGACAAGCTCAAACGGGAGTCAAGATGATATCCTCAAATCAGGGAATGGTCCCGAGCCTGTTCCTGGTAATGCCATTCTCAAGTCGGTTTCATATAGCATCAACAGTATCAAGGTTAATCCCCAGAATCCTCAAGGGCGACCTGAAGGGGCCTGAGGATAGTCCTGGGCGGGTTTAAGATAGCATGACCCTCGGCTATTCATATAATGGCATGTCATGGTGCCGTCTGCTGAGACAAGGCAACCTCGCCTGACGAACGACTGATGTCTACTTGATGGAAGATTTCTTTTTTTCCCGCCGAACTGGTCACTTTGTATATGCATTGGGTCATAATGATATTAGCAGCAGGTGTCGGAGGCGCGGACTCTATCTTAATACGCGGACGACGCAACGTTATATGTAATCACTGAACTACCAAGACCAAACTTTTGGCGCACCTTTTCTCTAGGCGCCCCTGTACCACAAACTAGTAATTGATATCGTTTACATTATGGCGTGATCTTGAAGCTCGACACCGATCGAGTCAACAGACTTGTGGAAGATGAAGATGCTACTCGTAGGAAGAAATGATCTCTCCAACGACTCCAGTAGCGGTTGCGTCTATTCTATTGCCGGAGCTTCTTTTTGGTGAGCAGATCCAGCTTGGAGAAGACGTCTACATGCGCATTAAGAATTCTTTCGTGAAGGTTGTTCCGAAGGACGATCAAAATGTGATCTAAGATGACATCCTCGTCTTCGGCGCGAGCAAACGCGTACGCTGTGCGCGCGTAGTTTTTGATGTCCCTACCGTTGCTCGCCAGCTCTCCCAACACCTGGAACATCTCCTCCGTCCAGAGATTCTCCTTCGAGTTGTTCATGCAGGCACGCTGTATATGCTCACGCCAAATATTTGTTTTCCAAGCCGCGGTGAGTTCCTTGTATTGTATAGTGACGTGAATTCGACTCCAAAACGCTTCGTCGAAGTCATCGTGTCGGTTTGTGGTAAGGAACAACAAACCCTTGTAGTATTCAAGAAGGCGTAAGAAAACTATGATGGCAATTAGCATGCCGCCTGGAAATCTCTTCGGGGCCTTAAGAACTGGTGCGGGGCGCGTTTGAACATACCAGCCACAATCGAGTTACGGCGAAGGTCCTCAACCGTCCTTCGGCTCATGAGAACATCTGCCTCGTCTAAAAGGACTACGGCTTTCCATCGAGCTCCGATTTTGAAGATGTCTGTCAGCTGACTCTCCAGCGTTTGCACTTCGGTGCTGAGCTCGCCGGTTGTGATGCGGTATAGGGGTCGCTTTGCACTTTCCGCCACGCTTTCTACACCCGTACACCGCCGTTAGTCATGGGTAAGGACAGAACATTACGATGCGCTCCTCGAGCGTGCGCGGCTCGGATTCAGTTTGGATAGGCTTCGAACAAACCGACCTGCTGACTAGCCTTTGGCGATCGGGGCTTCAAAAAGAACAGTAGTCAGTTAACTTACCTGCTGTCAGAGTTTTTCCTAGTCCAGGGGGACCGTGGAGTAAGAAGATCAGGCCCTTGCCCTTCCCAGCGACGACATCGTCGTACGCATCTGTTTTATCGTTGGCGAATCCCGTAACGAGGCGGTGAACAAGTCGTTTCCTTTCCTCTCCAAGCTGAAGCGACCTAAATGGGTCGCGCCCCCATTCAATCTCGGTCAAGGAAGACGTCCGTATATATTGTACCCAGACTTTCTGGCCCACCACGAAGCCGACGATGTTGTTACGGCACATGAAATAATCATCGTCCGAGAGATCCGGGTCGTCCGCCTTGACGTAGCTCTTGGGATCGACCATCCACTCCTCTTGGAAAGTGGCGTCCCCTCAGACACCTGAAGGTCGGTACGTAGTAGATCCCTCAAACTTTGCGCAACTCCATCCTTGGGGCGTTTGGAGGTCACGGACGGCTTCGGTGGCGCCGAACCCGTCCTGAGATAGTCGGCGAAACAAGACCCTACGGTTACGCCCAGGTTGTCGTCGATTTTGCTGAACTGTGTCTCAGATTTGCGGTCGATGATTACACGCTCGTCAACCTGCCAGAAGAGAAAACCACAGGTTAGAAAACGGTAAGCTCATCACGCGCAGGTCTTCTTTTCTTACCTCGAATGCGGAGTCTAGATCCACCAGCCTCCGCTCACAGTCTCCCACCGTCAGAGACGCGGGGCCCTTGTAGTGGAGAAAGCTGTAGTCATTTTTGCAATATTCGATGTATTTTTCCCCGTTCGATGAATGCCGCCCTCAGTTCGAGTCGCTGCTTCTCCTCGATCAGATGAAAAGGGATGACCAGTAAATTTTGAAGGCTGATTTCCACCATTCCAGGAAAGTATTCCACGGCGTGTATGTCGCGTTTGACGTGAAACCGGTTCCCATCGTGGTAACCGCATAAAAGTTCAAGTTCCAGGTTGGCTTTTCATCCTCCTTCTCCTCGAACTCGACAGACTCGAGAATGCATCCCATTCCATTGGATTCCTTCTCGGCCGAGTCTTGGAACAGGACTGGCTCGAATGGGGGAATATGGTCCAAAGCATAGGAAAGGTGATCTTGCCGTTGGGTACAAGCTCGTTGTAGGCATCGATGAGTCTTTGATGGCCCATTGGCGAGTGAATAAAATCTACCAATAGACCAAGGGCCTTGCGCGTGCTCTCGTCGGTCTCCGGGGCCAGGGAGAGGGCCTTGAGCTTGCCTCTTAGGAAGAAGAGGCACCGGAATGGGTAGTCGATCACGATGGGGGTGGTTTCGAGGTTCACCTCTCGGTAGGGGTCGCGATAGTCCGAAAGATATTTTGCAGACCTTCCGACTGGAGCTCAAGCTGGAACCTGGCGCGCTTCTCGTACCTTTCGATAACTGCCTTCAAAAGAACCGCGTATTCTTCAAATGGCTGCTTCTCGTCCTCGTTATCCTTGCGGCTCGGGCGCGCAGCTGGGGTATAGCTCTCTAACCCGATGATATGTGTGTACCCGTCATCTCCCGTCAGCTGCACGACCTTTTTCAGTTCTGGGATCCAGTCAGAAGCCTCTGTTTTATCAGGTTGGGGTTGAGCTGAAGCTCTTTTGGGCCGGGGGCTAACTGGCGGCGTCCCGGCATGGTCATCAACGTCGTCCTCGCCATCGGCATCGGCGTCGTCATCGTCATCGCCATCGCCATCGCCATCGCCATCGACTTCGTCGGCCACATCCTCGGCGATATCTTGAAAGAACTCGCCCCTGAGTATACTGTCGTACTGAAATGCCGTGTTGTCTGTTGCCATCACAGCTGATCTTGCAGAGCAACGCACACGGGGTTTTTCTTTTATCTAGGGTTGCAATGAGAAACTGCGGAGTTTCTTGAGTAGACCGATATAGAAAGAAGAGATACTGAATGCGGCTCAATTGCCTTGCACAAGGCCTAAGGGAAGCACAACGATGTCAAGATTTGAAGTGGACGCTCTTCCCCGGCAGCTGCGAGGTGGAACAGGGAATGCTTTTTATTCATCTTCTTTGTTGCTCCCACTCATGTCAGATTTTGACCCTGGCGGGGAGGCCGGGAGCCCCTGTGATTGATTCGACAGAGGAGGTAGGGATGTTGACAGGGATTAAGGTGGCGGGGGACGTGGGCGGAGCATAGTTGAGGCCTCACTCGTCCAGTAAGTGACAAGTACATCGGGTTGATCCTCTTGTCCTCATCCTTCTCGACCAGCCACTACAGCACCCAATGAGGAGCGGGACAGCCCGCAGGGTCAGGCAACATGCATGTCGCTTGGATGCGACCCTCCGCTTACTGCATACACTACATCAATTTACTCACAATAAAAACAAACTCGACTCCCGACTCGGCCTTGCGCAAATGCTGTTTTTTCTTCCCTCAACTTTGAGCAGACGCGCAGTTTTTACTTTCACATCGGAGAGGGGACTCTCGCTTTCGTGCCCAACGTCTTCAAAGCGTTGTCTCCCCTTTGAAAGTCGACGACGCTAGAACATCCTGTGGCACTTTGGGACCGCAGAGATGGCGAAGCGCAAACTCCAATTCCTCCGCCCCCAGGGCAAAAGCATCACAAGTGACCCAGAGTCGCTTAGCTCTGTGCAGACTCCGCCAGCTCCCCCGAGCCCAAAGGTCAGGCTTTAGTAAAAACATCGGTCGAACTGGTGCTCGCTATGGCCCATGCACACCTCGACTATGAAAAAAACACAACAGCTCTCCCAGTAGGCGCTGCCAAACGAGCCAAGCCAAAATTCGACGACTTGGCGGGGTACGATGTGTCAGAGGAGGAGGAAGAAAAGTTGTGGGAGCTGGAGGCGACAAGACTTCTCCAGGTGGTCGAGAATCCGGAGGAGCCACTGCAGTTCTCGCACGACAATGTCTGTGCCGGCACCGAGTCGAAAGACATATACCAAGCGATTGCGGCTTTGTCTAACCAGCTTCTCGTGAACCTCCACACTTGCAGGCATGATAACGAGCTGGTCATGATGCAATTCGGCGCCAAAGACCACGATGCATCCGCAGAACTAAGCAGCCGATCAATTCTGGAGAAGCGGCTCGACGAGCCAGAGCGACCGCCTGGACTTGCCGACAAGGCGAATCGATCGAAGCAGTTCGTACTGAGCTATTTCGCGCTCCTCGACTACATCACAGCTGTGTTGGCGCGATGGGTAACGCTGGCCGCGGATAGCGAATCATGGCAGACGGGTACCTTGTGCGGCCTCAGCAAATATTCGGCAAAGATGAAGATCTTGGTGCGGGATTGGGAGGGGTATGCCTTGCGATCTCTCTCGCGGGCCAAGCGCATCACGACAGAGAAGAGTGTGCTCAAAGCCTTTGGCCTGACCGACGGTGACGCCGAGCAAGAAGCGGCCCCGACGCGGCCTGCACTGCAGCAAGGGCGAACAGGGTGGGCCGGAGCTGACCTGCCGCTATGGAGCCAGACCAGCTCAAATTCAAAACGCGAAAAGGAGCTCGAGGCATTCCTGGAAGCGGACGAGCCTGTGACGAGCATGTTCTTCTCCGAGATGGCCTTTATCAACTACTGGACCTCGTCTGCTTTGTTATCGATCCTCCAGGCCCTTAAGCCCGGATCTCGGTCCGGACACGCGCCCGATGCCTTCGATATTTCGTCGCTCGTGTACAGGGCGGGGACGCTTGACAGTGCCATGCCGACATTCATCCACCAGGACAGGGGCGGCGAGATATTAGGTTCAAGTAGACCCGACTTCCTCAAGAATGCCTATCCCGGCTTCCGCCTCGTCCAGCAGGCCGTCACAGGCCTGAAAAGCAACCCGGCGAGCAACGTCGACCCCAATAGGAAAACCTTTGACGCTGATCCGAGGCGTACCGGAACGATTGTGCTCGTCCAACTTGAGGAAGGCGCAACAGCTGGCGATACAGAAGCCCAAGAAATACACCTCGCGACGCCTTCGCAGGTTATTACCGTGATGGTGCCACTGCTGTGTACCATTCCCGGAATTATCAACGACCTAGGGTATTCTCTTAGCCGACTCAGCGAGCTGTACCACATCGACATGGAAGAGAGCCTTAGTTCCCGTGCTCCAGAGTATACCGCAATCGCTTCAATTAGGACGAAGAAATTCGAAACGCAGAGCAACTCCTTCGCCCCCGGCGCCGATTTCAGATCACTTTCTCGGTCCATGGTGGCAACGAGTGATCGCTACGCCGCTCGCTCCAAGCCATCGGCTAACACAAACGCGTGGCATAGCACCTCGGCAGAGCAAAAGGAATTGGTCTTGCTCAAGGCTCGTCAGCGCCGAGAGAAGCTGGTGCAGGAGGGGCGGATGTGGGACATAGAGGAAAGTTCCGTGAGTATTAAATGCGCAAAATACGTGTACACCGTCCTTGTCTCCTGCGGGGCCATCGTGATCGGGGGCCTCATGGTGGGAATTTTCATGGGCGAAAGAGAAAGCGGCGCATTGCAGGGAGTAGACCCTTTCAACATAGCCTCCTTCTCCTGGGTACTTGCCGGTTTCATAATCCTGCTAGCCAAGAGTATCCGCGTCAACGAGTGGCCTTGGAGGGATTTCTTGCTGGGGCGGGTCACTTGTCGAAGTTTGAGCGAGCTGCGAGCGGTGACGGGGTCGGACGAGCAAGATTTGATTCACTACCTGTTGACCAAGGAGGCGGAAAACGTACTCATCGCCAAGGGCCCCTACAACCAAATGTTTGTCAGGAAGGGCGATGGCGGATTCTCGATCGATGTGAAGCCCGAGATTCGCACGCTGATGGCGTGCGGCGTGATATTCGTCAAGGTCGCGTCGCTCCGAGGCACAGCATTGGTCTGCCTCGATTTCCGGAGGGTCGGAGAGGAGGGACATCCGAACAGGCATCTTGCACGACGACAAGGTTTCCTGGGATGATATGATTTGCCGCTACCCCCGAAATCGGATGACGAAGACGTGGAGCTAGGTCGTTCGCGCGGAGACATTCTACTACGATGGAAGAAGGTGTTGGGGATATATCACTCACCGAATAAAAGAGTTCGATAAGGAGAGCGTAATATACATTAGATACCTGGGCGATAGATAAACCCGCACGATAGAACTCTCAGATAATGCCATCTTTTTTGAGTATCCAGCCTTCCTGGGCGCTTGTTTTTTTCTTCCTGTTCCTAATGCGGCTGACAAGCTAACTTCACAGGTGCATCCCTTGGACACATTCGATATGGCTTTTTATCAGCGCCTTTATAAAGTGGAAATGGCAAAATCGGTCGGTATCGTCAACTTCTGGAGGCCAAAGATATCAGCCGGCCCCGATCAGGAGCCTCAAGAACGGTCAAACCAAACTTATTCGCATGACGAGATCATAGATCCGTCCTTGGCATATTACATATCCCCCTTGATTATACTTTGTACCCTGCATGTGTCAATCGCCTTAAACTCTGGCTTTCATAAAAATGCGATGATGGGTGACTTAAGTTAGTCAGTTGTGCTAGCCCCATCGTTCTACTATCGCCTAACAGCCACCGGATGTACTTGTAGTACAACACGAGTACCTCGAGGCTTTTGCGCTGGGAATTCATTCTAGATACTGTATTCAATCATAGTCGCGACAGTTTGCAAAAAGTTCGCGGTAACTCGCTGGAGCTTGCCGAAGAACTGGATGTGATCCGCTATGAGTTCATCCATCGATGCTGATGCAAAGGCGCCCTTGCCTTTGAGCCTATTTCATTTTACTTCCTACAGGCCGAGTTGATGTCCTGATCTGGTTTGTGACATTGTTCATATGCTACACAAGTTAAGTTCAAGAATCATCCATATTGTTAAGTTTATAGAGTGAGTGGGGGATGCGAATGCTGATCAACTTTGAGAAGGATGCGAAGAAGCAGTAAAATGATATAATTGAGCAAGATTATTCACCCGAGTTCATCGATTAACCACTTTTATTCTCTGACACTGGTATTCACGAGCGCAAAAGATCTGTCAGGCATACCTCTCAAACAGCACAACCGGCTCACCATGCAGAAACCTAAGAATGGGGACCATTTTGAGTTCATCGTTGTGGGTGGAGGTACCGCCGGAAACGTTGTCGCTGGCCGATTAGCCGAAAACACCAATGCTAGCATTCTCGTCATCGAGGCGGGACGTGGAGATCCTGAGAATGTGGAGATGATCACTACCCCCTCGTCTGCGATGGACCTGCGCGGATCAGAGTACGACTGGGCTTACAAAACAACGATGGTTAGGCGAGAAGATTACGAGCGAATCGAAAAGCCAAACACGCGCGGCAAGGTCCTCGGAGGCAGCTCATCCCTCAACTACTTCACGTGGGTGCCCGGTTGTAAGTCGACATTCGACAAGTGGGCAGAATTCGGCGGGGAAGAGTGGTCTTGGGACCCGCTCGTTCATTACCTTCGCAAGAGCGCCACATACCACGATGATCCTGGCCTGTATTCTCCGGAATTTAAAAAGTTAGGGTTAGGCGGACCTCTTGATATCTCCCACGCCGAGCTCCTAGGCGATCTGGATGATTTTCGAAAGCGAGTCACGAGTGCTTGGGAGTCTCAAGGCCATAAAGTGGAGGATAATATTTACGACGGAGAGATGAATGGTCTCACACACTGTTGCGATACTATTTACCGCGGTTACCGCACTGGCTCATACCTTTTCATCAAGGATAAGCCCAACGTGACGGTTTTGGATAACACGTACTCGAAGAAGCTTCTCATTGACGCTGACCGGCAAGTCAAAGGGATCAGTGTCATTGGGCCCAACACTGGCCAGGAGCAGACCTTTTACGCCACGCGGGAGGTAGTTATCTCCCAGGGTGTTTACGAGAGTCCTAAGCTTCTCATGTTATCCGGAATCGGACCTAAAAACCAGCTCACGCGCTATGCTATCGATACCTTGGTGGATTCGCGTCATGTCGGTCAAAATATGGTGGACCATCCTGGTGTTCCTTTTGTCCTTCGAGTCAAGGATGGCTACGGCACTGATGATCATCTGCTGCGCAAGGGTGCCAAGTTTGACGCTGCAGTGAAGCACTACGAGGACAGTAAATCTGGCCCCAAAGCCTCGGGCCTTCTCGAACTCGTTGGCTTCCCGCGCATCGACGAATACTTGGAGAAGGACCCAGTGTACCGCGAGAGGAAAGCGGCAAATGGTGGCAAAGACCCATTCTCCCCGAAGGCCAGCCACACTTTGAACTAGACTTTGTTGCAATGTTTGGTTCGGCCTTTCAATGGCATTATCCCGTTCCGAAGGAGGGAAACTACATCACTGTTGTGGTGGACCTTGTTCGACCCGTCTCGAGTCCAGGGAGGTAACGCTTCAGAGCAATGATCCCTTGGTGCAACCTGCCATCAACCTAAACTTCTTTGCCGATGATCTAGACATCATTGCTGTGCGTGAAGGGATCAGATTCTCTTACGACATACTCACCAAAGGAGAAGGGTTCAAGGACATTGTGGTTTCCGAATACCCCTGGGACATGCCGTTGGATGATAACAAGGCCATGCACCACGCTGTTCTCGACCGTTGCCAAACGGCGTTCCACCCAACCGGCACCTGCCGGCTTTCAAAGGACATTTCCCAAGGCGTTGTGGATCCCAAATTAAAGGTTCACGGTGTTAAGGGCCTCCGCGTCATTGATGCTTCGGTTATCCCCATCATTCCAGATTGCCGTATTCAAAATTCGGTGTATGCTATTGGTGAAAAGGGAGCGGATATGATCAAAAACGCCCACCACGACCTATATACCTAGGTTTCACTTGTTCTGTGGTGCTCGATGTTCCGTTGAAGAAAACAAATCTACAATCTGGCAGGTAGAACCTAGGATCGATAATCATGGTCTCCATATGTGTCTGCAATTTCTATACCTTCTCCTTCAACCCGACTATTGCCAAGCCTCCGGGATTCAATCCATGTCACTGTGGGATGGTAGCAAAGAGAGCTTGTTCATCACTTGCAACGTCATGCGGTGCTAGGCCATACTCTGCTGTTCGGTTCCAAAGAAACACCTCCCCGCCTGGCAGAGCCTCATTCAAGACGTGAGCCGCACACTTGGGATTGAAGATTGGATCCTATCAGATGTGAAGTGTGACATTCGGTCGAGGCACTGGACTCTCAGGAAAGCTTCTGGAACAACGTAATGGCCCTTCGTTATGTGTTGTGTCACACTCCCAAGGCAGGCGTGCAGGTGAGAGCGATGTCTGGGGACCGCTGCGTCTTACCAAACTATAGACGCAATTCTTGAAGTCGCTGATAACATCATCTGCGTTATTAGGCAAAATTTATTGACGACAGGTCAAAGCCCTATAGTTACCGGCTCCGGCGGCGGGGATTCCTACTTGGGGATGGGGTTTCTCAGCGGCCCATGGAAGAGGGTAAATTGTTGGCCTTCTCGAAAACTCTTCACGGTTGCCGCACCCACGTCCCGACGATGGATAAATGCCAAGACTTAAGTACCGATGGTTGACCGCGCGTACACGTTGTTTTGTCGATGCAGTTAATCTGGACAAAAGCCCGAAACGAGGGTGACAGCAGGCAAAAAGGCGGAGACGGCGGCACACCTTCTTTGGGCAGAGGCCATTCATTGGTTCACCCCGGAATGTCAATCACGTTAACGATCCGGGTATAACACTGAGCAAGAAATCTTCCGCCCATTTTGCCGCCCTTCGTTAATCCAGTCTCTGCCATTGGGCAAAGAAGGAAGTTCGTGAGAGATAATTAAATCGAACCTCCATGACCTAGGGTCCTATTGATCGGTTGATATCGATATTATATTGACCCAGTCACTTCGAGGCATTATGAGGGTGGTGGAGGAGGGCCCGGTTGAATATGTGATTGGATTCCAGTCATCCTTTGCCGAGATCCAGCGCGGAGCATGGCGGGCATCCGTTAGAGTGATAAAGGAAACATAAGTGCGTGTACCCAGCGCATTCTATGGCTTCCTTGAGCCTCCTCTCTTGACCACCCTTCATCCAAGTCTTATCCGGCCCAGATAGAAGAGACAAGATGCGTTCTGCTTTGGCTCTCGTACTCGCGGCCTCTCTCCTCGGCGGAGAGGCCAGCAGCATCAAGAAGCGATTCTCGACACTCGATGTGTATGTGCAGATGGGGTTTATGTGGAGGCGTTAAAAGCAGCCAAAGACTAACATTTCAACAGTTGGCGCCACGGCGACTACGAGCGGGATATCGTCGATCAGCTCTCCGACGAAACGTTTCCCAAGATCGCCGAGTGGGTCGAGAAGACCGGCTCGACCTGCACTCTCGAAAATGCCGTGCAGCGAAAGGAGTGGTATGTTCGGCGACAGGAGATTCAATCTCGAGGGCGTATTCTAATAGTGCTCTAGGACCGATTTGACCATTGATGAGAGGGCGGACTACATCCAAGCGGTGCAGTGCTTGATGAAGCTCCCTCCCAAGTCGCAGGACCAAGTTCCCGGCTCCCTCAACCGATATGACGACTTCGTGGCCACTCACGTTACTGGTATTCCGGTTCTTCACGCACCTGTAAGTGTCCCTTTCCACGAAGGCCACAACTGGCGTAAAAACCACAACTTGAAGCGCTGACACACGGGAAGACCAACCTCTTCGCCAGCCACAGGTACTATATCTGGGCGTACGAGTTGGCACTTCGCGAGGAGTGCGGGTACAAGGGCTACCAGCCGTACATGAACTACGAGCGACACCAGGATCCCATCACCTCGCCCCTGTTCAACGGAAATGCCACCAGCATGGGCGGCAATGGAGCGGCGGCTGAGTACCCCGGCGTAGTCATGCCTTATCCCAGGCCCTACAACGTCATTCCCGCTGCAGGCGGTGGTGGCTGCGTCACGGAAGGTCCCTTCTCCGAGTAGGTTTTACAAGTCACCTTGCCATGAGCATCAGCCTCTTTGATAAGTTCTTGGATTGATGGGCCATACTAACTCTTTCCTCGTAGCATGGTTGTCAGCATCGGCCCTCTGGGCACTGTTCTCCGCGACATTCCCCGCAACCCCCGCGCCGATGGCCTCGGTTCCAACCCCGCTGCCTGCGACGCGATCTTAACAAGTTCTCCGCCGCTGGAGCCTCCGCCAACCACTCGTACTCGCTCATTATGGACTACCCCGATGTCGACGCCTTCTACAACCGATACCTCGGACAGCCGTTCCTGAGAGGAGATGAATTCCCGTGGGGTCTTCACTCTGCCGGTCACTACATCACGGGAGGAGACCCAGGTGGCGTAAGTCGACTGCCGTTTACTCATGTTTTCTGTTCTGCCTTTTTTTTTTTTCGTGTGTTCTTTTCTTCTTTCGTGTTTGCTGACCAAGTTCACGTAGGACTTTTACGCCTCGCCTGGTGACCCGACCTTCTGGATGCATCATGCCGCCCTCGACCGCTTGTGGTGGCTGTGGCAGATGCAGGATCCCGAGAACCGCCTGCAGGCCATCCCCGGCATCACTTCGTCGAGGATGACCAACGAGGATGCTCAAAAGACAATGGTGGATCTGAAGTGGACGGCAGAGCCCCGCTCGCTCGGAGATCTCAACGATCAAATGGGAAGTGCCCCCTTCTGTTATATCTATGTATAAGCTGTATTGGCCCGAACACCTGTAAATTGGCTCCCCTATTAGCTTCATTCATAGGAAAGTAGTCGACATCCAATAATTTTAGGAGTCTTGTAGACTTGGACCGTCGCCTTTACTGAACTCGTCACTCGATACGTCAGAGTGAGTGTGTGGGGAGCCTGTCAACCCTGTGAATGATTTAGCCCCGCACACTGTGCGCCTGCGCATCCGTGAATTGTTCTGAGCTTCACCGGTTTCGTTGCTGGCTGCCAAGCTCTCGCCCGACCGGTTTCGCGAGGTCAGGAAATTTCAAGTGCAGTGAGAGCTGTCCCCGCTAGACCCGAAGTTTAGTGAGTACTAGGGTGTGATCCCGTCTTGATTGAAGAGTCGCAGGGGCGCGAATTGGGAGCGAGCGCTAGTCCGCCAGTAGAGCAGGTGACGTAAACATCGCCGCATCGGAGGCCGCCTTCAGGTGTCTCGATATCTCGACGTCGTTATGATGGAGAGAACTGAAGATGTCATGAATGGGCAATTTTACAGCTTAGTATATAATGATAATCCACCGAATATTTCATCAAGCCACAATTTGATAGACTCTATTAAACAAATTTTCGATATCACAACTTGTCACAATGGCCTCACAAGCAGCGTATATGGTTGAGAAGTTGGTAGGGCACGACGACAACGCCATCATTGAACAGGACGTGTCGAACTATGAACAGACCGGTGACAAGGGCGAATTAATGCAAGCCTTGGTGTGGCAAGCAAAGGGCAAGGTTGAAATCGGTAGGTGACTTGCTCTGCGTTTTTTTGCTTGTCAATGCGAACGTTCCCCACGACTTACACTTCATCCGCGTAATTAGTAAAGGTACCGAAACCCAAGATTCTGGAAGATAGAGATGTCATCCTCAAAGTCACGGGAAGCACTGTCTGTGGATCCGACCTACACCTTCTCGATGGCTCCATCGTGCAGCTGTCCAAAGGCGACATCCTAGGACACGAGTTTTGCGGCGTGGTCGACCAGGTCGGGTCGGGCATCGCGCCGGGCAAGGTGCAGGTCGGCAAGCGATACGTCGCAAGCTTTCAGATTGCGTGTGGCGATTGCTTCTTTTGCAAGAACAAGCTCTCCTCCCAGTGCGAGACGACAAACAGCAACACTTTGGCCAAGGCCATGTACGGCGGGCGAACGGCAGGCATCTTTGGCTACTCCCACATTACTGGTGGATTCGCGGGAGGACAGGCCGAGTATGTCAGGGTCCCCTCGCGGACGTGAATTTGCTCGAGATCCCAGACGACGTTCCCGACGAGAAGGCGCTGTACCTATCCGATGTGCTGTGCACCTCGTACAACTGCGTAAAGGACACCGCGGTATATGAGGGCGATGAGGTGGCCGTCTTTGGTGCGGGACCCATCGGGCAAATGGCTGGCGTGTTTGCGCTACGGGAAGGCGCGTCCAAGGTCATTTTCATCGACACCGAGCCCCGCCTTTCCTTTGTCAAGGGGCGATGGCCATCCGAGCATAGCGACAAGCTCGTCCTTGTTGATTTCAAGTCCCTTTCGCACGGCGTCACGAACAAGGAGACTGTGGTGTCCAAGCTCAAAGAACTCTGTGGAGGCCGGGGCCCCGACGTCGCGCTCGAGTGCGCCGCGGGAGAGTACGCCAAAGGCTGGCTCCATTGGCTGGAGATCGCGGTGGGCGCGGAGATGGACACGAGCGAGATTGTCAATGAAATGATTGAGGGCGTGAGAAATTACGGCCGCTGTGGCGTGACTGGTGTTTACGTTGGATACGTACGTACAAACCCTGCATCCCTCCACCTCGTCCTAACGCGGTTGTGTCACACCTGAAACTTCAGCATGCTAACTTGGTTGGTGGGGCAGACGAACCACTTCAATATCGGGTCCTTGATGCAGCGGGGTATCCGACTGATTGGCAATGGCCAGGCGCCAGTCCACAAGTATTGGCACGAGCTGCTGGAACAGGTTCAGAAGGGAGACCTCGACCCGTTGCAAATGGTATCGCACAGAGTGAGCCTGGACGACTTGGACAAGGTCTACTACAAATTCCAGAAGCACGAGGACAGCATGCAGAAGGTGTTTGTGGAAACTAAATTCTCGTTTCCACGTGCCGCGGGGACTCCGGAGTTGACGAGGTACTAGTACGAGTTGGACTTGGCACAGGAGGAGGGAGTTCTCTTGGTGTCTCCTCACGTAATGATGTTTATATAATGTAAAAGAAATATGGAAACCTTTCCCAAGAATGTCACCTCATCGGGGCAAAAGACAGTGTATAAACGTTTGAACTCACCTTGTTGAAGCTAATGGATCTATCTATTGATCTGATCACCTCGCCTCGTATCCCAACGGCTTGGCGAGCATGAAAGCTGAAGAAGAGTGAAATGAGTTTTTAGAGGGGCCAGTCCCAAGTCGTGATGAAGTAGTGGGGGTTGGTGGGGCAGGAAAGACTGACTGAGTCAGCAGTGATGTCGTCGTACGTCAACTGGAGGGGCACATCCCGCCCCGCACGACCCTCAGCTGAGGCAGGAGTAGCACTGGAAGGGAACGTGGAAGCTTTCCCAAAGCTGCCCGCATCGGATCGATTAACAACGCGCTTGCTAGTGATAGCACGTCAGGAGTAAACCTTGATTTTTCTCCCCTTTAGAAATTTTTAAAGTTTGCGACACGCCAGAGCCATTTGCACAGAAACGATTTAAGCTCAAGCTAGCAGCCATCATGTCTTCTCGCGGCATTCCCGATGTCTTGATGGTCAAGATTGACGAATACGTCGACTCGCTAGCCCCCAGATTCAGCCCCGCATCACCGCCGAGCTTGAGGTTTTCCAGCTCAAGACCATCGACAGCCTGGAGGACCAAGTCATCGACGCCTTCCGCTCGCTCTTCAACAAGGACAAGAACGGTCCGGGGGCGCGTCCAGAGATCTCGACAGCTCCGCCCCGGATGCCTACGGCGGCCGGTCGCTCCCCTTTGCCGACGAAATCGCGACCTTGACCCGAAGCTTTAGCAAGATCACCGACGAGGCCAGCGATGATCTGCGGGATATTTTTAATTTGACGGAAGGCAACGTTGGGTCGGCGCAGACCCAGTCACGAGGCGTGGAGCGGTCCGACTCGTCTAGGCTTATGCAAGGGTTCCTTTCCGCCGCCGTGAACGCGGTGCAGGATCACCTTGACTCGGGCAACGGCGGTAAGGGTTCCGGGGGCCAAGGTCTCCAGCTTGACGGGCTTCTAGGCGTGCTTAGCAGTACCGTAAAGGACGCGGCGGGCAACCCAGAGGAAAAAGCGCGCCTCATCAGCCCCGAGATCAAGGAGAAGGTAGGCGCGAAGCTGCAACAGCAGCACGCACCCATCGCAGAACAGTTCACCCGAATCGCCTTGGATCAACTCAAGAAGTGGCTGCGGGGAAATACAAGCACAAGGGATATTGGCGATGGCGTCAAGGGGGAGCTAGAGGATCAGGTCAAGGACATTGTCAAGGGCTTGGGTGGATTATTTGGCAAGAAGTCGTCGCCGCAGGAAGGCTCATCCAGGAGTATCGGAGATGGGGACCGAGACCGAGACCAAGGAGACGGCGATGGCAACGGTGGCTTTTCCAAAGTAATCAGCGACAAGCTCAGCACGGGACTCGCCAAGGTTCATCGGGAAGTCCGCCTGGAATTCCGCAAGATCCTCGGCTCCATCGAAAGGAGCTGTTCGAGCTGCTTCCCGACCAGTTCCAGCGCCCGCTCGAGAAGCTGCTCGGCGGCAACCCTTTGACTCGCAGCTCGACAGCGCCGGCTCGAGGTCTCAGTCGGATCGCGGGATCGGCGACGATCTCAAAGCGAAGCTCGTCAGCAAGATCCGTGACCTGGTTAAAAAGGTGCAGGAGACGCTCCGCGAGAGTATTTTGGGGGTAGTGAACGGCGGGCACCGCAAATTTGAGCGCGAGACGTGGGTCATTGTCCAGGGCATGGTGGAGCAAAAGGTACAAAAATACCTCCCCAAGGTCAAGATCACGGTACCCGACGATATCGGCAACGAGGGCGTCAGTGTTGGCGCGCCGTCGTCGAGCTCGCAGCTTGGCGGCGGGAACCAGTCGGCTTCTCAGCCGCAGGGAAGACAAGACCACCCTCCGTCTCAGGGTTACCAGCAAAACTACGATGCCGGGCATAATAACAATCAACAGCAAGAGTACAACCGCCCCCGCAACGGTACGATCAGCCGGGCGACTCTCGTTACGACCAGCGGCCGCAGGGACAGGACTCTAATAGACCTCAGCAACACCAGTACGACCAGCCCTCTCACTCGAACCAGTATCAGCCGCCGAATCAGTACGGATCGGGCCAACAAGGTTCCTTCCAACAACAAAGCCAGGGTATCAAGGAAATTATCGAAATGATCAGGATGCCGGTCGTTATGGTCAAGATAATGGTCGCTATAATAACCAGGGTGATGATCGCAGGCACGAACAAAGCGACTACCGTCAAGAGACGCAGGGTTATGGGGAGAACAAAAACAGGGGCAGGGGTACCAACAGAATTATGGTCAGAGGCAAGGTGAAGGGTACAACCGTGAGCATGACAACCAAAGGGATCAGCGCCACGACCAAAGTCAGCATTATCGAAGTGATGCCGGTAATTCCCAGGGCCAAGGATACTACGGAGGCCAAGACAACCAACGGGACCAAAGGTATGACCAAGATCGCCGTTATTAGGCCCTGGTCTTTCCCGAGGTACTTTCCCGAAGGAAACCATCTCATTTTTTTGCTTTTTGTTTTCTTTCTCAAGAGAGAGAAAGGGAGAGAGCGTGCTTCCTTTAAAAGGAGCGGAGGAGGCAACAGAAATAAACCAATCAAATAAAATTTGCTGTGGGGTTCATGAGTGATGCGGGCACGTTCCGAGGCCAGCTCATCCCAGATTCGGCATGATCCCGTGCACTATTCACAGAGAAACCGGGAAGGTTCCGTAATATCCCCTTGCACTGCAACTATATATAAGTGAACCCGCCCGTATTTTGATCCGTCCCAAGGAGCCGGTGCGCTCTGGGCATTTCGAAGGATTTATTAGCTTTTCCTGCCAGACGAAAATATCTATGCCTAAAATGGGTGACAGCACCAGGGGCGCGGAGCTACGGGTGAGGCACCATCCCGTCGCGACGTGTCAATGGAAATTGTGACCGAAAGCGTCGAAGAGCTGCAGTTCATGGATCGGGCGGCACTCGAGTCAGCGTCGACAACTCGCAACACATGTCGCCCTTCCCCTCCCCTTCCCCTCTCTCACCGTTGAGATAAGGACAAATGGAAGAACCAGTAGCGCACCAACTAACCTTAAAATCAAGGTCAGAGCTAGGGTCGTCAAGGATGTTGGGGGAAATAGGAGCGAGGGTTTTTGCTGACCAGACCAGGATCGGCGCTGTTGTCTTTTTCTGGCTAGCGGCATATTACTGTGGCACACGGTGGGGATAATCGTATTGCCGATTGCATGCGCTCCCCCTCAGCGAGCTGGTAGTTGGTGGGGGCCGGAAGCTGCCCGAGTTCAACCCGGATCTAAGCCGAGGTTTGGCACACGTCTGTTTTGAGCTGATAGCGTCGGATAATGCACTTCACTGAGCTTTCCTTGTTTGAATCTTCTTGCTACCCTCCATGATTACCCGCCATGGACTGATTGTATCGTTTGGTTTTCTTTTGGACCGGCAATTTTCGAAAACATCGCGGTTGCTGAGAGCTGAGGTCTAGCAGCAACTACATGTCGATGTGCGCGAGGCGCCCTCTCATAAAAGTTGACTCAATCAAGACCTCATTGAACCCCATCAAAACCATTAGCTCCCTGACAAGCCATAATCCTTTGGCACGTGTGTACCTGCCTCCCTTTAGCCCTCCCCCACGTAGAAGCTGAGACTCCCGTCTTCGGCTATCACATGTCTCCAGGAGTAAGCCGACCGGCTACTGGAGCTCAGTTACCCCAAACCTCCGCGCTCTTAGTTCCCCGTCCACGTGCTGAGCCGTTGGGTGTGCCGCCAGTTGGTAGGCAGGTCAAGTCCGCGACTTGAACTCTCGGGCTATCCGATAGTTAAAAGGCGTGGGTGCCATCGATGCAACCATGCGGTCGAGTTTGGCCTTGAACGGTCCCGCTTCCCACGGGGACCCCAGCAGAATTGCCAATCTTGTGCGGAGACGTGTGCGGGGAGCTCACTTGGATCTATCAAAAATAACGAGTCAAAGTGCCGAAAAAGGCACCCGAACAGAGGATAGCGTCTTGATGTTGCGCTAAGAGACATCAGAAGCCAATGGGAGACGTCGCAAACGGAAACAAAGTCCATGTAAGCCTTGGCCATCCACCCACCCCTAAATTACTGCTAGTGGCGGACGACAGAATCAAATCCGGGAAAGGCTATGTTGGGGTAAGAGAGCTTTCCCCGGAAACGACCCGGCGGGGAGGGGAGAATGGGAGCATGTCGGGCAATTTACCACCCCTTCCTGTTTTTGCCAAACTTGGCGATGAACGAAAGGAGCCATGTACGTACTACGAGCCAAGTTATAAATATCATCCTGGCGCGCGAAGGAGTGTTTGGCTTTTCTCGAGTCATCTCGCGCAAGTCAGACAACAGCAGCAGCAGTAACCTCTTGGGAGCAACTTGATCAATTCCTTGACTGCTTGTCGTTGAATCCTACCAGAGTATTCCCAATAACGAGGAAAGATGGCCAACGCATCCAGCGAGAAGCCGGCGGTCGATCATGTCGGGAGCCAGACCGACATCGAGGCCGCCGATGATTCGGGTCTGAGATATGCGGCAGAGAGGGGACAAGCCGCCACCGATAAGTGAGTTTTTCCTCTATTTTCTTTGCGCCTATTGCAACGTTCCAATTGAGCATCATGCTGACGGCGCGGGTTTTCAACAGATATGGCCAGTCACTCGTTACGCTCGATCGAGCGGCGGAACGCCGACTCCGATTGAAGATCGACCTTTACATTATTCCTACCGTCTCCTTGCTCTACCTCTTTTGCTTCATCGATCGCGCCAATATCGGTAAGTCCCCTCTCGGACAATAATCAAATTCTTAAGTTTTTGGAAGCGCTATGCGTCAGCCAAAGAAAGAATGGATGGAGTCATGTGAGCTTGATGCTAATTGCAAATATTTACAGGCAATGCCAAGATTGCCGGCCTCGACAAAGACCTCGGAATGGAGGGCTACGACTATAATATCGTCATCACAATGTTCTACATCTCCTACATCATCTTCGAAATCCCGTCCAACCTCCTCTGCAAATGGATGGGACCCGGCTGGTTCATCCCGTTGGTAACGTTGCTCTTCGGCGTCGCTTCTCTCGGCACCGCGTTCGTCAAGACCATCCCCCAGGCCTCGGCCGTCCGCTTCCTGCTCGGTATCTTTGAAGCTGGCATGATGCCCGGCATCGCTTATTACTTGTCCCGATGGTATCGCCGCTCCGAATTGACGTTCCGCTTGTCCCTCTACATCGTCATGGCCCCCTCGCGGGCGCCTTTGGCGGTCTCCTCGCCTCGGCTATCCTGTCTCTCGAAAGCTTCGCCGGATTGCACCGTTGGCGAATGATCTTTGCCATTGAGGGCATCATCACCATTGGTCTTGCTTTGATCAGCTTCCTCACCCTGACGGATCGCCCCGAGACTGCTCGCTGGCTGAGCCAGGCGGAGAAGGACCTGGCTATTGCCCGCGTCAAGTCTGAGCGTGTTGGCGCGACCGAAGTGCTCGACAAGATGGACAAGACCAAGCTGAAGCGCGGTATCTTCTCGCCTGTGACGTTGAGCACCTCGATTGTCTTCCTGTTCGACAACGTGACCGTGCAAGGTCTCGGTTTCTTCGCCCCCACCATCGTCAAGTCCATCTATTCCGAGAAGACGACGATCCAGCAGCAGCTCTTCACTGTCCCGCCCTACGTTGTTGGTGCCTTCTTCACCCTTCTGTTCCCCTAATCAGCTGGAGGATCGACCGACGACAAATCTTCTTCATCATCTGCGCGCCCATGTGCATGGTTGGCTACTGCATGTTCCTCGCCTCGGAGAACTCTTCGGTCCGCTATGGCGCGACCTTCTTGATCGCGTCCTCTATGTTTGCCCTCGGACCCTTAACAAACGCTCAGGTGGCAGCCAACGTTGTCAGCGATACTGCGCGAAGCGGTGCTATCGGCATGAATGTCATGATGGGCAACATCGGAGGTCTCGTATCCGCGTGGTCTTTCCTTCCCTGGGATGCCCCCAACTATCACATCGGCAACGGCCTAAACTTGGCGACTACGGGCTCCATTCTCATCCTTAGTATCTTCACGCTGTGGTGGATGAAGAAGGACAACGCGAAGAGGGATACGAGGAATATCGATGAGGAACTGAGCGGGTTGACGCAGGCGGAGATCCAGGATCTCGACTGGAAGCACCCCGCTTTCAGGTGGAAGCCTTAGACGGAGTATAATTTGACCTTGAAAGGCTACGACTCGCATCTGCGAGAACGATTAAACAGATGAATGAAATGATTTTGTACTACCAACCCAATCTTGGATAAAATACCGAGCCCCTCCCGTGTGTATGTGTGTCCAAGAAAGTATGCGCCACGCTATGTAATGCTATAAATCGAACCCCTATCCTTCGGGTCCCCAATCACGCTTGGAGAATACCCGTACGAGCCGAAACCTCTTTTCTTTTATTCTCCCATTCCTCTCTCTCCCCAGCATGGAGGGGGATATGTGAAACAGCGCGGCGGAAAGTAACGCCGCGGCTGCGGCTGCGAACCACCAGATCCACTGATCTATTGCGCGTTGTTAGCCTTTCCTTCAGCGTCATAGTGCTTCACCCATGGTAATTGTAGTGTTCTTACCTGACATATCTCGCCGCGCGATACCGTAGCCAAAGCACCTCGCGGGGTTCATCTGGGCGCCAGGGTATCCGGGGACCGTTCCGCTCGTCGCAAAGGTCATGAGGCCGAGAACGCCGCCGGTAAGAAGCGGGGCGAGGCGTGGGCCGAATAGAACCCCCTGCTTAGGATCGAGTCCGACTCCGAAAGAGAGAAAGACGTAGGCGAAGCAAGCAAAGGACTCGTTGAGGAAAACTTGGCCAGACGTGATACTGCCGCTGTCAAAGTAACACCCGCCGCCATGAACCCTGTAATGTTTGTTAGTCTGATGATTCTCTCCCACTGTCGTGGTCGCAAGAACAGCTTGACTAACTCGATGGACCGCTCTCGTCCGTAGACTCCTGTCAGAACACCGCCTGCAATAGCTCCGCCGAGTGCTTGGCCGGCTAGGTAAAGGATACCTAAAAATTCGGTTAGCTAGAGAGGTCTTAGTGACAGAGAATCCCGTGGCCGATACCTCGTGATACAGGACATATTCCCGCTATTATGGCCGAAAAGGTGATGAGAGGGTTTAGGTGTCCGCCGGTCGCAGATGCGGTGGCGTAGACGAAGATCGACAGGAGCGCAATGTTGCCGAAGCCGACGTAGCCGCCGGTTTGCGAAGTGTCGTAGCTGCCGAGCGTCGTGGCAATGTTTCCGGACACGTATACGTAGAACGCCGTCCCGACGGTTTCGAGGATCTAGAACATTTTCAAGTCTGAGCACTGCCCGAGAGGCCTACTTTGGCCTTTGGCTTGCCGTATCGGCGCTGCCCTTGAGACTCACAGTCGCCTTCCACACAAAGGGATCGAGCCAGCCCCCAACAGGTACGCTCGACTCCTGTACCACGGCTGGACGATGATGCAAGCGGGCATGTCGTCCTGGGGGAGGGAGGTGTTGGACCTGTGAAGGACTGAGCAGCTTCCCAGGCCGTCGGTCGCCATCCCGCCATAACCGTACTCGCCCGCCCCCGTACATTTCGATTCCGTGATCGTGTTTGCCATCGCGGTTAAGGCGCGCTTGTCGAAGTGTCTCGATGGTTGTTAGCGGCTTGGCTATCTTGGCGTCGCTTGGCAGGCCAGGGACTGCATATGGGTGTGAGGGGGGATGGGCATCGGGTCGAGTATTATACGACCTCGTCGGGGCCCACCTGGGTTTACGCATTACGGGATCAAAGTATGTAAATTCATTAGGCAAGATATGCTCGCTTGACATGACTGGCGACTACGGGAATTCGGAACGCTGGTACTTCGTAGCTGGACAGGGTAGAAGCGTATAAAAACGCGTTGGGGGACCTTGGATGGGGTAGAGAGCAATTCATTAGCTAAGAGCTTGGAAAAGTCGGCCCACGAGCTTGCAGTTGTGCTCGGAGAAAATTGGGGACGTTTCTTTTTTTTTTCGGGGGCGGAAAGTTGGTACGGATACGGCCTCTCGTGCCCGATTCCCGCACCGTGTAGTCTTCTTGCTCAAGGGCTTGGGTGTCCAGAAGGTATAGAATGAAGGTAGGAAGGGTAAGCTCGGTGCGTTTTAAAGTGTCTTCGTCATGCCTCGATACTTCCAAGTTCTTACTAAACACGTCCTTTGTACGTAGGGCTAGCCACAGAAGCTAGTTTAGCGACGAAGCCAGGATCGTGGTTCGGCTCTGACGGCAACGTTTTGTGAATGGCTGGATCGGGCCTTGAGCACAAGCGGACAAGATACCCCCACAAGGCCACGGAAAAAGGCAAAACGGCAAAGCTGGCGAGTGGATCAGGAGTGGGCGTCGGCGGTTCGGTGTTGCGTAATGGTAAATCAACTTACCTCGGCCCTGGCTAAGTCTGGCTGGGTGTGAAGCATAATGCCAAACGGAACTACGGGTATCCTCTGTAAAAGCCCGAGGCATGCAGCTATCATATACTTTTAACTTGCAGGTTTCTTTGGATGAGCCAAAAAACAAAAACCTTCTATTAGCAAATAGGGGTTGTGGGTTGTATGAATATGATGAGTTACGCTATGTTATGCAGTATAATATTTACATGTAGCCAAGGACGTATATACACGCGCGCATCGCACGCTCGCTGCTGGCTATGTCCAGCTCAAACATTAGCAATTACCTTGAACCCAACCCTTGCAATTCGCGTCATGAATAACGAAGATGCTGCTACGAAAAGAAACAAGCCGGAAAAGAGCTGCACGCCGAGGTATTTCCCTGTAGACTTTAGGATCACGCCAGCGATAGGGGCTCCGCACAGTGAGGCGAGCGCATTGATAAAGTTGGAAGTGCCCAGCCGAGCCCCCATAAAACTCAGGTCCTCCGTGATGGACGCCAACACGACGGCCGGCAAGGAGACGATGCCTCCGGACGTAAAGCCGTACATGACGGCAAACACAATGTTACCCGGACCGGTGTGAACGGCGATCCAGCTAAAGGCCACGAGACTGGCCATGGCAAGCACAATCATCATGGTGTTGATGGGGCCGATCATGCGCACGGCGGGCGAGGGCGCCAAGCGCCCAACGATGGATGCGGCGTTCAGGATAGCCACGAGGTTGAGGGCGATATTACGGTCGGTTAAGCCGTGGCCGAGGGCATACGTCTGCAGGTAGAAGATGGGCGGGAAGAAGCCGAAGTTGCTGCAAAACATGCCGAAGCAGTACACCACGTAGGCGGGTTCACGAAAGGCCTTGGGGTCAAAGGGGAACGAAGCTTGCGCGGTTTCGCGCGGGGCTTCATAACGGCCACGGAGAACGAGCATGTCACGAGGGCGATGAAGCCCATGATGCGGTTTGTCCAGGCAAAGCCCACCTTGTCGACGAGGGCTTGGAAGATGAGGGGGTAGATGACGCCTCCTAAACTGCTGCCGCACACCGTGATGCCGGTGGCGAGGGCCCGCTTCTTGAGGAAGTACTGCGGTAGGATGGACAGCGAGGGCACGACCATGCAGCCGGCTCCTAGGCCGATGCACAGGCCTTGCGAGAGGATGAGCTGCCAGTACTGGGAGGCGAGGCTCGTCATCATGAAGCCCACGGTGATGAACACGGCCCCGACGGCGACGGTGCTCTTGAACCAGCCGCCGTCGAGGAGAGGACCCGAGATGAGGCCTCCGGCAAGAGAAGAAAGGATTGGAGGGAGCCAATCCACGCGATGGCGTCGGGGGTCTTGGAGGCGAGCTGGTTCGACTCGTAGTATGTCTGATAGACTCCAAAAGTATTGACGATGCCCCTAGTTTCTTCGTTAGTAGGGAGAGGGCGCCTTTTGAGAAACAAAACACCGACATCAAAATTCATTTCGGTAGATTACCGACAGAACAAGGTTGGCTCGACTTACCAGGAATTAAAGAATAAAGCAAATGCTCCAGCGACTTGGGTCCAAGCCACTGCGCCACCATCGGGAATGTCGTCCGCGATCACGGCAGGAACCGGGCCAATTTCACTTTGAACGTCACTTTCCACCGGGCTTTCCACGTTGTCGGGATCGGCGCCGGAGGAAACCCAGGCGGGCCGCTTTTCAGGATCGGTCTGCCCCATGGTGAGACAGGCAGAGGTGCTCAAGGTTGAGTTGTCTGCGGTTCGGCTTGCTTTTTAGGTCTCACCAAGGCCATGAGCGTAGCGGGCAATCAATCAATGGCACTGCTCGGAATAGAATCACTATCGTCACGCCCACGCTGTGGCTTGTGGGTTCGCCTGGTGGTGAGTATTACTACCCTAGAAGGACCGCGACGGGCATCTAGTGCTTGATAGAGCTCCTGAATCCTGGGGCGTTTTTTTCTTTTGCGCGACAGTGACTGTTTTTCAACGTCTTCTTTTGCTCCCCTGTTGGTGCTTAGAAATCAGCACGGGGTTTTCTTTTAAGTCATCGAATTTTTTTCTATTTTCTTCTTCTTTGGTTCGGTTGCCGTCCCCTTGCCACACCTTTTGATGGGTGAATGGGACCTTGCCTGTTCCGGCCGGTTGCGGGGAACTTTTCGCTGCACTAAGAAACGGACGGCTCCCTTCCCGGCAGTTCCTGGACCACTCAGCAAACCCAGTAAGCGTCTCATTCTCTCATGTCAACGAAGCTTGAATTAGCTTTGTTCTTTCATGTTCGATCAATTGAACGATTCCCTTCCTCGAGAAGGAAACTTGAACTGCGATGATCTGGCTTTCGCCAGTATCGTGAGAAGACTCCCCAGTTGTTCAAATGTGACCTCGTATGGGTGGGAAGTTTGCGGGCTCCACTCACAGCTGCGGAGGCCTCGAGGTCAAGCTCCATCCTTCTGCAGGCCCCATAATAAAACTTGACATCTTCTGGGAAGTGGAAATCCCCGACCTCGGCGGGACGCGCCCAAGTCCGAGTCCTGGAAGCGCGAAAGCGCGAGCGCCAAGAAAAAGAACAAGAAAAAAAAAAGAACAAAAAGAGTTGTTCCAAGGAACTGTTTCGCCCACCTTTCTTGTGCATAGTTGGCATCTGCTCCCAATCATTCTACTTCCAGAACATCGCCCCATCCCCTTAAATAGTATCTTAGATCGATCCAAGATCTGTGGCGAGTTCAATAATAGCACAAAATTGGTCCAAGTGGGCCCATCAAGTTACAGTGAACTCTTGAGAGAACCAGGGCGAACCTGGCGAGCCAGAACACTACCTCAGCGTAGGGCATTCAATTAACCATTCCCTTAGGATTCCCGCCACCACATCTCCCTAGGTTTTCACAAAGCAATCATGCACCTTGCTATGCCTCATCCACTCATGATCCTCCACCCATCCCCCTTTCACTTGGCATCCTTCAAGACTCTTTCCTATCACGTGATGTTACATGATGCTGCAAGCTAATAAACTTGCAGGCAGCCGTGGCGGCGGAGGGGCGCCATCGTCCCTGCTGAAAATTCGCCGGCTTCCGTGACGTTAATTTGCACTTTCCTTGGTAGGTATTCACTAGAACATGGCTACTATTACGGCACCTTTACCCTACTCGTACCAGGCCCTCCCGGCCAGGCGTTGGTTTCGAGTCCTCAACCTGCATCCCGGGTCACTAGATAGTCCAATATCGTGCGAGCTCGTCAGCACCCCGCTCATCAGTGCTCCGACATACAAAGCCTTGTCGTACGTATGGGGAGACCCGTCTAACAAAATCACTATAACGTGCTCGCAGCGTACCATTCAAGTGACCCGTAGTCTTCACGAAGCTCTGCGACATCTACGCCATGCCAACGAACCCATCACGATTTGGGCTGATGCCATCTGCATCAACCAGTCCGATATGTCGGAAAAGGGACACCAGGTCGATATGATGGGAGATATTTACGAGAGAGCCGGCGAGGTTTTAGTATGGTTCGGAAATGAGCATGCCGACCGTGCTGCGCTTGCCTTTCGGTCCCTGGAGGCAATCAATACGAAGATTACCACGGGGACCGATCGAGAATCGTTCAACCCCGATCGGCCCAACCCGGCACTTGAATATGTGGAGCCCCGTTTAGCGTCTGCCGCAGTGTTAGTCACAGCCACCCGGTCGACCCTACCCTCCATCATCACGGAGGATTGCAAGGCGGCCATCACTCGCTTGTACACCATGCCGTGGTTCACGCGCGTGTGGGTCCTCCAGGAAGTCGGGTTGGCTGCCCGGGCCACGGCATTCTGGGGAGACGAAAGCATAGAGTTCAGTCACATTGCCGAGTTTATTCAGCATGCCCGTATTCACAGTGATCTGCGTGGCAATCTGGGACAGGAGATACTTGGCCTACTCGCTGGCCCTCCCGACCATGCGCTGTGGAATGTCTGGTCGACCTATGATCGTCAGGGTTCTTGGTTGCTCCGGACGCCGGCTCTCAGAGAGTTTTCCGAGGCTCTAGCGAGTCAGACCAAGATCGACTTTGTCCTCGTCTTGGAAGCGTCGAGGTTGTTTGGTGCGACAAATGATTTGGACCACGTTTACGCGTTTCTTGGCCACCCCAAAGCTAAACTCGCTGGACGCAACGAGCCCTTGGTCCAGGCTAACTACTCCATAGGAGTCGACGAGCTTCATCTACTCGTTGCCTCGAGATTAGCTTTGGAGTCCTTCAACTTTCTCGCCCAAGTCCAAGTAACTGCGGACAGTCTCCTACCAGGTACATCCAACGCCTCTTGGATCCCAAAGTGGAATATAAACGTGCCCAATTCACCAAGTGCGTATTGGGAAGCCTGGGATGCCAGTCGTCGCCTCGCAAAACCCAGCCCATACCGGTGCGACGTGACTGGACAACGGCTAGGAGTCACCGCCTCTCTTATTGATTCCGTAGCGGAGCAAACTGAAATCATGTCTCCCAAGGACTTTGAAGAAGGACAGCCTGGGCCAGGAATCTCGTCGCAACCTGCTGGGACCTGGCAACGAAAGGAAACCAGCCGCCATGCCATGGTCCCCGAAGCTACGAGACGTTTGCCGCCACACTGGCGTGCCACTACAGAAACCGCAGCACCCCAGCCGAGGCAGAAGCGGAACTTCTCGTCGAGCAGTTTGTCTGGTTCTGCGCCGTCGCCAATCAAACTTCCACGTGGCCAAAATCATGAGAAAGGACAAATTGTTTCCGTCGGGTTGGACAACCGACCCGCACCTCTTGTTTGGCCGCATGTTTGAGCACCACGCGACCCATCGGCGATTCTTCGTTACTCGGACAGGCATGTGGGGAATGGGCCCCGCTCTCATGGAGCCGGGAGATGTCTGCGCCGTGATACACGGGGCCGATGTGCCATTTGTTCTACGGCCCACCGCCAATGCGGAAGAGTACAAGCTGGTCGGTCAATGTTATATAGCTGGTTGTATGTATGGTGAGGTTCTGGAGATGCGGCAGGATGAAGAGTCTGGACCTCGGACAAAAGAAGTCACCCTCATATAAGGGTGCATCTGTTCTTCCAAATTCTAGGGAGTCAAAGTAGAAACGTCGTTACGATCCGCTACCACTACGGAATGAACCTTTCTCTAATTACTGTACCATCGAAAAGAACGTGTCGTCGCAGAGAGGGGATGGGCGGCACGCGAATCGCGTTGTTCGTTCCTCCGGATCGGCTTTGACGCTCCTCCACGTGACAACGAAAATGGTGACATCGATGTCGATAATGACGAGCACAACGGTAGTCCGGGGAGAAATGGCCGAAGTCTTGAATAAATAGCGCCATGGCTATCAATTTGGGAACAGTACTGAGCATGGTCACTGCTGGGCATCACCTATGTGACGTGAATCATGGTTGTCAAGTCTGTTGCTATTATCGGTGCAGGCGCTGCAGGTATCGTTTAACGCCACCCTGCCCTCCCTCGCTACGCTTGACATTGAATCTTTAAACTCTCTCCCATCTTGTAAGCTAAGTGGATACTAGGCGCCGTAACCGCCGCCGCATTGAAGGCAGAGGGTGCTTCCACAAAATTCGCGTGTTTGAGAGGCGCGAAACGCCCGGTGGAACATGGTTCGTCGTTTGGTTCCGAGACGGGACAAATGTCTTGTACAATGCCGAATATACAATATTAATAGTAGTAACTAGGATTTACGATGCGGACCCGGGTCATGGCCGGGCTCCTCGTCCCGGTGCCTTGCCCCCGGACCTTGACCCGCCTTTGCCCGTGCCCGATGAACTACCTCAGGTCGCCGCGCCCTCCAAGCAAGAAAGATTTTCAAAAACACCCATTTATAGCTCATTAACGTCAGTCATATCCATCAAACCGTATATTTATATATAATTCTAAATAGTTTTTGGCTGACCCTTTTGGTATAGTACAAATGTGCCGGATATTGCCATGTCGTTCTCCGATTCCCGGTTCGCCTACGGGCCGTTTGCGCCACATTGGGTACCGCGCCAGTATATCGAGAACTACTTCTCCATCCATAAAACCGACTCATACTTGGTTCTGAATACTACCGTAGAGAGGTTGACACGGATTCCTCCACTGGTGAGGGATAGTCCAGAGAGATGGAGACTTACGCTTCGCAAAGTTGACACTCTCAGACACGCGGACGTGTGGTGGGAAGAGGAGTATGATGCCGTGGTGTTGGCAAATGGGCACTATTCGATTCCATACGTAAGTTGGCGCTAAAGCACCCTCAAAAGCCGACCCCGCCTTGTCTCTGCCGTCGTTTTTAGTCTAACCCTTCCGGTACCTTAGATTCCCGACGTTGTAGGCTTGGAGGCATACATGAAGACGTTCCCGGGCCGTGTAGTCCACTCCAAAACGTATCGGGAACCCCACATCTACGCCGACAAGAGAGTACTAATTATCGGCAACTCCGCATCCGGACACGATCTTTCGACGGACTTGATTCCGGTAGCCAATTCACCAGTTTACCAGTCTCGCAGGTCCAAGTCAAGATGGGACGGCGATGATCCCCACCTGGGATTGAGTGGAAACCGATTGTCAAAGAATATTTGGCGAGCGGGCGAATTGTTTTTGTCGATGGCTCGTACCTTGACGATATCGATACCGTCATCTACTGTACTGGCTACAAGCCCTCCTTTCCATTTTGGGATACCAGGGAAAATGGCCGTCCAATTTATGATTACGGCTTAGGGAAACTTGTTGACGGGTACCTGCACACATTTTTCCAAGATCTACCGACTCTTGGTATCGTTGGGTTCCCTCGAGTTTTGACCTTTCGGAGTTTCGAATACCAAGCCATCGCGTTAGCCAGACTATTTGCCGGCAGGAATGCCACACCTTTGCCGAGCGTGGACGAGCAAGCAAGGTGGGAGAAGGAGAGGCTGGCCCGCACCCGGCAAGCGAGGAGGAAATTCCACGATATCAGCTGGGAAGATGGGGAAACGTTTGAATACCTGGGGGCGCTTTTCAAACTTGCCGGGCTGGGCACATTGAAGGGCCAGGGAAGGATACCGCCGGCCCTCGGGGAGGACTTGATCTGGGCGGTGGAAAACATTGCTAAATACCCACTCCACGGACGGAATGGTGAACGACGTAGCGAAGAGACACAGGCAATGGAGTCACCTGAAACCTCACCGGGGGATGATTGGGTGGTTGTTGAAGGGGAGTAGCGATCTACAGATCTCGCTAACCTCGGGGACGGCAATGTCACTGGGTGGCCAAGATTGACTTAACTTTGTTCTAATGAATCACCTTTAGTTGCAAAGATTGACTAGATTAGAATAGTGGCCAGCCTTCTAGATATTATCTCTATTTTCTTTTTTCTTTTTGCTCAGTTGGTCTCAATCTTGAGAATATTTACACATATTTCTTTCAGACAATCTGATGGCATCCTCTAAAGTTTGGCTTCCACCGAACCCTTTTGTGGCATCTGCGTCGTATCTACTTCGGACGACGTCGGTTCTTCCTCTGAGTGTTCGGCTTTTCCGTTGCGCTCCAGGAACAGCTGGGCCTCTCTGGAATACTTGCACTTCTTCCGGATCGTGGGTCCAAATTTATGGAATACAAAGGGGAATGGCACACAGGCTAGGGAGAGGAAGGCCGGTATAGAGCTCGCCCAGTGGATGCCGAGGTTTCTGTACATGTACGGCGTGAAGAGGGGGAAGGCCATGGCGAAGAGGGATCGTATGATGACTGTCGATGCGAGGGCCGAGGCCGAGAAGAGCGTGTAGGAATCGACGAGGTAGTTTTTGGCCGAGACGAAGACGAGGGCGAATGCGAATCCGAAAAAGGTACTCGCGGCAATACTCGACATCCAGTGAATGGATGGCGAGTTGGTCCACGCAAACCAAAACAGGCCCACTGGCAAGACGATGGAGCCTACCATCATTGGCAGGAGACGCGCCTCTGGGGGCGGTCTTCCCGTCTCGGCGAGGAGACGGGTGTAGCGAGAATTATCAATCATATTATACACAACTCCGAGGATCAACCCAACCATGAGCCCCAGGAAGGCCAAGCCATTCATCCCTTGGCTCCAGCCACGACCGTGCTGATACACGAATGGATACGCTGCAAAGAGCAGATACAAGGTACCTTTGAAGTGTTAGTAGGCCTCAGGTTGGATATGACAGGCACGCAGAGGGGAGGGAGATTTCAGCGACATACCGTATACGATGGACATGTAAATGGTCAATGCAAGCACGATGGGCTCATGGAAGAGAAGCAGCCAGGGACGGACGAGCGAAACCTTGAGATCGTCCATGAAACTCGGGCGCCCCTTGGAAATGTCAAAGTGGCACACGTACTGCTTCCCCGTCTCCTTGCTCAGCCTTTCAGCTCGCTTTCGGAGGAGCAGCGGCGCAAAGGTCTCCGGCACCAGGGCGGCACACATGACCCAGCACACGGCGCAGAAGACCGCCATGAGGATGAGGACCCACTTCCATCCTCCGGCTTGGCAAGGAATCCGCCCACGATGGGGCCGAGCACGGGGCCGAGGAACGGGGCGATGGCGAACAGGTTGATGGCCATGCCTCGTTGCGCGGCGGGGAAAATGTCGGCAATGACCCCGCCGGTGTTGGTCAGGGGCGGCGCCAAAGGTTCCCGCGAAGAATCGCATGATTAGCATGCTCTGGATGTTGGGCGAGAATATCGCCCCGACGTTGAACAAGGTCATGGCGCCATAGGTGACGAGAAAGATGAGTTGCCTGCCATAGACCTCACTGAATGGGGCCCACAAAATAGGGCCCAGGGCAAAGCCGAGGACATAAAGTGACACGCCGAGAATGGCCATGATGTCGCTGACGTCGAAGGCCTCCTTGATTTGCGGGAGAGCACCAACGTAGCCCGAAGAGACAAGCGAGACTGCCATGGTGCTTATGGAAAGAATAATCACGAGGATCCATCTCTGCATTAGAGGTAGGCTCATGGGATTCCGTGGGTCATTTTCGATCCAGTCTACAACGAACGGGTCCGCCGGGGTCCCAGAACCTTCGTAGTGCCAGTCACGGATCTCCTGCGTGATCAAGCTTTGGTCGATGACGAGTCTCCATCTTGGTATGGATCTCGGCGGGACCTTTGGCGAATTTTCAAGTGGCTCCATGGTGTGATGTTGCTCGAATTGATACTCTCTAGGTCGTCAATAAGCGAACTTGGCTGCTTTAGACAACTTCTTGTGGGGAATGATTGTCCGTTAGGATCGGCTTTGGCTGTAATCGAATTGTAGCGACTCTTGAAGCCAAAGATTCATTATTATACGTCCCAAGATTTCCCCTGAAAGAAGCCAAAAAAAAGAAAAGAAAAAGGTCGCCTACAAATACGGCTTCTTCCCCCGTGATAGATGGTCGTCGGCGTTTCGGGCTTTTCAAAACTGGGAAACTGTGACTGGGATTTCTGCAAATGTTGCCCATCAAAGGTCGTCCACCCAGTGCAGCATCGAGACAGGAGCTCGCCTAATACAGGCTACTCGCCTTCTTCGGTACAGTCGTTCAGGGGAGAACCAAGGCTTGCACCGGGGAGAAGGTGGGTGAGCCAAGGGGGTTTGCCGAAACTCCGCAAGCTAACCCTTTTGTTACCGATGCGCCGAAATGCCGATGGAAAAGAAAATGCCGATCAAATCCGTCCAAGAAAAAAAAGGTGGAAAAGTCAAGCTGGACATATATTCCCGAGGGCGGAATTTCTTGTCACCGAACTGTCAAGTTGGCCCCCGGCGGAGAAAACAGAAAAAAGGAAGGAAAGAAACGCCGGTGATCCCCAGTATTGGGACCTCGCCCGGGAAATCATACTATGGGGTTAAGCAAAGCCTGTGTTCCGTGCCACAGCCGCAAGGTCCGCTGCGATGCCGTAGAGACCGAGCTGCCGTGTTCTCGGTGCATCGAACGGAATTGTACCGAGCGCTGTGTGCGCATTGCCAGGCGATTGAGAACGTAGGGCCATATCGATTTTGAGATCAATTGTGTCACCCTAGCTCGTACTAACAGTCCCCATAGTCGGCGGCAGACGCTCCCGCCCCAGACATTGACGGGATTCCAAACGCCGAGGCAATCTTCAACGACCTCGCCATCGCCGCTATCAACGGCGGCTACCTCCATAGCCTTGCCGGAAACACCAGTATGTTTACCACCCCAACGCAAACCATCTAGACACTGTACACCCATTCTCCCGAACTAATCACATCGTCGAACTACAGCTACTCACCCCCTCTGGCACTTCCGAAACGCCCCATCAGCAGAAGCTACCCGGTGAGAGAGACCAAACGCGTGCACGAGTTGCATCGCCTGTGATTCAAGATGCCCCTGGCCCGGTTTCTTTGAGCAGAGACCTTGTTGAGTATCCGAGCCGCATGCACTACATCACCATCCTGGGAGAGCTTGTCGGGGACAGTCAGATACGCCGCCTTACAAAGGGTCAGGCCCTCGCGGGCCGAGACGACCTCGGCCGCAGAAATGATACCACCAATGACGCTTCACCCTCTGACTTGGATACCATGTTTCTGGAAAGCAAAGGCGCGTTTACTCTACCGGCCAAAGAATTGCGGTGAGTGGCCCCCTTGTCCCCCTCCACAGAGCCCCAGCACCATGTTGTGACTTTTCAGAGGGATGTGTGGGATGAGCGTAGTGGTAACATGCATCTAACGCGTCATGGGAACAACAGCGACGAGCTATTAAAGATATACTTCCAATCGTGCTACCCGTTCGCGCCCGTCTTCGATCGGCCAGATTTCATGCGGTGTTACGAGACGGAGGGAAAAGCAACCTTTATGCTGCATGCGATGCTGGCGTGCGCGGCGCAGTACGCGCCGCTTGATTTGCTCAAGTCGTGCAATTTCCAGAATCGTGTCTCGGCCCAACGTGCTTTTTTCGAGAGAGCCACCCTCTTGTACGATCTGGGTTACGAAAGGAGCCAATTGCGCCTGTTGCAGGGATCGGTCATTCTGGGGACCGTTGCCTTTTCCATGCCGTTGGATAAGGACTTTCGGTATTGGCTTCAGAACGCGGCGCGAATCGCAGTCAACATGGGCCTACACCAGGAGTCAGTCAAACAGGCGTCCCGCCTCTTTCCCTCCCCTCTCAGACACACGTACATTAAGGCCTTACTCCCCGCTTCGACATCATCGCGCATAGACACTGACGTATGTTTTGGTCTTAGAGTCATGGCGGACTATATCGACCGGAAGACACAGAAATTATGTCGAAGGATATGGTGGTCGTTATATGTAAGGTTTTGAGCGATCCCGAACCCCCACGAGGGAAGTCACTAATGTGGAAGGGGCGGTAGATACGTGACATTTCGCTGTCCCTCACCGGCTTGAGGAACATGAGGATGCTCGACAGCACCGAGTGCACGGCTCCCCTCATCTCGGAGTCGGACTGGGAAGACGGCTTTTCCGCATCGGAATCCATGCATGGCTTGCAGCCGATCAAGATGCAGGAAAAACTCTATTTTGTTGAGATTTCGAAATTGGCATTGATTGGTTCGTACGAAGCCTCATGATTCAAGCCGAAACACTTGACTGATAGTCCCCATGCACTGCAGGCGAGCGGTGTCTGTTCTCTCTCAAGGGAAGGCCGGGGATCAGCCCTAGAGACTTGGCGAATGAGTTTCACTCTTGGAGAACAGCCCTGCCAGACACTCTCCGCGTCAATCCTTACCCGCCCGTCGCTTCCGACAACGTCTTACCCATGCTTTTGGCGGCGACTAGTTACCGGTTCGAGTGCTTATATTACCGTACACTGCTCAAAAGTCCCCGGCGTACGAGATGGAAAACAACGATTCTTGGATCTCGCAGCTCCTGCAGACTGCCATGTTTGAGCTCGATACTCTGGTGGGAAGGGCGTTGATCGATGATATGGCCAAGATTCTTCCGTTGACCTTGTACGTACCCACTCCCCCGTCCCCACTACTCGACCATTACTGATGCATCTGCGATCTGTACACAGCTCTGGGTGTCTCTTCACGGTTCTCGCCATTCGGCTAGAGTCGAGTCTGCAGCGATCAATCTCGTACATAAATGCATCCATGACTCATGAGTTTATCCGGAGAAGCGTCCTGTTTCTGAGAGAAGTCCAGGACCTTCCGACAGTAGACAGAACATTGGTCTTGTTTGAGCGCGTCCTCGTAAAGAGAGGTCTATCTTCGCTACTCAACTCCCTATCAAGTACAGACTCTACCGCCACCGAGCCCCAGATACGGGGCCTTCACCCCAACACAGATGTCCCCCGCGCATGCGACAGCCCTACCTGATCCACCTCACGAACTGCCCGTGCTTGATCCCCTCGAGGATTCGACGATGAATTTCGAGGATTTCCTCGGCTTCGATTTCTTCAATCACATCGGCGTGTCTGGCCTATAAAAGACCCCACGTACCCACTAGATTCCCCAAAACAAAGCTATCGGGCTGCCTCGCCGTTATCTAGAAGCGAAGGAGACGGTGTCTGTGGCCCACTACTGGTCGCCGTAAAACACCATCGTCCTAATCTCAATGCTTTCCCTCCATGGCTCATCGACGTGCCGCGGATTCTGAAACGCAGAATGAGGAGCGCGGCGGGCGACATCTTCTCGAGAGTCAAAGCATTTGATGAGGAGCACCTCATCTGGTTGCTGCCCGTATTTGAAATACCATCGATGCGAAGGCGAATGCTTCACCGTCCACGATTCTCGTTCATGGTCCTCGAATATGATTCGGGCGGGTATCAGATCCGCCTCGGCCACCGTGGTGGCGTCGGCAACGGCTAGTGGGTCTTTGTAGACCGGTTTGATCGGTCTCCAAGCCTGAAAGACGCGCGAGAAGTTAGCAAAAAAGGGATTGAGGACTAGAGAACTCTCGCCGGTTTCCGACATACATTGATAATCTGCCACCGACCCGCGAGAAGTGTATCCGCCTCGTCGGGAAGATACCACCGTAGGTCGTACTCGGCACCCTTGTACGACTGGTCTACGTGGGCACGAAGGATGGGGCCGCGCAGCGACTGATTGCCGGCGCCCAGGCTATGCCAGTTCGTAGGCCCATGCCTCGTCTTATGATCGAATATAAGTACACGCGAAGCACCAGTCCTTTAGATAAATTAGCGGTGGTCTAAAGGCAAACTTCGTACCGCAAGATTCACACCCGCACCGCCGATTGAACTCACACATTTTTTATCAGCTGCTCCATCTCGGCGTAATACGATAGCTTCACTTCAGAGTCATTTTGATAGCCCTCCTGCCGAGCCTGCGATTCGTCTCTGTGGACGACGAGCTGAAAGCCGTGGGTATCCAACGCGAATTCCTGCTCCTTGTCGGTGATGTCTGTGACGGTGACGGGGGAGGCCACCATGGCCCTTTTGTTAGTTACCGTGGTCCTGTCAAGATAAGCGGCCAGAGCATTAGCGAGAAGCAGGTGGAAACGGAGCGCATGGAAATTATTTTGAGTGGCCCATACGATTTGACCACGACGGGCTCAGGCGCAGAACCATCGCCAGGATCATCGTAGTAGTTGATTGATGTCGCGACATCATTCTGTCGCGGTTCGCACTCGGGTGATGGTGCTTCGTCTTCCTTGAGCCGAGGATCTGTTGCTACAATAGTAGTAGATGTAGGAGTAGTTGTGGTTGTAGTAGTCGCAGTCATGATGAATTATCGCCAGCGACAGTCCCCTTTCAGCCTGCAGTATCTACGAGGTGGAAGGCGTGTATGCGTATTCCAACACGTCGGCATCGAGAAAGGCGTCATCTTCCCGCGCAAACTCCTGTCGCACGTCACGAACCAACCCTCCCTCCCTCCCCCTTCCCCTCCCCGCCGTGCCACATCGCGCCCAGCCTGAATTGAAATTTCATGCTCAACCCCACATGCAGCCATCCCAACCCCGCACCTGTCATTGCTCGTGTCCCGGTGCCGGCCGTGGGGTTACGTTGTCCCGCTCCGCGCCCTCCGGGGAACGGTGCCATCACAAAAGAACCCCTGAAAAAGGAAAATCTGCACCCACCCAGGTGTCTCGCCTCGGGCTAATTTTCTGGCGAGAATATAGCATCCGAACCACGAGAAAAGCCCAAGGGTGTGTGGAGCGCGGACAGGGTGTGGACGTCCGCCTTACCCTGCGACGACCGTGTTGCCCCAGATCCTACTGCGCAAACCAGCGTTATCTGCTATATGATCACCTGCATGAACAATCTATCAGATCTCCGCGACCCAAGTTCCAGAAATGAGCTAGTCGATTAGCCGTATTCCACGAAAATACTTGCTCAGCCGAAAATCAAAATCAAGCCAAAAAGTTGGCAGAACTTCCCACAAAGGACGGAGCGCTCAACGGCGAAACAAATTACGGCTGAAAGAGACCGGCCAGTCAACCCCCGCAAATGACAACGACAATGGCAATGACGCTCTCGGCATTGGCCCCTCCTTCGTTGGCCGACAAGTGGAGATGGCAGGGCGGGGATCCTCGCGCGTGGAAACCGATTTAAACTCTTCGGCACTTAATTCCTGCAGAGCGCTAAACCTCAATGGGGAACCGGGGTGACAGACAAGCAGAACAGGCGACGCGGAGCTCCCTCCCTCAATTGATTGATCGTAGCCAGCCGTTGGTCTGCTGCACGTTGTCTCTGCGCACTTCGGGCTTGGACACACAACGTCGCAGTACGTGTTCATGTGCGCTGCTCTCGAGCACGCGAATGTGGGAAAAAAGGAGAAACAAAAAGGTCGCTCACCAGGGAGGCGCAGATCCGAGGACAGATATAGATGCACCGTCCTGCTCCGCGGTCGTTTCCCTCCGCAGGGACGCTGCGTTACATGTCTTTTTGGTTCGCCGCCAAGGGAATCTTGAAACGGACAAATCATATGGAATACGTAATTCGGCGTCCGAGATTGTGGGCTGCTGATCAAGAAAACTCGCTCACGCCTTTTGCCGTGTCCCAGAGAGAATGGGGGAGGCCATACCGTTCACCATCGCCAGGAGTCGCCACCCCCACAGGATTGACCTTATGCTTGCGAGGTAACCCAGACATCTGCCGGTAGACACCGAGAGAGGCATAGAGGGAGGGAGCTTACGAATCCCACTGCTGAAGGTGCATATGCATTTCTCCTCCTCCTTGATCTCTCCCTCCGCCGGACCTCCTACAGCGGCTAGGGATGTCCTCAAATTGATGGGTTCCCGTGTAGGACCTTGACAGCGGTTGGCCAATGAAGGGTCCAGTCCTCAAAGGGGACCGGCGAAGACACGGAGCGTGGGGAATGGGAAGGAGGGGCTTGGAAGAGGGGTAAGCTGTGACATGGAATGGCGATGACGGATAGATTGGACACATTGCAAGTCTCCGCGGGGATCCAATACCTCAACCTACGCTACGATGTCGGGGCCGGCGGGTATATATAACAAAGAAACCTCTAGAGGCCCATGGGGACCAGCCACTTCCCTCCCCTTCCTACAGATAGCCCGTGACACTTTGACAGTGTAACTCCATTGACCAAACCCTTTTCGAGAAAGAAAAACCCACCCAAACCGCAAACATGACTGCCGACATCCTCCACCACGTCACCTGGAACGGCGAGCAGGTTCCAGTCTACGACATGGACACCATCGACTTTGGCAAGGTGATCTCGTCGGAGCCGGCCGAGCTCAGAGGCTGGTCAAGTGCTGCCAGGAGAAGGGATACTTCTATCTCGACCTCAAGGGTATCGACGGAAAGAGGGTGCTCGAAGACCAAAGTCTACGCTGGACGTCATGTACAGGTTCTTCGACCAGCCCGTCGAGGCCAAGAACCAGTTTGGCCTGGTCTCTCCCCATCTCGGGTAAGGTTTACTCTCCATAGATGCGTGCATTCATACGATGGGTCGACGCTGACGGGTTACGCAGTTATGAGCCCATCGGCTCCCGAAACGGTGTCCTCAAGGACACTCGTGATGGCTACGAGATGATCAAGGTCAGTTCACACCCTTCAACGCCCCTATTACCCCTGCAAGGATTCTAACCTACCTCGTTCGTTCCAGGTCTCGAGGGACGAGATCCAAAAGGCCCTCCCTCACGTCCCCGACGTGCTCAAGGAGAGCGCGGACCTCAAGGCCCTGGAGAACGCCATCGCCAGCTGCAACATCGTTTCCAAGGCCGTCCTCACCGGTCTGTCCACCGCCCTCGGCCTCACCGGCGAGGAGAGGTTCGAGAACAGGCACCGCAACGAGCGCCCCTCCACCACCACCCTCGCCATGATGCACTACATCCCCGCCAACCCTTCCCAGGACAAGCACGTCGGCCACCAGAAGCACACCGACATCAGCTCCCTCACCCTGCTCTTCGCCGAGCAGTGGGGTCTCCAGATCCGCCCGCCCGGCACCCGCCAGTTCGGTTTCGTGCCCCCAAGCCCGGCAGCGTGGTCGTCAACGTCGGCGACTCCTGCGCTTCGCCAGCAACCACACCATGAAGGCCTGCATCCACAGGGTCGTGCCCTACGACCACACCGAGCACCGCTACTCCATCGCCTACTTCCTCAGGGCCGAGAACGACACCATGTTCACGGACAGCGAGGGTCGGTGGATCTCCGCTGGACAGTGGCACGACGAGAAGTTCATGGCCTTCAAGGCCGCGCCTGAAATCCAGGCCCTCGCTCCCAAGTCGATGCTCTTTGGTGGCATGGACGAGGATGAGGTCCCCGCGGTGGCGGTCCCTGCCGAGCCGGTTCAGGAGGCTTCGAACCCCGTCATGGCTGCCGCTTAATTGAAACATCCATGTATATAAGCGCTTAGGGAGGCCCCGGTCCTGTATTTGAGCACACCGCAATTGCAAACTACGAATAGCTGTATCGCAAATCTTCCTCATAAGTCCGTTTTGTGACTTGTCCTCAAATGTGATTAGCCCTGTTTCTATCTTTGGGGTAGTGAAGGATGTAATTTCCTAAGTATAGCTGCTTCCGTGGCCTCTATCAAAAATAGCAAAAAGGTTACTCATGATCTTTTGCTCAATGTGCCAAGATTGGTGATTAACTAGAGAGTAATGTTATCCCGGTTCCATCCCCCACGGCCCGTATCCTACTATTCGTCTCAAAAGGGTTACCCTGATGGATGACAAAATGCTCTTTCAATCGGGCACCGGCAACCCCAACAGCTCGTAGACGTTTCGGCTCACCAAGTCGAAGGCACCGGTTTCGTTGAGCCGGCCCTCGCCGTTATTGAAAGCGACACTGGCCAAAACGCCGAGGTCTCTCACGACCCAGTCCTCTTCTAGACCGAGGGCCGTCGTCACGCCCGCACGGAGCAGCACATCCACCGCCGTGTGTTCCGTCAGCGGCGCGCCCGTCAAGGCCCTTCTCTGATCCCAAGAGAGGGCATAAGATTGCATCGGTGCCAGCACGACGCCGACCCCGCAGCTGCGAGTTTATCGGCTACGAGGTGCGCTTCGGCGCCGCCGATAATGGTCAAGCGAAGCTTCGAATCGCGCCCCAGCCGGGCGATGGCCGCCTCCACGTCAGCCTTTACCGTCAGAAGAGAGGCAATGATATCGGCGCTATGTGCGGTGATTGCGAGGGCCAAGTCGCCAATCACGACCCGGCGCAGAAACGCACCCTCCGACTTTCGCTCCGAGCGGTTCGAGCTCTGCTCACCCATCGCATCTACGGCGTCCAGTAGTTTGTCTCTTAGAACGGATATGGCAGCCGACATGGACGGCGTGCTCCCCACGCGCTTGGCGGACAGGTCCAGGGTATAGTGAACCGCGGCATCCCGGTGAATCACAGCGCCTTGGTCGAGCTGGGTCACCGCCCCCGTGAGAAACTCAACGCTAGTCCCATGATGGGTCCCAGGCCCGATAAATCTCGGCGCGGAAATGGCGCGCGTTACTCCATACCGGCCGGCTACCTGCAGCTTGGTTGTGTTGAGGGCTAATCCATCGACACCTCGGCTAAAGATGGTGCCGTCCGCGCCGTTGTCGGTCACGCCCTCCGACTCGATTTCATTGAGGCCGAGCCCAGAGCCAAAGGCCGTGAACGCGGCGGTAAGATGGCCGTCCGGAATGGAAATGACGCATCCTTCACAGAGAGCAGCGGCTTCAAGCTCAGCATGACACTGGCCAATGCAGGTAATTATGCCTCCCGACACGGCGATATTGAACTTTTGGTTGCCAGCAGCAGCAGCACGTTCGCCATCAACCACCCATGCAGCCGTCATCCCGGTGAACACGAGGTCGTTTCCGAGACGCGAAATAGCGGGTATGGTTTCAATCAATTGGTCAGGGGCCGATTTAGACGTTTAACCGGTTTCTCAAGTTCCACGGGGTTTTCGTACTGGGCGACGCCGTCGATCCACACTTGCACCGGGCTAGCCCCGAGACTAAGCGGATCGCTGTCCCAAACCACAACATCGGCGTCGAAGCCAGGCTTGACCTTTCCCAGCCGGCTACCGAGCCCTAGGCGCTCCGCGGGCGCCGTCGTAACGGATGCGAGGGCTACGTGGTACGGGAGCCCGTAGCGGTGTGCTTTCGCAGCCTCTAGGATGAGGTGCTGCGCGTTGATGACTGGGTTATCGCTCACGTAAATTGGCGTCAGACCCTGCTCGTACAGAATCTTTCCAGCGTATTCGGAGCCGATGTAGGCTTCTGCCTTGTACCACATGTTATCCGCAAAAAGGGCCAAAGCCGGGGGTGTCTCCCCATGCCCGCTTTAAGATCTGTAGAGCCACGTCACCAGTGTTAGAAAGTGTAAAATTAAGCTTCTGTTCTTTTTCCCCCATTTCGAGGGGGCACTTTGGGCTTTTCTCACCTCGGGAACCAAGAAGGCTTGATGGGCATGGTGAAAGGCCCTGACTGGAAACCGAAACTCGTTCGAATGGTCAACAAAGGCCTCCAAATCGTTGATCGTGTAGCAGTGCGTATTGACGTGTACGTGACCTCTCAACACGGCAATCAGGCCCTCCCACTCCAACTCGACAGGGAGATAGGTCTCGACGTTCCCCAAGCCGAGCCGCGCCGCCGCGCACCACTCATCCTGCCGCCTCATGAGCGCCGCAGCGCGTTCAAACGCGCGCCGAAACTCCCAACTCTCGCCGAGACGGCTCGTGGGACCCCGCTCCCCGGCTTTGCCGTGCACGTGCTTGGAGTTTTCGCCGCACGCCATCTTCATGTACCTCAAGCGCGGCCGGGGTCGGCCAGCATGTCCTGCACGCTCGTCTCGTTGCGGCCGTCTGTGGCGCCGACGGCGTGCTTGACGACGTAGGCCTCACCGCCAATGTTGTTACTGGAGCCAGGGAGGACGAGGGAGGTGGTAACGCCGCCGGATTTGATGACTTGGATTTGGCGATCGGTGGGTTGGAATCCGTCGATGGCGCGCACGTAGGGGTGATGTCGGAGGAAAGCTCGCTCGTGTCATCGTTGGAGTGAATCGTCGGCAGGGAGTGGACGCCAACGTGACTGTGCATGTCGATGATTCCACTGGTGAGAGGCCGGCCTTTAGCATCGTACACTAGGGTATCCTTGGGTAGAGAGTCGAGAGGGATTCGCTCTTCGAGCCTCTTGATCAGTCCATGTTGCAGATAGACATCTGCCTGCACCCAAGAATAGACCCCTTTGTCTCCGCGAGCGCTCGTGTCCAGTCCCCCGGTTCTCCAGTCCAGACAGTGGCATTGATGATGAGAGTCGGCGGCTTCCCGTCCACATAGCGCGCACTCTTCTCTCGGCCAAGTCCGATGGGGTCCGTCGGCTTCGTATGCAATTTTGTGCAGGTCTCCAGATCTTCCTCAAGCCTCGCAATAAACAGACCGTGCGCAGTGATATCTGGGCTCCGGCTACTAGAGGTTTCCGTATACAATCTCCACTGTACATACGAGATGAGAAGAAGGCACGCCAGGCCAAGGGCGCGCAGCTCGCGGGAACGCCGTCGTGGACGCCTTCTAAGGGGCCTCAGCTCCTCGAGCGACATGAAGCGTGAAGGGGCAGGGTGGTTCTTCATCGTGGGCTCATATACGGCTAGTGGCCCTATGTGTGGGTCAATGGAATGGAAGAGCGGCCTGACCAGGGATCGAATTCGCGCATGGGGGACCGATCGTTTTTTTCTCCGTTCTGCGAAGTCCTTTTCTTCAGAATTGGGTAAAGCTAGCCGCCGCCAAAAATACCGAGTCGCGCGTGAACCAGCACGTTTTCAGCAGGCCAGCAAGAGTAAGCGTGTGCCGTTCTGGGGGTTGGTTGCAGCGGAGAAAGAAACCCTGAGGGCTTGTGCCAAGTCAACTTCCCCGCCCACCCAAACTTCTTGTCCCCGTTTCGTCGACAAGCGACGTTGCATTTCGCGCGCCATCCAGCTTTTAGCTGCGGCATCAACCGGATAAAGCCCCCCACCCCTGAGCTAAATTTCTCGATGGCCTGCGATTTACCCTGCCTGATAGCATGCTGGATATGCGACACTTGGGATCAGTCTTGCTCTGCAGGGCATTGGAAGAATTCCCGTGTTCGATTGGCCCACCATTACCATGCATTTAGTCTTGCCTAGCATCTCTTAGACTTACACGGGAGACAGCGCAGATAGTATGAAATGGATTGGATAAAAAGAAATCGTAATATAGAATGACAACCCGAGTGTGCGCCATGATGACTTGGGCCTCCAAAGAAGTACATCTTTTGTTTCAAATGCTGTTGGTACACTTCATATAACGTCGTTAAACTCTTGCCACTCCCTTAATCGTCATCGTCGCTATCACTATCATCACCTCCGAATCTTCCTCCCCGTTACCGCCATTCCGGCCCTGTCCACCCCGGGTAACGCCGCCTCCTCTGCCCTCATCGCCCGAATCGTCATCGTCATCATCGTCATCATCCCCGCGTCGGGCCGGATCGGCACAGCAGCGTTGGACTGCGGAAGCGGGGCGCCAGCAAGCGCTACCCACGATTCGAACTCGGCGCTCCTAGCACCACCGAGGTTGGCGTCAAAGTCGCCAAAGCCGCTATCATGGAAGTCGAGAATACCGTTGCTCGAAGCGGCATTGCGCACCGGAATCGACGAGAGCGCCCACCCCATCTCAGCTTGACCGGAAGTGCCCGCAGCACCTAGGCCGAGGAGGCATCCAAGCATCCCTCGCAGAGGAAGGTAAAGGTAAGAAACGTGTTGTTCACCTGCGTCCCGGACGCGATGGGGCGGACGGCAAAGGTTCCAGACACTTCGGGGGATTGTCGTCTTCGTTGAACGCTTGCCGGAAGGAAGACACGATGTTGGTGCCGTCAGACCAGACAGCCATCAACAGGGGGCCCTCCATGTCGCCCGTGAGCGAGAAGCCCCCACCCGTTTCCGTTAACAAGAGGAAACGAAAGTTGGCCGATGAACGAGTCGGTTGGGTCGGTGGGTAACGCCACGCCAAATCAAAGTTTGTCCGCGCTCCGAAGAAGCGCTGGAAGACGATGCCGGTGTTGGCATCTGTGAAGGAGGATGTCTGGGCGGCCACGATGGGGGCAAGCGTCGCCAGGATTGTGGCGTGGAGGACGGCCTGGAAGAGGGTTCGTAATCTGGTCATCTTGAGTGGATGATGGAAGACTGTGAGGAGGTAGGAAAATATGGTTTAGAAAGGTGAAGCTAAGAGTGGAGGAGAGGATGAACTCCGGTCTTTATGAATACGCTGATGCACACTGAAGATCGTGAGCTGATGAGCATGATCTATATTCGATGTAGATCGAGGGACTCGCGAGACTTTATACATTAACAGGCCGAGGATGGCGATTCGCCAACTTGGTATTTTCTCCATATGGAGTTTCTCCCATCTTTCCCATGGGCGTTCTAAAAGTGCCATGCTCAAACACGCCAAGGACAACTTCACCAATGCGTGGGTGGTGCAGCATGGCCGCCGTTGCTTTTCTTAGCCGAACAAAAAGTCCGCCCGCGCCAAAAATTAGTTCTGGAATCCAGGTTAGGAGTCAAAATCATAAGGCTTGGGAGCGGAGAGCCCCCAGCTCGGGCGTCTGGTAATTGATGCTCTTCGTAAGGCTAAGTGTGCTTGGCGACCCCTGCGCCTGGGATCGCCCCTGGGTTGACAGTCGCTGACCTCACTTGGCAAAGATATTTAGCTAGACTAGCCGAGACACGAGGGAACTGAAAGCAATGCGATCCGAGCGGGTGGTCTTTCTTCAGCATTCGGCAGCTCTTAGCCGTGGGGACAGTCACTAATGTGGTGGAGATGGTTGGTGGAAGCGGCCCCGTCCTAAGATCCTGAAACGTTTCTATTTTAATCTTGCAGGGGGCTCTCGACCTTGACAGCTCAAAAGGGTTCTGGAGTGTGCCCCTCGGGCGTCATTTCGAGAAAACATGACCAAAAACAAAGAAAAAACGCTCGGCAAAGGCAAGTAACCTTGTTTGAGCTGGACGTTTGTCTAAACCAAGCAGAATTAAGGGTTCGCTGATTGGCGCCCTCGATCGTCACCCAACTTGCGATGACGCTTAAACTTTCCAGCATTTTGCGCGGGCAAGCGAAGCCGCACCCACGCTTCTGGAACTTCTATTTCTTTTCCCTTTGACCCCCTCAGCTCTCTTGTTGGTATCGGCACACTTTTGTCTTGGCATCTCCTCCAGGAGGCGTCCCATGAGGCCTCACCTCACCATTCTCACCGTCGGGCGAGTTCCTGCAACCTCATTTGGCACCCATTCTCGGCTCAGTCGGAACCAACGACCTCAACCCCCAAAATCCTTCAGCGATAAACGTAAAAGAAACGCAACCAGAGCAAGAAAAGTGGGAAAAGGTAAAAACAAAGATAAAATTAGAGGACGCTAAAAATGTGGAATCATGCCTTTTGCACTGCAACGCATGGGCGAGAATCCTATGTAAGCAATTTCTTCAGGTAAGTCGTGCAGGGCCAACTCGGCCGAGACGGCAAAGGTCCAGGCTTTCACACACTTTGCACAAGTAACATTTTCCGAAGTTATCAACGGGTGCATGGACTCCTGCTTGACTAGCTGCCGGAACCCGAGAAGCATCTCATACTCTATGGCAGGCACCTAAGAAAAGGCCAATCCAACATCCTCCGTCGTTATGATGTGGAAGGGGGCTTGGAGTCACGCGCATAGTAGCCACACACCTGCACTCGCGCCCTCCTTGGCAGGTTTCCGGGCAAACCTCACAAACCCTCACCTCTGCCGCCTTGTCCGAGGCAAAATCACCGCTAGCCGCTTGGCCATGAGTAAAGCAGAAAAAACTGATACCAACTGGGAGGGTAAAAAAGCACGAAGGGCGAGCACTTATCCAAGGTAATTTCCCAGAGGCTACTCATTAAGCGGCCCAGACGGCGCAGATTTGAATTCAATCGCTTCAATGCATGTGGTTTGGTATCATTAGACAATCATCATGAAGGGCCAATACAGTCTTGCTGACTTTGCCCGTTTGGTTATCCCGCTCATCCATCCAAGACCTCCTGCTGGAACCATGGCCAGTGCACATCTTCTACCCATCGGGAAATTCTCTGAAGGCCTGCTACTACCTTATATATTCCGAGCACATCTTGCGTAGAGCCAAATCCATGCTCGACCCAAAGGACCTAGAGATCCAAATTGTCAGTTCAGCCCTGTTTTATCACTTTAGCAAAGAGCTTTAGGGATACGAACCGTTTTCTTTCCTTCCCGAGTTGTCGCCGCAAGCTTCCATTCATGGCCGTGGACTATCAGCGCTGGCAAAAATGGAAGGCGTTCGAGGGCCTCCGCCACCTTGTGCTCGACACCCCCGACTCCCTGCGCACCCGAAGCGGTGACACTCCTCGCCACGCGCTGAGTGACCAAGGCCTCTAGCATATTCCACTGTGCCGCCTGCCAGACCCCAATTTGCAACTCGGCCTGATCCAGGGCGGCATTGGCGCGCTTCGTTTCGATGCTCACCGCGATGGGCGTCTTGTTGACGGCCTCTAGGTCCGTAATGTTAATAGAGTGCAGCGGTAAGCTTCGCCGTAGCGTACTAATCTGGCGCGAGGATTCGGGGGCGGTGGAGTAGGACGGGTCCACGTAGATGCAGAAGTCGACCTTCTTTCCAGATGCCGAGCACGGGACGTATTCCTTGATAATTCCCGCCGTGGAACTATGCGTTGAGTTAGAAACACATTGGAGGGTCCATAACTTGGGGACTGCGAGGTGGAGGGGCCGATAATACGATGTGGCATTTATAGGGATCCATTGCTTACCATTCATCAAACCCGACAAGCTGTGGTTTCCGACGGGCCCCGCCATAGACGGCGAGAGAAAGAAGGGGAAGTGAACCGCACAATTCCAAGCATGCTCGTGGGCACGCACTCTGTAACAATGGGCTGCTGCCTCTAATATGTCTAATACGCGGTCGATATCGGGGTCATGCCTATTTTATCACGCTCCTCCGACGTGAACATATGCGGAAATAGCGGAGGTATCGACGGGTTGAACTTTGCTTCTTGTTCGATCGACTCCTAAGATCTTGCGTTAGTAGGCTAGCATGTTTTTAAGTGGGGAAGTGCCTGCAGTGGTTCTAGAAAAGAACATTGCGGCCATTGGCAGCCGCCGGCCGAGGTCACGCACCTTTCTACCCTCCGAAATCACGCCCACCGCATTGGCGACCATATCCATCTCCGTCAACATCTGCAAAGATGCGGCGGCAACTCCCTACCGCGCCGCAACGGCCGCACCTCCACACCATCATCCCTCAAAGCTAAACCCGTCAGCTTTTTCCGCGGCGATGACGCGCGCGAGTGCTGCGACGTCGACTGCGAGTTCCGCGAGGAAACGGACGACGTCGCCGTCGAATCCCGCGCCCGATCTAGGGAGACGGGCGCGACCCGCTGCGAGAGTGAAGCCCGCGGCGTTTCATCGGTGGCGGAAAATTCGGCAGACTCGTCGCGTCGCTCGGGGCCGGGAGAAACGAGGCCTCGTCTCCTCTTAGGCGGGGGCGTCGAGACGTCCTGGTCGTCGCGCATGCGTTTGTTCGCCGGGGGAAGACGTGAGAGGGGGCGATAAAGGGGCAGATACGGGTGCTTGGTCGTGGTTGTGGTCGTGGTCTTCAGAGATGGCGTCGTCCGGACGAGGGCTTACGGCTCGCTTCTCGTGGATTGATGGGGCGTCGGTTGGAAGAAGCGGGACTTGCGCCAGCCAGGCAAGGACGCAAGGCGATGGTGAGGGCGAGAAGGAAGGCGTCGCTAGCGGGGTAGTAATGTGATTGAAGTCGTGAGATCCGAAATTCTTCATTGTATTCGCTTCCCTACTAGCATGACGGAAGAAGGGAGAAAAATCAGGGAGCTTTTTCTGGCAAGTCGTTTGAACTGTGGTCGAACACGCTCGTCTTCGTCATCGCGAGAAAGCTGTGTTTACTTTCCTTTTTCGATCGAAACGATTATTTTCCAGGGTTCTTCCGGGACAGCACAGCTTTGGATGGCGACGTGGTTGTCTAGCCAACATACTACCAGAAAAATGGGTCAACTACCCTTAAAAACGTCACCACATAGACATGGAATTGTCTTGAATATAATAATTAAAGAATGATGAGAGTGAAATTCCGTTTCTCCGATCTACGAATTTGATGTGAACATTACGTTACCACTGGTAGCTCCACCTTCTTATTCAGAAGTTGAAAATAGGCAAAGAAAAAGGATTACCCTGCGAACAGAAAGGCAAAAAAGCAAAAAGAAGAGTGGACACACCAGGAATCGAACCAGGGACCGCCTCTATGCTAAAGAGGAATTATACCACTAAACCATGCGCCCATATGAGAGGTTATGTGCTCTGTCTTTAACAATAATTACATAGTTTTCTAAGCGGACGTCTGGCTTTTCGCCAAGCCTTCACACGACCCAGCATTTACACATCCTGGCGCAGATCCTCGCTGCAGCCGATCAAGTAAGCCATTCTTATTCACACAAGAAGAATTCGCAGTCATGAAGGAATTCGAAAATAGAGGCATATATTATGATGCATTACTTTAATCTTGAAAATTAGATTACTGAGTATTAGACATTAAAAATGTTACGGCTTGAACCCCCGTTCTTGTCCTCCACAACCCTTGCGGGTCGACCTGCGCAGCGACACTCTGTGCTAGGCTTCGCTGCGCCGGTCGAAGGCGGCCAAAGATGTCCTGCCTGTAATAACCGTCATTCATAAACAAGGGCAGGTACGCTTCCGGTAGCTTCCCTTTCCTTGGAATTGCTGGACCAACTTCCGGAACCCGTCATAGGTTTCCACCATAGCCCTGTCCATCTTGTTCCTATTCAGCGTGAGGAGGTAGCTGTAATTGAGCTCGATGATGATTCGGTCCACGTCGTCATCCATATCCATAATATCACCACCCTTGGCCCGGGCAATACGTGCCATGCGCTTGGGGAAGGGCTGGTAGGCGACATTGGCGATCACGCCAGGTACTAGACTCACGCTGCTTGCCACGCTACGCCAATGGCTGTGGAACGCCCCCATGACTTCGGCTTCGTTTTGAGAGCTTGGAAGCGGCATCGTCTCCGTTCCGATACTGTAGACGCTCCCTTTCACGACGCCGACATTATTGGCAGACAGGAGAGAAGCGTACGATTGCGTCTTGCAGGTGTTGGTCAAGGTCCCCACAGCGGTGAAGTTGGCAAATACCCAGTCGGGCGGCGATGGCCCGTCATAGAACGCGAACATGACCCAGACATCGACCAAGCCGATAACTTTGACGGACGTCAGAATGAGCGCGGCCTTGTCGTCGTCGCAGTACTCGGTGAAGTCGCGGACCGCCTTGAGAAGGGCAGCAGCCTTCTTCGTGCTATCCGTGAAAACCATGGTCCCTCCCCAAATTTGCCCCTGGGGGTACGCCTGGAGCAGGAAAGAGGTGACGATGCCGAAGTTGTTGCCGCCGCCGCGAAGGGCCGCGAAGAGGTCCGTGTTCTGGGTCTTGGAGGCCGTCACGGCAGTGCCGTTGGCCAGCACGATTTCGTATTCGAGAACCGAGTTCGCGGCCCATCCATACTGGGCGCTGAGGAAGCTGAGACCACCTATCGGATAACACCAATGTGTGCGGTTAGCCAGGATATTCCCTTGACGAAAATAGAGCGGGGATCTCTCCTTACCTCCAAGAAGAAAGCCTCCTACACCCACATTGCCGATACGGCCACCAACCGCGGTAAATCCCGTGCCGTCGAGGGCGCCGAGCACATCGTCCCACCTGTTCCCGGGTCCCACCCGAACGGTACCTGCCTTCTTGTCCAGTTCCACCTGGTTAAGCTTGTCAGTGGAGATGAGGGGCCCGCCGTCAACGCTGGAGAAGTAGTCGTTTGGGTTGTGGCCGCCAGACTTGATAGCAAAGGTCTCGCCGGTTCCCTTCAAGATACTGACGATCTGGGAGACTTCTTCGGTGGTCTTGGGATACAAGATGCACGAGGGTTTCAGCGCGCCGCACGCCGTGGACCAGTATTCGTTCTGCTCGGACGTGTACGCTAGAGCAAAGCGTCGGTAGAGCTGGACCTTGGTAGACGACTCGACGAGCTTACACGTATCCTGGGCGGCCAGTGTCGACAGAGGCAAGGCCGCCGCCAGGGCCCAAAGAGAGGTAACCAGCTTCATGCTGAAAAGGAAAGAAAAAAACGAATGTAAGGTGCCGTAGCTGCAGTCCAAACTACCCAACACTTCCTTTCAAAAGGGCCAAAGGGGAGGAACGACATCACTGGCGAAGGACTCGGCCACTTTATGTGTGTACGCACACACAAAAGCATCATCAGCCCATGCGCGGGTCTTCGTCGCTAGACAAGGATCGGTCTTCTCAGCACCTCGGTGGTGGGGGCGTCTTCCTGTTCCAGCGCCACCGTTCTGCCAAGGCCGGCCTGAAAACCGCTGCAGCTAGTCGCTCTCCTTCATTTCTCGCAAAGGTGATCGGACCCCGCTAGGCCCCGTCCAGGAAAAGCGAGGTGGGGTCTGCGGTGATGGAGGCTGCACCCTGTCACGCGAGCGTGAGAGATCGGATTTTTCCCCTTGTTCCACGCTCGCTCGGCAGCCCGTACTCGGCCGAACCCTTGCCTAACCCTCTGCTGGTCACCTTGCTTTCGCGGGACGCTTGGGAAGCCCAGCTGGAAAAGGCACGATGCGACGTGATGACTTCTTAGCGTGGGGTCGCCCATCCTCGAGCTGGCCTTATCAATCGAGACCAGTGTTAAAAGGCAAGGCCCGACATCGGGTAGGACAGATGCTGCAAGGGAGAAACAGAAAAGGTAAATTCATGATGGAAGGCAGAGTCGGGCCTCACTCCTGACCCTCAAAAAGTACGAGGACTGAGTTCCCTTTTCCTTTTTTCTTTTCTCAGCCAAAGTTCATGGCCTCCGCGGGGATTTGCGTCACTGTCTCAAAGAGCAAAAGGGCCCCTTGACAAGTCCTGTCTTAGTCCCGGCACGGTGGTGACCGCGCGGTTGATCTTCACCAAGTGCGGAGTAGGGGCGCGCATGGCAGGTGGATAAAAACCTAACTGCGAACGAGTCATCCCCATGTCAGAGATCTGCATTCCGTTCGCGCCGAAGTATCCGCAGCTTAAAAGAGAGCTGATAACACTCTCAAATAACGTCACCTCCCCCTTTTTTTCCTTTCTTTTTCTTCGTCGGGAGGGCTATCATCATAATACTCGTACTACTTATCTACCTCTATCCTGCAGCCCAAAAGTTCTCAATCGGACCATGTCCATAAGTGCATAACAAATTTCATCGTAGCTGCATGCGTTCTGAGGGCTGAATATGCAATGTGTCTCGAGTAACGCATCATTTAGCCCAAGAGTTTATTTCTCGCCCTAACTTTCGAGGTTCTCGGCAACGTTACCATAAAACACAACTGCGCATGTCGAGGGCAGTACTCAAGGCCCCATGAGCAGAGGAACTCTCTTCCCCGTAAGAAAATGGGTTAATAAATGCGGCCTTCAAAAGCCACATAATTTCCGAATACGTTTAATCCGCGGCCTTTCCCTAAGCCACCAAATGTTGGGCTAAGAATATCATCGAAAAGAGCTTGATGTCAGAGGCAAAAACGGCTTCTACGGCTACACTATAGATAGATTGAAGAGAACCTGATGAGAATGGCGACTATCCTCGGACGCTCGCATCGAAAACGAGGCGAAGCGTATGTCAAGGCTTGCCACTTGGATGTCAGGAATGCTCACCCTGAAGCACCGCACCTTCAACATGCTTCCCTTAATAGCATAACCAGCCTCAAACCAGAAACTCCGATCCCGGATAAGCTATTCGCCCAAGAATGAGGGACCGTTGCACTGCTAAGTTGTGGTGGGGGTCAAGCAGTCGCCAACTTGTCCTAGGATGCGAAAGGCCGCGAGTGGGGCACGGCTAGATCGTATGGTATCCTGCTCATGAGGAATGAAGAGCAGAATGGCAACACGAGCCACTCGCAATGGTACTCTCTAAGAGAGTACGAATAGGCAATTAAAATGTAGGGCGGTTAGTTTTCTATCAAGGCGGACCAAAAGAAACTCGAGGCACATGAACTCGCCTCGCTGCCTAACCTAACGACACCCCAATCAGGTGTTGGTAAGAAAACGAAGGAACGCGACACTCGGCTTCCTTCCTCGCAGAGTGCATGTAGCGTCTCGAAATTGGCCATCAGAGCCAAGTACTGGCCTCTCTAGAGCTAGTGCTATTGCGTAGATGTGTGCATCGCCCTTTCCCTCATCAGAGGTAACTGGGTGATCGAACTGGAGAGTATCTTGATGAGGCCTACATATCGAGGGCACCACATCCTTCGGTGGCCGTGGCTAGTAGCGTAAGGAGATCATAGCCCAAACCGGGTTGTGGGGTAAGCGAGAAACGCTTCGGGAACGGGAAACTACTATCCACAATAAACATGCCATACCATGGGTACTAAACTCCTCATCCGCCCTAAGACAGCGGCCTCTTACTATATGCGGCGACGAAAACACCGATGGCGCGCACACTGGTTCTCCAAGGGGCAAGAATGGGTATACGTTGTCTAGGAATAGCTCAACATTCTCGCAGTCTCAATCCGTTTCAAGTTCACTCCTCTGGCTCAGAAACCGATGCCTTATCCCCAGGCTGCCAGCCGGATTTAGACACAAAAACCAGCCCCCACCTCCGCCCTCCGTTGCTGGAAAGTGCGCAAGATACAGTTGTCGAAATGGGTGGAATGCTCCTGCCCTATCAGCATTCGATTCGTCGAGTTTCGGTCAGCACTGCCGAAACCAGAGAAAAGCGAAGAGGGACGCGCATTCTCCTTTCCCCAATGGCCTGTGCGCAGGGCTGGTTCGTTGTCAACTCGCAAATAATATCTAGCCAACAACGACGTCTTCCAGCACACCACTCCCTTTTTCCTTTTCCTCAATCAATTGAACAATTCGCTTTCCATTCTGTTTTGGTCTTCTCTTCATTTCATCCCCCTCCCCCTCCTTTTACACTAGGGCGCACAAAAAAATTTCAGGGTTCTAGCAACTCGTCGGCAAACAGCGTCAAAGGTCATTTCGATTCGTAGAATGGCACGACCGGCTCGTGCGAGCAAAAGACGATCCTCAGATTCCGACACGCAGCCCAGAGCGGACACAAACCCACTTCAAACCGACGTCCCGGAAGCTTCGCGCCCCGCGACGAGGTCCTCTCGAGGCCGAACCGCAACGAAGCCCAAGCAAGGTATGCCTCTCTTCTCTCATCATGGTCACAAAAAAGGCATCAAAATGCAGTGGGTTTTGTCGCCTCCTCTTTGATGCCAAAATTTAATTTTTTTTCCTTTTTACCCCTTCTTCCTGCGTCCGCCGCACCGCCCGCGCATGTTGCTTTTCCCATCTTCAAGACCTAATGTGCCCCACAGCACTCGTGGATGCCCAACCTATTCTGGCAGTCGTTCTCCCTCCGGCGTCCAAGATGGTGCAAGACGTCCATACAGAACACCAAAAATTGTCCCAAGAGGATGAAACTATGAGTAGTTTGGAGATGGAACAGGAACACAAGGATGCGGTTGCCGCGAGATCGTTGTGGTCCCCGCCCTTCAGCCCTGTGTACACACCAGCCCCACGCAGCAGCTTTTCGCTCAAATCCAAATCCACCACACAAAACGCGCAACTTGTCGTCGCGATTGCTGGAGCAGCGCGTAACTCGAGGTCACCAAAGAGCTCGACGTCACCAAAAACCAGCGGTCGCACCACAACCCGGAATCGCGAGGATGCGATCGAGGTGCGGCCATCGCCGAATTCGTCCAAGGTGATACTTGATCACCGGCCATCGTCTACCTCGCGCAATCTCTTCGATCTCCTCATCTCCGAGGAGGCTACTGCTGCTCAAGCCGCCACAAAGACACAAGTTTGGGAACCCGAAGAGGTTGTTCAACAGAGCTATCCGTCTGCTCTCTTTACTTACTGGCGCTCAATCGAGGGGGAAGGGAAGCATGTATGAGGGACGCTTCGCTTTGGCACGTCTTTTCCGTCAATGATCATCGCGCTGCCGCGCATGGCACGGGGTGGAAGTCCAAGTTGAATGGGTAGGGTCCGACTCGCAAACATGGGAGCTTGAGAGGAAGCTTGCGCGTGTAGCGCCCGTGGAGCTGAAGGCTTACTGGGAGCGAAAGGGAGGTAAGAAGCCCGTTGGAGTACGGAAACGCAGGGCAACGGCTGGACGTATCACGCGAGGCAAGAAGAGGAGAGTCTAAACCTGGCAAACAAATGGTATAAATGGTCGGTCGGAAAGAATGCACAAAAAGGAATGGTTTACATTAGGCGCTTTGGGGGCTAAGTCGGCATGGCTGCTGGCAAAGTGAGGGCACGATGCCGGAGATTTTTTCCTCCTTTTTTCCTTTCGCAGGAAGGGTATCAGACTACACATACGGATAGCGAAAAGGCTAAAAAGTTATTCACTCGAGCGTTGATGTTGCGTTTGTCTAGCACCACCTTTGAACTTTGTGTCGCGCATCCGACCGACCTTGCAAAGTATGTGGAGACGATTGCAGAGAGGCCACAGTAATCGAGATTGCTCGCCGATGCCTGAGAAAAAACAGCACCCTCCCTCCTCTCGTGACATGCCAACGGTCCTTGATTCGTCCACGGTGCGTACTTGTCCAGCGCAGCAATGGGCCGAGGGTTTATCGTTTCACGGCCAGCTCGCCACCGCTTTCAATGTGGTGATGTGGGATGTGGCGTAAAACCGCAAACAATAGCACCAAGACAACTGTCGCGCCGTCTCGGGTTCCACGGTTACGGGTCCCCCAAAAAAGTGGCACATGGCCACACCGAAGATAATCTCCGCCCGATCCACCACAGCCAGCGAGAGGCTGAATTTGGGCGCTGAAAACGGAAAGCGCTCTTCTCACAGTTGCGAGCGATGACTAATGGGTGCCTAAAAACGGGGAAAGAGGGTCGGCGCCAGCGCTTTGTTTGGCAGGAGCTGAAGGTTTGGGGCAATGTCAGGGCGAAAGTCTGTCCGAAGCCACCTTCTTGATCGATTTCCTTTTTGGCATGAATTTGCTAGTGATCCCCCAAGCTGTGATTGGCCAGTGGGACCTCAAAACCCTGTCAATAGTCCCTAATACGAGGATAATCCCACCCAGCGCACGATGCTGACGAGCCTGGACAGTTTTTCTCTCAGTCCAACTTGCCATTTCCCCCTGGGTGCTCTGCCTCTCTGTCGCTCTCCTACGCTGCTCTGCTTCATTAATACTCCAAGTCAGTTGGACGAGGTTCGATTTCTTGGCGATCCATCATCCCAGAACGCCAAGTGAGACAAGGCCGCGGCCTCCGAATCATCGTGGCATCGTGGCATCGGGCCACTCACCCACGTTCCGATCGCCATGGCCCCACTCAGACTTGGGCTTCTTGGCGCGGCGCTCTTGGCGACCCTCGCGGAAGCTCGAGACGTCCCAGAGAACTTGCAGGGTTTCTACGATAACCTGAGAACCAAGGGAAAATGCTCGAGGCAGCTGGCCACTGGCTTCTATAGCTCCGACGGGGGCCCAACAGTAAGTAGGACCTGGCGCTTTCGAAGCGGCTCCTTCGTCCCCCTAAAATTCGGCTATTAACCAGCGGGTGGGGGTTTCTAGCTGCTTCCTACTGCGGCGACTACCTGGACGACTATAAAATCGTCTACATTCAAGGCACCGACGGTGCGCTCTCCAACATGGACGTCGATTGTGACGGTGCCCAGGGCGGGTCCGCCGACGATGGGCGCTGCGATTCGTCAACAGACACGCAGTCCATCTCCTCGTTCCAGTCCACAATCGCGTCCTACAAAGCCGGCATCCGGGACCTGGACGCCAACATCCACCCATATATAGTCTTTGGGAACGAAGGCACTAAGCGCAAATGGAAGACATTCGACCCGCAGGAGGTCGGGATTAAGCCGCTCAGCGTGATGGCCGTCGTGTGCGGCGGCAAGCTGGTGTATGGCGTGTGGGGGATACGAATGGCGACGACGGGCCCCATCCCATGGTCGGGGAGGCCTCGATATCCGTTGCTACGGCGTGCTTCGGTACGCGTATGTCGGGGAACTCGGGGTACGACGAAGACGACGTGCTGTATATCGCGTTCGTCGGAGACGATGCCGTGCCGGGAGCCAAGGGCGCCAACTGGTCGGCCGCCAACTATGAAGCGTTTAGCGCCAGCATCCAGGATCTGGGCGATAGGCTCGTCGAGAGGATCGGTGTGGGAAATGCGTCTGACAAGGAGGATGCGGGGACTACGACAAAGATGACCCTGCTGGCCGGAGCGTATCCTGTGCTACCGGTTTTGGCCTCTTTGATGGCCCTTTTAATATTAATCTAATGTGCGTTCTGCTAAAGGTAAAAGAGAGGGAAAAGATAGAGGCCAGGAGTCAAGGAGTTATATTCCTCAAATTAATTCATGATTTGCCACTTCTTATTTTGGTGTTGCAAGAAACATAATCGCGTGAACATGCAAGGCTTAAGTGACAAGGCATTATGGAGAGAGTGTCACAGCGTCCAGCAAGGAGAAATGGTTCAAGAGAATGGGCAATATATGCATTGAAGGGTCGCAGATTTACAGTAGAAGAAGTTCTCTCGTCCACGCTCGGCTTTTAAAAGCGAAGCCACAGCCTAGCTACCGCGCGGTGCCTTTTTTGTCTGTTTAGTCAAGGACCAAGCCCTTGGTTCCTTTACGCGCCGATGCCGAAGAAGGCAATGTCCATGGCCTCGTGCTGAGGCACGCTGTGGCCGACGCCCTGGGCGCTGTAGCCTACGAGCTGCGCCGTCTCGGCGGTTCCCTCTCCGTAGATGGTCTGGGTGTAGCTCTGCTGGGGGTGTTGGGGGTGTCCTTCTTCTCGGTAAGGCCGAAAACGTTGGACCACTGCTTCAGCTGCTCTTGGTCTGCATCGTCGGTGTTAGCGCAAAGGTAGGACTATTGGCATGTTCATTTTTCGTTGGGCACTTACAGTTGGGATAGGCAAGAGTGCTATCGGCGGTTCCGTGGAAGCTATGAATCAAAGAGCGTCAGTTCCTTTATTCTCTTATCTTGCGTGTTGAGAGGATTGGGCTTACATCTGCATCCTGGGGCGGGTGCCGTTGAAGTCGGGGTAGTACGATCGGACCATGTTGCCCCACTCCTCGCCAGTCTTGGTAAGCTGGCCGCTGGCGCAAGCGTTGGCCCAGCCGGGGGTCCTGAGTGGCGGTGGAGCCCTGGACGAAGAAGCATCCGTCGGGAACACCCGAGTAGACGGATCCGGCCTTGAAGACGTCGGGGTAGGCGCCGACGAGCACGTTGGTCATCATGGCGCCGGAGCTGGTGCCGACGGTGAAGACGCGGTCCGGGTCTCCGCCAAAGTTGTCGACGGCGTGCTGGACCATGTTGACGATGGTCTGGCTGTCGCCACCACCGTTGTGGGTGAGACCTAGATTTCGGTAAATACCAAGGTTAGCGAGCGGTTTGTGGAGTGCATGGGGACTGTGGTAGGTGGGCAAGCCAAGACGTGGGTAGTAAAAAGAACTTACTGGCTGTGGACGCAACATCGAAGCAGCCTCCGCCGGACTTGGAGTTGGGGTAGATGACGATGAATCCGTGCTGCTCGGCCAAGGGCTGGTACTTGGTTTCGCCGGAGTATCCCTGCGCGGATCCTTGGCAGTGGTGCACGGCGACGACGATGGGGGCGGGAGTCTTCAAGGTCTTGGGGAGGTAGGCCCACATGCCAAGGTTGGTGGGGGTGGCCTTGAAGTCGTTCACCTTGGCGAACTGGCAGCTGCCGAGAGAGGCGAGCGCCACGAGGCTTCCGATCACGGTCGAGACTTGCATCTTGTGGAGTGACGTTTTTACGCTGAGGTTACCCTAGAGGAAAAAAAGAAAATGGTATAGAGAAAAGAGCAGTGCTAGCTGAGGCTCAAAGACGGGATCGCGGGAGTCGGAAATTTCAAAGTTCGATGCAACGGAGCTCTCGAGTGAACCAAGCGCGCGGAAGGGGAGTGGAGAGGGAGCTGGCGAGGCAGATCGACCGCCTTGGCAGGTCTTGGCCCCGGGCGTATATATAGTCTGCATTCGTCCCTCGATTCCCGCTTGTCCGAAGCCAGAATAATTCCTGGCTTTTCATTTTTAATTTTTTTCTTCTTCTTTGCTGTCTGGCTAATCTGGGGTTGCGGCTAATGGACGCGGTTCTTTCTACATTGCCCCAATATCGGGTGCAATATCTCGGTGCGGGGAATTGGCCATAAACAACCTCCGGGACGAGTACAGAAATAGGAAGCCACGTATTGGAGACGGATATTATCATACGGCCATTCAATTAACTGGGGCGACCCATTTTCTTCAGTTCCCCCTTTGCGGGCATCGCTGTTCCGAGAGCGAAGGGGTGCCGGTCACCCGCGCGCACAAGCTGGTGGCTCACTCCCCCAGATGCAGCTGCTCATCCCCGCGAGGGGGTAAACGGACTTGGGCGATAGCCCCCAATATAACGATGGAAGGTCTTGTGCGATCACGCCGGATTCCAAGCGAATGAAATGCCGTCTAGCAAAGGGGAAACAGGAACCTGTCGGGCTTCGGCTGCATCCATACACCCATGGATGCAATAGATCCATCGATTGGATCCATGGGTGGACGTAGTAATTCATAAACTCTTGTAGGGATTAAGCCTGAGGCGGGGGCAAGCTTCTCTTGTTCAGTCGTAGGAGAGCGACACTAATGGGTACCACCAGTCTTTTGGATCTTAGTGGTGGCGGCTGTCTCCAATCATTCATACTGAGGCTATGAAAAGATCGTGAGAGTCCGGCATCAAAGTTGACTTATGATGGTCCTCCACCGAGTCTTTTCAAATAGGAGCCCTTGGATGTATGGTGTTGTGCGATTATATGTCATTCTAGGAATGCAAATTCGTCGTTGCCGAGAATAATGGTCACAACAAGCAAGATTTGAATTGTCTTTTGTGGTTGCGCAAAGCAGCAATCTCCCGAGACACATTTCGCCGGGTGCTACGAGATACTTCGTAGATACAATCAATCTGCCGACGGTGTATTTGGCGTACTATACCTCATCTTAACTACCGGCACCTATTGCCTTGAAGCGCCCTTGATTTTCAGCCCCATTCACTGGGACGTTAAGATTCTTCAATGTTCTTTATGTTGCACGTGTAGTTATTTTTCTTCTCCAAAGCCAGCCCATCCTAAACCCTAGCGAGCAACTTGCGGTTCATCATGAGACGAACAGTCAAAACAAGTCCAGCACTGGCCAAGGTCAGCGATCCGGCATAAAAAACGCAGGTCGGAACGCCGAGATTCCTGCTTCAGTTCCGCCGTATGCCTCGAGCAGATACCCGGCAATGGGCGCCCCTAGTTCACGCTATTAGCACTCTGACCTCCCATGGATCGTGATGTCGAGCTGTGCCCCTTACCATGAAATACCCAAACGTCCAGGACGTCACAATCATGGACATGATATTCGCAAGCTCTCCGTCTCCAAAGACAGCACCGACAACGACTGGCGTCAAGCTAAAAAAGCCACCCGACCCTATGCCGTTTAGAATAGCAAAGAAGATGAGGAGTCCTAGTGAAGACGCAAAGGGCCACAGGGCGATGGAAGTGATGCCAATGATTGTAAGGGACGCAATCAAGCTGTTGAGGGGACCTAGCAGCGAGTCGGCCCCGAATCCCATGCCGATACGCCCAACAGCGGAAGCAAGGTTCCATGACGCGAGGATAGCGGCACCAGCCTGGCTAGAGAGACCGACTGAGGATACGTAGAGAGGAAGGAGGAAGGGAGGTACGAAGAGGGGAAAGGTGGCGAGTGCGCCCATCAGAAGCATGATGAGAAATTTTAAACTTCGGAAGAGACGCCTAGTGCCGAAGGAAGCAGAGTGTCAGTTTTACGACAGGATACGGTTAAGCACCTGGAACTCCGTTTCCGGGTTCTCCATGTCGGAGAGAACTTACCACTGCACCCTGGACACCGAGCGGCCGCGGCCAGCGGGCGGCTTCAGAAAGTACGCTGCGGGCAGGCAGATGGCCCAAGCCAAGGCTCCTAGGATCCTGAGAGACGAACGCAGCCCGACGACGGAAATCATCTTTTCCAAGGAGAGGGCGATCACTGCGGACCCAACGCCGGCACCGCCATACACGATGCCGGTGGCCAGGCCGCGCTTTCTCTTGAACCACAAAGATGGGACGGTAGCCGCGGGCTAAGTCGAACGCGGAGGACGTCAGACATACGCCAATAAAAAGAAAAGAGTTTTTTTAGAGGGCGCAATGTGGTTGCGTGACCTACCAGGAATAGCAACGACGTGCCGATGCCGAACAAGAAACCCTGCGTGGCGAACATGGCGGGCACGGATTCGGTCGACCATCCCGCGGTGAACTCGCCGAGGCCGACAAAGAAGGCTCCGATGGCGGCAGTCTTTCGGTGCCCGAGACGGTTGATGATGCGCGCGACTATCATGGCGGTGAGGGGCGAGATGGACGCGCCTACCGATCCGATGAACGACAAGGTCGATACGCTGGCGAGGCGTGCCTCGCTCAGGTGGAGTTGAACGATTCCATACGAGTAGATGAGGCCTAGGTACACGAAGAAAATGGCGGATCCGGCGGCCACGACGGGCCACCCTTCTTTGCTGTCCCACAGATCGCTGGGGGCTTCTTCGGGTTGACTTGGCTCGAGCAGTTCATCCTCGGTTTCGGCGCTCACACCCCCACCGCGGTGGACCACGGCATCTCCTGAAAATTGATGAAGTTGAATGGCATCGTCGTTGGCGGCGCTTGGTTGAAGCCGGAGAGGCGGATCGGACCTCGTCACAGTCTGCGTGATGGTAGCCATCGTGAAATTCTGCGGGTTCGGCACCGGGTGACGTCTCGAGATATGTGTGACTCAGGAAACCCGCTCCGCTGCCTTTTATTTTTGCGAGAGGGTTTGATACCGCCCCGCCCCGCCCTTCCCCGTTTTTTTATCTCTGGCGGATTCGCCATGGAAGGCCGCCTCTTTCCGGTCGTCCCGACTTCGGCGGAGGTGCCTGATCAAGTTAGCTAAAGGAGCAGGCGCTTATGTCATTTTACGGATAGCATGCTCCACCCGAAACGGATATCGTGAGGATGCAGGATCAAGAGAGGTGGAAACACATAAGCTACGTGGATGGTATTCTGGTTGAATAAATAATTTCCTTATCCGGTAGGTGCCTTGCTATGCAATGCAACTTTGCCAGGAACAAGAAGAACGGGCCTGAGCTCCTGCTCAAACTATGTCATGATATAAAATCCCCCGTTGAAATTCAGTCCGTAGCAAACGCCCCATCTCCCAAGTATTAGCCATTATCTATCCGTATATATTATCGTGTATGTCGTTATATCGTGTCGCATTTGTTACCGTCTCCCATTTTCGAGCCAGTTATTATTTCCTGGTAATTCTGCCACGGGGCTCAAGTCCGCACTGGGCCTCGCGTTGTTCCCCTCAAGTTCCTTTCGCATACTCCATGGAGGAGCAGGCTGACCATCCAGTTCAGACACTGCCTGGCCGTCAATCTCGGACGCTGTATATGCCGAGTTTGTCGACTCCCGTTGTTGCTTTGCAGCGGCAGCAGCGGCGGCAGCAGCATCGGGGTTGGATCTTGCGCGCTTACGCCTCCGTTTAACGACGCAGAGGGCGACTAGGGCCGCCAATATGGCTAATATCCCAACCACCAAGCCAATACCAATACCAATCTTGGCTCCTGTGCTAAGCCCTGATCCCGGGCCGCTGTTATCGCCCGGATCGGGCGTTGACCCGGTTGGCGACGGCGAGGTATTATCTGACCCTGAGGACGAACCGTCAGTTGGATTTGTGCCTCCCCAGTCTCGTTCGGCGACCCGCCGCCGTTGTTGGAATTGTCCGAGCCCGAGTCAGAGCCCGACCCGGGCCCTGGATCGGACCCGGACCCAGAACCTCCTTGTGTAGGAAAGTAGCCCGCAAAGTATTGGATACTTTCCCCGGTGCTCTGTGGCAGCGAGCAGCTGCTATCGAGAACGCTTTTGGCGGTGAACGCGACGGTCGCCGAGGCTGCCTCGGTACAAGAACAAAAAGAACCGGGTTTCAGAGTTGAAGGATCTCCTTCCTGAGAGCAAATAGCCCATTCGTCTTCGTGGTCGTCGCAGCGCGTGAGTGCAACCCAGGGTTGATCTAAGCCATCACCAAAAGTCTCCGGTCAGTTCCATCTTCACCACGGATAGCCAGGAGGATCACGACACGGAGACTGACCTATATCCTTGTTTGGACAACTTGAGTCTTTGTAGTTCGAGTCGGTGCATCCGGCCATATAGGTCAAATAGCTGCCATAGCCGGACCCGTGAATACCGAAGCAGGAGTTATTCGTCAGACAGGTATCACCGCGCCCGCAGCAAGCCACATGGCCAAAGTCGTCGTTCCCGCATGGTATGAAGCTGTCGTCAAGTTCTTCCCCTTGGCGGAGTAGCACTTGCCCTTGCTGATGAATATGTCGGAGTTACTCATGGCTTGCACTGGCTGATTGTGCGTGCAACTTCCAGTGGTGATGTGAGTGTAGAGCTAGTTCGTCAAGACATGTCCCACATTTACCCTAAAATTATGAGAAGTACCCGGAGAAGGAAAATGAAGAAGAAAAAGATGGGTACTTCAAAACAGTTTTAAGGCATGGAAAACAACATGGCAGGTGTTATTTTGGGCCGAAAGGACGAGTGGTTCTCACAGAGGCAGGAGGGTCGAGGTGCAGTTGATGTCATGACCAGAAATGACGTAGAAAGAACCATTCTATCGTGACGGCCAAAGGATCAAAAATCGCCACGGTACGATTGTTCGCTCTTTTAGAGATTTCTCATATAGCCGTCGGCGGGCAAGGGCCAATAAGACCACCCCAACCCATTCTCTGTTTGCATGCCAATACTACCCAAGCCGCTGTATGAGCGCGATTCGACGTCTTCTCCAACCCACGCCTGACGTCGGCGACGGAAGATCCAGCTTAACCCTCAGGATCCCGGACGTTATATTCCTAGTGAATGGGAAGCCATGCACGGATGGGTCCCGGCCTCAATTAATTCAATCGCTGCAGCACTCGTCATTGCAAATCGACCTGCAAGCGAGCAAAAGGATATGCAAGGAATGGGAAGGGAGGACGACTATCGACGCAATGGTAAGCACCACTTCGGAAGGGGGAACGTTGATATCAGCGATAGCTTTAGCTCTTGGTTCCTGGCGCAAAGTCAAATATCCCCATGGCCCCGCCGGTGGCGTCCTCGGAATCGGAACGAATGCCTCGAGCAGGAACGGAGTTTAACAGACAAAGACTAAATATTCAGGTCTCGAATGGCAGTTCAATAAGAATATGTCTTTCTCATTGATCAACATCGACCAGAGGCGACGGCGCAGGCGTTACTTCAACTAGCGGGAGCTCTGACCACAACCAATATTGACAACAAAATTCATTGATCTCGACAAATCGATAGATATGCAAGAAACTGTGACAAGTAAGGACCTGGAGCCTTTCGCACTGATGGTAGAGTGCGCAAAGATTATATCCATTGATGTATGTGGGAGCTTCCCTCAAAGCCTCGTGAGCTCAATAGGAATGAACACGACTGTGAGCTCTAAGCAACTGCATTAGTGACGTACCAAACATTTGGTCCTCTCAGAGCCTCGAGAGGCGGATTGGAGTTTGCTGGGCTGGTTTTAATCAATCCGCCGCACGCATGCTTTTACCCGAGCCAGAGGGAACGGGAGTGATCAGCCAAACGCCCAGCACGGAGATCGACGGTATTAGGCGTTTGGCAAATGTATCAACTTTACCAGTTAGATTGGTAGGGGAGACGTGGAAATTCGTTAGAGAAGAAAAAAGCTCCCCGTGGCCGTTCCCCAGATTCTTCATGCTCGGAGAATTTTTATCGATCGCGCGGCGAACAAAAGAAAAGAAAAACAAAGAAAAGAAAAGAAAATGTCGACGCCACGGCATTGGAATGCCCTCGAGGCAACTTTGGCCGGTCTATTATTAGCGACTCACCTAGTCCCTGCTCAGGCCAGCACGAACACGTCTCCGCCCCGGGGGCAAGATGTGCGCACATGCCGCTGGGGAAAGGAAGGACCCCTTCTCCCAGACGCCTCTTCCACTCACTGCCCGCTTCTTCTGGACGACCTTTCTCGTGGACCGGCTGGCGACTGGAGTCCGTGGTCGGCCAAGCCATTCTGCTTGTATCCGTTTGTGAAAACCCAGCCCAAGTATTGTCTCTACACTTACCACGGATTCGGGGGCGATGGGAGCTCCATCTCGCTCGTGACATCGCCTGAAACGGCTGCCGAGGCCGCGGCGCTCCTCGAAGACCCCAATCCGCAATGGTACCACGGTAGCCCGATCGTGCCACCGCCGGAGGGCGACCCGAGCCCCTTACATCGTGACGGATATCCCAGGGCGAGGCAAGGGAGCCGTGGCGACGCGGGATATCCGGAAAGGAGAAGTCGTCATTACGGAGCCGGCCACGATGATTAGCATGACGCCGCCGAGGGGATTCGCACGAAACAGCTCACCTCCATGTCCCGCAAGAGCGTTGGCCGGCTGCCGGACACTCAGAAGAAGAGGGTCTCGGAGATGGCGTCTATGCCGGGGCTCGACTTTCTCTGGGGTCGGTTCGACACCAATGCGTTTGGGGTGGACCTTGCTGGGAACTACGACCACCGAGGTCTTTTTCCCGAGATTGCCGTAAGCAAAGGCGGCGCCCCCTTCTAGTTATGCGAGTTTGATAAGGAACCGGGTGAAAACGTGACCGGTATTGTTTAGCTAACTAAGGCTTGCAGAGGATCAATCATGACTGTAGACCGAGGTACGAGGGTATTTTGAGAAATGTGGGGGAAGACAGCAATCTTGAGCTAACTGATTCCTTCACTTGGGATGTAATGACATAGCTGCTACACTCGTTACTCTAGTCGGCTTCTGACCATGGAAGCCATTGCTTATCGTGACATCAAACAAGGAGAAGAGCTCAGCATAGCGTGTAAGTCCCGCAACAGCATATATCCCTCTCACCCGACATCATGAACCATTGGGCAGGGCTGCCGAGATACAACCTAACTCTTTCCCATCCGCACAGATACACCCCTCAACCTCCAGACGGAAGACCGGCAAGACATCATCCAGCGCTGGGGCTTCAACTGCACCTGCCAGCTCTGCAGCGACCCGGCGCTCAGCGCGTCCTCGGACCGTAACCGCCAGCGCATCGCCGGCATCATCACCGAGGCGAACGGGCCGCAGAGCCGCGAGCGAGAGGTGCTCGCGCGGCTGTCGGAGGAGATGAAGGAGCTCGTGGAGGCCGAGGAGCTCGAGTCGTTGGCGGGGACTTGTACGCGCTGCTGGCGGAGTTTTGGGCGAATGCTGGGTTTCCCGAGGAGGCGCTCGCGTTGATGGAGATTGTGCTGGGGAATAGGGAGACGTTTCGGGGGTGGATCACCCGAGGGTGGAAAAGGCTAGGTCCGTCATTGGTAAGCTGAAGGCTAGCATCAAGGGGCGGAAGGAGTAAGAGGGATCATGGCCAAAAGGATGGGTTACTACAAGTGCCTGTATGCATTGTGAGAGCACTGTATTTTGGGTCCTCGTTGGTCTGGACATCAGGGAGCCACAATGACAGTGTACCACGGCGAAAGAAGAAAAAAGACGGTATTCGGTGGTGTAGAACCCCGTTAACAAAAGTGGCAAGAAGGTACATTGCGCCCGATGGTAATCGGACAAAGAGGGTATATTACGCTGGCAAGCTATGACAAGATATCCGACCGCCCAGAGCGACCAAACCAAGGAAACCCAAGATCCGCAAGACGGAAGGAAACGAACAGCAGAAAAAGAATAAAGACCAAAGAAAAAAACGCCATATGCTCCTCCCTAAACCTCCTCCGGTTTTTGGGCAAACCAAAAGTAGTAGTTGAAATACCGATGGATAGACAGGTCCGCCAAGCCTTTCCTCGCCATGGCCAGCATGACCTGGCTCTCCGTCTGGGACATGCCGAGGGCCTCAAAGGGCCTGCCGGCAAAGGTGGGGATGATGTCCTGCACCGCGAGCTCCTGGTACTTGCCCACCAGGCGCAGGGTCTTGTCCTTGGCCCAGGGCCCGATGGGCACCTTTTTCACGACGCAGTGTATGTTTTCGAAGCCGGCTTCGCGGAGTAAGGGCTCGAGCTCGGAGGTGACGGTGACGTTCATGCCGAACTTGAGAAAGGCCTGGGCGGCGAGGTCGTACAGGGCCTTGACCGGGTCGTCGGGGAGCATGGTGCCGTCGTCGCACATGGGGGCGCCGTGCAGTTCTTGGAGCTCGACCCAGCCGCCGGGTTTTAGGGCACTGTTATGCACGAGATAAGGGAGGTTAGTGGTGGTCTATGGCTGTCATGGGGTACATGTAAAACGAGGAGTGCAGGAAAGAAAAAGCAAAGAGAGAACGTTGAAAAAAAGGGGGGACAAATAACGCACTCATAAGCGTGTTTTAGAACGGTGGTGACCTTTTTCAGGATAATGACCATGAATCGAAAATGGACAAAGTCGCAATCACGAATCAACCAGTCCAGTTCGCAGTCGTCGACGATGAAATCGACGTTGGGAGGCACCCAGACGGGTTGGATGGGGAAAGGTCGATGCCGCGAACGCGGGCACTGGGGTATGTGTCGCCAGCTGCGAGGATGGCAATTAGCGCCGCAGGTTAGACGAGCAAGAAAGGAAATACCAGCAGTTTGAGTCTCAATCAAGGGAGAATAATCTCAAGGTTGACATACCATCCATAGCCCAAATGCCTGTCGCAGCAGCCTCGGTTAGTACAAGATCCAAAAAAAAAAGCAGCCACTCGAGAGAGGACAGACGCAAGGCGGCGGGCACACAAAAAGAAAAGGGGGAGAAGGGAAAGCCATACCGGTGCCGGTGCCAATATCCAAGATAAGCTGAGGATCGTCACCAATAGGCGCATAATGCAAAGCGCCGTCCGTCAACTCGAGCAACATGGCATGCTTCATGTCCTCGCGGTTCTGCTCGATGTCGTCGTCGGGCACGGGATAACGGCCATTCTTGAAGCTTCGGTAGCGGCGGCCGTGCTCGATGGTGTGCGCGTAGACGCTCGAGGTGACGGAGGTGGTGGCGGTGGAGCTGGCATCGTACTCTTGTTCGAGGAACTCGTCTTCCTCGGGAGGTTCTGTCGCGGCCTCGATGGCCGGGTCTGGGGAGCGCGACGCCCAGTCCGGACTGGCAGCCGCACCAGGCGCGGACGCGGTGGGGCTGGGGCTCTTGCCGGTGTCGACGGGTTCGGGAGGATTGATCGGCATCGCTCGCTCGCTCTTAGTTGGCAAGGACCAGGGCCCAAGTAGGAAAATGGGGGAGAGGGGCGAAAAGACAAAAAAATGCGGAAAGAGACGCTAGGGGGCTTGGCGTTGAAAGGTTGGCAGTTCAGCCTTTTTCGCACACAAAGCAAAGACACAAAAGAACGATTTTGAGCTAGTTTCGAACACAAGGAAAAAACCGTTCCAAATTAGCACGCTTGTGAGCGGGCGGGGGAGAGAGATTGAGAGAGAGAAGAAAACGGAATTTCAAAGCCTTCCAGCTCATCACGTGGAATTGATACAAAGAAAAAGCAAAGAAAACACGCACGTGGCGGGATAAGAAGACTTGTTGGGGCCAATAAACTGTCCCAATGGCCTGGATTGTGTCCTGCGTAACCGGACAATGCGGCCGCCCCCTCCCAATCATGCAACTATTGCAGAAAATAGAGTGATGCCATCCCTGCGGGCGTCGGAACGGTTCGTCTTGAGCCCCCACCGTGCTATGATGTGCTGCTCCTGGGAATCCTCCCGCTGTCGGGGGCCATTGCTGGATTGGGCGAGATCGACGCTCAGGACAGAGTCTGGGCCATTTTCACAATGGTAACATCGAGCAATAAATAATGGTTACGTTCGACCGTAAGAAGTGTAAGTTTAGCCCATTAATTTTCTTCTTCAAAACTATCAATTTTATTTAGTGGGCATGGTCTTTGATTTCATCGTCCTCAGGTCGATTTCCCGTGTCCTTGGGTCGCCATCAGCATCTTCGACACAGTTTCGAGAGAAAAGGAGCGCTCGGCCTCATCGAGCGACTGCTGCACGGCCTTGGAGCACCTTTCCACCAACTCGGCGTCAAAGGCCGACATGACCTTTTCCCGCGCAGCCGCGTCCTTGGGGTCTGTAAGCTGTTCCAGTGCCGCCACGTAATTTTCACGTCTTCAATGCCATGCTGCAAGCCTTGGCCACGATCTGTGCACATTTCGCCAAGACAAAACACCCGTTAGCTCCTACTAATCCGAATTGGGGGTTTAGTTTGGGGGCAAGCGACTCACAAGGAAGCATGGGATGGGCGGCATCGCCCGCTAGGGCGACTCTTCCCGCGTGGTTATTCCAGGGGACGGTGATCCAATACTTCATCTCGTCAATATGACATTGGCTATCGTCTGGTGTCAAGTCGATGGCGGACTGGAACGGCTCGCAAAGCCCCTTGGTATTGGCCTTGATGTAGTTGATAGCCTCTAGGCCGCGGAGATTGATGGGTTCTCCCTTCCAGATCTTGACCCAAAACGTCGACCAAGCCGAAATGTCTTGTGGGTCGTCGGCGTACATTACTTTAGAACCATTTTGTTTTTGTTAGCTACAGGTTTTTCTTGCAATCTCTTTGGGAAACGCCGTCCAAGGTCTTACCTCCGCATCCGCCCACGGAATCCGTTCCCATCATGATGGCGGCGACGGGGTGCGCATCCACAATCTTTTGAATCTTGGCAGTATCGCCATCCTTGACGATGCCCGTGGCAAACATCAACCCCGAGAGGCGCGGTTTGCTCGCCTCCTCGCCAAGCAGCAGCTCCCGCACGGTCGACGAGGTGCCGTCGGCGCCAAACACAAAGTCGGCGGCATACGTCTCTCCGTCCGCGAACGACAGGGTGGCGGCGTCGTTCGAGGTCGTCAACGCCGTCAGCGCCTTGCCCCAGCGGACGTCGACGCCCGAGAGGAGCACGGAGCGGAGCCGTTGGCGGGTAACGCGGCGGGCGCCGGGGGTGGGACTCTTGAAGAGGATGCCGCCGGTGACGCCATTGAAGCAAGGGAGAACTTCGACGTCTTGGTTGAAGTCGAGGTTGGGGTTACACACGGCGCGAGGGAACGCCGCCCACACTTCTTCAGGCACCAGGTCACGAAGAATCGGCAGGGCCCAGTGGATCAGGATCGTCCAGTCTCGTGCACGGACGGCTTCGTTTTCGTCGCGCTCGAAGACGACGACATTTTTGAAGCCTTTCTATTCAGAGGGGGCCGTGAGTAACGCATGGGGCGTTTTCCACATGTTAGTGCTATCGTTGTCCTTGATCCTTTGCATTTCTCTTTTCTTGTGCTTTTTTTTTTTTCCCTTATCTTCTCTTCTCCCTCTTCCCCGTTTCTCTCGTCGGCACGATTGCGGAACCGAGCGTCGGAAAAAGAAACGAAATCAAGGGGGCACAAAAGCGGGGTATTGAGGAGCACTTTCCCGTTGTTTGCTTCAATGTTGGGGGAAGGAACGCGCGGGCGGGGGAAGGGGGAAGATGTCACACCTTCTTCAAGGCTTGCGCAGCGGTAAGCCTGTAATACCAGCGCCGATAATGGCCACTGCAGAATCCTGTATGTTTGCTGCCATTTGGGCACCGACCCGGTGGTCTGGGTAGGTTGGTAGGTACCTCGAAACTGTCGGGAGAATGTTGTGCAGCGGTTTGTCGTCACCCGGAAACACGAGGGAAGAAAAAAATCCAGTTTCTTCATGTGTGTTGAAGAGCGAGGAAGAAGGGGAAAAAGGGAAGCGAAAAAAAGGGGAGAAAAATCACCACATATACCATAATGCACGCGCGCCGCTGGGCAGGTGCACACCTAGCCAGCCATGCCAACTCGCCAGTCCAGCTCCTCTTCAGAGATTGCGCGGTGTGTTGGACGGACCCTGTCCGCCAGACGTGGAGAGAGCACTGGGTCTACTCCGGCCTCTCCGTGGGGGCATCCATAGTTGACAACCTTGAAGATACAACGTACACGTGATGCCGCTGTCGGCCAAGAGCCAAGGCAATTGTGCGAGTGTAACATGGAGGGAAGGTGCTCTGCACCGACAGGCAAAGTGCAGCAAGATTGATCATACGCTCGCGAAAGCGCGCTGGAGAGTTTGAGCGTAGATCCACGCCATCGCCGTGCAGGGGGACCCTCAGCCGCTACTGGGCGCACCTCGGGGAGAAGAAGTTGGAGGGGTTGGTGGTATTAATCTTGAGGATTCGTAAACAGCCCCAAGCCTCGATATCCACCACCATGGCTACTGCCCATGCCAAGCTGTCGGCTGCACCAGGCTCGCCGCCACGAGGATTCATTATCTTCCAAGGATAAATAGTAGGTTCGATGTCGATGGGTGGTCTACCGACTACCTTCGGACACTTGAACCATTTTGCACTTTCATTGGCAAAGAAATTTGCGTCAGATCGAGAGCTGACCCATCTATATACATGTATAATTCTTAGGTACGACCTTGCACCACGCCTCCTTGCTCCAGAATTCTTTAAGGCAAACAAGATCGTGGTTTGATCTTGGGATTTGCCATGTCTTGGGCGAACATCGCTGGCGTCCTCGCCTAGGTCAGATGCCCCGCCACCATCAACAACATCATTGGAGACGACTTAGGGTATCGAATCTATGATATACCCGGGTAACGGAGACCCGCGACAACGCGGTAGTCTAGTAGCCGGAAACAAGTTGCCGTACCGTTACTACGAAACAGGAAATCGATATTCCGCTACACGCCGACTCCTACTTGGTCAAAACGCCCATCACCCGCGGAATCGATTCGTACCAAGTCTGCTCGACCGGTGCCGCCAGATCAAAGTCCTCCCAGTCTCCGAGCGAAGCTAACGTGTTGGCCGTCGATCGGCAGAGGTTACAGGTCCCCATGAACCGGGTCCATATCTTGTTGGTCAAGGCTGAAAAAAGTAAATACGATATGAGAAAAGCTTATTCCAACACTTGACGATTCTCACCGAGAATTGCTTGGGTAAAGGAAAGGTGGCAACTTACTCTGGAAGCAGGGCATGACAAACCCGTTCTCGGCCTTGACATGTTCGTAGACATACCACCTACCTCCCTTCTTGAGATAGCCGTACAGCAGCCGAGCATTCTTCTCCGGGTCGGGAATGCTACACAAACACTGAATCGTGACGATGCAGTCCAGGCTCTCGGGCCCAATCTTGGCATCCGTCTCGCCGAGGCTCTCGATGCCCACGGGCAGGACCTTGTACACTTTTCCCAAGCCCACGGCTTCCGTCCGCTTCTTCAGCGCAGCCGCCGAGTACGCGTTGGGTTCCACGCCGTAAATCGTCAGCGGGCCCTTGGCGTCCTGGGTGACGGTGGCCAAGACGTCCGCCCACATGCCGCTTCCCGCGCCGACCTCGAGCACGGTGCCGCTGACGGGCGGGCAGCGGGGTTCGTCGTGGATCCGTCCGTGGCGGACCCGGCCTTGGAGCAGAGGGAGGACGCGCGGTGCCGAGTTGGTCTTGACGATGGGGCCGTGGTAGGCCCAGAAGTTGCCGAACCAGGCCTCGTTGAAGGCTTCGCGCGATAGGAGCGTTCCGAAATCCGCGGCGAGGACGAGCTTGGCGATGGTGATGAAGAAGAAGACCACCGAGATGGCGATGAGCACCCAGGGGAGGAATATCTCGGTGAGCATGTTGGAGGCGAGTACGGTATGGTGGTGGTCAAAGTTGGCTTTAGTACTGGCCGTGTTTCCGAAAGTTGGAGGAAGTGGTGGAGATCTAGGTGCATGGCTAGACTTTTATACTCGCCACCATTCTTCTTTTTAGCGTCCGTAGCGGCTTCTTCGGCTTGCCGGACGGAGACTTGCGGAGAGTTTTGGTCAATCAAAGAGGCCGACGCCATGAGCTACATCAGCTGGCATGCGGCCTCTTCGCAGCTTTTGACAGCTGTCTCAACAGAAGCGGCGGATGGAAATGTTGGAGATGCGAGACATTGTGGGGTTGGGGGAACTTATCCGCCCGGTGGACGGCTCCATGCGATTCGGGCATAGCAGCCGGGGGAGGCGGGATGACAAAATTCGCCCGTGTCATTGCAGCGCCGCGGAGGCGGTGAATTGGGAGATTGATATCAATGATTCTTTTTGCAAATTTGAGCGTTGGGCGATTCCGGCCGCCAGCCACAGCGCTAGTCCTGAGATGTAATGGATGCGGTCGGCGCTATCGCAGCCCAACCTCCATTCTCTGCAAAGCCCACATGCCCGGCCCGTCGCTCTGAATCAGTTGTTTGTCCTAGTACCAAGCAAGACCACATCGCTCGTGGCTGGTCGTACTCCCATCAGATTAATAAACTTAGGGCAACGAATATGATTCCGGTGCGTGTGCGACAAAAAGACGACGCATGGACCAGCCAAGCCAGCGAGCTGAACAGGTTCAGCTCCCAGACCTGAAAGGATTTCGAAGGATCAGAAATCTCGGGTGCACTGCCCACTTCATTGGCTCACCTACGCTGCGGGTGGCTTGGCGGTTAATATGGACGGCGCCTGGATTTTTCCAGGCGAACCTACCTCCCCTTGAAGCGCGCCAGCCTTATGGGACGATCCTCCCCCTTTTTCTCCCCTTCCGAAAAATAACCTTGAGTCCCCTCCTCCCGTTTCATCGATTCCTCTGACCTCACCTCTCGAGGAGGCTGGCGCTCGAGCAACAAGCACCGAAAGAGACCAAATAAAACGACAGCCACTTGCTTCCTTTCTCAGCAGTTTAGCCTCTGCAATGGTTGCTCTGCACGCGCTGCTGTGCCTGTCGCTGGCGGCACGATGGGTCTCGGCGGAGTGCTACATGCCCAACGGGCTCGACCGGAACAAGAACAAGGACGACGAGAGCCACGACTACCAGCCGTGCAACAACTCGACGGGCGGGGGGCGAGCATGTGCTGCAACGTCGGCACGGGGGACGTCTGCCGCGATAACGGGCTCTGCTTCAACCCGAGCGTGGAGCACCTGTGGCGGGAGAGCTGTACGGATCCCACCTGGAAGGACCCGGCGTGCGTGAAGCTGTGCCACCGCGATATCCTTAGTGAGTTTCCTCTTTGTTTCGCTTATCATTACCCCGTACCATACCCTCTCTCCCTCCCTTGTCACGGATGTCCTAACCTGCTGTTGATGGGGGTGTAGACGCACAGGGTATTTTGATGAGCGGTACGGATATGCGCATCACAGTGTGCTCCGACGGAAGTCTCTGCTGCGGGGATAAAGAGGCGTCGACAGAGTGTTGCCGCGAAAAGAGCGGATTCCTCATCGTGGACGGCGAGGTCGTCGCCGCGTCACAACCCAGCTCGACGACCGGCACGCAAACCACCGCTCGATCGACCTCATCCACATCAACGTCCACATCTTCCTCCGACGACCCCGAGTCCGACGATCCCGAGGCATCGAACACGGGAAACGACGATGGATCCTCGGGTCCTAATAAAGCCGTCATCATCGGGGCCGTCCTCGGCTCCGTGTTTGGCGTGGCGCTCATCGCCGCGGCGTGGGTGCTGTACCGGCGGTCGCAGCGGCGAGGGCCCTCGCCGCCGGTTACTGGAGGAGGTGTTATGGATGCCGCGCCGGAATACAAGGCCGTTTCGCCGCCTCCGGTCGAGCTGGAAACGGAGCACAACTACTATCGATACGAGCTGGGCGGGGAACGGAGGTATTGAGGGGGAGGGGAGACTGTTTGCCGAGGAGGAGATTTTTGTTCATGGCTAGCATTACTTTGGCGTTGTGGCTTGGGAATTCGGGATACTTTCATGCATCATTGCGATGTGATAAAATTCGTTCACAATGTCAACACAAACATTAAATCATGGCACTTGGCTGCTCTTGATTACAAGTCGGTTTAATATTAGACTTGACTAATCTGATCCATCTGCATCTGGGTATATCAATCCACACTTCACCTGCCATTATACTTCACATCTCCTTCGATGCTCCAATTGTTCCCCTCCTTCATCCCCTGCCCCCACTGTTGGTCAATACAGATTGTAGAACCACTCTCCTACCAACAAAGGCCTATGTAGCTATGGTCAAACTCGCAACAAGGTTGACATCGGACCATGTATAGCCTATTTAGAAGACCATACCCTTGACCTGTGGCTTCTTGGCGAGATTGATATTCTTGATGAGGAATATCCAAATGAAGGAAAGGGTCATGATGCCAGTTCCCGCAGCCAACATCCTCGTCTGCGCATATCCGTACGCTTCCTGGATGCCCAAGCGTTCAGGCGTTCCCACCTCGTAACTCAACTGGACCTCCAAATCATCATAGATGTCCTGCAAGTTGGGAAGCTCCGACTCGGGAAGGTATCGGGCCAGGGCGTTCCTGAACGTGTTGGTCCAGATGGCGCCGGAGATAGTGTTGCCGATGGCACCACCGACGTTGCCAGCGACGTAGAGAAGAGCAAGACCGGCAGCGATGTGCTGGTGATCGACGGCAGCCAGGACGGCGAGCTGCTCGCAGATGATGAAGATGCTACCGCCGACGGAGATGAAGATCTGGCACATGACGATATAGCCAATGTAGCCGTTGGGACGGCGGAAGTAAATCATCAAGCCCTGGGCCAGGATATAGAGAGGCACGGCGAAGTACAGGAGCCACCGGAAGTAGCCGGTCTTGCGGATGACCATACCGACAATGAGCAGCAGAACGCCGGAAACGACGTCGAAAGTGCTGCCGACGTAACCGGCCTTGGAGACGCTGAGGTTGTTGACGACCTGGAGGAAAGAGGTAAAATAGCTGTTCCAGCAGTAGTAGGAGATTTGGTACGTCATGCATAGCAGGCATCCGCCGACGACGGTGCGGTCGGAGAGGAGGGTAAAGTTGATAAAGGGCCTGGGGGCGAGCTTGGCCTCGTAGATTCCGAAAGCTACGAGGACGACGAAGCCGACGACGATCATGGCGATGATGTAGCCGGTTGACCAGCCGTTGGGAGCGGTGTCGGCTAGGGTGAAGGGAAGGAGGAATACGGTGAGGCCACCGGCGAAGAGAACGACGCCCAAAGCTTAAAGGAGAAAAGAATTAGCAAAGTGAAAAGATAAACGCGCAAAAGAGACTCTACAAAAGGCTTACCGTCAAACTCGAGAGTGTAGTGCCAGACGTTCTGGAGGAAGCTCCGACCACTGCTTTCCCTGAAAATGATGCCCTGCTGCCTGGCCTTGTGCAGGTTGACCTTGAGGACGACGAAGAGCGGGGCGGCGACGAAGGGCAGGATGATGGCGAAGATGCCAAAGGCCCAGCGCCAGCTGATACCCTCGTAAAAGTCCTCGGAGGCCTTGGCGCCGGCAAAAGCGGTGATCATGTAGGGAGAGGACGTGAAGGCGTAGGCGAGACCTCTGTTCTTGAGCTTGGAGGCGTCAGCGGTGATGACGTCGACGCTGTAGGTCATGCCGCCGAAGCCGATGGTGTAGAAGACCTCGGCGGCGCAAAGGTGGAGATGCCCTTGCTGGTGGCCATGAGGATGAGGCCGAGGGTGGCGAAGCAGGTCATGATGAGGAAGCCCTCGGCGCGGCCCCAGACGTCGAGGATCTTGGCGAGGGGATGTACACGGCGGCGGACATGGCGTTGGCGACGATGTAGATGACGGTGAGGAGGGAGTGGGTTTCGAAGTCGCTGGTTACGTAGGGGATGAGGTTGTAGAGGATGGAGGCTTGGAAGGCGTTGACGAAGTAGAGGAGGAACATGCTGTGAGAGGGGGGACACACTGTTAGCAAAGAAAATCGGTAGGGGAAAATGGGAGTAGGCCATTTTTTGGCGCGCCAGGGCTAGCTGGGCGCGGCTGCTACTGCTGCTATGGCGGTAGTCACGTACAGGATGAAGACGGCGATGAGGGACGGCTTGGACCAGGTCAAGGTCACGGCCTCGATGGTCTGCACACCCTTTTGGGCATCTTCGGTGGGAAGCTCAAAGGGCTTCTCGGGCTCTTCGGCGGGGCCGTCCTGGGCGGCGGCGTCCGTCTTGCGGTCGCCGGCGGGGTTTCGACGGCGATGGTGGTGATGGCATCTTCCTGGGGGAAGAGCGGCGGAAGCCGGCGCGGAGCTTTGGTATTATGGCCATTGTGGTGTTGTGCCTTGTCTCTTTTACCTTGTTTATGGGGTATCTGATTATAATACTCCCCGCTTGCAGCCTGCAAAAAGAATGGGAGTTTAAAAGGACTGCGGAAACAGAACAGTGAGAGGAGGGGTGGGTGGGTGGGAGCTCCCTTATGAATTGAGCGAGGGCAGCAGGGTGCATTGTCCGAAAACAGGCGAACAGCGAGACGAGAGAAACAAATCGGGAAGAGGGCTCGGAGGCGTTCCGCGACCTGCGAGCAGTCCGCATCGCGTACCGGCACCCAATAGTCAATAAGATGCAACGTAAAAGAAAAGAAAAAAACGACCATGAAAAAAATGGTGCTCACCCCGCCGCTCCCCTCACTAGTGCCGCGAATGGATCATGTCACCCGTTGAAGAGACAGGGGTAGCCTCTACCTGATCCATGGTGTAGCACACGCGGTGCGAAAGGAGGAAGGGGGATGAAATGCCATGTACAGACCCCGATAAGGAGAGACATCTGATAAGATTAGATCGAACGACGGCGTGTTGCGCCAGCGGATCTCACGGCAGGTTTGCCCCACTTGCCTTGGGATGTTGCGGCACCGGGTCCAGGAAGCCTTGGCGAGTTTGGTGGGGTCTGGTCTCTGCTATTCGTTGGTATCGAGGATTGGATTGGATGGGCTGGCCCAGCCCAAATCAGTTGTCAGTGGGCTCTTGTCTTCGTGGGCAGACTCCCAAGAAGGATGGGGAGGGTGTGTGGAGCGCTCAAAAGGTCACCAATGGCCAACCGGCCCGAGGGTTTGGGGGCATGACGGCCTTGGCGTCTTCGAGTGGAGTGCTCCGCTCGAAGAGAGCCGGCTTGTCCAATATTCTCGTTGCACAGACACTGGCCCTTGTCAAGTTCGAGGCAAGAAAAAAAAAAAAAAAATTAAAACACAGAACAAGGCAAAAAGCGAAGAGACGAAGGATTGCGGACCCGGTCGATCGTGGTCCTCTCTCGTGGGGTGGAGAGAGGTGGCGTCTTGTGTTGGGTCGGGGGTTTGGTCCTGGAGTGGTGCTCGCACTAGACAGAATGGGCCGGGATCGGCCGTATGCCTGAAAAGTCGGTTTAGACCCGAAGATTCGTACTTGTATGTACGCAGTGAGCTAGATTCGGAGGGTGCGACAAATTGTATCCTTTCTACATACAAGTAGCCTAACTTTTCGGCTCGCATCTCGACTCTTGCGCAGCGTTTACCAACACTACATGTGCAAGTTCTCATTCGCGACCCCCGAGCCGAGCCCTTGCTCTCATCCGATAAGGCGAACCTGGTGGGCCAAGCAACCCACACCCCAATGGAACTGCAGAGGACGAAGAATTCATGTGGTCTACGCGCGACAAATCGAGGTCCTGTGCCACCGTGATGCTGCATCTATGGATCTAGCGCAAAGCAGAAAAACCGGACCCTTGTCCAATATCACCTCCAGTCCGCTCCCACCCTCTAGGTTTCCACACTTTGGTTCCGCGCTAGAGCAGAACTATCCCAAACCGGGAGTCACCAGCACTTTGTATTACGAGTCTTTTCTCGCGTGTTGGTCCTGAGGAATGTTGGAGACCAATGAGCAAGAAAAGAGCGACTTTTCTTTTCCTTCGGGTGGGTACGAATATGGGTTACCGGCGGTCGCAAAAGAAATTTTTTTCATCTACCGTTTTTCCTCGTTCGCGTGGCCTAGCTTCTCGCTCGTAAAGTGTCCGTGTTTAAAGTCATATTCCTGATCGGACCCGAAGAGATGTCCAAGTGGAAGTAAAACTTTAGGTTTTTTCCGCCTCGTTGACGGAGGATTCAAGTGTCGTCTCTTGTCCCCTATGAACCTCGGGACCGAAATACTTGGTCCCCAGCTCAGTGCTGCCCATGGCACACCTGCAGTCAGCAAACCACCGATGGCATGGGTCGTCCTCCCCGCTCTTCCACCACGAACAACCCCTCTTTTGATCCATTTGTAGGGCCAGGGGATGTCATCGTCCCACCGTCTCCGCCGAGATGGCGTTTCTCTGTTGATCACACGTGCGAATAATGGACATGTCTGGCATGGACATTGCCCTTTCCGCAAAGGTGACACAAGATCCTGGTCTTAGTCTTGCCAACAATGTCTTGGCGCGCACCCTCGCGTTGGCAGACGAAGAAGGCTCTTTGTGACAAGAGACGTGACCGAAAAAGAAAAAAAAAAAGAGCCAACAAGAAAGACAAAGGTGGTTACGGACTAGGCGCGCTTACACGCCAGGTTTCGCGGATCTCACACAAAGGCTTGAACTGTCGTTCAACTCCAAGGCTTGGCTGCAGCGGTGGCCGAGCGGGAATCCCATGCCAAGAAAGCCAGGATCTCCACGCCGCCAAGCCCATTCAAAGACCAGGTTTGGTGAGGGAGGGCCTCCAAGCTTGTCAGCAAATCTTGGCAATTGTCCGCCAGTTGTGAAGATGGGCGTATTGAGACTATAGCTTCGCGCTTGCTCGGAGATATACGAATGCGTCTCAATCTGACGATGCATGAGTCCTAGCCATCTTTTTCCCATGCTCTGTTGTTTTTGGCTTCTTCTCCATTTGCTTTGCTCTCTTTGTCTTGTGAGAATTTCATTCAAACTGAACCAAACCTGGCATTTCTAAAGGTTTCTTTCCCTAATCCGCGGTCGAGCGTCACCGATGAGTGAGCAAGACTAACTCAGTATCAACTACGGGTCTGGATCATTTTCATGATCCGCGCAACATGGCGCAACATGGGCATGTTGGTCTTAGGGGCGAGGGTCGAATAGACCCCAAGACTCGTCGAAAAACCCCTGGTTATACAATAAACTCTCTTGTGCAACAATCGTCCTTTCACAGCGCAGTTCGAATCACAAACAACAAGGGATGCTGGAACTAGGTTGCGTTGAAATGGTGTCTATGAGCCTTGTTCATCGTTTATTTCTACTAGTCCTACTACTACGCTACTACTACTACTACTACGACTGCCCAACCAGGGTCAGGTACTACAGCTTCCACAGTCTTTTGTTCGATTGTCATGTGGTTTTCCACAAACACCATCACCCGGGCACGGGTTCAAGTCCACTACAGAAAGTGAACAGGCTTACGCCTACAGTCTTGGCTTGCACGCTTTAAGGCGTGATGCAAAGCCGCTGCAGGCGGAGAGCGAAACCACGGTGCATCCCCATCTGCGAATGCACGTGGGACGGCAGGTCGAGGGATCGAATTTAGTCGTCGAGCACCTCGTACACCTCCTTGATCTCGGGGACCTTGGCCTCGAATTCGCTTCGAGCCTCCTCCCATACGCGGGCCTGGGCCACCTGGCCGCTCTGTCGCTCCATGAAGGGGGATACCTGACACACAATGGTTAGCAACTCAGACGGCGGGCGGCGAGCGGTTCTCCCAAGAGGGCACGACTTACGAAGCGGTGTCGAAGTCCTGCATGATTTGGCCGTGGGCGTCCGCGGGGCCGAAACACCGTTGACGAGGGCGGTGGCGCAGATGGAGGGTCGCGGGCGCCGAGGTTCATGATGAGGCGGGGATGAGCTTGGACTGGTTGGGGTTGGTCAGAGGGGTCAGGCGGAGCCGGGGTCGGCGCTGTTGATGGTGACCTTGCGGATGCCCTTGCCGGCGGCGAGGGTGGCGGTGGTGCGGGCGGCGAGCTCGCGGGCAAAGTAGAGGAGGAGGGCCTTGGAGCGGCCGTACTGGTGGGCCTGTTCCATGCCTTCCTTGTTGTTGCTGAGGCGCTTGAGGTAGGAGCCCGTCTTGGGCATGCCCATGGTGAAGGAGGAAGGGTAGATGCCAAAGGTGGTAACGAAGGTCATCACGGGGGTTGGGGTTTCCGGGGAGGCCTTGAGGCGGGGGAGGAGAAGAAGGGAGATGAGGGCGGTGGAGAGGAAGTTGACTTGGAGAGCTAGGGAAGAAAAAGGGTGAGAGTTAGAGCGAGTGTCGTTGACATGGATATCACATGTACACTCGCGCACGCATATACGCGCGCACGCCGTGGACAGATATACTCGCACACGTGCAGATATATACACACACGAGCGCACCGTCCTGCCGCTTACGTGGAGACAAGAAGGACTCGGTAGTGACGGGACTACAGGTGCAACGGCGGGGGGATAAGTGTGGGGAGAGAGGGGCAGACTTACAAGTTTCCCAGCCCTCGGGGACTCCCGGCGGTTGAAGGCGAGGATACCGGCGGTCAAGAGAACGTGGTCGAGGTACTTGAGCTCGCGCGCCTTCTGACCGACCTGCTGGCAACCCTCAAAGGTCATCATGTCGATCTTCCAGACGAGGATCCTGGGCACGGGCTTGCCGGCGTCGGTCAACTCCTCCTCGATCTCCTTCTTGACGCGGCCGCAGTCCATGACGTCGACGAGGACGAGGGTGTCGATCTCGCGGTGGGCAAAGAGCTTGGCCGCGCGGGAGCCGAACGCGCCGTTAGCGCCGGTGATGAGGGCGGTGCGGCCCTTGTACGACTGGGTGGTCACGGTGGGACGGCCGTGGCGCTGCGCCCACAGGCTCCTCCATGGGAAGTACTCCTTCACGATCCAGGGGATGCCAAAGGTGATGATGGCCAGCACCACGGCCACACCGCCGAGTAAGCCGTAGCCAGCCATTTGCGAAGTTGAAAGGGGGTGTGAGGCGGTGGGGAGAGAGAGAGAAATTGCCAATGGGAAAAACAGCCGTGAGCGAACCCGGGTCGCTTCGAAATCCAAAGGGGGAGAGGAAAACAGGATATATCTCAGAGATCACCACCCACACTGAGAAAATGGGCTGATTGTCCTCTTCTTTTTTTTTTTCTCCTGTCTTTCTTTCTTTTTTGGCGGAGCTCTGTGCCACTCCCTTTTCCCCTTTGCCCCTGAAATTGCGATGCAAAGCGGTGGCTGGGGCCCGTGGAAAAAGTGCGGATTATCTAATAGCAATGGAGCTTGGCGCTGTGTGACCGATCTCGGATTGGTGGAGCTCCCTCTGTAATTTCGTTTTGGCTTGGTCCCCGCCACATCTGAAGTGCCACAGCTTTCCCCAGGTTTCGTGGCTTCTTCTCCGTGCCACATGGCCTCTTTCGGGACACCTGTCACAACGCAATGCCAATCTTTTTCTTCAGCGCCACATGTCCATCACTTTGGATGCTGATCATAGGGCGTCCCGGGCGACAAAGCTTTCGGCAAAGGGAAAACATGCGCGTGCCTCTCTTCGCAGGCGCCATGGGCGTGCTCCTCACATCGACGTTGTGATCTTTTGCTTGGACCTTGACACGGGTTACGCAAGTTCCAAAGCTGTGTATTCCCGAAGCCGGCACAAAGTGTCACGATTGAGGACCCTCACAGAGAGGACCAGATGATGAAAAGCCAGCAAATGGTGACTGCTTCGACGCGAGTACAAGATACATAGCGGACCTTTTTCTTAGGTCGTGCGTGGCAAGACAACCAATCGGGGTGTTCATGATGTTCTCGCACCTGTCGTACCAGGTTTTCCAAATTGAACGATTGATCATTCTTCTGGCTCATTGTCCTCGGAGCCAGAGCCCCACTGCCACTATTCCCTGGTTGGATTGATAATTTGAGCTATTTTCCGACTTGGGAGCATTGTGCAGGGTTTTGCTTGGCTGGGTCTTCACCCGGTCGCCCAAAGCGGCCTGGGACCCAAAACCTTAAAAATGCATTGGATTTGATCCACTGCCTTTTCCAAGTGCCGCTCTCCAACATGCCATCGCAGCCTTTTCATCGCTACCGCCGCCCTCAACAGCCAAAAGGCCTATCAAAGAATGGATGGAAATTGGAGACATGCAAAGATCCAGCCCAAGACACGAGGCGGGTTTGGAGAAATCCCGGATAAACACGACAGGGGGCAGGCTTAGTCAGATGATCCGCCCCCAAACCTGGCACCGAAGGCGGTGTCTCGAAAGATGGGCGTTCGGTTCGCAGAGCGACCAACCAGGCAGCCCTGACCTTGTTGTGAAAAAAGGTCAGCAATATCTGCCGCGAAGCTCAGTGGCTGGCAGCTCTCCCTGTTTGCCGTGCATCTTCACACATTGACCGTGACGCTTTGGCATAACAGGAATGCGACTCTGACGCCCCACCATTATTATTTAGGGCTGCGTTAAGCTTACGAACGGCACTCGCTGTCGGTTCGAAGGTCCTTTTTCTTCTTCCGGATTCCAGACTCCCTGCGGGAAAGTGCGATGCGAGAGAGCATTAAGCTTGCGCCTATAATAAGTATTTGATCTACGTGCGCAATCTTCCCTCTAGGCCACACCCCTTATCCCACCCCCTTTTCTTTTTCTTCATGACTCCGGGGCTCATAGCCGCTTCATCCCATCATCATGTCTTCCATCCGCGACCTGATGTCCACCTATCCAATGCTCGTGTCCGCCATCGCTGCGACCGGCGGCGGCCTGGCGCTCGTGTACGCGCTTCGTGCCTATCTCCTGCCTAAACCCATCCCGGGTATCCCCTACAACAAGGAGGCTACGCAAAGCATCCTGGGCGATTTTCCCGAATTCGAGGCCCAGGAAAGAAGGGCCGTCGCAAAAAGCTCTGGTGGGCCGAGCTGGCCGAAAAGCACGATTCGCCCATTGTGCAATTCTTCTTCCCCATGATGCAGGCGAGCATCGTGGTGGCCGACTACCGCGAGGCCCGCGATATTCTTCTCCGGCGGAGCAAGGAGTTTATCCGCGGCCAGGCGAACTGCGATTCTTGGATCGGCTTGCTGCCGGGCCACTTTATCGCCATGGAGGACGCGCACCCGCGGTTCAAGGATGCCAAGGCCCTGGGCAAGGACCTGATGACGCCGAGCTTTTTGCATAATGTTAGTGTCCCCCTAGCTTAGCGATATCGAAGTAGAGGAGGACCCAAGGGATCGAGGGGTGGAAGAGGTTGTCGATGATAAACTAACGGTTATTCGTGTTTAGGTGTCTGCTCCTTCATCCTACGAAATGGTCATGAACCTGATTCAGCTGTGGAAGCTCAAGGCCGACGTAGCGCAGGGCTCCCCGTTTGATGCTAGCGAGGATCTCAGCCAACTCACATTCAACATCATGGAAGCGGCAGCTCTGGGGGTCGACGCCACGGAGACTTCCATGGCCCGACACCTGGCCAAGTTGCGAGAGGCCCGGCTACCCCAGGGACGCGGCGGGCCTGCGCTCGTCGAGTTTCCAGATTGGGAAGAATCGGATCTGCTAGAGGCTCTGCACGCCTTTGAAAATGCGGCCGGCAGGGCTCTCGTGGCGCCTAGCCCCTGGCTGTTCCACGTCTTCAACAACCTGTTCAGCTCGAGGTTGCGCAAGGCGCGTGCTGCCAGGAAAGCTGCCTGTAAGTTTGCGCACCTGTGCCTTCTCCCCCGTCTCGCGCCTCGTCTTTTTCCCCTCAGCGTTTCGATCTTGACTCTTGGTTTATTCCCTTGGAGGTGTGCTAACTCTCCTATCGCCGCAGTGACGACCTACATTGACGGCGCGCGACAACGCTACGCCAAGGACCCGGAAGCATTCGTCGCCCTGTCGGCCGTCGACCACATGATCTTGCGCGAGGCCCAGGCCATGGCCAAGGCGAACACCACCACCTCGCACCTCACGCTAGAGCTCGAGGACGGCCTGATAGGGTACATGATCGGCGGCCAGGACTCGACGCACAGCACCCTCTGTTTCACCGCCAAGAGGCTCGCCAAGCACCAGGATATCCAGCAGAAGCTCCGCGATGTCCTCCGCGCCGCGCACCCCAACGCCGTCCGAGAAGGCCGACAACCGACGGTTGAGGAGATTACCAAGACGCAGATCCACTACCTCGACGCCTTGATCCAGGAGATACTCCGCGCTGACCCCCGGGTCCCGTCGTCGCCCGCCAAGCGGCGCAAGATATGCAGATCCTGGGCCACGTCGTCCCCAAGGGCACCATCATCATCTTCACGCTAAACGGCCCCACGATTAAGGGGAAAGGCTTCGACGTGCCGGAGAGTCGGAGGAGCGCAACGTCGGCCAAGAACGCGGGCGGCGTGGGGGATTGGGCCGAGACTACCTACTCTGGGGAAGAGTTCCTGCCCGAGCGGTGGCTGGTGCAAACGGAGGGCGGCGGCGAGGAGGGCACCTACGATAGCATGGCGGGGCCTTTCTTGTCGTTTAGTAGCGGCACGCGGTCCTGCTGGGGCCAGAGGCTGGCATACTTGGAGCTGAAGCTTATTATTACCTTGCTGGTGTGGAATTTCGAGTTTGGCCGGTTGCCTGAGGAGTTGGACGATTGGAAGGTGATTGAGGGCATGTTTACGAGGCCGAAGAACACGTATGTTCGCCTCACTGCCCTGTGAGATGCCGTACGTGCTTCGCTTTCCTCTGCAGAGTTGAACGCTCGGATGATGGAAGCAACCGCACGTCGTGGGAGGTGACACCTTCTCTTGCTGTTCTAGTATACTAACCCCGCCCTTTTTATTCTTTTTTTTTCTTTCCTTTATGTATAGTTTGACCTATATTTCTTTCCGTAAGGACGATTCCTGCCATGTCTTTTTTGTAGATTAGATACGAAAATTCAGCTCATTGACTTGACCATTGCTAAATTCGCACGCTTGAGAACTACGCAAGTGGAGGATCCCCACAGTATGATGAACAGTGTGAGTGAGATGGAGTAGTGGTGGCCGAGACATGCTCGCGAAATCCGTGGCCTTGCCGGCAACTTGTTCTGCAAACGGTGGCGGCCGGCAAAGATGGAACAACAGCGGGTTTATCTTTCTGCATCACCCGGTCTTTGGGTACCAACATCACCCCGATCGATCTCGGCAGCCTTTCTGACTTGCGTCTGTCGGTCCCTCCTGCACGTAATGCGTCTTCTCGTGGAGGTTGAAGGTGGCATAGTCGTACACGAGACTGGGGAAGTGAACCCCGGCTCAGTTTCAGCATGACCCGGTCGCGGTCTGGCTCCGGGGGCTTCTCTCCGTCGAGGGCGGAGGGGTGAGGGGGTGTCGATTGCTAGGTTGCAGGTTGGGGGCGACCGGACAAGAGAACATGGCTCGATCTTGGCTGGTTGAGTTGGCCGAGCGAGGGAGGAAAACCAAGATGGGAAAGAAACAAAAGCAAAGAGCATGATGGAGGCGTCCGTGATACGCCTCGTGGTTACGCAACTGCACGTGTTCGTGTCATCGGCGGGCAAAGGCCCCGTTGGTGCCTCGTTGATTTTCATACCCACATTTTGCAATGGGCCCATCGACGTGTGTGGATCTATGCTATCTACTTGGTGACCTATCGTCGTACTTACGAGTATGGGGCAAAGAACTGTCACTGACACTACGGGGATTTGAGCACATTTAGGGTTGATTGTATAAGAACTTTTTAATGTTGTCAATTCCATGTGGTATTGATGAAAGCGGTTTTGTCCGCTAAATAGTCAAAACATGCCCTAACGCCGTCATGATCCGTCTATCCGTCTACCTATGGTTCATTTCTAGATGCGCAAAAGAGAAGGAAATTGCGAGAAGAGAAATATCCACCCTGGTTGAGGCATGGAGATGTGTAAAAGAAACAAAAGAGAACAAAAGGCAAGGCAAACACCGTTTTACTCGACGGCCGCTAGCGAGCTCTCGGGGTGGAGAGCGGGGTTCACCTTGTCGCTCCACCTCAACTTAAACTCATGACCAAGCTCCTTGGCGACGGCGGCCTGGACGGCGTCGAGGACGGTGGGGAAGACGCCAAAGTTGGCGGGGTTCTCCTCATCGTTGTCGCCGCCCTGGAAGACACCGGTGCGGACGAGGCACGTGTTCCAGCCGTACATGTTTCCGCCAATGATGTCGGACTGGGGGTTGTCGCCGATCATGTAGATGTTCTCGGGGATGGTGTGCTCGTTGTGGATCTCCTTCATCCACGACCTCATGACCTCGTCGGCGTACTTATACGTGGCCAGCTCGGGCTTGCCGTACACGACGCGCTCGAGCTCGCCGCCGGTGATGGCCTTCCACTGGGCCTCGAGGGCGATACGGAAGGCGCCCTGGGTGAGGCGGGGCCCGAGCTTGTGCTCCGTGGGCATGATGAGGTCGCCGTGGGAGAAGTAGATGGGGAGCTGGGTCTTGATGGGGTCCTTGGAGCGGGTACCCAGGCGACCGTCGACGCTGGTGAGGAGATCCATGATGATTTGCATGTCGGTGGCGTAGTCGCGGGAGTCGGCGAAGACGAGGACGGCGTCGAAGTTGACACGGTCAAAGTCTTGGGGCCGGGCCTCCTTGCGCTCCTCCTCGGTGAAGTGCCTCCAGGGCGAGATGGAAGGGTCCCAGGCGACAATGTCCTTGGGGACGACGACGTTCCTGAAGCCGTAGGCCTCGGCGGCGAAGCGGGCCGTGTAACCCTCGCCACCGACCACGAGGACGGTCTCGTAGTATTCCGAGAGAGCCTGCATGGGGTGTGGGACTGGATGAACTGGTCCGTGGAGATGGGCCAGCCAATGATCTTGGAAAGCTGCTCGCAGCGGGCCCCTTCGGGCTTACCACCGCCGTTGGTGAGGAGGATGTAAGGGATCTTGATGCCGAGCTCGTTGTCTCCGTTGAGGAGCTCCATGACGCGAGAGGTCTCGGGGATCAGGTTGTTGCCGTGCAGCAGGACGCCGTCAATGTCAAAGGCGAAGGCCATGTTCTTGGCCGCGGCCACCTTTTCCTTGAGAGATCTTGGATCTGGGAGGCGAGCATGTCCCGGCGGGCGCGGGCGCTGGCTTCCTGGGTGGCGAGAGACACGCGCCGGTTGGAGAAGCGCGGGGAGCGGGGATGGGGAGGGAGGCCCCGAAGGAATTCCGCGAGGCGCGGCGGTGCTTCATGGAGGGGGACCCGCTGAGGTTGTGCATGAGCTTCTCGGCATCGCTGACGGCGCTCCGGGAGGCGGGGACCTCGATGTTGTTGCCCGAGGGGCTGATGATGATGTTGGCGTACTCCTCGTGGGAGGAGCCCTTGGTGCCGTTGCTGACGTTGGCGGTGTTGAGGGACTCGGTGGGAGCCGGGGCGTTGACGGAGAGCTGCTTGACGTTCTTCATGGTTGCGACGCCGCTGTGGGAGGGGTAAAAGTGGGATAGGTGAAGGGGAAGCAAAACGAAAAGGTTTGGGTGTGTTTGGAAAAGGAAAGTGAGGGAAACCACAAAAGGGGTTGTGGTCAAGATGGATAGACGGAAGGAAGGAGAAGGCTTGAGGCTGTCTTGGGGCGTTGAAGAGGAGAGGAATGAGATAACGTTAGGAAAAGGGGGTAGGAGAAGGTTTCCCAGAAGCTTTTATATCTGACGTGTTGAAGACGGAAGGTCGGAGTATCTCTCACTTGCAGGATGCGAAAAATCTCGACGTGGCAAAGGGACAAACCGGTGGCCGGGTACAAACTACAACCAAGCCACCGGAAGAGAGTTAGAGTTGAGATAGGAACGAGAGAGACGAAAATATCAACGAGTGACTTCCTCTTTACTTTTCCGGCGTGCGTATGTAGATGCGTACTTGTAGATGCGTACATGTAGATGACATGGCCAATCCACAAGCATCCACTGCTTTCCCTTGGCGAGCCTCGGATGGAGTTGTTCCCCCTGGTCTGGACCTACCTTTGCTGGACCTGTCGATAAGAGCAAGACAGCCGCTGCACGAGAGATAACCAACAAAACCAGGCAACGTATCCACAAGACATCGTCATTGGGTTTCCACAGCGGGGCCCTTTTTTGCCCTTTTTTGCTTTCGAGGGAAAGTCGGGAGAAGGTTGGAAAAAAGTTTTAGTATTAGCTAAGAAAGGGAATATACTGCGAGAAAAAGAAGAAGACCAAAAAAAACAGATTAAGGGGCGTCCTCCGAACCCGAGGGAAGAGCAAAGTTCAAACGTTGTCTAGCTTCACTGACGTCAACTGGTGTTTGTGGCGAGGTGAGGCGCCCCTTCCAGAAGGATAGAAAAAAGCCACAATCTCACCAAAGTTTTATCTTTTTTTCTCATCTGTTCTTTGTCTTCCTTCTTTCGTCCTCTTGAGGGAAGTGGACCCCCACCCTAAAAGAAAAAAGGGCACCGTGGTGTATCCCGGCCGGGTATTGGTGAAACCGGCCATGATGGAGTCTGCCTAGAATTCTGTGGAGCTAGCGCAAAGATCGGCTCGGAGGCTCTCGGAATCTCACCACTCCTTGGACATTTTTTTCCCTTCTCTTTTTTGTTCGGTACCGGCACTTTTCACCGCCGCTGCTTGGCGTCGGACGTAAGCGTCGACCTCAATTGTACGAAGTATTCGGGCTTATTCGTGTACACGAGACTTACGATTGGGGCGCAAGAGTCGACTGAGTCGAGGTTCCGGGGACCTTGGCAAGGGTTTGTGAATGCCGCACCCGCCGCGCTTGTACACCCGGCCGCTTGCGCCGTGGACGCAGGAGAGAATTTAGGGTGACAAGGGGGACAAAGTTGGCCAAGGCCCGTCAACAGGGGCGGCGGTCCGAAAATTGCCCTTGCAGGGACCCCATGCCGGCGCGGCAACGGTGCGGAAATATCTAATTTTTCTTTTCCTTCTCTTTGGAGCGGGGCCCTATGACGACATAGTCTGGCGGTTTTTCGAGGACGTATACATGATGGGGACCCGAAGAAAAAAGCTCTTATCAACCTTCATGGATACTTCCGAATGGGTTGCAACCGTTCTGTCAGGGACCAGCGGATTCTCGACCAACCGGTTCTTTTCGCCTCCCACCGTTACCTTGGGCTTCGAGGTTTTAGTACCATTGCAAGGATGATGATCTATCTGCAAAGGAATTGTTCTTTGTAATAGGAGAATTATGAAGTTTTTATTTTCTATATGATCCACTTATAAACCTCAGGACTGCTCGAAGCAAGGTCGTAGTACGTGCGTCTTTTGTTTCTGATCCCCAGCTCCTCGATCAGACCACATGATCTAGATTCCCCAACTTGTCTTGAACACATCTTTTGCAAGGTCATCACTCCTGCATCTGTGAGACATACTTTCCTTTTTCTTTCCTCACTTTTTCCATCTCTCCACGAAATCTCACGCCCTTCCTTTCTGAAACAACCTCGTTGCCTCACTCTTATTGGCGTTGCTAGCTTCTGTGCTTTCCTTTTTCTTTCCCTCTTGCCAACGCCTTGCGGCTCTTCCTGCACAAGAGAGACACACGCCATTCCACAGATACACACCCCTAATCACACACCCCCTTCTTCACAACGACAATGTCCAAGGGCATCACCTTCACGCTCAGCAACGGCGTCCAGATCCCCGGGCTGGGCTTCGGCACCTTTTCGAGCGAAGGGTCCAAGGGCGAGGCCTACGCCGCCGTCCTGCACGCCCTCCGCGCCGGTTACAGACACCTTGACTGCGCGTGGTTCTACCAAAACGAGGACGAGATCGGCGACGCCATCCGCGACTTCCTCGCCGAGAACGAGGGCGTGCGGCGCGCCGACCTCTTCATTACCACTAAAGTGTGGAATCACCTGCACGAGCCCGCCGACGTCAAGTGGTCGTTGAACGACTCCCTCCAGAAGCTGCGGCTCGATTACGTCGACCTCTTCCTCGTCCACTGGCCGATTGCTGCCGAGAAGACGGAGGACCACCAGCCCAAGATCGGGTCGGACGGCAAGGTAAGGCTCCTAGCTCGAGAAAAGTTCGAAAGTGGATTGCTCGCTCTTTCCCGCTGCTATCCACCATTCACAATTCCCTCCCCCTTTTTTCCCTCCCGTCCGTCATCATGTCCTTTTCCCTCTGTCCCCTGATTTCCAAGTTCGTTTTGCTTGGGCTTAGTCCCTTGGCGAGCCACTCTCCTTCGGTCCCGACCTTTGTGGCTCTGAGACCTCGAGGATGCAGCCCCATCGTCCCCATCAGTCCCCATCGCCCACCCCACCCCTCGTCGCAGCTGTGGAGCCCATGACCTTATTCACGCTGTACCTGAACCGGCGCTAACCTTTTTTTTCCCTTTCGCAGTACATCATCAACCAGGAGCTGACGAGAAATCCCGAACCCACCTGGCGGGCCATGGAAGCCCTCTATGACGAGGGCAAGGCGCGGGCCATTGGCCTATCCAACTTCACCATCCCCGGCATCGAGCAGATCCTCTCCTTCGCCAAGGTGCCCCCACGCCAACCAGGTGGAGATCCACCCTTTCCTCCCCAATACCACGCTCGTCAAGTACTGCCTCGAGCACAACATCCTCCCCAAGCCTATTCCCCGCTCGGGTCCCAGAACCAGGTCCCCAACACGGGCGAAAAGGTGGCCACGAACCCCACGCTGAACCAGATTGCCAAGGAGGGCGGCCACACGCTCGCCCAGGTCCTCATCGCCTGGGGCTTGCGGAGGGGCTACGTCGTTCTTCCCAAGAGCTCGAATCCCGCGAGGATCGATAGCAACTTTGAGGAGATTGACCTGTCGGATGCGCAGTATGAGGCCATCAATCGTGTTGCTGCGGGTCGGCACACTCGGTTCGTCAATATGAAGGATACTTTTGGCTATGATGTGTGGCCCGAGGAGACGGATGGGGAGCTCTCCAAGTAAATGAAAGGATTACAAAAACAGTTAAGATAAAATCGGGAAAGACCCGGAAAACAAAACAATTAGAAATTAGAGGAACGATGTTATGAGTGGGAAGTCCCAGGTTAGGAATGCATGAGGTCTCGCAGATATTCGGATCTGGTATCCTCGACTGAATCATAGGAATTGTACATAAAAGTTGTCTTGGCTCGATTGCCACTTCATACTACAGCATTTGCACCCGTGGTCTGGTCTGCTTTGCATCATGGACTAAATAGGTTCCTTTTTATTGGGGGCTAAAAGAAAACTAAACTATTCTTTTTTTGTCTCTTTTTTATTTTTGCTTCACAGGATAGTACATATTTCGAGGCTTTTTAATGCCCTAACACTTGTTTCATCTTCTTGGGTAAAAATACCGGGGAGTGGAGACCCGCGTGGATACTCGACGTAGGGCATGTGGAGAAGGATAGAAGCAAAGCTCATGCAAAGGGTCCAACATGTGGAAAGTGGAAAAAGTCCCTCTCCGTGGGAAGGAGGTCGAGAACCACCGACGAGATCGCATACCCGAGCCGCCCCAGATCCCTCAGCCCCTCGCTCCTTCCCCGTCAACCATCGTCTTCCGTCCCCACTGTCTAGCTCCAGGTTTGAATCTCAAGGGAAACCGTAGCCCGGTTTCAGTTGCTCGATCTTCGCTGGGAGGCTTGCTGATCGTACTCCTGGAAGGCCTCGATAATCTGATTGCCTTCCTCGAGTCCTTCGGGGCTCACTGTCACGCGTACCATAGGGTCAGCGTCGAACGAGGAACCCAATTCCACAACAAACCCTTCACATCAGCATGGAGAATCGCAACGTACTGTCAAGGCCGTAGCTGTGCTGGAAGTTGGACCGCGAACCCCAGCCATCGTTGATGATGCGGTAGGCGCTAGGAGCTTGGGTCCCGCTGCCAGAGCTAGCCCTCCTCCCCGACGACGCGTTGGTCGAGGAGCCCTGCGGGGCCTTGGCGTCACCGGCGGAGCTCTTGCCGCTGCTGTTGCCGTTGTTATTGCTCATGGCTCCGACTGGTATGCTTGGAATTTTTCTGGCTTTTGATGACTGGAGATATTGGACACGATTGTAGACCAAGCATTCACGAATTGATTTTTGGGAAGAGGGGTTCCAGTGACGAGAGGGAAGGTGAGCGTCATATGGTTTCCAAGCGCGGGGGCGAGCCACTCTCGCCCACTGAAGGTTCGCCTTGCCCGAGGTTGAACCTTATTTTGTATTTGGGTGATCGAAGGGTCAGGTGTCAGGGTTGTTCTGTATTGGGAAGGGGCGGTAGCACAGTGCCGCGCGTACTCAATTCGTGGATTGCCCTATACAATAGATCCATTGATGGCCCTACATGTAAGTCCATGATAATGCCCGACCCCTGGATTACCTGACCGTGGATGGTCGTGCGGAAATCCATGAGCCGGCTGATTTATAGTGACACTATAATTAACCGATGCGTTGCGATTCAGATCGAGAGAATCGATGGCTGCACATATAATCATTTCGAAGCCATGCCAGAGTCACTCTCTCGCGGGCTCCTAAAGCCGGTGCTCTTCAAGGGCGGCTTTCGAGATAGGTGCCAGCGAACAGTTACCCGCTACCGTTAGCTACCAGAGCCGACTGGAGCACTCCTTCGTTGGTGTCGCCGTACGTTGGGCCCACACCTCTTGGAACGCTTACCTCTTTGAGTACCTTCTTCCGTCATCCATCGCCGTCCTCATCATTCGGTGTTGTTGATCTCCCATATCCATTACAGCTGCATCACAGGAGCCACCACCATTGTAGCTGATAGCTCTTGACAAAAAGAAACCAATGGATCGTCGTGTTGCCCTCTCTTCAATATGATTAGGCATCCGAACAGAACAATCAATCGTGAGAAGCGGGGTCAGGCTACGTCGACCGCGTGTGATTGGCGAGCAGTCGACCGGAGCTGAAGACTGCATACGTTTTTCCTGGAGGGTGTCGGCGGGGGACATGGGCTTTTGACTGTACATAATTGTTGTCTACCATCCTTCAAAAAGAACAAGAGAAATGAAATCTTGCTCTCATCATTGCTTTACATCGCGAACTGGTCTGCGAAACCATGAAACCCTCAAGCGCTTAAAGAATCGTCTCTCAAGGCGGCCACAGAACCTCTCTGGCGACGCGAGCTCTATCGGATCGAGTTCTGGGTTGAGCCACCCACCATCCACTGCCCGTGAGGAGCCGCCCCGCATCCCTCCCACTCTTTCTGGGAGTCAAGAACAGGAGCACAAGGTTGGCGATCTACTCTCTCCCAGTTGAACAGGATTCGGCTAATTATACATCGTGTAGGACCAAATTCAACCCCACCACGAAGCCGAGGACGCTGGCTGCCTCCAAAGCAAGCTCTGGACCCAGGCATACGACGCGGCTAAAACCGATGACGAAAAACTGGTGATAGAATATGAGAGAATCGTGCTCGGTCAGCTCCACGAGGACGACCCGGACGGTCTCACTGCGCAGGATGAAAGCAGCCTCGGCGGCCAAAACGACGCTGCCCAGAAGCGTGCACAAATGGCCCTCGCTGTTCAATGCGGCCTAAAAGGATCGAAAAGGAGATTTCCATGAAGCAAAAGGTCCAAGAGGGTATACGCGTCGTGACATCGGTGAAGGAATTTGTGGGCAAAGCGCTCAAGAACGTCCCAGAAGCGGCTGCAGCTTGGGGAGGGTGTGTTTGCTATTACAGGTAAGCCTCTCCGCGACGATATACACTTAGCTTTATTAACGCTCGTAGGTGCTTGAAAATCCCACTAATGAGTCAAGCGCCAACCGAAGCGGTATCTCCTATGTTGTCTCGAGGATGGACTGGTACTGGGAGTTGTCGGGCCTCCTTGAGAGACCCCACGAAACCCAGATCGGGCTACGGGGTGAACTCGAGAAGCACATAATCTCCCTTTACAAAGCTTTCCTTGCGTACCAGATGAAGAGTATATGCTATTATTACCGACGCCGGCTTCTCGTGTTTCTCCGCGACACGATAAAGCTAGACGACTGGGAAGGCACCCTGAAATCCATAAAGGACGCTGAATTAGTCGTCCAGAAGGATATCGACACTTATAGCGGTGAGGATATCAAACAGTCGCTGAGGGACATTGCAAAGCATGGAGACACCCAGTGTGCATCCCTTCAGGACCTCTCCCGAATCCTCCAGGACAACACGGAAAAGCAGGAGAATAGGCACCAAGAAGAAAAAACACAAAGTGCCTCTCAGACTTGCGAGATACCGACCCTCGCCTCACAAAAACGAATCGAGGACACCAAAGGTGGTCTATTCGAGGGCGCCTCGAGCTGGATTCTTACACACAAGGATTTCCTGCAATGGGTCGAATGCGATGACGTTAAGCTGTTGTGGATCAAGGGAGACCCAGGAAAGGGCAAAACAATGCTTCTAATGACCATCATCGACGAGATAGAGCGCCGCTTGGCCAGCTCAGCGGGAAACCCCGGGCACCAAAACTAGCCTTCTTCTTCTGCCAGGGTACGGACGCAAACCTGAACAGTGCCACCGCTGTCCTGAGGGGATTAGTCTACATGGTCGCTAAGGTGTGCCCGGCCCTCATGGTGCACCTTAGAAAGCGATACGATGACGCCGGAAGCGGGCTTTTCAAGGATAATAACGCGTTTTTGCATTGTCCGATATTCTCACCGACATGCTCAGTGACCCCAGCCTTGGCTCAATTCTGCTCGCGGTTGACGCCCTTGACGAATGCATCGTGGACCAAGAGCGCCTCCTCAAACTCATCGTTCGCACCACCACGTTGTCTCGAGTGAAGTGGGTGGTCTCTAGCCGAAACAAGGATGAGATTGCCAAGAGCCTCCAAGTTGAGGCGGGGATGAAATTGTCCCTGGAGATCACAGAGAATGCACAGCAGGTGGCCTCTGCCGTCAACAGTTTCATCGATCACAAAATGTCAGAGCTACGATTGAATGAGAAAATTTCAAGCCAAGTGCGGGATGCTATGAGGGAAAAGGCAGACGGTACATTTCTCTGGGTCGCCCTCGTTTCTGAAGAGCTCAGGAAAGCAAAAAGTTGGCGCGTGTTGCAAGTCGTTCAGCGCATTCTTAGTGGCTTAGTCGGTCTCTATGATCGCATGATCTCCCAAATCGAGCCAGAAACAGGGGACGAATGGGATCTTTGCCGACCTGTACTGGCAACGGTGGTGTTAACATATCGACCTCTCGCGCTTGCTGAGCTCGGTATCCTATCGGGACTGCCCGCGGAAATATCAGACTATCCGGAACACGTGCGGGACGTCGTCGTCTCCTGCGGCTCCTTCCTCACGGTCAAGGATGAACATGTGTATGTCATCCACCAGTCAGTGAAGGACTACTTGATATCTAGAGCCAGTGTTTTTCCCGGTGGCAAAGAGGAGGTGCACCGGTCTTTATATCTCCAGTCAGTCGAGGCCCTAGGCGGCCGACTTCGACGTGATATCTATGGTCTCGCGCAACCCGGTATACTCATTGGCGATATTGACCCACCGGACCCGGACCCATTATCCGCGATACGCTATAGTTGCGTCCACTGGATCAACCATCTTTGCGAAACTTTGTCAAATGATCACGGTGGTGGCTACCAGGGGATCTCGATGATGAGGGTCCAGTTTTCAGCTTCCTCAAGGCCCACTTCCTCCACTGGCTCGAGGCGTCAAGCCTGATCCGAGCCATCCCGGATGTAGTCCTCTCCGTGACAGGAGCTAATAGCCTACTCGGGGTACGTCGCAAGATCCCGAGCATCATATGTAGTATTTGGATATAGCTAACGCGGATTATAATAGGAACAAGTGCCACAATCTCAACTCCACCGATTCTTTTACGACGCATACCGATTTATCCTACACAATCGATGGGTAATTGGAAATGCCCCGTTGCAAACATATATATCGGCGTTAATCTTTAGCCCAACCCAGACCTTGATACGAACTATTTTCAACAAAGAGGAGCCATCATGGGTTACATGTCCGTCTATTACCGAAACTACATGGAGCCCTTGTTTGCAAACTATGGTGGGCTATAATTTCTTGATTGAAGACGCAGCACTCTCACACGATTCCAAGCATGTGGCTTTCGCATCCTGGAATGGCACCATCAAGATCTGGGATGTGACCACTGGCAGCGAAATCTATACCCTCAGAGGTCATGTGGGAGTTCATTTAGTAACATTTTCCCATAATTCTAAGCTGATAGCCTCAGCATCTAGAGACACGACTATCAAGATCTGGGATGTGGAAACGCGTAGCGACATTCAAACGTTGAGAACCTTCAGCCGCAAAATTCACGCAGTGGTGTTCTCCCATGATTCTAAGGAGGTGGCTTCAGCAGATAGGAATATTATCAAGATCTGGGATGTGGCAACAGGCAGACTCGTCAAATATTTTGAGGGTCATGGTTCTACAGCATTATCACTATCATTCTCACACGATTCCAAGCAGCTAGCTTCAGGATACGAGCACAGTCCTATCATGGTCTGGAATGTGGCAACAGGCAGCTATATCTATCTACTTAGGGGCCATACTCGCCCGGTTACTTTAGTGACGTTTTCACATGATTCCAAGCAGCTGGCTTCAGGATCTTCTGACACTATCAAGATCTGGAATATGGCAACAGGTAGCATCATCTATACCCTGGGTCATAGCCAGGTGGTTGCTTCGGTAGCATTCTCGCATGATTCTACCAAGTTGGCTTCAGGATCCCGTAGGGGCACTATCAAGATCTGGGATGTGGAAACAGGAGGCGACCTTCGTACCTTTGAGGGTCATCGTGGCCGCGTTATCTCTGTAGCATTCTCGCAGGATTCCAAGCAGGTGTCTTCAGCATCTGAAGACTGCACTATCAAAATCTGGGACTTGGTCACAGTCAGCGACGCTCATACCTTCAAGGGAAATGGGGACAAAATCACATTTATGGAACTCTCGCCCGATTGTAGGCGGGTAGCCTCAGCATCTACCGATCACACTATCAAAATTTTCGATGTAGTAACGGGCAGCGACATTCACACATTTCAATGCAATGACGAGATTGCCTCAATGGCATTATCGCATGATTTAAATCAGTTGGCGGCTTCAACATTCCGAGACTCCACTGTCAAGATCTGGGATCTGGTGACTGGAAACCAACACCGGCTTCTTGAGGGTGACCGTGAGGAGGTTAGGTCAGTAGCATTCTCACATGATTCCAAGCAACTAGCTTCAGGATCTAGTGGCGGCTCTATCAAGATCTGGGATATAGCAACAGGAACTGTCATTTATACGCTTGCGGGCCAGGACGGCTTCGCTGTATCAGTTGCATTTTCATACGATTCCAAGCAGCTAGCCTTGGGATGTTATACGGGTACTACCAAGATCTGGGATATAGCAACAGGTAGCGACATCTGTACCCTTGGAGATCATGAGGCAGAAGTTACCTCAGTAGCATTCTCACACGATTCCAAGCAGCTAGCTTCAGCAGGTGATGACGGCACCATCAAGATCTGGGATTTAACAACAGGTAGCGGCACTCATACATGTTCCCCTCCGGCTTTTATTGGCAAAAATACCGGTTTTTTGATAATAATCGCATATCTTTGGATCTCATGATGAATACTAGTTCCAATCCCTACGCCTCAATGGCAGCCGATGATGGTCACTCTTCAGCTTCTCAAAGAGATAAGTCGTCGGGACTGTTAAATACACTCAACCAACGTTATGCCCTGGGCCCTGACTCTTCATCAGGACAATGGATCACCTGGAATGGGTCGCCAGTGCTATGGCTACCTCGAGATTACCAGCCGTCTGTGTTCTCAGTGTCGCAAGTGACCATGGCGTTTGGCTGCGATTCAGGGAGGGTGGTAATAATAAACTTTTAGGACCACCTAGGCTATGACTAAATGGACTCTTCAGCTTCTTTGACAAGCTTCGTTTCGATGAAAATATTTCTATGTCTCAATGTGTATTCCAAGTCCAAGCCATAGCTTCAAACTTACTTTTCGAAGTTGAAACGGCGAAGTCATCTATAACATAGCCGTCATGCGGTCTCACATCAGTCGCGCCGCTGGGTTCTTCCCTACGGCTGCTGCGATGCATCAGAGGACTGGAGGAACTCAACGAAGAAGCGCGTTCATGAGGGGTCACGATGGGGGTCATATGATAACTCAATGTTATTTAAGGCCAACCAGACTTAATAGGTATTCCATCTATGAATCTGTGCGTCTCACCTAGGTATAAGCCCGACTTTTCCTTGTATTGTAGCCATGCTTCCACGCCCCTAACTGCTAATAAACCTACACTCTCCTACTTTTAAGCCACCATTTTCTTATCCCAGTCATGCAAACACGGCCTAAGTTGACAAGTGCTCGAAAGTAGATTCAAAAGCACGGCCCTATCGGGGAGCTTTCTCCGGTATCGCACAGCCGCTTATATTGTTTAGAATTCGAGCATCATGGGAAACCTCTTTAAACTCACTTCATCCCTAGGCCCAAGTATTCACGGGTTAGGAAAAGAGGCTCACTGAAAGGACCTTTGAGCAAGAAACTCACGATTGATGATTGTGTAGGAAATGGGACTTCCTCCCGCCCGCGTCCCGCGTGGGAAGCTGATGATTGTCTTCAGGGGATGAGGACAAAAGACGTGAACATCTCTCTTTCCAGTGTCCGACCTTCGGCTGACGCTATCCCACTGCGAGAGAAAGTCGTCGTACATGTCGATGATGCCCGAGAGGAGATCGAGGTCCCTTTTGGCAATGCAGATGATCCGCTCAATTATGCGCAACGACGCTTTGAGTACATTTGATCTCAGCTGAGCGACCAGCCAGTTCCTGCAGCTTAACCAATCGCAATACTTGGGGAACTGCGGAGACGCTTCGTTAGCAGTTCCAAGGCGAATCAGGGCCCGGACGAAGCGGTTCGGTGTGAACTGCGGGTCAGTTTTGAAGGCGTCGCGGAGGCCGCAAAAGAGCGTGTGGATTGTCTCCATCATGACTAAATCGTCTGCCGCAATTCCCTGTTCGAGAGAAATGACACTGAGATGCCATTTGATGAGGCCGGTTTGGTCACCAACGGGCTCGAGGCATTGAGCGAGCTCGACGGGTTTCGAGATGTGGATGGAGAGTCTCGGCTTGGCTTCCTTTTCGGACAGGAACGAAATCTTCCATGGGCTCACCGCAACGTCCCACGCCTTGGAACAAAGCCTCAGATCGATGTCGGCCCCAGGAGGTCCAATCATGCGGCCCCAGATGGCGCTGGCTCCAAAGTGGCCAGGCTCCCAAAAGGCGAAGAGGCAGTACGACCGCGTGCGGACCTCGGCGATGGAAAGCCGAGCCCACACGTCGCAGAGCCATCCCAGGTCCTCGCCGGGGAGCTTGGCGTCCGCCGTCGGACCGCTAGCCGTCTCTGGCTTGCAGGTGATGCACGTGTGCGCACCGGGCACGTAGCAGGTCCAGAGCTTGTCCTTGACGTTCCAGAAAATGGAGACGGGCGGGCGACGTGAGGGGTGGACGCCGCGGGAAGCGAGATTGTGCCAGTTGGGAGAGACCTTGCTGGAATCGAAGTCGAGTTCGTGGATTTGGACGTCCAGGAGGGCGTAGAGGCGAAGGCCCGTCCACAACTTGCCGCTTTTGGGGAGCAGGCGATCGGTGACTGCGGGCGGGGCGAATTCCTGAGAGGTAGTAGTCTGATCCGCGGCGATGGGGCCGGGAGGATGGGGGATATCGCCTGTGCGGGCGTTGTTCGTCGACATCTTGTAGGTTCTTTACGTCACGTAAAAGTTGGTGATGGAGAATACGTGTAAGGATGATGCAAAAGAAATTTGTGATTGCTTAGATGTTTTGTTTACATGGAAATTTCTGACCAAGACTCGAGGCATATTGGTGCTCCAGCTCAAGGCCCATATGTTGAGCGCTCCTTCCCAGTCTGTTGAGGTGCAACAGGTGTGCCTGAGATATTCTGAAAAGGAAGGCACGTCTTCGCTCTCGCCAGGATGGAAATTGCACTGTGGCATTTTGTACGGGGTAAACATAGCACGGTGGCTAGCGTTTTGCTGAGGTGGTTACCGCGGCCCAGCATCGAGAAGTGATAGAACCTGGGATCCTCGGCCGGATATCCAGGCAGTAGCGACAGACTGCTGGCCCCAGTGTGTCATCGCGGATCAGCCTCCACGTTTTAAATCTTCAATATACGAAAGCTCGTCACAACACATTAGAGCCTTCGAGCTGTAGAAACAGCCGGTTGCCATTCTAGCCTCGGAAGTCCGGATCCCCGTTTATCATGAGGCAGGTTAGTGTGTTGGAGATGTCGATTCCAGGCAGATATCTCATATGTTCCTGCTTCCAGCTTTCTTTCACATAACATTGAAGATGCCTTGCCCCAGCCTGTACGTTATCTTCTTGTCTCCTGACTCCGACTCGTACGGAACTGACATCGCCTTACTCGAGCCCCGTGAACAAAGGACCAGTCCTTGCCTGGCTAGGTCTACTGCTCTTTCCTAGTTACTATCTATTTAGAACAAAGAAGACAAGGTGGAGATGACAAAAGGAATCCCTATCACATCTCTAGCGCTGAGTATAAGGGGAAGCCCTAGGATCATGGCTCTGCACACGCGCAGCCAGAAGATAGATTCTATACGCCGGCAGGGTCCAGGGAGATGGGTGCCTCGAATCATGACCCTTGGCCGGGTCGGGCCACCTTTGAAAAGACTCCTCGGTTTCTATTCAAGGCAATGCTAGAGATACACCATACTTTCCATCCATCCATTTCATTTTTGGGAACCTATATCTTGGCGATCTGCCAGCCAAACTTTGACTTTCTTAGCTAGCAACTCGCCAACACATCGCGCCAACTTCCGAAGCCAAAGAAACGAAAAGGAAAAGAAAAGCCCATCGAAGTTCTTAGCGACGAGTGTCGCTGGTAAGCGCAAGTTATCCATTCTTGTCAAAATTGTTTTGGACTTGTCTCTCTACATGAACTGACACATCGATAGCAAATCTCGTGATCGCTTGGCTTTGCGAATACTTCCGACCCCATACTGGGGATTCAATAAACATGCCAGTCGTAAAGTAAGTTAGAACCTTTATTTTTCCAAACCCACCTGCTATCTACACCGTTGTTTCTCATTATCATCTTGCGACTCCAGGAAGACCTTGAAGGGCAAGGCTACATCCAGCCAGCGAAAAGTGAGCGATGAATTCGCGCCAAAGCCGCCAAAGCCACCAACTCAGAAGTACACAATATAACTTCTTCCCACCTCCAACCTTCTGTTTCTTTTTGCTGCATCCCCAGCCTAGCAGAGGCAAAGCTAAAACCACCTCCTAACATCAGGCAATCTCCACCGGAATGCAAGAATACCGTCCAGCCGTCGGTCCTGGAGACCGTCGTCGCATCATGGCCTCGCCGCGGGCTTCGCTGGGCCGCAGAAACACATTGGGGTCCAGAGGCAGATATAGCCCGCATCCGCGCGGACCCTGTCGCCTACGATATTAATCGCTGGATTATCAAGGGGTATGGCCTCGTTGTGCCGGGCGCTTCTCTCGAGAACTACATCGACCGGAGCCTAGCCGTGATCATCGACGCCTTCACAGCCCTGCTCCCGAGCCTCGTCCCGCTCGAGGGCATGGAGTTTTGGTATCTGATGACGAGAATAACCCGCCACGTGAACAAAATCACAGAGGGTGCCGTCCGTGACGCCATCTTCCACGTGGCTCATGCGCGGGCCCGCTGGCTCCTCGGGACAAAGGTCCGCCTCCGGGGCAACCGAGGCGCATGCGTCACCGCCATCGAGCGATTGCGGACAACCGTTGGACGCAACTGTATATTTGTCAGGCCCGTTATTCAACGCATGAAGATGAGAGCTCAGCTGGGCGCAGTGGGCGAGGCTATGACTAGGGACTTTCTCTGCGACGAAGAGCTCGGGACTATTGAGCAGTACGAGTGCAAGATTGAGGCCGAGAAACTTTCGTCGGAGATGCAGGCCCTCACTCTTGACCAAAAAGAACGAGGGGAGAAACGCTGACTTTGGGGTAGTTCGGGATATGCGTATCAATGATACCCGAGCGTGGATTGCTATGGTTGCCAAAAGAACATTGAACATGGAAAGAAAAAGAATAACCACAGGCAACAAACGTCGGGAATCAAGTTAGGCTAGCTCTTTAGATCGGTGACACGGGAAGAACAACCCTTTTTTTTTTAGAGCTATCGATATTCAGTGGAGTCTCGTCCGCCATGTCTCCGTTCTGTGTTCGAATGTCGAATGGCCTCACCCCGCCACGTAGACGCCAAGTTACGTACGCACTACCCCGCCTGTCACGATTCCCCGTGTTTCTCATTGATAGGCGATGTTTCAATTTCCCCAGATTCACCCTCCTCTCTCTCCCTCGGGTTGCAAATGGCCAAGGTCTTAAACAGGATTATCTCACGGTAGCACGCGAGTAAGCGACAGTCAGATGCTCGTTTAACAGCCCGATATGCGATGAGATGGATCCTGTAAGATGGGTTAAGCCAATGTTTGATTGTGGCAAGCGTGGGAGAGGCAGCCGATCGTGGTCCCTAGAGACTGCAGGAACCGCAGGATTGACGATGCGCTGCAGCCAATATTACAATCTGCCGAGGCAATTCATCAATCCAATGCCCCTTCCTCTTTCTAGCGCCTTTATAAAACCCGACCACCACCACAAACACAAATCTGAGAATTAAGCGCCCCGCTACAGTTCCCTCGATCCGCTGACCAACATGGAAACAACCCACATTACAATCGTGAAGGACCTGACCTACGCCGAGGGCCCCCGATGGCACGAAGGCCGACTCTGGTTTGTTGATTTTTATAGCTACAGGGTCCTCTCCGTTGCAGAGGATGGTAGCGATTTGCGCCTCGAAGCCGAAGTGCCCCAGCAGCCCTCCGGGCTCGGATGGCTCCCTGACGGCCGTCTTTTGGTAGTCTCGAGTAAGTAGCTAGTTCACAGGGGCTCAATTGCCCTTCCGAGCCGGCCGCGCTGACTAGAAGTCGCCCGCAGTGCGAAACGGCAAGGTCCTGCGCCGAGAGGCGGACGGCACACTGTGGGTGCACGCGGACGTGAGCTCGTACATCACGGGGCATTTGAACGACATGGTCGTCGACGATGCCGGACGCGCCTACGTCGGCAATTTTGGCTTCGACCTCATGGGGGTGGGGACGCGCAGGCCGCCAATCTCCTCCGCATCGATCCGGATGGCGCCATCACCGTCGTCGCGGATGATTTGTGGTTCCCCAACGGTGCTGTTATTACCGAGACCGGCACGCTGCTCGTCAACGAGACGATTGGGAACCGCATCACGGCGTTCGACATCGCTGATGGGGGCGAGCTGGTCAATAGGCGCGTGTGGGCGTCGTTTGGGGACCTCCCCGAGGAGAAGGCTACCGGTGAGAGGATGGCGCGGTTGTCAGTGATGCCGGATGGTTGCGCGCTGGACGCCGAGGGCGCGCTGTGGGTGGCGGACGTGCTCGGGAAGCGGCTCCTCAGGGTCCGGGAGGGCGGGGAGATACTGGAGGAGATTGACGTGGGGTCGAATGTCTTTGCGTGCGCGCTGGGTGGGGCGGATGGGCGGACGCTGTTTGGGTGTGCGGCGCCGGATTTTCATGAGGAGGCGAGGAAGAATGCTCGGGAAGGGAGTATTGTTGCTGTACGGGTCAAGGTGCCTCGGGCCGGAGTGTCGTAAAGGGGCAGCACGAGCGGTGCGTTGGCATGTCCAACTTTGTTGACCAATAGGTATATACTCGTTAAGTCTTGTGGCGACCCCGGACTAGGCAAGGCCGTGGAATTTCTCTTTTGTTGATTAAGATATTCCAGACTCGGCGAGATTGTTCGCCTTCAAGCATGGCATCAATGGTGGCTCCTTTGCTTCTAGGTTTGCAAGTGGTGGGCAGTTTCACATAGTTTAGGTGACTTTAAAACATATTGGTTCTATCTACTTATGATTCAGCTATTACACTAGGTAACTTCTAAGGAAGGAAGGGTGCACAGAAGAAGAGATTTGGCATTCTCTTACTCAGAAGATATCAAAGTGACTCAGGAGAGAATGAAGTGGAGGATATCACCTATTCCAACTGCCTTGCTCCACTTAACTAGGGCAATCCGTTCGGAAGCTGGGGTGAAACACTTGTGAACGTAGCCAAAAATAAAAGATGAATTGTTGCTGGTAATCAAGGGGTATTTAGAAAAGAAAATAAAAAGTCAAAGCTGGCCAAAACGCTTCATGATTGCTAAGATAGATTCAGAGAAAACAGTGCCCTTCGACTCAAGATCCTCCGTGGTTCCCGAAATAAATTGGATCAGGCATCTAGGCGGTACCGAGTGCCTACTTGATATACTGTCCACCGGTAACCCTCAACGTCTCGCGTCGTCGCAGCACCAGAAGATAGGTAATCGCCGTGCAAGCGATGATGACGCCGAGGAACTCGAGAACGGCCTGGACAACGGGGAAGCCGTTCACGGTAGTGCGGTAGCCCTTGAGAAAGCCTTCTGGGATGATGATCTTCTTTAGGAAGTCGAGGTTGGAATACTGGGCGATGAAGGCGTTCCACTTGCCCAGATCCGTTATTACGGACCAGTTGTGCAAGATGAAGTGGGTGGACACGATGGTGCGGAAGACGGAGTAGATGAAGAGACCTGCATCGGCAAGAAGAAGGAGGAGCTGCGGCAAGTTAGTCGGTGAAAATGATGCACATAAGGAGTTTTGATGGCTTACGGTTTCTATTACGGGGTGCTCGTTCTTCCTTGTCCAGATCCAGGAGAAGCAAGATAGGAAGGTAAGGAGCAGAGAGAGGAAGATGGCGACAAAGTCCATGGCAACGCCAATCTTGATCTGAATGGACCTATGGTTGGTGAAGAGCTCATCATCGCCGCCGTACACCTTCCCCTCGATGTAAAAGGGCTCAGGCCATCGTCTCCGCCGAGCGCCGTGGTCTTGAGGCCAGTAATCTGGTTAGGCGTCATGGTGAGGCCAAAGTCGTGGTCGCCGATGCTCCACGCGCCTTCCTCCTTGTAGGTCTCCACCGCGTCGGCAGAGACGAGGAAGTCGAGGATCAGATAGGCGATGCTCAGCGCGGCGTAGATGAGGATGAGGGGCCAGCCGAGGATGCCCGAGATCTTTTGGGGCGGAGGGCCGCGAAGACGGCGGCGAAGAGGAAGATGGCGCCGAGGCGTTGGAGGAGAACGACGATGGAGATTTCGTAGCGGTAGCCGACGGGGACGTCGATCTCTCCGAGCAGCAGGCCGAAGCGCACGCAGAGGAAGATGAAGTTGGCGAGGAACAAGGTGACGGCGGCTTGGAAGAGGCGCGCCTTGGTGCGGAGAGAGGTGTATAGGAGGCCGATGAGGACGAGACTCCAGATGATGTAGACGATGAGCTGGCCGTACAGCTCTCCCTTGCTGAAGAGACTGGTGTAGACGTGGCCGTAGAGTTCGGTGATGGTGAAGTGGCATGGGTAGTCGCCGAATTTGCAGACGGAGGAGGAGCCTGAGCTGCCGCTGCCGCCGCTGCCACCGCGTCCTCGAGCCATCGTTGTCGAACCTGTGTGTGTTTCTTTTGGTTTGCACGTTCCTTTTGCTAGCCTGCTAGTACCTTGTAAGAGGAGATGACGACGAAATTTGTCGCGTAGTGCTCTTGAAGCTTTCGAAGAAGAAAGCAAAGGTCGTGAATGCAAACAAGCAAAAACAAATCAGCCAAGCGACGTGCAAGATCGATCGAGTGGCGTTTCGAGGGGCGTCGAGGCCAAGCTTTTTATTAGATGACTGGGGGGGCACGGAAGAGAGCTGCCTAGTCTCGTCCCGCAACCTCCTCGTCTGAAAATCTGCAGACCACAGCCCTAAATTTAGGTGCAACTTCTTTTTCGTTTTTGGCATGCTCTGCTTCAGCCCAATGCATCTATGGATCCCAATCTCCGAAAAAAGGGTCAAGGTCAGCTTCGCTCGCAATCGGCGTAAAATCGCGCCGTCGAAGCTCAGTCTAGCTGCCTCTCATTGGTCTGCACAGCCACGGCACCCAGGGTTAACCAGGGACGTTTCCGCAAATCAAAGATTGCCGGCAGGTCGAGTGATCCAAGATAAACACAGGCTCTCTCGCCCCCCTGTCGCCCCTCATTTTTAGGGCTGGGGAGGATCGGACCTTGTTTTTGTGTGTTTCATCAGGGGGAAGAGAGAGGTCTGGTCTGATTCTGAAAGCGTGCACAGGCGTGGAGGAAATGCTCCTGTGGTGCGATCGAGCGAGTTCGATCTCGTCGAGAAATGGGCGGTGGAGCACGAGCCGTGCTGAAGAGATTTTGATGTGACCTTCTTGCAGATGTCTCTGGACAGTCTTCTGATCCAACAGGATAATCCCCGAGAATGAGCGCGGAAAGGGAAAGGGAGGAGACTTTTACCAACTTGTTTTTTCTCATTCTCGCTTCGCTGCCACAACATGCCAAACCCCAGCACTGCCTCCCCGTCCCAGGCCGCAAGCAAAAATTTCCGGGGTGTTGGGGGCGGAAAGAAGGCCCCTTTTCATCATGTGAGCAATTTTCGTTGTCGTAGTGGTCAAAATATAGTAGACGAGGCCGTGCTGCTGCCTATGATGATTGGCAGCTTCACGAGAGAAGATCCAGAACGGGCATGGAAGCAAGCAAACGCTGTATCGATGTCGGATTGCGCCCATCTTTAGTTACATGTAGTCTACATGTACCCATCAACCTATCCAGGGATTTATTAGCCCAGTAATAAATCTACAGCCCAACCATCTTCTTTTCGTTTTCAAGTAGGAAAAAAAAAAAAAAAGAAAAGAAAACAGGTAAAATGTCCCCTAGCAAGTTTTGCACTATCTTTTCGCAATTACTAATCTTGGATTACTCTTCCGAAGCTTGGCTAGTATAGCTTCTGGAAGCTCTAGAGAAGTTGGGCTGGCATGTTGAGACCAGCGTTGAGACCCGTGGTTGATCGCCGAGCCGATCTTCTGTGACCGCGCCGTGAACAGACCAGATCGCCAGAAACGCATGGGACGGTATCTCACGTTGTAGTACAAATGTGGAGGCCATTGGTCCCAACGTTCAGCGTTATCCTGCATGAGTGTGGCCTCTGGTAACCATTTGTGTTGCCAAAGGGAGGGCCGTCTGCAGGTTGATGTGGTGCAAAAGTCCATCTCCTCGGAGATGTCAGATTCTGGCCCGCCCCCAATTACGAACGTGATGACTAGGAGTCGATTACACCATTCGAGCTTTTTTCTATGGCAGGAAGGCAAACTTTTGTATTGCTTCAACTTTCGCGTCTCCAGTTGACGCTGTCGAGGTGCTCGGGATGCTGATGGGGAGGCAACTATTTAGTCGTCATGGTGGAATGCTCTTTATGAGGAGATTGTTTCCAAGGAGCCCAGCCTTCTAGCCATAGGAAATAAAGCTTGTGTTTCCCCTGTCGCTTTTGGTTCTTTCATCACCCCTGTGCCATTTACTACTTGTGAACTTTGGCTACACAAGCCTAACGTCAGAGATGGGCGAAAAGGAAAAGTCAGACTCGTCCAAGACCCCTTCATTAGAAGGCGGCACCGAGACAACCAAGATCCTCGAGACTGGGGAAGTCTTTGCCGTTGGTGCATCTTCCCACCTGTACGAGCCCATCCCCGAGTACGAGGGACGACACCGCTGGGACCCCAATGCAGAATGGGACCCCAAGGACGAGAAGAGGTTGGTTCGCAAAGTTCGTCTCTCCTCAAACCCTTTCTCTCTTCTAAAAGAGTCTTCTTGATAAGCATGACGGTCTGGCTAACGGTTGCTCCTTTTTCTTAGCTTGACTGGCGCATCTGCTCCTGGGTATGCGTCATGTTCTTCGCCCTCCAACTCGATCGCGGCAACATTAGCCAAGCCCTGACGGACGACATGCTCAAAGACCTCGGCCTCTCCACCAACCAATATAACTATGGCATGACCATCTTCTACCTAACATTTTTGTGCGCCGAGCTCCCGTCCCAGATGATATCCAAGAAGCTCGGCCCCGACGTGTGGATCCCCATACAAATGGTCTCGTGGAGCCTCGTCGCCGCCTTCCAGTGCTTTATCAAGGGCGCTACGGGCTACTATACCACAAGGGCCTTGCTTGGCCTCTTGGAAGGCGGCTTCATCCCCGACGCGATCCTCTACCTCTCCTACTTTTACACGAGCAAAGAGCTCCCCGTCCGCCTGAGCTACTTTTACACGGCTTCGAACGCGACCCAGATTCTGGCCGCCTTCATGGCGTTCGGCCTCCTTCGCATGAGAGGCATCATGGGCTGGGAAGGGTGGCGGTGGCTGTTCCTTCTCGAGGGTATTCTCACCTGTCTCATAGGGATCTTTTCGTGGGTGTACATGCCGCCAAGCCCCACGCAAACGGCAAGCTGGTTCCGAGGAAAGGATGGATGGTTCACCGAGAAGGAGGAAATTATCATGGTGAACAGGATTCTCCGCGACGACCCCGCCAAGGTAAGGCGTCTTACCCTCTGCTCGTGAAACGTACCTTGTTGAGATCATGCTGACAACCTCTAGGGTGGCATGCACAATCGCCAGGGTCTTACTTTGCGTCTGCTGTGGAAGGCATTGTCGGATTATGACCTGTGGCCTATTTACCTCATGGGCTTCACTCTTCTTCTCCCCATTCGTCCCGTGATGGCTTACTTTACGCTGAACCTCCGCAACCTTGGGTTCGACACGTTTCAGACGAACCTGCTTACCATCCCAGCCTATGCCATTTTCATCATCCAGCTCATCGTCCTGTCGAGGATATCCGAATGGATCAACAACCGGTTTGCCATTGTGCTCTTCTACTCCATCTGGCTCCTTCCACTTTTCATTGCACTCGCCGTATTGCCGGGAGATGTCGACAGGTGGTCAAAATTCGCCGTCACAACCTTGATCATAGGTTATCCCTATGTTCATTCCATTCTCGGTAAGAGAATAAGATTAAAGAACCAATATCTGGCATGAATACCCAAGCTAACTCTTTTGAAAAGTTGGCCTCACGTCGCGTAATGCGGGATCGGTCCGGACGCGGACGGTGGGAAGCGCAGTCTATAACATGTACGCAATGATTTTTTTAACATCACTAGAGTGTTTTCCGTCTCTAACTCTTACTAGGACTGTACAAGCCAGCAGCATTATCGGATCGAATGTAAGCACAATCTTCCTCAATTCCTTAAGCCCTCGGCCCAACTCCACGTCGCTGACTAACTGTGCACAGCTCTACCGCGCGGATGATGCACCGTTGTACCGTCGAGGAAACAAGATCATACTCGGCATTATTGCTTGGAATGCCGTCTTCTCCGTGCTGATCAAATACTACTACATTCGCAGGAACAAGAAGCGTGATGAAATCTGGAACGCCATGACGCAGGCCCAGAAAGATGAATATGTTGCGACGACAAAAGACGACGGAAGTTCCCGGCTGGACTTTAGGTTCGCGCATTAAAAGCAAAGGTTTAGAGTCACTAGCGGGTAAAGGTCTATGAAAAGGTAGCGGCGACGAGGTTTTGGGGTTTGGCAAAATGCTTCACAAGTCTCGATTCTAGATCGTAATAAAAGTCGTAAGCTACAATAGTTACACATATACTGAACATATCTCGGCTCAACCTGGTCTCTGCCATATCCTCGCGAAAATTCCGACACTGTCAAGGAACGCGAGTTCGCTAGTCTTCGCTAGTCTTCGCTCTGCGGAACTGTAGCTGCCTGGCCCTTTAGGGTTGTTCTATTGCCACGTCCTGGCCCATGGAGACGCGGCTACCAGACGAGCCGGGGCCTTCCCCAAGTTTCATGCACAATGACATTTCTGTACAAAGCGCTGTTTAAGTGCAGACAGCCACTCATCGCTCATAAAGTACGAGCGGGGACTGCTGGGTTATCTGATTTGCATAATCAGGATTGGAAAGAGGGTTACACAATGTGTAAGGGATGCTTCATCCACCTTGCGTTGTCGTCTTCTCCGCCTGCTCTTCAATAACCGACGATCCCATGCTAAAGGACTTTTAAGATCGGGGCGGGCAGTGCCATCTCCCGGAAACCTCAACTGAGGATGCTTCTCGTTGGAGATGTCTAGGACGGCGAGCGTCTCATTAGAGAGCGTGACGGGATTGACGCCTGCCGTGTTGGACCAGGTGCCTCGTCCCACTTGCTCGTGGGCCATCCTTTGCAGCTGAAGAACGGCGTTGGAAGACCATTCAAGGCGGGCGTACGCGGCCTCCTCATCCGAGCCATTCTTCAAGCGACGCTTCTCAGGTATTGTACCATGGGCTCCACGGCGAAATCCAAAAGCATGAACACCCCGCCAAAAATTAATATAAGGCACAGACCGAGGACGGAGAAGGACAGGTAGCGAGGGCTGATGATGCGCTGGCTCCGGCACATCTGGGCCTCTTCGGTGCCGTTGGGAAGTCTCCTAAACCCCATCATCGCGTCCGAGGGCCCGTTGGCGGCCTCGACAAAGGAACCCTGAACGGACGTGAGGGAGGAGGTGACCCAGTGCTCGACTTCCTTCTGCCACTGGTTCCCGGGAGGGTCCCTGGATGGTGCCGGAAAGGCTGTGTCTGGCGGTGAGGAGGCCAGGCCCAGGCGGTCGACGATGCCCGAGATGGTAAAGAGCCCGAGACCAAAGATGTCGTCGGCGCGCTTGATCATGGCCCGTTGCCTGTCCGTCTTCCAGGGGCTGTAGCGGTCAAACGTGTCGTCGGACATGCCACGCAGCGGGGTGCAGTCCTCGTCGCTCTTGCGCTCGCCGTTGCACAGCTGGGTCTGCATCGCGCAGCCCATGACGGAGACGAGGTCGTCGCGGTAGTAGTTTTGGCGGGTGACGTTGGATACGACGTTGAGGGTGACGGGGCCCTTTCTGTGGGCGGCGAACCACGGGTCGTCGACTTCCCGGGAGTAGATGATGCCCGGGGCGGAGAGGAAGAAGAGCATGACGTCGGCGTCGGGGCGGCTGAGCTGGGGGATGGGGTTGAACATGGAGTAGATGGCGGACATGGCGGGGTCACCGCCGTACGCCTTGAGGAAACTGGACGAGAGAGGGAGAACGGTTAGAATCGCTTTTGAAATCACAAATGCAAAAAGGTTTCTTGGTTATGTGTCAAAACTTACCCAATGTTGTAATCCAATCGCGCGGTGGACAACTTATCCGAGTCCAGGAGAGATGCGACCGAGTCATTGATGGGCATCTGGTACGAGAAGTTTCCAATGCTATCCGCGGCCGCACCATAAAAGTACCTCATCACCGGCTGGGATGACGAGTCGGTCGCGGGCTCGGCGAAGCCCTCGGTGACCAAGGGCGCGCAGTGGTGGTACATGCGGAGGGAGAACCGATCCTCAGCCGGGAGGTTAATGCCCAGGTGCTCGTTGCTGTCAATGTACCCAGTGTCGATGATGAGGTTCCCCTCGTCCGACTTGCACATGCCGGACTCGAACGGGCAGCCGGCGTTGCGGTTAGCGACGGTAGGCAGCTGGGGCGTGACGTAGAGGTTGCAGTCGTCCGTGGTAGCCGTCTCCGTGTAGCAGCGCTGCGCGTAGCTGGCATAGGCCTGCACGCGCTGCGTCTGGTGGGGCTCGAAGAGGCTGTAGTACCCGGTAGGGTTGTTGATGTCGTTGCTGTCGAGGGGCCCGCACCGGTCCCCGGAGAGCAGGACCTCGTTGATGCTCTCGGACGCCACCTGGGAGGAGAAGATACCGGCGAGGGAGAAGACGGCGGAGACGACGGCGGCGAGGACGATGATGGGCATGAGGCGGCGGACGGGCTGGCGGGCGCGGTTCTTGCGCCACATCATGAGGGAGTTGCCGAGCATCCAGATGGCGTCCTGGGCGTTGCCGACGTTGCGGAGGATGGCCTGGCGCTGGTGGTAGACGGCGTCCTGGGGGTGCTGGGAGGAGAAGCGGCGGTGCATGGCGAAGCACGCGATGCGCCAGACGCTCTTGCCGGCGCTGGCGACGTAGATGGCGAGGAAGGCGATGAGTAGCGCGCCGTGGCTCTTGCTCAGCGTCACGGTGGAGCCGAGGATGAGGCCGCGGGACCAGTTTGTCCAGAAGCCGAGGTAGACGTCGTAGCTGGCGGTGCCAGCGCTCACGATGGAGCTCATGCTGGGCGATGTTGGAATTGAGGACACTGGATGAGAACGAAAGGATTCTAGGGTGAGAAAAAAAAAGAGTAAAAGGTTTGGCTTCCTTTTCTTTTGGGTCTTTTTTCTTTCCAACGAGTGCCAGCCCAGTTGACCACTCAGACAAGCGAATGTGAGGATGGATGATTCAAGGTCGATCGGGGGAGGGAGGAAAAAGGTGGAGAAGAGGCCATATATCCACGGAGCTATGAGAGACGTGGATCGATGATACACAAGGTCCAGGCCTGCGTCGGTGTTGCGGCGGCCGAATCGAGGTCGCTTGATAATATCGTCGTAACTGCGACCAAAAGACACTACATCATTTAGGTGCCGCCCGCTAAATTCAAATTTCATTCGCGTAGTAGATGCTACCGCAGCTTTCAACATGGAAAACATCCATGGATCGCTCCCGCCCGCCGTTCCCCCCTCCGCGTAACATCCTCCGCTGACAATTATCGGGCCAAAAGACGAAAAGAGCTGCGCCACTCCTGCACCTGCATGCCGGGGGGTAACGGGTCCTACCTAGAAGGTTTATTCTTGTCTCACCCGTGCATACAACAGAAAAAAGAGAGGTGTCCTAGGGGCCATTGAGCGATTAGATCGCCAAAGAGTCGGATCGCAGCCAATGACAGGCCACCCACACTCTCTCGCTTAAGCATATTATGTACTCTCGTGCCATCCGGATAAACACACGCAAAAGTATTTGCCAGCCCTACGGGGAGAAACACCAGAAAAAGGTACACGGAACGCTTGCGATTCTTGCGCGGAGGGCAGTGTCCAGCGCGCCAAGGTCAAAAATTGCTAAATATGGTTCCCCCAAGAACGTCAACTTCTTCCTTATCAGGCACGCAGTACACCATCACCGACCATTGGCCGGGCCTTCCGTCTCACTCTGCAACATGCCCCCTCGACCCGCGGCACCACGATTGGGTAGCAATACTAGAGTCGATATACCAGTGGCCCGGCACGAAATGTTTCCGAATGATGAAATAAAAAGATGGTGAGGGGCTGAGCCGTGTTCTTTTCTTCATCTAGCCCTATGGTCCCGACGGCGCTCGAGGACGATCCAAAGGGATCCTTTTTGTCAGTACTTGGGGCCGGTGCAACCTTTCCGGCAGCCCGATGCGTGACTTTTCCGGAATTGTTTCCTTCCTGGGGGTATACTGCGTTGTCGCGCCGGTGGTTGGGTCTGCGATCAGCCCTAGCGAGCATCGGTTGTCTTCTTTCACTCCATAAGCACAGATACGGGTTACCTTCGCATACAGGTCCAACCAGAAATCTTCTTCGTTCTTTTCCGTCTGTTGAGTTAGGGCTAGCCGAAACTCGAGTGAGTAAAGCTCATGCCGACGGTGATGCAGATTCATCGTATCAATTGGTCATGATGCCCCTTCCCAACGAATTTTCTGAGTGAGAAAAAATGTGGAGAGGAACACCTGCGTGAGACGGAACGCGTCTAATCCTTTGACCCAGCGTGCTGGCAGAGGCCTCAATACCAGTACCGAGGCAAGGTTTGGAAGGATCACGTAGAACATCCACAAATGGCTCGCCCGATGCCTGGGGGATGCTTGTTCATCCAGAGGTTGGTTCCCCCAGTTGGCCCAACGTCAAGGTGCCATTTGCGGGGGTGTTCAAAGTTTGTGTCAGACGGCAGCGAGCGTGCCGTGTGCTACCCGCCAAAAATATCGAACCTTGTTCTTCCTTGCTTGCGGCCTCCTGCCCTCCGCCACACTCGTCTATGCATCGTAGATTGTTTGGGGCCCCAAAATAAAAATGCGCTGCCTCGTAGCTTCATGGCGCGCAGAAGGATGCAATAAATATGTACCAACACTAGGCGCGCTGTGTCGCGTCGTCTTTACAACATACTGCTATCTATGGACTGATTCAATCGGACGAGCTTGCGACGACAGGTGCCACAACCTAATGCCGAGGTCTTTTTGGTACTTCATGTGGCACTAGATTATTTGCGTCCTTTTGAAATTGAGAGCATATCCAGGCGGGTCATGTACCGAAGGCTCCAATCCCTTTAAGCTCACAGACTATTGACGTTGGACGAAAATTCGCAGTCTTGTCGATCCAGATGTGATATGTACACTTTGGTATGTTCTTTTCCTATTTTATTTCAATCATATTCTTCTGCCTCCATCTGGTAAAAGCGAGACTTGCCTTGGGACTCGCGTCACAAAGACGTTGCCAACCGTACAAATCAGACGTGTATCCCAACCTCCTAAATCTAGATATTGCCGAGCTGGAGGTAGAGCAGCGGCACCTCAGGAGACATCGGCGGAAGTTATATCAACAGATTTAAGTAAGCCTGGGGGTTTCAAAATGAAAGCCCCGGACCCCTCCAACAGGTAGTGATTTTCCCGGCCTATTCGGAAGGCCCCCAACGGTGTTTGTGTGACCATGTCGCCACCTCGGTCTCGATCACCATGCTCAATCCTCTAGTTCGCATATTTTGAAGGAATGACCCCGGATTACGCCAAGAGAAAGGATATCGCACATCCACCTTAAGCGTTCAAATAAGGTGTGCCCCTCGATGGGCCGAGAGTCTCACCTCGTGCGTGCGCATTGTCTGACTGGCATCTGCATGGTGCCGATCTCTATGTTGATGGGCAGTCGCGTTTTAATTCAGAAATTCCTCGTGATATAGCTCGCCAGCGATGGTTTCTGGTGGTACAGGGCAAAGCATCCATTTTAAGCGCAGCGGAAGATGCAGCGGGTATTTGAAGTCAGTAGGTGGTGGCAGAGGGGCCATACGTGATATAACCAACATCGGGCAAACTTATTGGTGTTCAATGTGACGGCTTTGGTATCAATAGTTTTCTTGAGGCCCAAGACGGAAGAGTGTCATTTGTGTAGCATGATTGGTTGCCGAGAGCCCACGCAAGAAGATAAAATGTTGAGGGCTGAGGAGACGTTCCCTATGCCAGATCGTCGGCTATGTCGTTTTGGAAATGAATATCGATAGTTCATTAACTCTCTTGTTCGCGGCACTGTTTCGCCAAAAGCGACATAAAAATCAATCCAATTGGTAGGGGAAATGTGAATGAAGTGGAAGATGTTCCAATTGAAAATTAGTCTAATGGTGTGTTTGCGACTTTATGAGACCGCATTCTATCAATGCTCAAATGATGCTGCCCAAAAATCAAATAATTGTAAAAATCCAAGCCCGAACGCCGTCCTAGGTATGCCCAAGATCCATGATTAACATCCCAAACTTAAAATGCCTCGACTGTATTATGCATAAACCGCCCATAAAGAAATCGATACTGCCATTTAGCAGGTGTAGCTGACGTAGTAACCGTTGCTCTCGTTCTGGTTGAGGTAGATGCTGGTCTCGCCCTTGGCATTGCGCAGGGCAACCTTGAAGTAGAGAGACTCGGCGCAGTCGACGACGCCGACGCCGTGGGTGTCGTCGCCAAGGGTGTCCCAGTTGGTGAAGTCAGCACCGCCAAACTCGGCCTTGGCGGTGTCAAAGGGCTTGACGGAGTTGTAGGAGACGGCCTCGCCCGCGGCGGGAAGCCGGAGAGCTGCTTGGCGCCGGCGAGACCCTCGCCGCCCTTGACGATGAAGATGCGCTCGATGCGGTCGCCCTGCTTCCAGTTGAAGCTGCAGCTCTTGGCGTCCTTGGGAATACCGGTGAAGGCGAGGACCTGCTCGACCTGGGACTTGTCGGCGTAGGTCTCGAGGTGGACGCCGGTGGCGGGGCCGGTGGCGAGGTCGGGCTGGGTGGGGAAGATGTCGTGGATGACGGAAGGCTCGAGGTGGGTGGCCTTGGCGTTGGGGTTGCAGGACGAGGCGGTCTGGTCGGAGGGGCCAGTGCAGGGGTCCTTGGCGAAGCAGCCGTCGTTGGTGCCGCACTTGAAGTAGGAGAGGCCGGCTTCGCAGTCCGTGGAATGCTGGCGCGCGACGTTGTTGGAGGGAGGGCGGACGCTACTGCGATGAAGCAGGCGACGGAGGTGAGGACGCTGGTGAAGGAAGGCATTGTGGTGGTGGTGGGGGTTTTTGTGTTGGTATGGAGGAAAGCGACAGAAAGTTAGATTAGAGAAAGTTAGATGAAGAAAAAGATGCTTCAGATGATGGTGGAAATCGTTGATATATAAAATGGTTTGCGAAAAGACCCAAAAGGAAAAGTTGTTGGGAAGATGATTGCTTGAAAATGCTGATGAGATGAATGATAAGCAAGAGATAATTGTCCAAGATGTCGACGACAAAGGTTGGATTTATATCCAAGTTTTCTTGCCAGCCCGGTGGTATGATTCCCAAGCTCACGAGCGCCACTTGGGGCAATGTTTAGCTGCTTCGGGTGCTCGAGATGCTCGTCATGGAGCTAACATCAGCCAAGCCCCACCTCCAAGTCCCCAGAATGCGGGCAGGACAAAAACAATATTTCGGCTGCCAGTGACAGTTGTCGATCACTAGGGGACACAGCCAAGTCGAGCTGAGGTCTAGAAGCTCTGATTGGATGGAAACAAGCTTGGCGGAGTCCAGGGACCAATCAGGCATTGGGCCGCAAACGTGAGGAGGCGGGGAGGTGAGAAACAAAAACTCGAACAGCGGTGGTTGGTACGCTGTTTTGGCCAAGGGTTCTGTGCTGGGATGAACAAGGGAAAAAAGAGGCTTTTGGTGGGCTTGGAAGCTGGCAGTGGGGGCTGAGTCCCCTCCCCAACCACCCAAGCCATTGGTTCAAATGTTGCTTCCTTTGTGCTGACTGGATGGAACATTGCATCGTGGAGTGCGAGCTGGTCCACTCACGCAACGTGCAACAACTCAATCGCCCCAAAAATAGCTCTATTTTTAGTGCGAGTCCAAAAGGAAGGATCGATTGATGACTTTTTTCGCGGTGGATCTGGCTGGATCTGCGGGGGTGCGCACACGCATTCAGCAAATAGACTAGGTTTTTGTGTTCAATAACGCCGAACTCTATCAATTGATGTGCTGTTTCTTTACGAGCTCTAATTCAGTTTCTCACCTCTCTCCCTGGCGACTGAAGGAATGGCCCTTTTTTCTTTTCCCCTCTCGTAATCCATTCCACATTGCAATTTTCCCATCGCTCCTCCCATCTTCGTGTCATCGCCAACTCCACTGTTGGACCGCCGACTGCACTTCTGCGCCTCTTCCTTCAGCTCCACTTCCAACATGAAGTTCTCCTGGCTTGTTGGGTAGGCATTTTCTCAGGCGCCAACAAAACTTGGTTACACGGAAATAAACCAAGTGGATCGTAGCCTTCTCGACGTCGAGTTCCAGTGCGCGGCTCACAACTACCGCCCGGCCTAGGCGAATTGCCGGGACTCGGAAGGGCGCCGGTGCCGCTCCCAGGTGGTCCTTTGGAGGCTGTACACGTAACGTTAAATAGTCAAATAATATACATTATTCGACAAATAGAGGTGCATTGGATCTTTGGCGAGATAGCTGCCAATTAGAATAGAGTTACGTGACGGACGTGTACGTGCATGAAGCTGAGATGCGGAATTGTCCGTTCGACGGCCTTGAAACTTAAACGACGATGAGGCGTCAAGTCGTGGAGCAAGCGTTTTCTGGTCATATATTGACGACCCTGCTTGCCTGCCCATCCACTACTATTCCAGGCTAATGCAAGCTACTGGGAAGTATAGCTCCCCAACCCCTCTACCTCGGTAAAAACATTACGCCCACCTTAAACCTTACTCGAGGCCTTGACCAACTGCAAAGCAAGCCTGTTCTCCTGCCTGCCCTGAGCGGTGTCTGATATCCCTTGAAAACGATGAGGGGCATTGGGTTTAAATCTCCTTGGGTAGAATGAGCTAGTCGAGATATCGGCACGCAACACCGCCGTCTTCCTCGTTCACTAAAGGCTCAGCCGCGGGGAAATATTGGAGGCGCTCGGCAATGTAAGCGCTAGTCGTCTTATGACGTGGTGCCTGCCAAAGCCCCATTTCGTATACAACCAACGTTGGGAAAGATCTGCCTCGAAACTGACTAAGCTCTGGGGCTCCTGGGCACCTACAAACTTCGTATAATACTCATTATGAGCGTGAAGAGGTGCAGGATCGATTTCAGGATGGACTAGTGTCGGATCCTTCATCCGGTCTGCTTGGCCTTCTTCCATGGACAAGATTGAGCCTAGGCATGACTTACGAATGGAGATGCAGGGATCGGGCTCTTCTATGTAGCGATCAAGGTAAAGGTTCGGCTTTTATGAATAACGGTGTTTCGATACCTCCAGCTTAATTTGTTAAGGTATCTCAGGAAACTCGGTTCCTGAGCTTAACTCTATTCACGGAGATTGACTCAGAGTCCAGGCACTTACATGCGTTCCTGAAGCTAGTAATAAAAGCTAATTAGCCCACTTGTTTTGAAACAATTGTGTTAAAAATCGGTTGGGGTCTTAGAGGCACTGGAATTGGTTTTTCCTTTCTATTAGTTTCATACTGGAGTGCTTTCAATAGTATATCAGTGTGATAACATACAGCGAAGTCCAGAGGATGCTGAGCCTCTCGTCCCTCAGACGAACGCAACGTCATCATTCAGGATCCCTTCACCGCAGCACGAATCGGCGGCATTTGCCGAGGTCTTCGAAAACCCCTTATTGGAACTGATTAGATCTTATCTGAGATCTTGCGATAGAGATTATGAGATAATAGAGTCTTAGAGATGGATCCTTCTATTAAAGTGCTGCTGGTGATGCGATTATTCACTTCTTTCCACATAACGCCCATCCTCCTGCGGTTTCATGTGCCACTCGCAGGTCAGGGGTTCGTACAAAAGCGAGATGCTTCCGATGCGTAAATGGAAGAATGAAATGATTTTAAATGGCTAATATCACATAATGCGCTTGCTTTCCTCAAGAAGGCATCAATATTTTGTTTGAACAAACCCTTAAAAGGTGTGAAGGTAATCCCCGAGAAAGTTGCTACCTATCTTGTGGATAGGATCCGCTATGTCCTTGGCTCCGGATTCGGCGGCAAAGTTTTTGATCCACTGTGCAGCGCGGCCTTGAAGAGTAGTTACCAGGAATCGGTGCTTTGAATTGTTAGTTTTTGATATTGGTACCTTTCGACCATGGTTAACTCACTTGGTAGGGCTTATTTTCCTTGTCATGGAGACAAACCCAGCGGCCCTTGCCAGTGTCGTCCTTTGGCCATATTGGAACCGATCACCGATAGGTACGACCCAGTTGTCTTCGCGTGTTAGTCAACTAGTGGGTCTAGGGCCAAAGGGGCTCTCGCTTACCGCCTTCCCTCTTGGCGCCAGGGAGCTTGCTGATGAAGTCGTTGCTGTCTTGATCCTTGTAGAATCGGTCCTGGACATAAAGAGGAACGTCTTCATTGTTCTGGGACGTGTTCTTCGCCTGGACTATATAGTAACGAGCCGTCCTGGTACGCAAGTTTTGGGACCAGGAAATTTCCGTGGCGGCACTTTCAGAGTCTTGGGAATAGGCAGGGACCTGGAGGACGTCGTTAGTCTTGACGGGAGCCATATTGACGGTGAATTCGAAGCGAGAGGAGGGTTAGGTATATGTTGAATGTGTAGATGTGCTCGTTGGGTAATAACTCCTGATGGAAAGAAAACATCCAGGCGACTCGGCAAACTATTTATATTGGATGGAAAGCGCCCGGCCATCCCACATCTTTGGAAGAGAGCTTGAAGTACCCCCTCTAGTATTGCACTGAATATTATTATGCACACCTCGATTCGATGAAGACAATTTCCTCTTTGAGATACCCAGCTTGCCACTAGCGCACCGGTCGAGGAGGTGCGGCCCGCTATTGTGGGGTAATATTTTCGACTTGCCCAGTTGCCATCGCCATTGGTCTGAAATGCATCTATATATTGGCTCCCCTCTCACGAGCTGGGCTTCGCCAAGCATGCGCTTCGTGGGCTAGTGGTTGAGCGTTTGCCCGTCAACGCATCTTGGGTGGGCGGGTGGCATTGGCATCGTCTATAAGAACTGGGCCATACAGGAGTACGCGGGGTTCCGTGGTTGGAAGCCTTCAATTGCAACGCAACGGGTTGCCTGAAGCTTGGGACTATCTGGCCTAGCGCGCGTGCAAGTTGGGAGCTGATCCGCCCCATTAGTTTGCAGCTGGCTGGGATGCGCAACCACGACGAATGGATAAGAGAAATCACACAGCGTAGCATCAGCCACGCATCACAGCCCAGAGAAGAAATATCAAATTTGTCCGACTATGATGAGGCTAGCTGAAATGGTTAACAAACTTGTATTTTAAGGAATGTTGAACAAAAGTGTGCCAAAAAGCCAGGTTGAGATATATTGCAAGGGGCAGTTGACTTGGACTCTTTGGAGTTTAACGCTGAAGACAGCTCCAAGGGGTTATATGTCAACCGTTGGAAAGGAATCAATTATTTGAAGGCAATCTTGGATGATCACGCTGTAGGAACCGCTTAGGTCGTCAGGAAAGAGGGGTTCGTTGGAGTCGTAAGTTGAAAGTCATAGCTTCGGCTAGGAATGTTTGAAGAGTGCCATTCTAACAAAGATCAAGGGTTCATCCTGGCAAGGAGACCAAGGGATACCATCCGTGGTCTGAAATAGCTATTGCCCATTTGATCGCAGGCCAATCATCTCCTGACGAACAACGCCTTGAAACCCACGCTATGATTGTTGGCACATCCATTGCTGACCTGGGGGTTGGAATCTACGATAGGTATAGCCTTTGATACCATTGTGTCTCCGAGGTTGTGTGAAATCTATCGACGTGAATGACTTCGTGGACTTTTCAACATGGTTACGGGTAACATCTTGGCATCCGCAAGAGAAGCATATGGTTGGAGAATCTGGTAGTAAGTATTTTCGCACGGCCGCTTTGCACGATAGGTTGGTGTTTGGATTACTGATTTGAGAGTTTTCGCGACGGAGGTACTATTTTGTTCATGAGGCTAGAATTTCAGTTTCCCTGGTTACATGTATCTTTTACCTGGAGACGACATCCGCCTCAATAAGTATAAAGTCCAACTGGATCTCATGGCTGGGGACATCAACAACTCAAGGAGGGAAGAGAAGGAGGAGGGCAAAGGACTCAAAATCAAAACCCCTTGGTCCAAACAAGAAGCCGTGAAGATAAATACGGCAAACGCCCTTTGGCATTTTGTCAAAGATAGCGGCCATGCCGGTTGCGGCAATTCGTAAGGGGCTCGACGTGGAGACAGTTTTCTTCCAAATATAACATAGTCATGGCCATCACAGAGCCAGGCTCCGGCTGCCGCTAGACACCTCGTCTACAACTACTATGATTACTAGGACCTTAGATAGACCGCAATGGGGCTTTCGCGAGGTTGACTATATTCTTTTCCGAGTGATTTTATACGCTCATCATCCATATAACAGGGCATCGCTTGGGTTGAGTTTGCAAACCTTCCTCAACGCGGCAGCAGCGGTTACGCCAACCGAACTCGTCGCCGGCGCCAGGCCCGCCTAATTCGCTCAATACTGAGCTTGTGGAACTAGGCAGGTCCTTACGTGCAATTGATAGGGGAACCTCAATTTCCATGGCTCAGTTGAGAAATATTGACTTTTACCAGGAGCTCTAACTGGTTCGAAGAAGGTCCAAACCTGAAAGATCACCGTATGGAACCATCTTGAGTTTTGTGGACAAGCACCAAGGCACCGCATCTTACAGAACGAGGGAGAAAGGGCTATTTTTCCCGACTGGAGAGTCGGTGGCGCTTGAAGAGAGCAAACTGTGTGTCAAAACCGATAATGACACGATGCCAAAGGAATCTAAGGCATCAATGACGCTTTCTGTGACCATTTTCCGGGTTTTGCTTTACTACAACTTCGATCTACCCATCCCTGTCGCTGTGTGATCGGACGAGGCTGGTAGCATCGATCGACAGCATCTCAGCTAGACATCACACCCATTACATGTGTCCTTGGTCACCATAATAGAAGTCGGACTTCTCTAGGGGCATAATGCAAGATGAGCGGTGGGAAGCATCTAGATTCCTATCTCTTTGTCTACGATTGCAGGAAACCCTGCTGAAGGTGGGGACGACGCACCGGAGATCATGAAGCAGGTGGGGAAAGGAAAAAGCAAGCTCAATGGGGTCCTCACCGACCAGTAAGGCCCTCGTTTTCCACCGTAAGGGGAAAGGTAGCTTGCCTTGGACGACTTTGATGCGGCGCCTGTGCGTGATTTGTGATTTGTGGATGCTGTCTTGGAATGCAAGTCCTGTTCAGCCTGGATATGCGACGCCCAATGTGCATTTTTGTCGGTGCACCGCCCCACATAACCTTAAAAGGGTTGACCGAGGGGGACCCTGATCGACCGAATGTCTCTTTTCTCACCAACGATTACGGTTTGCACTAGTCAGGGCTGCAGTACGTGATGTCTGACAAGTTTGGTGGGCTTGTCTCGCGGCAGACGCCAAGAATACGGGCGAGCACATACAGAGTAGGGGAGTTTTTGCGGACGGCGAATGGGTGGAAGTGAAAGTAGTGCGTAGTTCCTTTCTCTCTGTTTTCTTTTTCCTTGTTCACACCGGATGAGTGGCTTCTAGGAGGAAGATATACAATCCCTTGCAGCGGTGTCCGCGTGAGGTGCGTCCAAGTCGAAAAAAGTAGGTTGCCTACACCATAGACTGGACAACGGACTACACCACGCTGGAAGATAGCTAGAAATGATGGATCAATGGATGCGTTCTTAGAAAAGGCAGTGTACCGGCGTTTGGATGGCACAACTTTCACACGGAAAAACGAAGGTCACTGGTCTTCTTGCGTCCGAGCGTAAGGCTAGCCGCCAGATGCCATACTTTTAAGCGGCTAACGACGCCGATGCAGCGAATCTCAGGGTGATGGTTACTTGGAGCACAGGTAATTTACGGATATCCTTTGGCGGTTCTATTCGGCAGCGTGTCGGGGAGACTTATTGATGGAGGCCTTGGGCATTCGCGAGTCAGACGGTGCTTTGATGGGACAGGAATGTGATTTAGTCATTTCACAGATGTGAGAGGACATGAGTTGGGCAAGGTCGAGGAGGGAGACTTTCGAGGTAGGCGAAGTGTGAATCGAGCATTCGTAGGGATATCTATGGAGGGACCCGAAATTCGTTAGCATCAAACACTACAACAGCCGGAGGATCAGCTTAGCGTTAGAAGTGTTGTTGTATATCGGTGCTGTTGGGATCAAAGAGCACTGAGCCTAGCCAACCTGAGACTCTTTGTAGTCAAGATAGGATCCAGTATGACACCGATCAATGTTGAAGGAATTTAGAGTTGAGTGTGTTGGAAAAGCCGGAGCTCAAAAAGCAAAGGTGCGCGCCCGATGGCACAGGAGAGCTCGTGCCACTGTGTTGGGAGGAAATTTACTGCGGCACGAGCAGTTCCCTCTTTGATTGAGGCAAGACGCAAGGGCGCATATGCTTGGAAAGTGGGCATGCGGTTGAGAGTGAGAAAGACCGAACCCTCGGGATAGATGGCGAAGCAGGAAAGACAGAACGACCCTTTGATCCGCGATCGGCCCACGTGGGCGTGCGAGAGGCAACGGAAGATCGACAAGATGAGAAACACCCACGGAATGAGGTGGTATGCTTTGAGCGGGGGCACTTTTTTTTTTTTTTTTTCTGTCTTTCTTGTACGAGCTAAACGCTAACGACAAATAGAAACGAAAACGGCTGAAAGAGGCTTGCGGGTGTGGGAGGGAGAAAGAGGAAAAAGGTCATCCCCTCACTTACTCAATTGGAACAGTCGGTCTCTGCTTTTGGTCCGAGGAGAGAGGGAAGAGCACGCGAGCACTTGCAACTTTGTCTTATCGCCAAAGTACCATGCATGGGGCGGCGGGGGAGGAGCGATGTGATGCGTGCTCCGGGCCCAGCACGGCGGCGGGTCATCCCAACAGATGAAGAGCCAAGAGCAGGCCTACGTGCAACAACGTGCTTGGCGTGGAGGTCGCAGCCGGGTCTGACTAGGATGGCTTGGGTCGAAAGTTTCTTGGCGTGTGGACCTAGAGCAGGGACCTTGACTTGACGAAGGGAAAGAAGTATTATTCGTATACTGGCTAGGATGGATGATGGATGGATTTGTTCTGCAAAGCGAACGAGGAAAGAGGTCTTTTAATTTTTATCTAAAGGTTTGCCACTCGCTTGATCGTAAGCTCAAGACATTCACCGAGAAGTAACATAAGCAAGAAGTGTGAATTTGATAGAAAAAACACGACACAGCCGATACGAACAAAGTCTGACTATCGAATCCTGTCGGTCGCAAGAGAAGGTTACCGGGCCATCTTCCTCCCAAGGTTGACCGGCGCGGCGTCTTTGGGACCTGGGAGGACGCGGAGGTGCACGTAAGATCGGAGGATATACCCGAAAGCTTAGCGTCGCGATGTTGGTTGGCAAGATTCGAGCTGTCAAGATCCGAATTCCAAACTTGATCGATGTGGTGGGTTGGCCGAGCACGTTTCCCCACGTGTTTATTTGATTGGTCGATAGGACGCCGTGTCGCCGGCACCCGAAGCCACGGACCAAGACAAGGGTCGAGAGTGGGGAACGAGAAGCTAAGGAATAGAGCACCAAAGGGGATAGACACACAACGAGCCCACAAGTGACAGGCACGAGCAGACAGGCCCAGACAAACTCTTTTCGTCGAGGGCATGGGCCAATGCCGCGCTCTCATTCGTCGATTGCCCGGGGGAACAGATGGGCTGGGCTGACGAGGGTTTACGATTTTTATCGATGGCAAACCCGCGAATGCCTCGTCCCCACCACCCTTGCTCCGTTTCCGTCACCGACGGGCGAGATTTCCAACGACTTGCTGGAATTGAAAATCTCCCCGTTCTCAATGCGCGAGCCATACACATCCTATCGGCGGGGTTTTGTATCCTAGTCGCCCGCCAGCCGGCTTTGCCCCAGCTGAGATCGCCACCGAGAGGCCAATCTACAAGTAACCATTTTTTCGGGGACGGCGTTTGCCTGTTTCTTTCTCTCACCCACACCCCTGCCCGCTTATAGCCCAACCTATCCATGGGCTCCATTGCTTATCAACCCACACACATGCCGACCGGGAGCGGTGCCCCGGCCGCGAGCAGAAAAAGCTGCCGTGAAAGTCTACCTTGTGCTCTTCGCCCCCCTCCCCCGGTCGGGTTGGTACCTGGTCCATGGGGCGTACATGTAAGATGAAGGGAAAAACAAAAGGACGTTTAGCTCGGAGACATGTGCCTCCACCGTCGGTATTCCATTCGACAAGCACTTCCTTTCCCCCACCCCCACGTGCTCGAGCTTGCTTGGCTTTCTGGGGCCCTTCGATCGTCGTGTGTCGTTCAACTCTGCGCACACGACCCGTTTCCTTCGCGCCCCCTCCACTCCCCAGTATAGCTCGTTGGTCTCTTTTCTCTCGGGAATCCTGTCTGGCGTCGAAATGCATTAGCGAGACCAATAGAGGAATCAATGTACCCAATATTTTCTAATCTTGATGACATCCCAGCCTCGAACGAGACACCGACGTGGGCCACACCCCACTCGCCCACTTCGGCCACATTTTCCATCTTTGTTTCTTTTTTTTTCTTTTTCTTTTTTTCTCTTCTTGGTCTCGGTATCACCTTCCCCTTTCCCTTGCAATGTGCGCTGAATGCTAGGCTCCGGCAGCCCGGTTCCGCCGAGCATTTTCTTTTTTTTCTTTCTCGTTTTCGAATCTCCCCCTCCCCCTCGAGACGTAGCATCATCCTTCCCTCGCCAAGCTTTAAATACAAGAGTCTTGGCCCTCCCTCCCTTGCCCTTCCTTCCTCTCCATCCGACCAACCCTCATCCGACTTTCAAAGCCAAGTCCGCCCTGCCAAGATCGCCAAGCAAGCTTGGGACACATTCGCCAAACATGGTTCTCGACGCCTACACCTACATTTTTGCCATTGGCACCATCTTTGCCCTCCTCGAGGCTTTCAACAACGGTGCCAGTATGTGCTTGCTTCCCCCCGTGTTCCTCTTGTTTCTCTTTGAGCTTCAATCACCCACCTTTCCCCCAATCACCATACTTCCCCCATCCCCCATCTCACTATCACCACTGTGCTGCTCTTGGCATTTTCCTTCCAAACACCCTCAGAAAATTGACTAACACGTGCCCTCTCTTTTTCCCCCTGCTCGCAGATGATGTCGCCAACGCCTGGGCCACCAGCGTTTCCTCGCGCTCGGTCACCTACCGCCAAGCCATGGTCCTCTGCACGGTCTTTGAGCTAACCGGCGCCCTCGCCGTCGGCGCCCGCACCGCCTCCACCATCAAGAACGGCATCATCCCCAGCTCCGCCTTCGGCGACAACGCCGGCGTCCAGCTCCTCGCCTTCGCCTGCGCCTCCGCCGGCGCCTCCATGTGGGTCATGTGGTGCACCCGCAACTCCGCCCACGTCTCCTCCACCTACTCCCTCGTCTCCTCCATCGCCGGTGTCGGCGTCGCCGCCGTCGGCGCCAGCCAGGTCAACTGGGGCTGGAACAAGGGTACCGGCCTCGGCGCCATCTTCGCCGGCCTCGCCATGGCCCCCTTCATCTCCGCTTGCTTCGGCGCCATCATCTTCATGCTCATCAAGTTTACCGTCCACTTGCGCAAGAACCCTCTGCCCTGGGCCGTCTACACCTCCCCGGCCTTCTTCCTCATCGCGGGTACCGTCTGCTCCCTGTCCGTCGTCTACAAGGGCTCGCCCAGGCTCGGCCTCGACAAGAAGCCCGCGTGGTACATCGCCTCCGTCTCCCTCGGCACCGGTTTCGGCCTCGCCCTCGTCGCTGCCCTCTTCTTCGTCCCCTATGTCCACGCCAAGGTCGTCAAGAAGGACTACACCATCCGCTGGTGGATGATCTTCCAGGGCCCTCTCCTGTTCAAGCGCCCCGCTCCCGCTGACGCCGAGAGCCGCAAGGCCGACGTCCCCGACTACGCCGTCGTCCAGGAGGACACCGAGACCGACTCCGACGCCGGCCGCCCCGCTCCCCAGACCATCGAGGAGAAGAACCTCGCCGCCGACGGTGGTGACGCCATCAAGCCCGCCAAGGCCCCCTCCTCCACCACCGCCGCCGACCAGGAGAAGGGCGTCTCGCCCCTCGAGTACACCCACGAGGAATACCAGCAGCTCCTCCGCAACGCCCGCAACGCCCACCACGCCAACCTCCGCAAGTCCCGTGGTCCCCTCGGCTGGGCTATGCGCACCCTGCACAACAACCAGCTCGGCGCCGGCTCCATCCACGAGACCCACAACCTCATCGCCGTCGTCAAGCGCATCCCCGCCCAGATCATCGTCGCCCTCCTCTACGGTACCCACTATGATATCCACACCGCGCAGATCGGCATCAAGGGTTCCCCGAGGGTATTCGCATGGAGCGCGTCTACAGCCACGCCCCCAAGTACTCCAACGAGGTCGAGCATCTCTACTCCTACGTCCAGGTCATCACTGCCTGCACCGCCTCCTTTGCCCACGGCGCCAACGATGTCGGTAACGCCGTCGGTGTCTGGGCTGGTATGTACGCTGCTTGGTCGACTGGTAAGCCCAGCGCCTCCAAGGCCGATGTTCCTTACTGGCAGCTTGGAATTACTGCCGCCGTGATTTGCATCGGTTTCATCACCTACGGTTACAACATCATGAAGGGTAAGTCGAGAGAAACAAATTCATTCCCACCGCTCCAGTTTAAAGACCGAGAAAGCTAACTTGTTATAGTCATGGGTAACAAGCTCACCTACCACTCCCCGAGCCGTGGTTCCTCCATGGAAATGGGTGCCGCCATCACCATTCTCATCTTCTCCCAGTACGCCCTCCCCGTCTCCACCTCCATGTGCATCACCGGCGCCACCATCGGTGTCGGTCTCTGCAACGGTACCTGGAGGGCCGTCAACTGGAAGCGATTCGGCCTCCTCTTCTTCTCTTGGATCATGACCATCCCCATTGCCGGTCTCATCGGCGGCTGCCTCATGGCTCTTGCCGTCAACACTCCCACCTGGTAAATCAGCTAGCCTTTTTTACGGGCAGCTGAAATCTCACCCCCAAACCATAGAAAAGCGCCAATCATTTTTATTTCTTATTATACCCCGGACATGTGAAGGAGTGGGAGGGAGCAAGACTGACTGTCGGCGGGATGGCCGCGGAGCCACCGAGTAGTGCCACGCACCTTTCATAATCTTTTTGTAATCTTTATACAATTATATATGTTATCAATCTAAGAATCTTAGCGGAATATGACTCTCACTCGTGGTGAAATTAAAGAAGGGTTTCATCGTTATTGCAAGCACGACAATAGCGACCAGGCGTTAATCACGATAGGTCGAGTGACGTATCTTTGATTTTGGGAAAATTGAATTGAGCATGAGAAAGGTAGATATGATATACATGTACAACATGTCCCCTACCATACGTCTATCTTAGACGACAGTAGACTCCATTTGTTTTGCAAGGTCGGATACTTCTACGTCCCCTTGTACGTGTAACTCGGGTTCTTGCTTATCCTTTGGCTTTGCATCTTCCTCCCCAGAGCCGTGGACATCTTCGTTGTGCTTTATCAAATCGTGCATCGTAGGCAGAGACTCTTCACAGCAAGAATAGTTTCGAGAAAACCGCGCATCTACCCTCTTCACTTCGGATAGTGAACCGGGTCTCGACCGAATGCCAACCTTAAAACTCCCACCCCTACCGATATGATTGAAGCTGTCGAGATGACCGAACCAATGGATGAAACACGCGACACCATACTTGTTTGACGGGAAGAACGGCGTTGTCTCTTCGGCTGCCGCCGCGCAGAGGGAGGCCGAGATGTTAGTGAAGCTGTGGACGCTGCCAAACTTCTTTTGCGGAAAATCTCAGCGCTATCCCGGAGCGCAAATTCGACAATGTAATCCCAGGCTTCTGTTTGTGGTCCCATCTCTTCTTCGACTAAAGCATCGTCGTAATGAGCCACTGGAATGGTAAGTGTGTCGCTGTCAATAGAAATTTTCATTGTGTCTTGGGAGCTGATTTCCTCCAGGTACTGCATGCCTGCGTCGTTCAAAACTTTTTCTGACACTAAAGTATCGACTACCCGATAGGAGCTATCATTGAGAACAATTGAGGGAGGATTGGAGAGAGCAAGCGGCTCTAGTGAAGGTGGCATGGGATCCTCTGTGTATCCACCAAAATCCATGCGAGTTTCTAGATAATGAGCCACACTCACATGTCGGTCCCGGGCCCTGTCAAGTGCCGTTCGTCCCGAGTTATCTCGGGCAGTACATCTACCGTGGGCTCGCTGCACAGGACTTTCACGACATTCAAATGTCCCTCTTCGGCGGCCACGGCAAGTGGAGTTTCTCCGGAGTTCGTTCTCAAATCGTAGGGCATGAACTCTCCAGATAAAAGGGCTTGGACGGTGTCAGCCAGTCCAAGTGCGGATGCGTAATGCAACACTCCCCATCCTCGATTTCCTTTGCATAGTTTACACTTATATTCCATCCACATTTGATGAAGTATTGACAGCGTGAACAATGCAGATACTTTGTCTTTCGCCGCTTCGTAGCTTTTCACGGCTAATGAGAGCGGGGTGTGGCCATCATGGTCTTCATCGTGCAAAAGGCAACCGGTTCCCTTGTGATCTGAAAGCGCCGCTAGAAACGTTCGGCACCCGCGGAGCGCCGCCCAGTGGACAGCGGTCCTGCCTGTAGAGTCCTTTACGTTATACGATGCGCCGCCTTCGACCATCTTGGCAGCAGCTAAATCGAAACCCTTGGAGCATGCGATATGTAGACATGTACGTCCAAGGAGATCTGGTTCACTAGCCTTTGTTGTGTTGATTTGGTTGACCATGAAATTCTCGAGGCAATCCGAGAGAGTAGTCGAGTCTTCCGGTATAATATCTAAAAGGATGTGCATGGCTGACGGAGCGAACCGCTCGATTGGTACCTTGGGCTGCTGTTCTCTTGCGAAGAGAACGATTTCTTTGTGGTGGCGGAGTGGTCATCCTGCTTGGAAGGGTGGGTCTTCTTGGGCCTGGGAGCTTTCTCAACGGTAGCTATGTCGTTTACAAGGCTCTGGTAATCTTGCTCGTGTCTTAAAACACGCTCTAGAAGTTCATCTGCGGGAAGCTGCGATCTCCACCTCAGGCGGCGGATTAAAATGGCCCTTTGTAAATAACAAGAAGCCCCGAGATGACCCTAGGTAGGGACTTGGTACAGAACCACAACGACATCAGCCTCGCGTAGACTTTTTTCGTGCTCGTCATCGATGTACGTCTCGAAGCCCACTTCTCCTGGATCCTCCAATAACGGCAGTGCTGCAACGAGCGATAGTGTGGCGAAGGCAAGGAATTGGGAGGGCTTTGTCTGCATGATGGAATACGCCTGCTCGATCATGATGTCCCGGTAGAGTCGTGCGGCGCGTGCCATTCCATTGAGCGCCCTCCAATTTGTCGACTTGTGGTCATTGTCCCTCCGCGCTTCGTTGTACGCCTTTCTAAGCTGCCTCACTGCTGTGAAGAGGGCATTTTGTTGCAGCGTTCTGTATTGTAAGTTTTTGTCATTGATCAATTGAGGGCTCAACACAACCGGAGGCGTACAGCAACACTTACAGTTGGACATATTGGTCAAATGCCAATGAGCTAGAAACGGAATCTAGCTTGAATTCAAAGCCCTTGTCATTTCCTTCTGGGGAATCCGCTTCCTCTGGTTTTCTCTTTGTCGCTGTTGCTCCGCGCTCAAGTTCTCGGAACACGGCCACCCTTTTGCGCAGCATCGAGTGCATTTCTCACCTGGCCACGTCCGGTCAATAGGTTCACACTACCTCACACATTGTATCGTTAGCTTCATACGGGCCTGGGCGTCTTTGACGGAGAGTTCCCTTACTCTTTGTTTGTCGGATCTACATTGCCTGCACTTCAAGAAGTTTAACCGTCGACTATAAGGGGTGCTGCCATTCTCATCGGCTTGTTCGAGGGGACTCGTCATTTTGGGTTGCATGCGGTGATCAGGGTTAGGGATGGCTAGGATGGAATTTGTGCTGAGATCCGAGATGTTCGAGGTAGTCGCATACCCGCTTGACACTCGACGAACGCGTCGAATTAAATACAACGGAAGAGCTTTCTGGATACAGCTATAAGTTGAGTGACAAGTCGTCGCGCTCTCCATCGCACTCCTCATCGCACCCCTCATCGCGCCCGTTTCGCATTCAGTTGTGGTCTTATCGCACTCACATCGCACTCACATCGCACTTGCCCCCTCCCTGTAAGCGTGCATGCCATTGGCTCACGCCCATGACACAGCCTCAACTTTTCCCCTTCCTGCATGTTCCTTGTTTTCCCCAGGCAGCACTGGGAGCTAGCTCAGATGACATGACAAAAATAGAATTAATAAGGTTATCTTAGCGGCTTCTAGACCGATCGGGCCACATATATGCAGACCAGAGCAATGGGCTTCATATTTCAATACGCTTACTTCCCGTGCAGCGACCAACAGTAGATGGACTCCTGATCTTACTATGAGATGCTGATATTGAGAAGTTAAGGATGGGAGAATGCGCTCGCACCTCCTTTGGGTTTGTTTAGGTAGTCGAGATACGCCAAGAAAGAAATCACACGAGCTTAAGCAGTGCCTTGCATGAAGATATCAACTGTCGCATGGGAATATTTTTAGACACTAAATCTCTTAAGGTGAGCGGCCTGGATAATTTGAGAACGGCGAGGTGAGCTTTAATCTTGGTCATACGACTTGCATGCTGCTGCATTTTTTGTATGAAAATACATCCGTAGGTTGTTCCCTTCATACAAAGCTCATGCTGAACCGGAAATACGGACGACTGCTCTCTTCCACGTCCAGCATATACGTTTCTTTCTTAGCTTCACTTCGATTCACCTTTTATCAACAGTAAAGCTATGAGACCAATGACCAATACCTCTTTTCGTATTCAGGTGCGCTGTCGTACGCCGCGGTCCTCGGGGATGACCACGGGCCCCAAGCTGGAGTATTGAGTGACTAGTAAATACCACTGGAAAACTGTAGAAAATTAAGGTGGGTAGTAATGGATCTGAAGAAATTTTGCAATTGTATTCATATTATATCTTGCAACCGCTAGGAACCCCCACCACATCAATCCTCGTAGGCAATCTTAGCACCGACTAGAGACTCGATCAAAGGCGGCCGTTTAAAGCCTAGTTTAGGGTCTCCAGAGACGAAATTCATGGGAAACCCAATATCGAACTCCTTAATCTCATCGATTTGGTTAATCTGCTCGTCCGTCAAACGGATGCTCAAGGCCGCAATGTTGTCCTCGAGTTGCTGGATTTTGCGACCACCAAGCAGGGGGACCACATTCACTCCCTTGGCCTTTTGCCTGACATAGGCGAGAGCAATCTGCTGGATGCTGTCGATGCCGTGTTCAGTAGCCACTTTCTCTAGAGCCTCGCTGACCCTGCGGGCCTCTTCAGTCTGGAAGAAGCTCCGACCTCCCTCGTTGTTCTTCTTGCGTTCTTCAATCTGCTTCGAAGTTTGCAATTGAGCCCCTCCGAGAACGCCCCAAGGGCAGAGCGCCATGCCGAAATGACGAGCCATGGGGATGATGTCCCTTTCGAAGTCGCGTTCCATCAAGCTCCAGCGGCCCTGGTAGACGGAGAAGGGAGTTTTTCCATGAGACTTGGCGTATACGTTGGCTGCAGATACGATCCACGCCGGGCAATCGGATGCGCCTAGGTAAAGCACTCTGCCCTGCTGGACCAGGATATGAAGGGAATCCACGAGTTCCTCAATCGAGGTCGACCAATCCCACCAGTGGATGTAGAGAAGGTCGATGTAATCCGTTTGCAGTTTGCGGAGGAGTCGGCAACAGAGAGGTGGAGTGACTTTTTATTGTTTCCTCCGTAGTTGACCGTCTTCCCATACCCTAGTCTGTGCGAAGCGTAATTGTTTGTGAATTTCGTGGCAATGACCATGGTATCACGGTTCTTTCGGCTCGCCATCCACCGGCCGATATATTCCTCAGATTGCTCATTCTGGTAGTTATTCGCCGTATCGATGAAATTCCCGCCAGCATCTACATACGCGTCTAGGAGCTTGTAAGACTGCTCCTCGTCCATGGAGCCCATGAATTCGGTCCACGCCACGCCCAGGGACATTGCCCCCAGTGCGAGCGGTGATACGCGCACACCGGCTGTGCTGGAGAGAGTTCGATAACGACCCAATTCGGTCTTGGGCTCTGGTGGTGTTGGGAAAGCCATGGCTGCTGGTTCTTTGTCTAGGAGTGGGAAAGGATCGAGTGAATTAAAACTTGAAGTGTTGTTTGGTGTTTAGTTAGGCCCTCTAGCACAACAATATCCTAGGTTTCCTTTCCATCTATATATACTCTTCAAAATCTATCATATCAAGGCGGGCGGCATCTTGGTGTAAAGTGGCTGCGGGGTTTACGGATTTTGGGGTTGGATTTAGCGGCTGGATGGACTTATGACGCGGGGTCAGGCATCTTGTGCATGAGAATCTCTGTTCCGAGCCGGGCCGTCTCGCCACCTACCGATCAATTGATGCCGGATGTCCTGTGTATATTACTAATGTCCCCGACGCTAGAATCTTCTGTTTACCTTTGGACGATGTGACGTCTGGAAGAAAGAGTTTATCACCATTTAAACCTCCCACAGGCCGGTTGTTTTAGAACCGCAAAGTCCGTTATCCCCGCATCAGGGCATCCGGGCGCCGAATTTGAATTTGCCACTAGGGGCCGTGCCTCCCGAATAAAAAGATGGACAACTGCTGATACATGTATGATTTTAATCGCCGAAGCCTTGTATTCAAAATTGTCCATAGTAAAGGAATGAAAAATCAAACATTTGGAGCTCTATCTAGATATCTGGCTCTGCCAACTTGTATGAACCAATTGATCCATCATTTACCCCGAGCAAGAGAGTCAATGACCTCCTCGGCCGCACGCTTTCCAGAGGTAATAGCGCCTTCCAAATAGCCCTTCCACTCGTAGGCGGTCTCCTCCTGCGAAATGCAAGCGTCCAAAAGGCTCTCGCAGCGCATGGCCGTACTTTCGCAGCATTCCCGGGCCCATCGCCGATGTGGGCCCACCCCAAATATGCTCCTCTTTGGTCCACTCTACGGTGTTTATCTCCACGACATCCCGGGCATTAGTCGCTAGTTCCGGCCCCACAAGTCTAGCGAGGTGCTCAATGATAGCCTCCTCCTGGGCCGGCTCGCTTAGCTCATGCCAGGCGGCGGCAACCTTACCGGCGACGAAGACGGCAAGACTATACTGCTTAGCATCCAGGTCCGAAATATCCCAGCTAAAGCAGATCGGCCCCGTCACGGACTCGAATTTTCCGACCAGTCCCGCCTCGCGCCACCAGGGCGAAGAATAAGTCATAATCACCTTGGCGTAAATTCCCGGCTTTGTGTTCGAAACTAGAGTGTCCTTGGATTTGGGGAGACGGGGAGAAAAGCGGATATTTTTGTACGTGTTTGTAGGATTGGCTAGAATTACCTGTCGAGATTTGTAGTGGTGACCGTTGCTGGTGGACACATAGACATCTCCAGCCGGGACTTGTGTAATGGCGTTCACTGGGCTATTGAGAACGATGGTTCCTGGAGGCATGGCTGCCACGAGAGAATTGGAGATCGCAGATGTTCCTATGAAGTATTAGCCACATGCAGAAACTGGACAAGCAACCAGGATTTTCGTACCTTTCTTGACTTTGAGAGACTGGGCTCCTCCCGCTCCCTCAGACGCTATACTCTCATAGCCATATCCAGATTGGAGATAGTCTAAGAAATAATGCGCCCCAATCTCTTCTGGTTCACGACCGACAACGGCGCTAGACAGTTGTCGGCAAGCACCACGTACTGCGGAATTGTCCCAAAGGGCTTTGTCCTTTTCGCGACCCACTCTGCGAGAGAAACGTCTTCCTCGGCTGGGAAGTTGTCAAATCGGTAGATGTCGCGCTCTGCCGCAGCCATAGCAATCAGCATAACGAACGCTGTCAATGGGTCTTGCTCAGCATCGGGAGCTTCGACGCTAAACGAGGCCTGTATGGTAAATGTCAGTATAATTTCCTTTGCATACTACTCAGCACCAGATGCCACTCACGTTTTCGGTCTGGTTGTTGTCCAATCTTTTGCGGATTTGCCCTTCACCGTCCTCGTAAACGGTGTACCCATCGATATACTGTTCAGCTGTCTCGAGGCCGAATTTCTGGCACAACCCGAAGATGGTAGGCTGAGTATATTCATTGATCCAGGTCGCGCCCATCTCGATAACTGCGCCCGGATTACTTTCAAGAGATTGACTTCGGCTTCGGCCCCCGTGCGGTGTTTGGCCTCGAGGACGAGTGTGTTGAGACCTGCTTGGGTGGCTTCATAAGCCGCCATCAGACCAGAGAAACCCCACCCACAACGATTAAATCCACTTCCATCTCAATGTTTGGAACAGTGATAGCAGAATTATTCGGTGGGAGGGCCATAATCTTAGAGACTAGGATGGCTGAAGACGCCAAGGAGAGGAGCGGCGAGCGACGCATTTTTGATAGTTTGGTGGTAGAGAGAAGCAGAAAATGATGTGTAGTGAGATGGCTGGAAAATAGAAAGATCTCATTCCCACTTCAAAATTGCTCTTTATATATAACTATATCTAACAAAATCCACTCGTATGCAGTTTCTATCACTTCTAGTTGCAGTTTTGACATATCGTGATGTTTGGCATTGACGCATCCCGCGCAACCCGGTGAACTTCGGAACGGTGGACACAGGGTTTCCGTACCCCCGCGACGCGACGGCCCCGAGCCGTTGGATTCGGGGCGGTGCTCTGACGCCAAGTCCTGACTGCAACTATAGGGGACGAATCTGCTATTCTTTCGCCCACCAGCGGATCCTGTCACCCAGTGCTCGATCCTTCATAATCTGATTACATGTATGCCTAGCAATCGATGACGCGTTCGACTTAACGTCGCTGGCCAAGCTTGGCATATTTTCTGGGTGTCGCGAGGACTCGTTACTGATCCCGTCATTTTGAATCCGTCTGAGCATACATGTGAGCTCACGACACTTGGTCGTGCGATTCGTCACAGAGATGATGCAGGCTGGAATTACATCAATTGACTAATAGTAGTTAGTCACCTCCTATATTGGAACTGGCTTGAAATTTAGAAACTTGTTTTTCAGGTGATTTTTGAAGACGAAGAAGAATAAAGTTGGGGCAAGCTCAAGCAAGGTCTACAAGGAGCCAGAGATCAATTGTCTTCAAGCCTCCAGAGCACACCTCTGTTCAAGTTCGGCCTGGCGCAGCGGGGGCAGTGTCCGATCACGTGATGTCGCGTTGAGTGCACGCCGCCGGCAGAGACTGGAGTCCACCTTGAAATTTTCTGCCCCGCTATCCAACCCCCACCAAGCAGGTAAGCACGACGACGAACCGCCGAGAGCGTCATTGCCTTGTTTCGGATATTTTTCCCTCCATTTCCCATCCCACGTGGTTGTACCCCGATCTGAACCCGTCGTTAGAGAAAGCCGTGCAATTCTCAACATTGCCCTTTGTCTCTCCATCTCCTGCTTTTCCCCTCTCCTCACAACCGATCGCAAGCCAGCAGCCCCCGTTTGGTGGCCGATATCATGGCGGACATCGCCTCGGAAGAAACACCCGCCAAGGTCAAGTGCCTGGGCGGGGACTGCGACAAGGATGCCGGCTCGTTGCAGTGCCCGACATGTCTGAAGCTAGGGGTCAAGGACAGCTTCTTCTGCTCGCAAGAGTGCTTCAAGAGGAATTGGGTACGTCAAGACCTGTGCGCTCCATTGCTTATTCTTTTTCCCTCACTCGGAGCGCAACACCCTACGTGATTCTCGGCTAATATTGACCTGGGTCCCCACGTAGAACGACCACAAGGCCCTCCATAAAAAGGCGCAGGATGCGCAGTCGCCCGCCGCGGGCTTCCACAACCCGTTCCCAGGCTTCTCCTACACCGGCTCCGTCCGTCCCGTCTACCCGCTCTCGGCGAAGCGCACCGTGCCCAAGTCGATCCCGCATCCGGATTGGTCGGAGACGGGGATACCTAAGGCGGAGAGGCGGCTGAACAGGAGCAAGATTGAGCTGCTGGACGAGAAGGCCCAGGAGGCAATGCGCAAGGTGTGCAGGCTTTCGCGCGAGGTGCTGGATATCATGGCGGCGGAGGTTCGGCCGGGTGTGACGACGGATTACCTCGATGAGGTGTGCCATAAGGCTTGCGTAGAGCGAAACGTAAGAGTCACCTATTATCATCCCTCCCGTCTGACCCGTTTCCTTTCGAGCTTGCTAATGTATCGCCTTTTGGAACTTGTAGTCGTACCCTCGCCGCTCAACTACAACCACTTCCCCAAGTCAGTCTGCACATCAGTCAACGAAGTAGTCTGCCACGGCATCCCCGACCACCGCGTCCTCCTCGACGGAGACATTGTCAACCTCGACGTGTCCATCTACCACGAGGGCTACCACGCCGACCTCAACGAGACGTACTACGTGGGCGACCGGGCCAAGGCGGACCCGGACTCGGTGCGCGTCATCGAAACGACGCGCGAGTGCCTCGACAAGGCCATCGAGATCGTCAAGCCGGGCACGCCGATCCGTGACTTCGGCAAGGTCATCGAGGCGCACGCCAAGTCAAGGGGTGCAGCATCATGAAGACGTGGGGAGGGCACGGTATCCATACCGAGTTTCACCCGCCGCCGTGGATCCCGCACTACGCTAAGAACAAGGCGGTGGGCGTGTGCAAGCCCGGTATGGCTTTTACCATTGAGCCGATTCTTACGGTGGGAGCGCCGCAGGAGGTGTATTGGCCGGATAACTGGACCAACACGACAGTGGACGGCAGGCGGTCCGCGCAGTTTGGTAAGTTCAAAACAAGCAACGCCATGATTACCCCCTTATCTATTTCCCTTCGACTAACGAATGGTACACGAATTTAGAACACACCCTTCTTGTCACCGAGACCGGTGTTGAGGTCTTGACCGCGAGGACGGCGACATCGCCTGGTGGGCCGGTGCCCATGCCTACCACGACGTAGATTGAGGTCGCTTTATTTTGATCGAAGTATGGTAGCTAGAAGGGAGAGAGGAGGGACGGGAAACGGCAAACATAGCATCGCTTGGAGTTTGGTGGTACTTGTAGAAGCCGAAGAGCATAGTTTAGCGATTGGTAGTGGGGACGGCACGCTTGGTGTCACGGCGGACTTGTATTCTTCTTCCTGCAAAATCATCTTTCTCATCTCTGTCCTCTCCCAGGCTTGTAGTGTCCTCCATGTGCGGCCCTGAGCGCTCGACTGCTCGGCCCTTTGCTCGCAAATCTGTACAAGAGGCCACGACTTCTTATTTTGCTTGTGTGTGCATTCGATACACACCAAGTCTATGACTGCAAGATGAGGACCAGGCTAGCGTGGGGTCCAGCAACTTATTTAGCACATTACGGTATCCTCGTCCCCGCTCCGTGCTTTTGCCGAGACGGAAGCCCGCATTCGCTTGGACTCGGCCTAAGCGGACGCCAAAGCACGGGACTTGGAGGAACCGTCAATTTGGCCAAGTGCTCAAAAGTTCACGAACCCAGCGAGCATTGATGAAGCCAATGTTTCCTTGACCCATAATTCCCATCCCGATTCTAGTCCCAGGGCCTGTCTCGTCATGGTCTTGGCCGCACAGATAGGTGACGGATAATCACAATGGCATCTTCGGCCGAGTGGGCGTAATCCGTGCTTGATATCCATAGATGAAGTCCACATCGAAAGCACGGAAAATTGAGGACAAGAAAAGAAGAAGCAAATAAGTCAAGCTAGGACCCCCGTGGCACAGCGGCAATAGCGGCAATAGCGGTAATATCGGTGAAAGATATCCATCATATGATTAGAGGAATCGCGGCACCGATCCTCGGGAGTACTCAGGCACGGTAGCTGCACGGGGACCTGACCACCTTGCGAGTGACGATCATTGCCCTTAGACCGAGTCACCCCCGATTGGCCGAGACGCTACTCACGATCAAAGCCAACAGGGCCCACTCGACGTGAAGGCACCTGTGGTAGGCATCTTTCTAGCGACTCCAGGTTGGATTAATAATGTTACACGAGAAGAGGAGGGTGAAGAGGGGCTCAAGATGATTTATAATTTTTGGTCCCTCTCTCCCCTTCGCCGGCGCCCACTTGGCCCCGCTTTGATTCTCCACGGTCCCACGATATCGTGAAGCGAATGGGGCCCAAATAAGTCGGAGATAAGCTAAAAGTTTGGGGGCGAGGGGCGAGAGTGAGGAGACGATCAACTTGAATTGGCTTCGAAAGATTAGATCCGAAGGAATGAGAATTGTGTTGTGACCATCACTCACCTGAAATCTGGGAATATCGTGAGGGAAAGGTCTTCGGGATTAACCCACCATCACTCGCAAACAAGCTTCATCCACTTCTTGCTGTGTGCCTCGGCGGGGAAATTGTTCACAGTGACAATGACGGGCGATCTCCTTGGTCGTTTGCCGAAAAGTTGGAGACCGGAACCACTTATCTCTTTACGACTTAGGGTTGAATCCCACTTTTTTCCCACCTTTCCCCGTCCACTCAGACCGCTCCCATTGCTGTGATTCTTGGCAAAGCGACGAGTCGCCTCCGGATTCCCCATTTTTTCACGCCCTTCCGCCCGTCAGGTTCTTTCGGAATGAAGATTGGCCAATGAGCGGATTCGGAATGTGGAAGTTGTGGTCCACCAAAAGCGCAACAAGGGTGCCGCTGAATTCCGTGCTAGAGCGGGCAAGGGTGGGATGGAGTGCTGCTGCCGGGGAACGGCGCTTTGGAGGGGCGGATCTTTGGTTTTCTTTTTAAATAAAAATCCTTTGGTTGGTACATGTAGTCTAAATTGTTTCTGACTCAACCTTCTTTTCCCAGTCCTTGTATTTGTAGACGACACCTCCTCATACTTGAACTTTCCATTCAAGCTTCGAGAATGTGCTGGCTCTTCGGGTTCAACCAGCGTTAAACATGTCCCCCACGCCCCCGACACCGACCGCTCCCCAGCGACGCCAGTGATCGAGGGCGTCGCCCAACTCCCCAACGAACCTCCTCCGCACGATTCGAAATCCGAAAAGTACGCCGCCCCGGACGAAGGCAGCGAGCCCGAGGATGGCTACGACTACATCCCCTCACCGTCGAGTCCCTCGAACGGGCCACCTCCATCTCCGAGCTCCTCAGGGCCAAGGGCTGCTCCGACCCGGGCTGGGCCGACGCCATCGCCAAGGGGAACCCCAAATTCGAGTCCCCGTTCGAGTGGAGCTTTCCCCGGAAACTCCGCACCCTCGCCGCGCCCTTCCTCGCCTCCACCCTCGCCGCCTACGCCGCCGGCTCCTACGCCATGGCCGTCGAGCCACTCACCGAGAAGTGGGGGTTAGTAGTACTGTATACAGCATCGGTATCACCATGTTCGTGCTCGGCTTCGGCCTCGCCCCCATGATCCTCGCCCCCGTGAGCGAGAACCACGGCCGCTACTGGGTCTTTGTCGGCGCCGGCGTGCTCTTCACCGCCGGTACCATCGGCTGCGCGTTTACCGCTTCCCTCGCCGGCATGCTCGTCGCCCGCTTCGTCACCGGCTGCGGGGCCTCCGTCTTCGCCACCCTCACCGCGGGTGTCGCCAGCGACTTGTACCACAAGCAGGACCGCAACACCCCCATGACCCTCTTCTCCCTCACCGTCATGGCCGGCGCCGGCATCGGGCCCCTCGTCAGCGGCGCTCTCAACGATTACCTCGGCTGGCGCTGGATCTTTTACCTGCAAATCATCCTCGTCGGCGGCAACACCCTCCTCATCCTGCTCTTCTTCGCCGAGACCCGCGCCAACGTCATCCTCGAACGCCTGTGCCGCGAGCTTAACCGCCACTCCGAGACCGCCCTCGGACGAGACCCGCGTAGACCCCGTCGCAGCCAACCCATACGTTTCGCCGCGGATACCGTCCAGCAGGAGTTTAGCGTCGCCATGATCTGGCGCAGCTTCGCCTTCCCTCTCCGCCTGCTCGCCACCGAGTCCGTCGTCTTCTGGTTCTCGGCGTGGGCGTCCTTTGGCTGGGCCATCCTCTACCTACAATTCAACAGCATCGGCATCGTGTTTCGGGAAACCTACGACTTTACCACCGCTCAGGTCGGCTTTGTATACGCCGCCGTCATTATCGGCTCCGTTCTCGTCGCTGCCCTGAGCATTTTCCAAGAGTCCTTCCTCTGCCGTGTGTGGCCCGAGCGCATGGCCACGCCCGAGGGCCGCCTGCTCCCTTCGTGTCTCGAGTCCACTATGCTACCCATAGGTCTCTTTTGGTTCGGCTGGAGTGCCCAGGGCCACGCCCACTGGGCTGTCCCCGTTCTAGCCGTGGGCTCCTGCACGGTGGGCATCTTCAGCATTTATTTAGCCGTGTTCAACTACCTCGCCGACACGTATCACCGTTACGCCTCCTCTGCCCTCGCCGCCCAGAGCATGTGCCGCAACCTGTTAGCGGGTATATTCCCTCTCGTTGCCCACCGCATGTTCCACGATCTATCTTACGGTGCCGCCAGCAGCCTCCTCGGCGGCATCGGCATCCTGCTAACTGCCGTCCCCTGGTTGCTGTGCATATACGGCGAGACGGTCCGCTCGAGGAGCCCCTTTGCTAGCAATATGAAGGGGGCGGATGCGGGGGTAGAGGAGATAGAGAGGCGGAATAGCGAAGAAGTCTAAAGCTTGCTTTTTCTAACATTTTCTTGTCCGGCCATTTGGTTCCCTATCACGATTTCTTAATTATCCCGGTGCATCTATATAAGGGAAGATCATGAAGCATTATCTTTTTCGTACAATGGATGCCAAAATAATTCAAATTAATCTTCATCTGTAACTTCAGTTTCGTTTAATACCAACACTGCCTACATGTATTTTGCTCCAATCCCCCAACGTTTCGACGGCGATTCATTTCAAATGCGGATCGGAGCCGGTGCTTTCCGTCCCCGCACCGGGTAGCACCCGATGAGTGCGGAGAAGGGCCACTTCCAGCGCCCAACCTCTGACATGGACGTCATCAATTGAATCGTGCTTGCTTTGTCTCAAAATCAATTGTGCTAGTACGACGGCGCTAGCTACGCCACGACCACCCCCAACTGCCGCGATTCAGATCCGGCCCTGCTGAGGGAGCTAAGTTGCGTCCTCCCGCGCATTCGGAACGGACCCGCCCAAGGGGAAACTCGACATAGGTGCTTCAAGGTTCTGGGGACTGCACAGTCGGTTAGCTCAGTTAGTTAGAGCGTAGTACTAATGAACTAACCGGTTTATCAAGTAAATGCTAAGGTCATGTGTTCGACCCTCATACTGACCATTTATCCTAACTACTTTTTTGCCCTCTTTTAGGGAATCCGTTCGCCGATATGCTTTTCTGGTACGTGTAGCTACCAGTCGCGAAATCTTTCGTGATTGAGGTCAGTTTTCTTACCCATCAGAAACGCAACCCCTTATGCTAGCCAATCTTCCTACCGGGGGTGTCTGCACTAGCCCTACGCAGCAACCTTTTGATGCGCGGGTGGGTCCTCGACGATATCGACCGGCCTTCGTCGTCCTTGCTGTGAACATTGGCGTTGTTAGCCAGCAAAATCCGAACGACAGAGGCATTACCCCACTCTTCGACGGCGTACGAAAGAGGCGTTCGACCTTTGTTGTCCTTTGAGTCGACCTCGGCATTACTCTTGAGGAGGAGTTTGGTGATAGAGTTGTCAACAAATATCAAATCTATAGAATGAGAGAGTGCCGTTCGGCCGTCGTCATCTCTAACATCGACTCTAGCGCCACTCCTTACGAGCATTTCGACAGCGCGGTAGCTCTTAGATGAGGCATGGCTTAACGGAGTTCGACCTTTACAATCTTTCGCCTCAATATCGACCCCTTGGCTTAGTAACAGCTCAACTATCGCCTCATATCCTGCACCAACCGCGTGTGATAAAGGCGTACGTCCATCTTGGTCTCTAGCGTCGGCGTCGACGCCATAATTGAGGAATTCCTGTAAAACGTCCTTATGTCCCTCTCTTGCGGCCCACATTAGTGGTGTAGCACCGCCGTTATCTCGGACGCTAGCGTCTAAGCCCTTCGAGAGAAGTAGCCTGACCGTCGGAAGATATCCATTTTGGGCAGCTAACGTGAGCGAGCCAAAGCCCTGGTGGTCATAGATATTAGTTTGAATACCCGGCACCATGTATAGACGTGCCACAGTTGTTTCCCTTGCGGTCCTGGCCGCCCACAAGAGCGGCGTCCTGCCTTTGTTGTCAATTGAGTTAACGTCAGCGTTTCTGTCGAGCAGCATCTCCACTATCGCCTCGCAATCAGCTTGTGCAGCCCATGAGAGCGGCGTTCGACCCTTATTATCGGCTGAATTGGCGTCAGCTCCCTATCAAGAAGCATTCGTACTACCTTCTCGTTACCAACTCGTGCGGCCTGTGAGAGAGGTGTTCGACCCCTGTTATCGCCTGAATTGACATCAACTTCCCTATTAAGAAGCATCTGTACTATCTTTTCCTTGCCAGCTCCGGCAGCCCACCAGAGAGGCGTTCGACCCTCATTATCAGCTGAATTGACATCAGCGTCCCTATCAAGAAGCATTCGTAGTACCTTCTCGTTACCAACTCGTATAGCCCATGAGAGAGGTGGTAGACACTTATTATCAGCTGAATTGACATCAACTTCCCTCTCAAGAAGCATTCGTACTACCTTCTCGTCATCACCTTGTGCAGCCCATGAGAGCGGCGTTCGACCCTTATTATCGGCTGAATTGGCGTCAGCTCCCTATCAAGAAGCATTCGTAGTACCTTCTTGTTACCAACTCGTATAGCCCATGAGAGAGGTGGTAGACCCTCATTATCGACTGAATTGACATCGGCTTCCCTATCAAGAAGCATTTGTAGTACCTTCTCGTTACCAACTCGTGTAGCCCATGAGAGCGGCGTTCGACCCTTATTATCGGCTGAATTGGCGTCAGCTCCCTATCAAGAAGCATTCGTAGTACCTTCTTGTTACCAACTCGTATAGCCCATGAGAGAGGTGGTAGACCCTCATTATCAACTGAATTGACATCGGCTTCCCTATCAAGAAGCATTCGTACTACCTTCTCGTTACCAGCTTGTGCAGCCAGACAGAGAGGCGTTTGACCCTCATTATCAACTGAATTGACATCGGCTTCCTTATCAAGAAGCATTCGTACTACCTTCTCGTTACCAGCTTCTACAGCCCACCAGAGAGGCGTTCGACCCTGATTATCGACTGAATTGGCATCGGCTTCCCTATCAAGCAGCATCTGTACCATAGGCTCCTGGCACGCTTCCACGGCGAGCGAGAGTGGTGTCCTATCCACAACTTGACGGAAAAATTGGGCGGGCTCAGCGGCTATCTGGGGATGTGAAGTTCCCAAAGGATGGTATGACTGGTCCGTAATCGGAACAGACACACGAGAGCGTGAGTCAGCGTCGACCTTGCCCGTCTCCAGAAGTAAATTCACTATCGCTATATGGCCCTCCTGGCTGCTAATGACAATGGCGTTCGACCTCTGTTGCAATACCAACCTACGGCATTGGCATTGACGTTCCCAATCGCCAGGAGTTGTTTAACGATGGCCTCATGCCCGTTCATGGCGGCGAAGGACAGCGGAGTATATCCACTATTATTTGCTACATCAACCTCCACAAGGCCAGTTTCAAGCAGTAACTTCACAACCGCCTCGTGTCCGGCCTCGGCGGCCAAAATCAGGGGCGTTTGACCACCCCTGTCCTTTGCGTTGGGGTCAACTTTTCCAGTCTCAAGGAGGAATCGCATACCATAGTCCACTCCAAAATGGGCGGCTTGATGTACTCCTTTAAATCCATGTCTCCATTTAAATGGTAGCCAGGAGTGCCGCACAAAGGAAAAGTTATCAGGACGGTGGCCCAAAATTAGTACCTGGCTCGCTGCCTTAATGTTGCCCTCGGCCTCTAGGAAATGGAGGACGTGTTGGCAAACACTTTTGGCCCGAAGGGCGTGCAAACCCCAGTTCTGTGCCGCATATAAGAACAGTGGGTTTGCCTTCAATCTTTTCTTAAACGCCAGACGCCGTCGACACTGTCCACCGAAGAACACGTCAAAGGAGAGATACACGCAGCAGATCGTTGTAATATAATCCTCTGCGAACGGGAACCATTGTTTCCACGTACGCACGAAATATTCCTGCGTCGTGTAGTGCACGAGTCGGACAACACCACTTCCCTCATCCACTGTTACTAAGCCGGCACAGCATGAGACAATGTCGGCAACGTCTGGGAGATTATCAAGATCGAGAAAAGTATCATCCTCGTCTACAGAGAGTGCGTGCTGAAGTTCCGTGATACTTAGGAGCCTGGTTGCTCGGGTGAGCCACGACAGAACCTGCTTGGCGAGTTCGACCTGATCCTGGACTTGGCCTTCAATCCGCTTCATGGCTTCGTCGTATGCACTGTCGTACGCTTCGCAGCCCGTGGGAAGTGTTGCAAGGGCTGCTCGAAGTGCTCTTATGTTCCTCTTTCCAAAGAGACTTTCTAGGTGAAGGCGCGCGAGCAAGAACCTAGGCACAGCTAGTTAGCAGTTGGACTTCTATCCTGAACCCCAACAAGCGGACTTACATCCCGTCAACAGCACTGACGATCGCGCCTACGACTTCTTCTTGAATATCTGGACGGCGTTGAACAAAGGAGGGTAGGTGTGATATATTCGCTGTTAAAAACGTTCGCACATCGTGCTCGCTGGCCTGAATCTCTAGTACGGTGCTGTTGTCAAAAGCCTCTGTAATGTCAGGTATAAACCTCGTCGTTGCAAAGAGGTTAGCTCCACACTTGGCCCGGAATGTGAGGACTTCGGTCAAAAATTGGTGTCGCTGGCCACCGACTGGCGGGAGTTCATCTAGCGCATCAACAACGATGAAAACTCTGGAGTAAGAACGGGTTGTGGCATCAAGAACTGTTTTCACCTCGTCGTATGTCGGGCGAGTGTTGGAGCGCCCTCGGTCTTCATATAACGATGTTAGAGAGTCTGGTAGACGCGAATGACCTTGAGCTAGTTGCCTTAGCAAGCTCATGAGCAGAGCGTACGGCGTCTGCTCGTCGTGCCGCCGGAAGTCGCAATAAATGAAAGCGAGCCCAATTGTTTTATCTTCTTTACATCGGCCGAGGAGGTCTTCAATCACAATCGACGTCAGAGTTATCTTTCCAGCGCCAGGAATACCTGGGCAGAACAATGTCTCCCGCTCATTCTCCAACCACCGCTGGAATTTGGAATGCTCGAGAAGCCACTGGCCAGTCCCGGCCTGCCTGCGATTAAGGACATCAATTTGTCGCTTGGCGTAATTCTCTAGAGTCAGCCAGTCAAGAATCTTCGAGCGCTCTGCAAGTCGATCTCGTTCGCGATTGTCGAGCGATATCTTCTCAAGCCGCTGGATAGGTTTAATTCTGCGCTTTGAATAGCTGCGCGGTTATCGTTCAGCTGAGATAGTAGGGCTTTCAGGTGCTGACTATTTTGGGTAGAAGTTCTCTTGATTTCCTGAAGGAGCTTCCGGGAGTCGTTGGCGAGAGCTAGCTGAAGGAGTGTCTTCTCACGCTCGATGGCTTTGAAGATCTCCTTAACTTCCTTCTCACTAAAGGGCCATTGCAAGTTGGATAGGACGCCTCTCACCCCATCCCGAGGCTGAAGTCTCGCTTCAACCCCGCTCAAGGCAGCATATAGCCGGCCCAGCGGTGCTTCTGGACCTTCAAGGGTTTCGATGGTGGCGGTCCACGCTTGACCCTCCTCCGAGTCGTCTGCCTCATCCTTGAGTTCTCGGAGGATGGCCTCGCAGGCACGCAACTCGTCACGAAAGGCCGTTCTCTGCTGTTTGGCGCCCTTCGCAGATTTGATATACTGGACAACTTTTTCTGATAACTGGAGAACAGCAATGATGCTTGCGGCGGCACCGAGGGGCTCCATCTCCGAGGTCTTTCACATGTAGAATCGCGCGGGGCGGGGTAAAGTGATGATTTAGCTGTTGCATAAAAGCCCAATGCAGAGCGCTTTTTATTGAGGCATTGTCTTGTTTGCCCGACTGATCAGTCATCAGACGGTGGCTGTTCGCTCGCACCAATGACATGGCGGGCGGAAGCCTTGCGAAGAGAATCGAACCCTTGTGAGTTGTATATTTCATCTCTAGTAGCTACATCTACCCATGGTCCAAGACCTAAGTGGCATCCAACGGTTTCCATGCCTCTTGTGAGGCGCTTGTGCCTAGGTAGTGAATCCTTACATCCACTTTTTATCCTTCACCGGATCTAGTACTGCCCCGGCCTCAACCAACATTTTTTGATGAATTCTTCCCCGTTCGTATTGAGCGCCATTGATAACACTGACTGGCCCCGGGCATCCCTCCAGCACGCGTCGGCCTTGTGGGACAGTAATACTTTGACAATGGGGGCCGTGGAGTCACGGATGACGGCATGAAACAGCGGCGTGCGACCATCGTTGTCCGCTGCGTCCACGTCGGCATTGTGCTCTAGTAGTAGGCTGATAATGTTCTCGCCGTCACGAGCATAACTAGATGCGAAGTGATTGAGTGGTGTTCGGCCCTTCCAATCCCTGGTGTTAACGTTGGCGCCGTTTTCTAGCAACAGGCCAACAGCCGGTGAATTATACTCTATGGCATAGACCAACGGAGTCCACCCTGTGCGGTCTTGTGAGTCTATGTCGGCCCCATGGGCTAGTAGGAGTTTCACCAGAACCAAGTTTCCTCTGGTCGAGGCCAGCGATAACGGCGTACGTCCCTCACGGTCTCTGATATCGGCGTCGGCAGCCATAGCAAGTAGTTCCTCCACAAGTTTGTCATGGCCCCCATGTGCCGCCCATGAAAGCGGCGTTCGGCCCAGCGTGTCTTGCGCCATGGGATCGAGCCCGAGGGAGAGAGAAAACTTGAAGAGAGTGAAGGCACCGTTTTTGGCAGCGAGCGAGAGCAAGTTGTCCCCGCCGCTGCTGTGGGCGGTGGCGTCGACACCGGGCATTGTGAGCAAAGATCGACAATGGTTTGGCATCCGCGGTTAGCTGCGTGCAAAAGCGGCGTGTAGCCGTCCTTGTCTACTGAATTGGCGTCGGCCCTCTATCAAGGAGAAGCTGTACTATTGGCTTCCTCCAACGCACGCGCCCGCAGCCCGCGCAAGTGGTGTCATACCCGCCTTGTCGACCGGGTCGACGTCGGAATTGGCGTCTAGCAGAAGCCGCACTATCGGCTCACTGGCGAGTGCCGCGGCCCACGAGATCGGGGTCCGGCCGCTAGTGTCAGCTGAATTAACATTGGATCCCCGGTCAAGCAGCAGCCGGACGATCGTCGCGTGGCCTCTTCCCGCAGCTAACGAGAGCGGGCTCCTGCCGTCATGGCCAGCCAAGCTGGCATCGGCTCCCGCGTCAAGCAGCAGCCGAACTATCTTCTCGTACCCATTTCTCGCAGCTAACGAGATGGGCGTATTTTTCTGTGCGTTGACTGAATTGACATCGGCTCCCCGGCAATGAGTAGCTCTACTATCGTCGCGCGGCCCTCTTCGGCAGCAAGTAGAAGCGGCGGCCCCGAGGTGTCAACAGGGTTGACGTCGGCTCCCCTCTCGAGGAGCAGCCGGACTATCGTCTCGTAACCGTTTACCGCGGCCCATCCGAGCGGGCCCCTGTCCGTACCTTTCGGTGCATTGACGTCAACTTTCCTGCTAAGCAGCAGCTGCACAATCATCTCTTGGCCGACTTCCGCGGCCCACGAGAGCGGTGTCCTACCGCGCTCGTCAACTGTATCAGGATCAGCACCCCTGACAAGAAGAAGCAGCACTATCGCCTCCCGACCAGCCCCGGCGGCCCAGGATAGCGCTGTCCTCTCGTGCACGTCACCTAGATTGATGTCCGCTCCTCTATCTAGCAGCAGGCGCACCAGCGTCTCATGGCCGCTTTCCGCCGCCAGTGATAACGGCGTTCGTTTGCGGTCATTCGAATCCAGGTCCCACAGCCGGTTTTCCTCCGACCGGGAAAGATGCCCCTTGCCTTGCACTAGCTGTACCATCATGCCCCAGGCAGCGCCCGCGACACGTGTGAGCAGTTCTTTGCCAGTGGCCGCGCGTGAGGCGCTGCCAGGCCCGGCGCCCATCAACAGGGATGGCACCAACTTGGCGAGAGAATCATCGGAGCGAGGGCTTCCGTCGACGCCGAGGTTGCCAATTTCGAGGAGTAAGTTCACGACTTCTATTTTCCCCGCTTTGGCGGCCCACGCCAAGGGGTTCGGCCTCGCTGTAGGCGACCATCGCCTCTGGCGTCAGGATCGACCTTTCCCGTGGCTAAGAGTTGCTTGATCACGGCAACAGAACCAACCTCTGCGGCAAGCGATAGGGGTGTTCGCCCCCGATACTCCCGGGAGGCCTTGGGGTTGATATCAATGCCGTCCACCGCCAGGAGCTGTCCGACGATGGCGTCATGGCCCCCATGGCAGCATAAGCTAGCGGGGTTAATCCATCCACGTCTGCAGAGTTGACATCTACGAGGCCGGTCTCAAGCACTAGCTTGAAAATCTCCTCATTTCCGGCCATCGCGGCCCAGATAAGCGGCGTTCGCTCTCTGCCATCCCGGGAGTTGGGGTCTGCTTTCCCCGGTTCCAGAAGAGACCGAACCGCGTACCCGATCCCAAAATAGATGGCTTGGTGCAGGCCTCTAAATCCCTTTGGGAATTTTGTACATCGTTGTAGCTCATCACTGAAGTATGGGCCACTAACGGATGCGTAGCTCGCGTTTTTCCCCGGGCGCTCTAGAAACAACATTTGACTCGACGCTTCCACATTGACATCGCGGTGTAGGAAGTCGAGCACATACTGGCCAACATTCTCCGCTTGGGTAGCATGGTAAGCCCAGTTTTTGCGGCGTAGAGGAAAAGCGGGTTGTTTCTCAGCCTTTCCTCCCCGAGCACCGACTGCCATGAACACAGTCCATCCGAGAACACTTCAAAGGAGAGGTATGTGCAGCAAATCGCTGCCATGTCAGCTTCCGCCGATGGAAACCATTTTTTCCATGTCCGCGTAAAATAGTCGTGCGCCGTGTGGTGTATGAGGCGGACTATGCCGCTTTTCTTGTCCACCAAGACCAATCCACCGCACGACGAGACTATGTCGGCGATGTCTGGAAGACGATCGACGTTGAGAGAAGCCTGACCCTTTTCCACAGCAAGTGCGTGTTGAAGTTCCTTATCGCGTAGGAGTCGCGTGGCTCGAGTAATCCATGACAGCGCCTGTTTAGCGAGTCTGGCTTTATGGCTGGCTTGACTCTCGATTCGCTTTAAAACTTCATCGTATGCGCGGTCGTACGCCACGGGGCCCACCGGAAGCGCTGACAGGGCATGCTGCAGTGTTTCTATGGATTTCTCGCCAACCAGACTCTCTAGGTGAAGACGCGCCAGCAGGAACCTACGTGTACACGTGGTTGGTGGTTAGCTATCAAGTCGCCTCCGGCTATTATTCTAGGGGCGGGGACCTTACCTTCCGTCAACTGCGCCGACGATAGCGTAGATGGCTTCTTCTTGAAGATCCGGTCTTTGCTGAACAAATGGGGGCAATTGTGATATGTTTGCATCTAAGAATCTCCGCACGTTGTGCTCTCTCGCCCTAATCTCTAGTGTGATGCTCGCTTTGAAAACTTCCGCAATGTCGGGAACAGGCCTCGATGTTACGAGAAGGTTGATTCCACACTTGGCCTGGAGTTTGAGCATCCTGGCCAAGAATTCAGATCGGTGATCATCATCTACCCCGAGTTCGTCAACCGCGTCGATAATGATGAAAGTTCTAGAGTAGAGATGGGTTATAACATTATTAAGAGATGGTTCAACATCTTCGCAGGGCGGCATAAGCCAATTGCAGTGGTGGAAATTGCAGATGGTTGCTGCATTAGGGCGCCAACAGCTACGAGAGTTTACACCGGCGGGAAGGTCTTCGCGGCCTCGAGTCAATTGCCTCATCAGGTTCAGTGAAAGGGCGCATGGGGTTTGCTCGCCGCGCCGTCTCAGGTCGCAATAAATGTAGGCGAGACCGATATCTTTACGGCCTTTGAACCGGTTCAGGAGGTCCTCAATCACGATCGACGTGAGAATCGTCTTCCCGGCGCCGGGGATACCAGGGCAGAAGAGTGTCTCCCGCGGTTTCTCCAGCCACGGCGAGAATTTTGGATGCTCGAGAAACCACTGACCGGTGCTGGGCTGCCTGCGGCCCAGGGCATCGTTGTGGCGAGCGGCATAGTCTTGGCGAGTCGGGTAGCCAAACACCAACAGCCTTTCCGGCTGTTCCGATTCTTCTGTCCGCTCCGGAATAGAGTCCTGGCCATCCTGCAACCGAGACAGTAGCGTCATTAGCTGCTGGCTGCATTCGGGAGCACTTTTCTCGATTTCCCGCACGAATCGCTGGGAGTCGATGACCAGAGCCAGTTGTAGGAGTGACTTTTCACGCTGGGTCACCTCGGAGATTTCCTCGAGTTCTTTTTGCTGAAGGGCCATTGTAGACTGGTGAGGGCACCCTTGCCCTTGTCCTGAGGCCGAAGTCTCTCTTCAACCTTGTGCAAAAGAGTATGAAGTCGGCCTAGCGGTGCCCCTGGTGCCTCGAGGGCTTCGGTAGTAACCCTCCACGCCTGGGCTTCCACGTCATCGCTCCTCTTCTTGAGTTGCTGGAGGACGGTTCCGCAGGCACACAACTCATCTAGGAAGGCCTCGCTATGTTTTTCGGCATCCTGTGCAGAAGTGATATCTTGGACGACTTTCGAAGTCAGCTTGAGAACGGATGTGACGCTGGCAGCTATGCCGAGAGGATCCATCCCTGAGGTTCCTCGCGTCCTGGGTCGCGCGGAGAAGGTGGAAAGTCTGTTTGTTTGTGTATTGGCGAGCGACGCTACACTAACCACATGGAGAAAAGTGGGATTCGGGCATTATTTGTACATGCACTCGCGCTTTCGTTGATGTGGATCCGTCATCATCATCTGAGTTGAGTTGCTGCTCCCCGCCAATAACGGGCGTGGGGAGCCTTGCAAGGAGGATGAATCACTAGGAAAAGCAAGAATACGAACACTAATGTGCCGAGCAAGATGCGCCGAGGCAGGCTGCGTGGGCGATGATTAGTTTAGTTCCGCCTTCACCTTCTATTCGTCCGTTTCATTACCGTCTCCCTTTTAGCGCCAAGGTGAGTTCTAAATCAACTGTAAGACTTGCATCCGTTGTTCTCCCCAAGTCAAGAGTGCCAAGCAAAACGAGATCCACGTCTCCCCGACTTTCAGTTTCTTTCCAACTCATCTCTTCATTTACCACGCCTGCCTAGCCTCTACAAATAGCCCCTCTTGATACTCGTCTTGTCTCTGATGAATAAAGTGGCACCGGTCCTTTAGGCTCAGACATAGCTCACTCCGCATTTCCTCCCCTCGCCCCGTCAACTTGAATTCCTCCGCCGCATCCGATGATGCCAGCGCGAACACCTTCAAACAGTCCTCACCAGGACCCCCATCGAGCTCTGCCATAACTTTTCCCAGCGTTTTCAGTAGGCTAGCGCTATTCACGAACCAATCCACGCGGTCTATAAAGAGCCAAACCCGCCCGCGCTTCCCCACCAACTTTGTGAAGAGACTTTTCAGGACGGATATATCGTCCAGTGAAGAGGCCCGCGCGCGTGAACCGGAGCCTTCTTCGCTTCCCGGTAGGGCCTTTCGGATTGCATCGTCTCGAAGACATGTTGGGTCCGCGGCCAGAAGTTGGTAGATCAAGTCGGTGAGCAGCGCTTTTAGTCCGACCCGGCCAAAGGCGGAGCTGCCCCTGCAGCAGAAAAGAAGGACGGTGTCTCCACCTAGAGACTTGCGCGCGTCACATACGGAGAAGAGGCCCGGCGAGAGCCAGCAGTGCATCTCCTGGTGCTCCTCTGTCTCGCCGCTGACGAGCAAGAGGCTGGAGGAAGGGCTTTTGCCCATGAAGAGAATGCAGCGGTGGCCACCAAGTCTTGCACCTGCAGCCCGGGGCAGTTGTTGAAGCCGTACTCGAAGAGGGCCGCAAGGTCGGACCGATACATTCGTAGGGATGCGTCGTCCTGCAGTTTGTGCCTCAGCTTTCTTTCCAAGCTCCGGAGAAGTTCAAGATCGGACCGGACGGCGGAATCTTTCCACTTGCATGTTAGCCTGCAGACAGGAAACGGGGCAGGGCTAGGCATCCATATCAGGCTTGAGAGGGTGGATCATTACCTTCTTCCAGTTTAAATGTGTCCTCCGTATACTTCTCAACCTTGATCAGTCTCACTTCAATATCTCGAATGCGCCGCTGCGTGAGGATGCCGCATCTTGCCCGAACGTCGCGGATCACGCCGTCAAGCTCATCGGCGGCATTCTTCACGCCCACCTCGGGAGGTTCCGCGATTCCTCGGAATATGCGTCGCCACCGAGGGGCAAGATAATAATAGGACGCTTGTACGGAGAAGACATATGTCTTGTGGTAGGTGACGCGTATGAGCTGGGACAAGTCGTCGTCGTCTCTATGGATGTCATGGGAAATTTGTATTTCCGAAGCGCGGAGATTAATCTTTTCTAGTGTTTCATCGAGAATATCCTCTCTTGTTTTTTTGTTGGTAGAGATCTAGAGGCCCCAGTGTAAGTGTGCGTCCAATACCGAAATCTCTTTATCTTCTCCTCTACTTCGTGACGGGAAGGGAGTTTTCCGTCTTGGGCTTCCGTCTTCCGTCAGGCGGTGGACCGAGATCAGCTTACCAGAACAAGCATAGATAGAGCTTGGCATGCCGTGCCCGCAATCGGGTCGGACGAGCTTGCGAGCGAGATCAATTCCCCATATGCCGTGAGATAGACGCTCAGCTTCTCTAATATTCCTTGGGCTTTTCTGCCCACCTTGCTCGCCAACGCCGGGCTCTCATGATGGGCCTTTTGAGCAGCGACGGCACCTCCAAGCCTCTGGTCCACAAGCGCGCGAACCTCATCGAGATCCGACGGTAGGTCATCCAGGTTCACAAGCTCTCCTTTTTCCGTACTGCCGAATGAGGTCCTCGAGCTCCGAAGCCTTTGGGCGCTCATCGGCCTCTCCCTTGCCGGAGCCAGCACCAGCCTCCCTCGAGGAGAGGGACTCTCGCCATCCAGCACCCTTCTTTGAAGCCATGACAGACCAGCCAGCCTAGTGCGCCCTCTCCGTCGGCATAATTGCAATCACAAGAATAGAAGGCAAGGGACGATAGAAACGAGAACAAACAAGAAGACAGCTACGATGGTGGCACAAGCCGGTCGAACTCGGCAAAGACGAGTTGGTGTGGTGTCACCCGTCAGTGAGATATTGAAACAGCTTCGCGCGGGGCGCCCCTCTCCACATCTGCATCCTGCAGGATCCTTTGGACTGCAGGGGTATTTGGGCCAGTTATCTTAATGTGCGTGGCGGGTTTGGCGGCTTGTGCGGCTGTGCACCGCAACTTGGCAGGGCTGTGCCGCACAATGAAGAGCAAGGACGTGAGCGCGAGGGGTCCATTGAAGGGCGCCAAGTGATCCATTGGGACCATCCGTCTGCAGCTTATCACCAGCCACCTGGACAAAAACGGGAGATTCGGAAGGGGTTTGCCGCCCATGGAGCTAGCGAGGGGCAGGATCCTGAAGCGGGGACGGATCATCAAGGGTTTCGCAACGCGGGTTTGATGACGAAATCAGTTCGACGAAAGGAAGGAAGAAAAAAGATGAGCTTGTCCTGCTCTATTCTTTCGTGTGACCTTGAATCGTTGCATCTTTGTTTTTTGATCCCCTTCCTTTCCATCGCACAGGTGGCATGACAAGAGTACCGAGTCCATCGCCGACTCGACAGTAATCGACAATGGCGCAGGATCAAGCTCAGTGCCGTTGCTCGGAACTAGAGCTTCGGATCAACGTTCTTGAATCGGCGCTGCAGGACATTCAAACCGTGAGTTGTCGCATGCCTACTAGAAACCCTTGCCCTGTCCAATTGCCCCCAGACTGGCATGTTATTAACAAAATTGTCTAGAAATTGACTGGATTGATTACCGCGACAAGCGAAACCGCGAAAACCGAGGAAGAGGCGACAGAGGGCGAGACAGCGGTCACACAAGAAACCAGCACTGCCACGACTGAAGGAGAAGCTACGACGACGACAGACCCAGAAGCTCCCGCGAAGCCGGTGCACTTTGTCCAGGTTACATACGACGACAATGACGTGCGCGTAGAGAAAGATGTCGAGGAGGATGCCGCGACCAAGTCCGACTCTGCCGTGCTCAAGACCAACGGCCGCAAGATGGTCGTCAAATTTGACGTAAAATACAAGGAGACGACCGTCTATCTCGAGGACCCCGCGCTGCAGGCCCTCATCAATGTCGCCACCCGCCATCTGCGTCCGACGACGGAGGATGTCTTGGAGTACCTGGGGAGCCCGTTCTGCGATTTCCTCTACTGCTGGGATCAGCTTAGTGATATCGCCAACCTGAATGCCGACTCTGCCATTGTACGGGAGCTGCACGACAAGATTTCCAAGACGACAGAGACCGATCATCCCTTTGGCAATTACCTGAAGAACCTCTACCTCCTCAAGGACGAGGACAGGCTGCAAGAAACGGTTGCATGTGTCAAGAAGCTCTTGAGCGTTGTGAAGGAAGCTCCCGTGATGCAGCCCTACTTTCGCGGAGAAGATAGCCCGTTCGGAGGGTCCCGCAAGGTTGCTTGGCCGTGGCTCTGGTCCGTGTTTGTGCCCGGCGACCTCGTCGTGTACCGGAACCCGGAAGACCAGACCCAGGATCAAGTGATGCTTGTACGATGGGAGAATCAGACGGAATGTATTCTCGACATCGACGACTCGAGCATATACAATGTGAAGTGCTGGGCTTATGATTGGGACCCGATTGACCATGTTTTCAAGCTTGTCGCCATTGATGTCCCCATTGGTTATTTCCATTCCACCAAGTCCATCACTAGTCTCTGCATCTTCCCTCTGTCCTACTTGGATCCTCAGGAGCGAGAGGAGCGTATCAAGACTCTGACCGCCCGAGGAAGGATCTTCCACGATATCTGCACGAAGCCGGAGAGGTTCAACTATACAGGCCCGATTCTTCCTAGCCCCCGAGTCTACCACGTAAGTTTAATGGGGGTGTTGGCCTCCTTTATGCTGTTCTTTCTATGAGCCGCTTGTGTACTGACTCCAGCAACTAGGATCCTTATGACTCCCCACCCTTGAGAAATGAGAACGCGCCGGTAGCAGTAAGTTAACGGGCTTCCTGTCCCTTTTCCCTGTCTTGAAAACGCTCCTTGGCTGCTTGAAAGCTAACCGAAAAATCCACTCCCAGGGCAAGAATGAATCCGTCATGGTAGACTTTGAGGCATACCTCCAATCCTGCCCGACACGATTCTCTCGCATCCCCATCGGCGACCTGTCCATCGCCAGCATGCAGCCCTACAGCAGCGCCATCAGCAAGGAAAACGACGCCCTGCAAAAGAACCAGCGCGCCCACTACCACTTGTGCAAGCCCGAAGACGAGGACAACAAGTGGGAGGAAGAGCAGTTCCTGCTCCTCCCCGGCCGCGTGGTAGGCTACCAGCTCAAGGCTAAGAGATGGTGCGAGCTGCAAGTGGGCGGTCTAGAGAGGATCCCGCCGGAGAAGCAGCAGAACGACTCGGCATTCTCGCAGCTGCAGCTCGAGCGGAAGAGCAAGGATCTGATCAAGTCGCTGATCGAGAGCCACAAGACGCGCGCGAGCCGCAGCAGCAGGCGGCAGATCATGGCCGACTTTATCGAGAATAAGGGTGATGGCCTCATCATTCTGCTTCATGGCGAGCCCGGCACCGGAAAGACGTTCACAGCCGAGAGTCTGGCCAAGGCGACGGGTCGGGCGCTGTACCCAATCGGCCCATCAGATATCGGAACGGACCCGCAGTACATTGAGGGAAAGCTTGAGGATCATTTCCGCCTGGCTTCCAAGTGGAATGCCATTATGCTTTTGTGAGTCGAACTTCCAAATCCTCGTGCCCATCATTTTTGTCAAAAACTAACATTAATTTCTTCCCCGACGAAAAGTGATGAGGCGGACGTTTTCCTCGAGCAGCGTCGCGGCAACGACACCTCTCTCGATCGCAACGCCGCCGTGTCAATTCTTCTCCGCGTTCTCGAGTACTACGACGGCATCCTGATGCTCACCACCAACCGTATCCGGGCCATTGACAACGCCATCATCTCCCGCGTTACCCTCGCCGTGCTGTACCAAAAGATTGACGAGAAGCGCATCTTCAAGAGCTTCGTCAGCCAAATCAAGGATGATTCGAACCGCAAGAAGCTTGAGAGGTGGCTCGAGGAGGACGAGTGGCAGGATGACTTTAGCCGGTCGCCGCTGCTTGATTTGAACGGAAGACAGATTCGGAATGTGCTCATGGCCACGGCGAGCCTTGCGCAAGATCGGCACGGAGGCAAGATCCAGATCTCTGATTTGCATAACATTCTCCAAATTGTTACGAGGTTCCAGAGGCAGTCTAAGCAGTGGCAGGATGAGAGCACCAAACGAGCCGGTTTGCTGGATGCCTAGGCGTTGCTCAGTGAGGAGGAGAGTGGACGACAGACCCAGCATGGTACCGTAAGCGTGATGTTTCAAGCGGTCTTTATATATGTTCATTCAAGCATAGCAAGCTATAGTATCTCGTTTGAGAAATGCGATAAATAAAAATCCAGAAAAGAGATAAAGAACCAGAAAGAAATTTACACAGCATTACATGTCCTACATAAGTCCATAATTTCTCCTAACCAAACTGAACCCTCCCCTGACATCTTCAAAAGCGATACAACTTGACCTCCGCATACGTCGGATGATACCTCTTACTCGCCTAGAAGAACAGCCGATAACTACTTGCCAAACTGAGTGATCTCCGACTGTAAGGGCGGGGATGACGGGGTAATTGGGTCTTCCGCGGACATCTCATGGGTCTGGCCGCCGTACGGCGCATGGATGCTGTGCACAGGAAGTTCCTTGGGTTCCTCGGTAAACAGCACGGGTGTGAACTTTGGATCAGATATGGGACTGAAGGGGGTCCCATAGGACCCCCGGAGATGTAAGAGGTGTGCCCTAGGTCAGGAGACGAAAATGTCATCTCCCCTCCCGGGTGCGGAGAGCCGCCGCCATAGTACGCGGGCGGGGCAGTTGATGAACGAACAGCCGGGGCTTGCGGCGGCGGCAGGGCAGCCGTTCCCGGAAACGGTAAAGGGCTGCCGCGCTCGCCAGGAGCAATAAACCACCAATGATGGAGCCGACCGAGATGCCCGCCTTGGCGCCCTTTGATAACGACTTTTTCGGCTTTGGCTTCGTCGCGACGGGCTCTGCTTGGTGCCACGTCTCGTTGCTGTAGATAACCTGGGTCAATTTGCCTTCTGCCATGTAGAACAATCGGATGTTGCCGCCTTTATCGTCCAGCCACGTCGTAAAGGCAAATTCGGAGTTCTCCTTGTCGGCAAGCGGCCACCTGGACGTGTCCTGATCGGCCACGTTTTTCCACGTGCCGGTATCGAGAGGATCAACCTCGTCTGCGCGTCTCCGAGACGAGGGAAAACTGTCCAGCTGGTGGAGCGCGCGATCGGTGCCGATGTAGAAGAGAGACCGGGACTTTGGGCCGATGGCGACCCCGATATTGCCGGGAGCTCCGTCCCACGCGCTAAGAACGGCGCTGTTGGGCAACTTCTCGGAGACGCCGTAGGCGGTTCGGTTGGAGTTGCTTGTTAGGTTGCTCACCTGTAAAGGCGTAGGGAATGTGTCTGAGTCAGTCACTCTATTAGTCTCCTTTTCTCAACGTTCTAGAATCAATGGCCCACGCGCAAGCGTCGAGCTTCCTCTCTCCACTTACCAATATACCAAATTCCATCAGGGTCAAGCTTCGTCTCCTCCATATTGGTGCCGTCTTTGGGGGTTATAAGCGTAATCTCGTTGGAATTGCCAAACCGGCTAAGAGCACCGATGGCCGTGCTGGACTTGTCGCGGTCCGGGTTAACAATCTTGTCGTATTTCCAGTCGCGGTCGTTCGTGAAGCTAAGCGAGTGGATCTCATACTGCTCGCTGTGTACATAGACACGGATTCCGTCCGTCGCGCCGAGGAGGACTGCTGCGATACCGGAGTTTCGGTTCAGCTTGACTGTTTTGGGAGTTCATCGGAGATGACTTCGTCTTTCTCCTTTCGAGTTTTCCGGTTTCGAGGTTGCAGCGGTATCTCACGTGGACTAGGTTGTTGAACTCGTCAAAGTACCATATCAAAGACTAAATCTTGGTTAACTTCGGGGCTCGCCAGCCAAGCAGTCTTCGGTGTCATAGTCGATGGATAAGAATGATCACGTACCCAAGTAGTGGTTTCATCCCACCAACCAGCACCAGCCAACGCCGTCCCTCGACGAGGCTTGGACGTCACGGGAGCTTCAGAGGCTCTTCGATGGGGAAGGCAACGCTATAGCCCCGGTTGCAGTAGCTGTAATGGAGATCTAGGCTTTCCGGGTCCTGCATCAAAATCTGCACACCCACGTTTGGCCACCAAGCGACCATGGACGCCCCCACCAACACCGGAAGAGCCCAGAGGGAGAGAAGAAATGCAGCCATGTCATGATTCTGAAACTTCCTCAAGACCATTGTCTTGCCTTGTGTGGGAGGGAGAAGGAAAAAAAGAAAAAGGAAGGGGAAGACGTGGAAAGAGAGACTTTGCGAGAACTTGTCAAGGAAAAATATTTGAGGAATGCCGTCCTACATATCTGCCAGAAAGGAAACGCACAAGACCAGGAACCCTCTGGAGTAGAACAATGGGGGAGCGCGCCATCATGCAAGGGGGTCTTTGGTCTGTCTCGTAAGGAGCTGACCCGACGATGCATGGCTGGTACCCGGTTTTCGCGAAGCCAGCCCTTTTACTCCAACACGAGCGCCCTTGGGGTTTCACTTGCTCGCCGTCCAGGACTGCTTTGGGACTTTGGGATAGAGTGTGCTCGTTTCCAGAACGCCCCTGCAGAAATGACAAATTGACCCAGAAAGGCCTCATTGTCCCGGCCCGAGCAGTCTCGGTGATGGCACCATGTCTACTCTTCCCTCCTTGAGACTCACTCTCTGCACAATCTCTCAATCTCTCCCGCTAGGCACTTCCATGTGCAGGCCTAGAGGTCCGGTCGACTAGAAAGTAGCGGCGAAATGGGTACAAGCGGTTCCGCCAAAATCGTGTAGGAAGATTCATCGTACAATATTCCAAAACGTGATTGATCCTACATCCTCAGCCAAGGAACTCGAAAATTCAGAGGTAGGAAGTCCACTGACCAGATACCTTGCACTCCCTGAACATGACAGGTCTCCCGTACGATACACACTGACACGCAGAGCCGATCCTGCATCTTGCGGCCGCTCGACCTCCATCCCCAAAAACGGCGATCCTCGCGTGGTCTTTCGCCAGCTAGCTCGGCGTGATGCGGGGCGCCACAAAGCAAGGGATCAGGTTTGTCGTGGGTATTTGCGACGAACCGTCACCTGGCTGGAATGCAATGGCGGCGCTCATCCCTTGCGTTGGGGTCTTGGGAAGGGATGGCCCCCATCCGTATCCAGATAATGTTACCATGTAACAGAGGGTGCACGAAGCAATTGTCGCGAGAGATGATGCTGTGCGCCTTTGCAAAAGTGTCTGCCCCATTGTCGCAAAGCACTAGCCGGGAAACTCGTGTGTACCGCCATCCCGACGCCGCGGAAGGAAAGTATTAGTCGATGTGCCGTTTCCTGGGCGAAAGTTGGGCTTTGCTGAAGCAGTCAGCCGACTATTACCGTGCCTGGAATTGGGACGGGGTGGAGTGGCTGAGAGGTGAGGGGCGCGGCCGCCGGCACCAACGATGTACCAATCTTGGCATCGCGGCGGCGCAATCGCTGCGCCAGGGGCACGTTGGATCAATCAACCTAGGCTCGATGTTTCTTGTCAAGCTTATGTCTATGCAGTCCAAAAAAGGTACGATCTAATAATTGTAACAATTAAAAAGATAAAGTTACACTGAAGCCAACCCGATGTATACAAAGCAGAGATATCCCAAAACACGCTTGCTGACTCCGAAGAACGCCCGTTTGTAATAATACAACCCTACAGGAATGGAAGCAGGCGTGGAAAACCCCAGAGAGAAGGAAGGGAAAGAAGGCCACATGGCGACCCGTCTCACACTTCCACCCCGCGTTCTTTTGACCCGCGACCAGTCATATACTAGCCGGTGAAGAGGACCGAATGCAAATTTAACAGCTGAGAAAGGCAATCAGTACGATTGACCCATGGTGTAAATAGGAAATAATAATCCTTACCCAACAAGAAGAAGGACTGCCGCGGCTAACAAGACTGAGAGGCCCAGGGTAGGTCGGACCATGTCGCCCAGACCAAGCTGAGATCCATAGCCCTCGATGACAAACCTGTCGAAACGATGGCCCATGGCCCTACCTTCGTTGGAGGGGCCTCCATGAAGCCTGATGTCGAAGATGGACTTTTCCTCCTTCGAGAGCACAAGGTCGGGCTTGAGCAGGTCTCTGGCCAGTTCGGAAGGATCCCAGGCGTAGATGCTGATACCGACGTTGACTGATAGGTTGGCGGCCACCACGTAGGAAGAGTACCCAACGTCAGTGTCAGTCGCGGCCAGGAACGAAATATCAAGTTGGGTATATTTCGTCTCGGGGCTGCCGGCGTCGATGCGCCATTCTATCGTGATGGGTTCGGTAACATCCAGCATTTTCCTGGGGTCTGGTTTGTTGAGTTGTAGGTTGCCCGCGGCGACGAAAGTGGCCAACGAGAGGGAGAGGAGAAAGTGGAAAAGAGAAGGCATGATTTCGTCAAAGGTGGGCCGTGATCTTATTAATTGTGTGTTGGAATTATTTCTTTTCTCCACGAGATGATTATGGATGTGCTGATGGGGATAAGAATCTCGAGCGTTTGATCGTTATGAAAACATATTCAACAAAGGCAGTCCATGGATCTTTATATCTTTCTATGTCGATACATATATTTTCCATGTTATATGAGCATCGTCTGGTCCGTTTGCGCCCCGGCTGCGCTTCTCTCAAGTGCTCCCACCCTTCAACTGGACCCTGCGCTAATTCGGGAGTTGGGGTCGGGTTTAGCCGGGGGCTTGGGACGGAGCCGAATGTGCCTTGCCACCCCGCACCCCGCCCCGGACACCAAGTCGAGCAAAGAGTGTGGGACGCGAGCGAGGCGCTTACCCAGATCTTTTTTTCTTTTCCCCAATCTGCATGGACGCAATTCTCGCTAGGCTGTTTTTTTTTTTTTTTTCCTCTTTTGGTTGTTCGCGATCTACGCCACACACCTTTGCCGTTCCCGGGCGCCTGTTTCAACCCAAGTTCATGGATGTTTTTGGTTGACAAGCATGGCGCATCTTGTCACACCAAGGAGAGATTGATCGTTGCGTAACCCCAAATTAGAATTGTCGGTCGCTCTTGCATTCTCCTGCCGATTGCCTTCTTTTTCAAGACTACTTATATGGTAGCGATTACATGTCCGTGGCGAGGCGTTATCCGACGCTCAGGGTGCGTCCGCCATCATACCCGGTAAGCTTTGAGGTGCGTCCCGCCGCCACGGCTAAGTTCAGTTGGCCGCTGTTCCCAGAATAGGATGAAGAAGGATACAAGTAGTGTTGGCGGTAAAAGCGGCATTTCCAGTGCACTCAAGTGTGTAACCATAGACTTTGAAATGTATTGTTTTGAGAAAGCCACGCTCGAAGTGGTAGAATGAAACAAGAAGTAGAATGTATGTACATGTTATCATGTCCTCATATGTAATCAAAGCGTTTCCTGAAATAAGAAGAGCTAAGATGATCCAACCCAACAGTTCTCCCCTTCCATACCAAGGAGGGACAGAGGAAGACCCACTCCCCGCCATATTCTTCTCCCTTAGCCGACATCAGCAACGGTGATCTCGGCATACCCGCTGCTGAAGTATCCCTCGGTGGCCACGATCTGGTAGTCGTGCGTGCCGATGGTGAGGCCGGCCTTCTTCCAAGCATCGAAGTGGCAGCCCGTGTTCACCTTGCCGCCGGTGCGCTTCGTCCGGCGGACGGACCAGTACTGGGTAAAAGTCTGGGTGCCGTCGATGCTGGGGGCGTTGGTGCGGGTGGTCTTGGCGATGTCGTAGGTGCCGTCGTCGCAGTACGCGACGCCGAGCTTCTGCGCGTTGGAGGAGGGGTCGTAGGTGCCAAAGTTCTCGACGATGTAGTACTCGACGAGAGGGTTGCGTAGCCAGCCGTAGACGGCGAGGTAGCTGTTGCCGTTGGGCTGGTAGGTACCGGAGTACTGAATGGTCCTGAGAGATGGGGAAGATATAACGTTAGCAATAGGGGACGACGATGGCGAGAGGTTACGATTATGCGGGCAACGGTATCTCGACTCACCTTGCGGTCAGACCGGGCTTCCAGCCCTTACCACCGACCAAGTTGCCGCCGGTTCCCCACGAGACGGAGTATTTGCCGCCAGCGAGGTTGGTGTAGGTGGCGGTGGCGCCGTTGTCGGTCCACCACGAGTAGAAGAAGCCGTTGTGGGTTCCCTGGGAGCTGGGGGTTCCCGCGCGCTTGTCGAGGGTGAAGCCCTCCTCGGCCGGGGCGGCGACGGCGCCGGCGACGACGAGGACGACGGAAAGAAGGGAGGAAAGATTGACCATTGTGGAAGGAGAAAGCGTGGGCTTGATGGTGGCTCTGGTGCTTCTTCTCTTTTCGAGATCGTCAAATCCAAGGGCGGGAGTCAGTGTTCTTTATAGTTTTCTTAATGTCATATGAGAGCCCCCCTCTTTTCCAGCTCATGCCATTTTGCGATGAACGAACCCCATTGTCGTCCATCGCATCGCGACACGAGCTTTCTCGGAGACTCCAAAAATGGGAACAGTAAAATGAGCAGGGGCCTCGCATCAACTGACGAGCATGGGGGAGGAATACAAGAAAAGTGGGGATCTTAGGTCTACCGGCCAAGCAAGGGCCAGCCCCGATCAACCGCACGTCCCTAAGCTATACACCACTTGCACTTGTGTGCGCTGGATTACCACCAAAGGAATGCACGCGCCAAGTGGGTTGACCAAGGTTTGCGCCGCCCTTCCGCCCCGCCGAGTGCCACCGCGAGGTAGCGGCGTGCTATTCGTAGGGTGGTGGTGATATTCGCTCCACCGGGGCTTGCGTCGGACGGCGCGGTCTTTGCGGAGTAGTAGCGTCGTACTCGAGGAGGGGAGAATAGGCTGAATGGCCCCTTGCCGACGATGGAAGGCTTCCATTTTTTCTACGGAGAAATTCATGGTTTGGGACAGGCTTGCGGCGAGGAGAGCAGTGAGGGGAGGGGGAAAGGGAGGATAGGATGGCAAAGCCCGCGGGGAGAAGACGCAATGGTCCAACATTTTGGTTGCGGGGAGCGTCTCACTGCCATTAGCTCCGGGACTTGGCTGCGGGTTGCGCAAGTAGAATGAGGAGGAGGCCCTTTCAAGCACTTCTCTGCTTCTGTGGATGACACCCTCCACAAATGCGGGCAAGCTGATTTCGTGCTGCACTTGCATGTGGCTCAGGCGTACTTCCGCTGGGGATGAGGATCAATGGGCACACTGCACACTGCCGACAAGAGCCTCGAGGTAGGCGCATTTACTTCCAAAATGAGAACACCTCCCCGTAATCCGGCTCTCGCGCCGCCATGCGACGAGGCGCAGTTTGCTTTTGGGCGGTTTTTTTCTTCTCCCCTACGTATACGCTTCGACAACGGGATCGAGGCATTTTGGGAGATTAAAGGCTTCATCGCATCAATTGACGAGAAACAAAGGCTACCTTGCGGGACGGAATCATCAATAGGTTCCCCACACGGCAGCAGGGCGTCTTCGTCCCACAAGACCCGGGGAAAACGCCAACGCCAATGATTCCACCTCCCAGAGCCATTGTGTGAATGGCCGTCCACAAAAAAGCATCTATTGATCCATCGTGACCCCACAGCCAGCCAATTGAAGCCTCACGACGCCCGCAACATACGCAAGGCCCTTTCGACGCTACGACATCGCGCAAAAGGGGCGACGAGCTCGCTCCCAAGTTCAGGCTGATTTGCAAAAGGGTCCACCTCGTCGGTTCGTTCAGATCAATTGCCCAGTGATTTCCTTCTTTGCCTCTGTGTCTTTGGCCCCCAAGGGTACCAGCAAGAGCAAAAGGTGATGAAAAGGAGGCAATGATCTGCAAGGATTCCCGGGTTTCGACACACGACGACGTCTGCATTGACCTGGGAAATTCCCCTCATGCCTGGACCCGAACAAAGCGAGAGTGCAGGGCGGACAGGGGTGGTCCCGCCCCCTCGGATGGAGCCGCAAAATTATAAAGGCACCAATCGCATCACATGCGAATTGGGCACTCACCTTGAATCTCCTTTATTATAATGGGAGATGGCCTAGAAAGAAGGCACCCAAAGAGGAAGTGGTGGGGAAAGAATCAAGAACCAAGGTACCAAAGAAAGGGAAAGTGCTTGAACTTGGCGAAAAAGAAGGGCAAAGCGGACGAAAGCGTGATCCACGAGAATACTCCCTCTTCAAAGAGTGAGGAGAGCCAGCTGGAAGCGGAGCCAAGGATTTGTTCGTTATTTCGATTCACCCGGCTAAACTAAGCATCAGTAGATGGAGCGTGGCAGCTTCATGTCGCTTAGCGACGGTTGTCAAGAGCGGCCTCGCTCTAGGCGCGGGCGTTGATTGCTCCCTTCCCCTCATCACCATCTGTACCTTCAAAAGAAGCAAAGAACAAGGCAAGACAGTGCGTCCCCGACGAGGTGGATTCCCAATTCCTCTTAATATTGCTCCATAGCGATGGGAGCGAACAGCTCGCTCTCAAGACATTTCGCATGCGAATTGGTGGATAACCGCTGCCCGTGATTGGAGTGGATGCGTAGAAGTTAGACCCATTTCGACGATACAAGAAGAAATTATAGGTCAGTAATAGTAAGGCTGCGCGCAGATGGTGCCGTCGGCTCGAAGCCAGTATGATAGGAAGGATTGATAAGGTAAAAAGGAGGAAAAGAGAAGGAAGTCGTTCCACTCATTTGTGTCAGTGCGAGCCAGCTGGCTGGCTGGGAAATAGGGGAAATCGGGTGGCAGTACTTGCGTGTCTTCATGACGGAGTTTGGTCGGTCGCGATGCCAGCTCCTCGGCGCTAGCAAGGCCGTCGAGGAGGTTTGCCCAGTGACCATCCATCGGCGGAGCCCCGTCACATATATAGGGGTATATCATTAGGTATAGTAGTAATATAAAAGAGAGAATATAGTTGGTCTTATATTGGTAGGTTGTATACACTCGAGGTGTATTATTCAAAGCGAATGTGCATGATCACGTCTCGTGAAAATGTCTATTTTCGAAAGTTTAGCCCTAATCCTAACAACCCCATAACACTAGCCTATATCACTGACGAGTTCTCTCGGTTTTATTGAACTTCACTATCCTTTCCCGAGAGCCCGGGTGCTCGACATGATAGTCGTCGTTCTCCTTCACAAATGGCAACTCTGTTTTGTTGAAGGTAGGTCGGGAGAAGCGGTTATACGCGATGAATGAGTCCTGGTCAGCTGCCATCGCATTCGCGGGACCAACCATATGTATCGACAGGCGGCGGGTCTCAACTGCATCATCCTGTATCGGCTTGATACCCATATACTTGTATATGATATCCAGGGCCGGAATCGATAATCCGTGTACGATGATTGAGAATAGGACGAGCCACATAACGACCGGACCAATTGCTCGGATGAGCGCACTCTCTTCTCCATCTCCGGCACCGAGTTCTGGGAAGAGATGAATTCTTGTATGCTCCAGGTAGAAAACGGCGCCGGCACCAATAGGGCCAAAGTACCCCATGAAAAGGGCCTCTTTCCAATTTTTGCAAACTCCGGGCATGAGCTTATATGTGAGGAATATGGCAGGTATCCGACGAAAGAGCATGACGAGAACGCCAAGGCCGAGTAGTCGGGGATACGTAATCCCAGTAACATCGGGCTGGTTGAACTCGTCCCAAGGCATGATGGCACCAATGTACATGAAGCCGCCGAAGTTCAGAAGGACATCGACGCACGAATTGACTTCGTCGTGACGCTTTTCAGTTTCTTCGAGGTACTGGCCATCCCAATTAAGGACGTTGCCGGCGACGAAGCAAGCAAGGAGATCGTCCGTACCGATGGCGCCGCATGTGCCGATAAGGAAAAGACCTAGAGCGGTTGGGAAAAGCAAGTAACTCTCTGTATCAATCCACTCCCTGTGTAGGGTTAGCCATTTCATTCTTTGTTTCTATAATGATAGACGGCTAATATGCTACCTTTGAAGGGCGAACTTGATCGCCTTCCGCGCTCCGTAACCGACGACGACCCCATAAACAATGGAGAGTAGGACAATATAAAGCCAGGTCTCGAGGAGCCATTGCTTCATCGCTTCCCCAACCCCGCCTCCAAGGCGTCCAACACCTTCGGATCGACTGGCGAGACTAAGAGCTCTGCCAAAAACTTGACTCCCAATCTTAGCCACCGTTGCGTTTGGGTTGGCGGGATTCACGGTCTCTGAGGTTCTTCCTAGATTTGTAAGGGCGTGGGGAACATCGGCATGTCGGATGAGGTAGGTCGCAAGCATAAGGAAAGGGAAACCGAACCCGTCGTTTGCTCCAGCCTCAGAAGAGATAATTTCGCGGAGATCTCGAGCGACAAATTTGTCTGCGAACGGTCCTTTAGCGATGGCCTGAGAAAGGATTGGATCTGTGCAAGTGACACAGGACCCGATGACAAGTGCTGCAAGCAGCGTCAGGTTGGGTATAGTAATGAGCATGCAGACGGTAGTGCATAACCACATAACGGTCATAATAGGGAGCAAACATAGCAACATCTCCTTCCACCGAATGAATTGGTATTTTGCTGGCAACTGGAAGCCCGCGATGACTAGCTGAACGCCGATCATAACCCTCATAACACCCTGAAATGAATTAGCGCGCAGTTGGACAGGGATGGCCATGAATATGAGAGGTGCCGGCATACGAGGGTGATGATATTTGTCTGGCCGCGTTCAGCAGAGCCCCATCGCTCACTATCGATAAACTTCGCAGCTACCGGTCCGAGAAGTATGCCGACCACTACAGCTGGGACTGTAAGACGAGAAGTCAGTACTCGCTTGATTTTTTGTTCAAGTGATCAAAGCGCATACGGGCCTCGCCTAGGTACCAAACCCTCTTGATCTTAACCGATACAACACCGTACAAAATGATGAAACTGCCTAGAATGCTCAAGGCAATATTGAGCTCGCTGACATCGAGACTTGGCATCTTGGCGCTGTCGTTCAAGGGATCTTGGCGCTGTCGTTCAATGGATCTTGGCGCTGTTGTTCAAGGGATCTTGGCACTGTCGTTCAAAGGAATTTTCTGCGTTGCGATATGGGCGATAGTATCATGAATGGCTCTGAACACACCGTGTTGTCCCTTCCGCGGAATAAGGCAACTCTGTTCGTCAACGGTATTCCTATCGTTTTCTTGACCAGCAAAAAACACTACTTGGGAAGAAGAGACTTGACAGGCGTCGGATAGCGAGGAGAGACCAGCTTATAGAACAATAGTCACATCGGCCATCTCTCTTCTCCATCCCATAGTGTGCCGTTAGTATTGCCCAAAAACAAAGGTTTAGTAAGATAAGCTTTATTTTCATCTTTTCTCTTTTTATTACCTGAAACTAGACGTTGCCCGACTACTTTTAAGATTCCAGCTCCCTATCTTGGTGCACTGGCGATCAGTTCACGAAAATGGATGGGAGTGTGACAGATCTTGATAATTTTAGCGTAGGGGTAAGGGGTGAATGAGCCTCGCGTATCATCCGTGAAGCGTGCAGCAGATCTTTCGTTGCGAGCAACGTAAGGGTGGGATGAACTCTCCCAGATTCGATAACATGGTCGAGCCTGATTGGTGAAGTGGTTAAATGGTGAGCGTGCCCGCAAACACTCCATATCCGCCTCTGCTGTGAGCGTCGCTTCTGTGCACTATGTGGCCAAAAATAAAGATGAGCTCTCCGCGGAAACTCTAAACATTAAAGTTATCTCCCAAATAGTCTAAAAATAAATATAAGCTCACCGGGGATACCCCAAATGCTTGTTTCACAAGCGGATGACTGACGTCAATGGGTAGAGCTTCGAGCTCGTGGACATGGACTTTGTCTTAACAAATGCCCGCGTAGAGTGTGCGACGTCCGTGGGGCACATAGCTACATGCAGGTGGGCTCTGTCGTAGAGCGCTAGTATATCTTATACCTAAAGAAGGCCCTAGGTATACACTATACTTAGCGATATTCTGATCCGATAGTAGTAAGAAATGTTCTAGCGTCTTTCCGTCCATATTAGCATTTTATAAGGGCATTCTCATAGTTCAGCTGTCTATAGTATTCGGCAAAGTCCCTCTAGCTATCGCTCATCACCATCTAGACTTTGAAAAGGAAGCAAAGAATGCAATGAGTGTGTCCCCGAAGAGGTGGATTCCTAATTCCTCTTGATATTGTTACATAGCGACGGGAGCGAACAGGTCGCCCTCCCATCTATCCCTGTGAGACGATTTCTTCTAAGACATTTCGCATGTGAATTGGTGGATAGCTGCTGTCTATAATTGACAGCAAGACCATGATTTTGCATCCGCGGTGGCATGGCCATGTTGAATCTTTCACATACACGCTGCTATGTAGCGTGTGATCCCCGATATGAAAGGCGATGGCATCAAGGATGTGGGTAAGTATTATTAACTGTTTTACTGAACGTTGTTGGTACATACGACCATAGCTCGTAGAATATTGAGGGTCCCGTCCGCTCCCCTGTACACAAGCTGCGAAGCGCCGGACTAGTAGTTGGGTCGGTGACGACCAGCGAATCCCCGGTGTTGTATGTCTTTTTTTTTTTTCTTTTTCCTGATTCTTTTTTTCCTCCTCTCGATTCTTTGCCTTGTTTTGTTCTATCTTTTTCGCCCATATGTCTCCTGAAAAAGGTTCCTTTTATTATATTTATTTTTCCAGCACGGGCGAAGAGCTGTTCGACAGCTCGTCTAGGCCAGTTTGCCAAGATGGACTTGACTGACGTGACGATGAGTCAAGGCCACCCAGCCCCAATAACAGTTCCTTTCATGATGACCTAGTTGTCCCCAGCCTGGTTTCAAACAGGCAGCGGCGTTCTTGAGCCGCGGAGTTTATTTTCTATCCGTAATGGTATGCCTCCACAAGTTGAGAATGATGTGCTCCTCCCCGCACCCTTGTAGTCTCTAGTCTCGCCCGTAAATGATGGATAAGTGTAAGATCGAAGCCCTTGACCTAGAAACAGGCGTGCGTTGCTTTAGCACGGAATACGCAGACTTAAGTTGCATATCAAAAACAGATAGGGACTTGAAGCCTTGAAGACAGCGCAACTGAGTACTGGGTTTATCTACAGATACTTACATCCATTGTAAGCTAGGGATGAGCCCATGGCCACCTAGTCAGCGTAAAGAGACCTATACAACAATGAGAAAGCCCCTCAATCTTTCCCCTCGCCTTAAAACTTACAAAGCTTCACTATTCACGTCTTAAAGCCCCATGAGCATCGGCGAGTCGGAAGCAAAGAGTGAAGAGTAGCTCTAGGGACGAAATCCAACAAGCATCAAGTGGGTTTTGAGAAGCGGAGTGGCTCTTGGATATTACATGTATAGATAAGGTCTTGCTCGTTTGAACATCCTCCTCAAATGCATCCTTGTCCTAATAGGTGTACATGTACGGAGCAAAACAGGCAAGCTATCGCGCTGCCCACGGCTGAAAGTCGGGGAAACAAGGCTCCCGAGATACCATGAGCTTCACGCTGTCTTGCTGTCCTGCTGCGCATGTGCGTTAGCCATGCATGAATGAATAGTGTATGTATCAGTATCAATTAATCCATATCAGTCGGGTGCATATAATCACGGGACCTTTCGCCTATCGGGCTTTCCGAGCCCTCTCCCCCTCGTCGCTCGTGCGACGCAAGACGCTGCAAATCCCAAGTGATGCTGACAGTTTGCAGGCCATACATGTACTAGCCAACGGCCACCTTCCTAGGGCAGCAATAAATACTCAGATGGCTGTTTTGTTAGTTTCTCGGCTTGAGGAAGCCAGCCTGCTCTTTACATGTACGCATCCAACTCACCGGCCTATGGCTCGGTGCCCAAATCCCCTCACCACGGCTTAACGAGCAAACTTCTCACCTTCCCCTCAACATAATATGCATGCGGCGGATGGTGTTCGATCACCAAAAATGCAGCGGCTCCTACCACGGAAGGTGAATTGGAAAAAAGAAATCCGCGAATCCCCAGTGGTCAATCAGTTTCGAGACAGGCTGCCCGACCGCGACTCAATCGAGCAGCTCCGGTCCATCACGGATGGTTTTATAGACGCCTCGTCCCGGACGCCTTTCAGCAGGCAGGCCTACTATCGTGAAACAAGCCAATGCGACGATCTTTTCGCCGAACAACTGCGCGATCTCTCGACCGACGACCCGTTCCTGGAAGCGGGCATCGTGGCCTGCGCCCATGTGGTGACGGCCAAGTGGGGCCGTGATCGACTCCACAGGCTGCAACGCATACACCTGGACAACCATGAGACGATCTTTAACGAAAGAGTGCCCGCTTATCTCCGGTGCCTCACCCTAGTCCATTCCGTCCGGCGTGACATAGTGACGGACCTTGAGGCACAGGCAGCCAAGGAGATGTTGGCGGCGATTAGCGCCAAGAAGGCACGATCCCGTTTTCCGTCCATCTGGGGTACGCTCGAACACGTTGGGCGGGACGAAGATGACCGCTTGCTGTCGGACCTGCTGGTAGAAACCATTTTGCGCTCCACAAATATCAGAAACGCCCTGTCCGGGGAATTGGAAACGCTGCGGGCCACGCAAAGATGGGTGCAAGCATACCGTATTTGCCAGGAGCTTCAGAGCGTAACCGCGTACACCCGGGTAGCTCACATTATTCGAGACCTCCTTCCGAATTACCCAATGTGGGCATCGTGGCAACCGAGTCCTTCACGTATCACGTTGTGGGAAACGCCGACGTTGTTCCCCTACCGGGCCCGGCTCGCCTCTGTGCTGGAGCTCGAAGGGCCGGACGTGACGGGCAGACAGCAAAGAGTGCTGCGCCTCTCTAGCACCGGGACGTTCGACATCTCCCACACGTCCATGGGCATGCACATCCTGGAAGAGCTGCTCGACACCCTAGATGTGGCCGCGGCAATTGGCAGCGGGGCCGTCGACTTCTTCCTGGCGTCCTGCGTCGAGCCCACCCCCTTGAACGAGCGGTTCCTGCGGCGGCTGAAACAAGGGCTGAGCCTGAAAGACGACGACGCGGGGCGAGCGCTCGCCCACTTGACCCGCGCCCTGGCCCCCAACACTCCCATGCACGACCGGATGACGGCCTTCACGGACGCGCTGCCCGTCTTAGGCCGGTCCATGGACCTGCAAATGGCCTTTGGCTCGGCCGCTCACCTGGCGATGTTGGCGCACGAAACTTTGACCAAGGTCCAGACGCAGTTTGGACGGGCCGTCGAGCGCGGGGACGATTCCGAGGCCTTTGGCCTGCGCGTGCAGGCTTTGGCGTCTGCCATGCTGGCGTCCGAGTGGCTGCACGGGCATTGGACCCTCTGTACTTGGACATGCTCCGCGACGTCCCGCCCGCGTCCACCGTGCGAGCGACTTTCGAGACCCTGCGAAAGTCGAGCCCGGACAGTCGTCAGCCCTTGGTCCGGCGTCTGCTGGTCACTCTCGCCTCTCTCGACCCTCGACAGGCCTCCCCACGCCGTAGCAAGCGCACCGGCGGAGCAGGCAAACGTGGTGATGTTTGACGACCCGGTCTGGTTCGAGGACATGACCAACGAGCTCGACAGGCTCCGCGCGACCATCAAGCGGATCAAGGACATCGACTCCGACCTAGCTACGCAGTGCGTGCGGCAGTCCAAGCTGGAGAAACCCAGCTTCGTCAGCGACCTCGTGACCCGTCTGCAGGATAACGACCAGGCCTCCGTCTCCCTGGCCGCGTGTATTCGTATGCGCGCGAACACGTGGATGGAGAGGCGGGCCGACGACGCATGCTGGACGGAGCTTCTCACGCACACGATGCGCATGAGGCCGCCGGGGCTGCTGGACAGGCTGGCAAAGGTGCTGCCGCCGCCCTCGTGGGAGAGGTGGGTGGAGAATTTGAATGCACTCTACGGCGGGGATTTGCCGGACCTTGGGGGACCTTGGCTTTACGAGGCAATCGATCTCTGAGTGGACGATACGGAGATGGGCATCGGGGAGGCGGTGACGATGGCGACCGTGCGAATCGACATGTTACGGATGGGACACGGGATACGTGAAAAAGATCAATGAGAGATTGTAAGGACAAGGTAGTACGGGACAGCGCCCGATTGGCGGCTAAGGCCAATTCCTCATCATCATGAATTACTGCGGATGCTTCTAGGTAAAATTTCAATCAAGGATTCTATGGGATAAATTATGTGAACCTCCTCCCCAACGTAAAGTACTTAACCACCCTTACCGTTAAGGCCCTTTGTCCTCGAATCAAAGAAGGACAGAGGCGCTGTCTCATCCGAGGCGAGGCAAGTGCAGCCTCGACCGAGTCGCCATATCACTCTCCCCGCCCTTGGGATTAAGGTCGCCATACGTCCTCTTCAATTCGGCCAGGCAGTCCTGTACCGCCTTCTTCTTTCCGGTTGTATCCATGGCCGAGTCCGACGTCAACTTCTCGACAAGCGATGGTTTAGCGCGTATTTCATTTTCGATTTCGGAAATAAGCTCCCGGAAAACGGGGCCGCGTCACGCCCGCCCCGCGTTTTCTGGTCGAGGACCTGGAGGATATAGCCGCGCGTGCGCTCCGTGATCGACGTGACTGTATGGCCGTGGCGATCGTACGATCCGGAGACTATTCGGGCATGCCTGGCTACAAAGATGAGGAAGAGCGTGGTGAAGATGCCGTGGCCGATGTCTTGCACGACAAGGTTTGGCTGCCGGATGCCGGTCTTCGACTGGTGGGCACTGAGCGCCAGAACCAGGTCGAAGATGGACCGGCTGAGGAGAAGAAGGGCGGCGAGCAGAAGAGGGACGCGAGTCTATATGGAGCAGAACCAACGTTGTCAGAAAAAGAGCGCTTCCTCGTCATCAGGTGATGCTATGCTGCGGGGAGACACGGTTTGCCCGACAATTGGGCTCAGCGGGAAGGCCTTGAAAGGCGAGTATACTCACCGTGGCGGCGTGACCTTGCTTCTGACGGGCCTTGAACCACATGAAATAGATCGCGGTGGCAACGGTGAAAAGACTAAACAGGACGAACAAGGCAGATGAAGCAACGGACATGTCCGAGGACTTGGTCGCGATGTCGGCAATCGAATTCAAGCTCACAAATGCCAGCCACGAAGCAGCAAGCGCCCAGTAGAACCCGGCGTACATCAACGAAATGATCCCCACGATGTATAGCCCTACGATGGGAGTGATGTTCCAAAACTCGATGTATGATTCGACTCGGTGCTCCGCCTCCTCCACACCATGAGGAAGGTTCCCCAGACGTAAAAGAGGGTCGAGATGATGCGCACGGTCTCCGCGGCGGGGTTGCAAAGGATGTATCCATAAGGAACCGACGTTTTCTCGTAGCGCAGCCATCTGTCCACGACGGAAAGCACGTACCATCTATAGTGGGCAGCGCGTCCCATATTAGCCTGGGGTACGATATGAAGAAGGAGTGGAAAGGGCAGAGAATTTGGCCCGATTCTCTCTATCCGGGGATGGTACAGCAAGGAATTTCGTTCCACTTACACGGCCAAGACGGCTGTCCCCGCCAGAAAGTTCCGGGCCTCGTTCTTCGAAAGATTGATTCTACGGGCCATCTTGTATATAGCGACGGCACACGCCAGAGAGAGGACGAACCATATGGTTACGAAGATGGCGCCGAGAAGGTTGGAATCCGGAAGCGGTTGCGCTGGAAGCGCCCATAGCGAGTTGTGTGCCATGACGGCCGTCGACCGGCACGCACGCACGCAAATTTGCTGTTGTCGAAGAAAGCTTGATTCTCGACGAGGTGGGCGGGGATACCTAGCGGTGAGAAATAATGAATGTGGGTAGTATATATGTGTGCGTATCAAACGATAGAACAATGAGAAAGATCAGGTTTGCCGCGCTCATCCATAGCTTTTGCCCCGAAGCAGAAGACTGGCACGAAGTCCTGCTAGAGAATGGTGATATGCTATGAAAGACGTAGGAGGCCGTAAAACCGCCTAACAAAACTTCAGACACAACGAATCCTTCTGCGGACCTGATACTGTGGCATGCTTTGCTCGATAGCCAAGTCTAGGACTTTCACAAACGACCCTGGGGCTAGCCCACCCGCGGAAAACTTGGGGGCTACGCCACAAAGGGGGCGGACACGGGGCTGGCGCCTCGATCGTCCTCGAAGTCGCATTCCTCGTATGGGCAGCTTTCTTTTTACATTTCCTCGTTTAGAACAGACTCATAGCCTCCCTTCCTCGGGCCCTGGGGCATTATAACCCAAGATGGGATGTAGGATCCTAGCGATCTGCCAACATCAACATCCCTGCTGATTGTCACCACGTCGAACACGAACGTATAGTCTACATGGAGATACAAATGCGATGAAGTAGAAGGAAAGAATAGATTAGAGAAGGGCAGGCTGGAGCCTGCCTCGGTGGTATATCCCTTTTCGTCCGAAGCCAAGAACAAACAGTCCGCCTGCATCGGCAAAGTGCAGGCCTCGATAATAACCCTTACATCGTAACGCAAAGGGCGGGGCGAATGGGGCCAAAGGGGCTAAGGGGGCCAAAGGGGCTAAGGGGGCCAAAGGGGCTAAGGGGGCCAAAGGGGCGAATGGGGCGGAAGGGAGAGGGGGAGCCGGTGTGAGGTCGCAGACTGCAAAAGAGACAAGGCTCTACTTATTGCTGGGCTCTTGCAGGATGCATACATGGATTGACATAGACTCGGAATCCCCGTCACCAATCACAAGGCGCACATCAAGCCGCTTCCGCTCGTGTAAGCCAGTTAAGCATGTGTAATAAAATTCGATTCGCCAGGACCGGAAATACATAGACACCTCTCACATATTTGCTTCAAACAGTGTGGTTTCACCGCCCAGGCTTCCTCAACGCAGTGGGACGAAGCTTCCCTGACAATGACCTTGCGGACCTTTGAGTTATCCCGGCCGTCGCCCGCCCTGGCCAGGCAGGGTTGGGTCATGATATCCACCACCCGCGCGCCTAACACGTCGGTGCCGGCGCAGTCAAACTTTGGCCCCGGCACGACTTGCTCCGAACCATTCTCGCAGGACTCCAGGTACACCTGGGCGCGCTGCGACCCCATCTCCAGCGCGAGGATGCCCAACTTCTCCACCACATCCGCAATTTCGGTGCTCGCCTCCTTGTCGAGGAGGCCGCCCGAGGCTCGCTGCAGCGCGTCAATCAGCGTCTCCGTCACTTTGCTGGCGTTGGATCGAAAGAGCCCCGAAAAGAGGCCTTCGGGATTACCCCTCAGAGTTCCCTTGACCTGCCGCAGGATGCGCTCGAAGATGTGGGCGCGAAGCTCATTCGTTTCTTTGTCGACCGGGACGATTGTTCCACTGGTTGCACGCACTGCGGGGTTTTGATTAGTGCTTGCTATCTAATACGAGAACGTGGAGGGAGCCGATTGACGATAGTGGTATTGGCTTTTTCTATGGTGATGGAAGTGTGACAAGTGTACGTACCTCCCGCCTTGGTCTCGGCAAGCAGCGGGTAGACTGCGGCGAATGCGTCCTGCCCATTCACCCCCAGAGCCCCGAAGCCGAGCGGATAGTAGAAGAAACCCTCGATTAGGATCCGCCAGCATAGACTTTTGAGAAAATTGGTCCACGTCTTGTCCCCCTGTCCTGCGCGCGTCAAATATCCCGTCGGGTCGAGGTCTGTGTCCACGGCGCGGCTGTCTCGCCGGTGCACAAAGAGGTAGACGCGGCTTATCTTCTGCGCGATAGACTCGAACATCTTTGCAGGTCGGGGTCGGGCATGGCGGCGTAGTTGCTTCCCGTGGTTGCCATGAGCGTCTCCAGCTTCTTGATCTCGTCGGAAAAGTGCCGCGTCCGGGCCGCCAGTTCTCGATTGTGGCGACCTTCCATTTCGTTGTATTGAGACGTGTAGTGCGCATCCATCTTGTCCAGTTCCTTTCGTGGTGGTCCTGGTAGTGCTGGTTGTCGAGGCGGAGCTTCTCAACCTCCTCCAAGGCGGCTTTTCGCTCTCCTATGACTGCGTCCCGATCTCTTTTGACTGCGTCTCGATCACTCGTGACTGCCTCCAGAGTTTTTTTGATGTCGTTCCGATCTCTCTCTATATCAGCACCCGCGTCAATCACTGCACGGTAATCCTCGCGCAGTTTCCCCAGATTGAACCTCGTATCGCCCAACTCCCTCTCCAACTCGTGATAACTGTTTTTTTCTCCCGTAACAACCCCTGCAATCTCTGGTTATCTTCTCTTGTCTGCTTGACTATGATCTCCATTTCCTCAATCGCCTGGGAGGCTTCTTGAATTTTGGTTTCCGCAGCATTCGCCGCCGTTCCTACCCTCACCCACTCATTCCAATAGTAGTCTGCCTTGGCCCCGGCTTCCTTGACCTTGGCATCGGCTTCCTTGACCTTGGCCGTTGTCAATTCATTCAGGCGCCTTTCAAACTCAACACTTTCCGATATCCATGACGATATGGCCGATACTTCGTCGGCACCCGCGGTCACTTGTATGTCGTAACATTGTATAATGGTCTCGAGTCGCTTCATTATTCCGGGAGGATCGTGCGACGACAAGCCGACCTTTAACGTTGTTCTACCAGACTTGAACGGGTTCCGAAATGCAACTCTTCTATCCTGGCGAGGAGCCTTCCCCCTTTCCCCCTTTCTCCCTGCTCTCTTTCTTCTCCTTCTTCTCAATGCCTTTTTACTGTTCCTGCGGTGGCTGCCAACGGGCCCACTACACACAATTTCATCCTGAGTCGGCTCGTCGACCTGAGCGTGCTGGCCATCCCTATCATGCGGCTGGTGTTCCCCCATTGTGCATTCGCTTGGGCTAGCTACACCCTGACCATAAGATTCATCTAATGTCGAATTTCCACCCGCGGAGCGGCGAATGCCAGGGCTGTGTTGGTCGTGTGCTTGGTTGATCATCGGGGACCTATTCGCCCCAGCCGGCCCAGCACTCGAGAAATTTCCGGATGTGGTCGGATTCTCAAAGCTGTCGGGAGACATCATGGGCTCTCTCATGTTTGCCCGGCCCTCAGCCTCGTACAAACGCGGTTGCGCACCCATTGCGCTGTCGCCTGCGCGTCTGCTCCCACCATCATGTTGAGTGTCCTGGAAGGCAGGCGTGGCCTGCGCGGTGGTTATCCACCACTGTGGGGTTTGTTGGGTGGGAGCATCATTTGGCATCCGGGAAGTTTCAGTATAAACGGGTTCTCCGGTCTGGTCTAGGAGTTGCTGTCCTCCATGTCCGATGTAAGCGGGCTGGGGACTGCGGCCTCTGCCCAAGGCTGTAGAAGCTTGGGCTGCCATAATGTGCTGAGCCCGGCCATTATTCGTGATGGTGCCAGGTTGAGGGCGATGGGGTCTCTGTTGTCCCTCATATCCTTGTACCGGTATGAAGTGGCCCGGCGTCGGCGCCGGCGCCTGAGGCGCAGGGTGACGATTATCTTGGACAGGGAGAGGGAATGAAGAGGTCGGGCGTTCGGGCGCCCTGTTCAACGACGCCGGTCTTCCGCTTGTCGGATTTTCCCGACGAGGACGAGTATCCGGTGAACTCCCTAGCACAGGATGAGTTGTACTAGTTACCATCCCTAACCCCGTGCGCGGTTGTTGCGTCAGGGGTAAAGAATATTCTTGTTTCGGAGGATGGCCATGAGGCACCGCGTTATCAAAGTCGCCTTGCGCCGGCATCTCCTGCACATGCCGGTGGTCGACGGCTTGATGTTGTCCCAAAGAGGAAGGCGCGCCGGTTGCGGCGCTGAATTGTCCATCTCCGCAACAATCACTGCTTGGCTAGCATTGTCGCTACAAAATCTATGTTTATATTTCGTCGACTTTTGGTCATCGTGGTCTTCTGTGCCAGGTGTTGCGTCTCTTGCTGGTCGGCCAGAATTTATCGGAGTCCGACCTGCTGGCGGATATGAAACGGCTGCGGTTGATTGTTCGTTCCGCCCGTCGCCACCTTCACGGACTTGAGATGCAGTCGCAGAGCTATCTCCCAAAGGTTGTAAGTCTGTAAGCTCTGTTAAAGAGGCCATTTGATCAAGGTCAGGGCTTATATGCTCTGTGGAATGCCTTTGACGTTGGCGGCCGGTGCCCTCTCGGCGGCTTCGGATTGATCCAGCTTTTGATTTTACGCTTCGTGCTAACAACAAATTTCTACGCTCCCCGTATAGATATATCAAAGGAAGAGAGAAGGAATTAGAAGAAAAATCCAGAAAGGAAACAGAGGATATGGTTCAATAGAATTTGGCTGGAGTAATGTGAGTTGCTCAAGCTAAATGAATTCGCGAGGCGTGGCGCGGATCGACGACCTGAGGTCCATGGTAGATGGAACTCGAATGGCTAGACCAATTGTGCGTGAGAGAGAAAGAATGGGAGAGAGAAAGAAACAAAGCTTGGGTTCACAACATCTCCGTGGACCAAGGCCAGTAGAGCCTGCAGAGCCTGCTGGGTGTGACGGATGGGTAGTTTGCGTGGGGTCGGAGACTTGGGCTTTGGACGATATTACCCTTGCTTTATTTTTAGGCCTTCGTTGGTAATACGCGCACGCATTCGTCGACGCATGCAGGCGGTGTCTTCCACCTTGCGAAACAGTCCGCCCCAGGCCGGTGGTTGGTAGAGACCCTAGTAAGCTGGTCACACACACACACGTCTGGTGTGTGGCAGACCAGGCTGGCTGGCAGGCTCTCGCTCGATGCCGAAGCTCGATTAGAGTGGAGTCCCAACTCCATCTGGCCCATTACCGGTACGCTCCCGTCGTGTAGCTCTAATCCAACAGCGATCATCTGATATAGAGCGCCTTCCCTCATAGCTCTATAGGGGGATCTGGTATCTTCTCCCACAGAAATTCTCGAGACGAACAAAAGCTGTACTCACTAGTACCCGGCCCGGCGACACTCTTCTCGCTTCCCTCCGCCACCACGTGCCACTTCATCCTTATCTCTCTCATCTCCTTCCTCCGCCATGTCTCCGCCAGCTCGACGATCGGGCTCCACGAGCCAACAAAGTTCAGGCCCTATACCCTTCCAAAGAAGCGCCCCACTCTCTGGGAGAGAGTCAGAAGTCAGAAGTTTCTCTTCAACCCCGACAGGCCGGCGTGCCCCGAGCTCCGGTGACAGTAGACTGCCGTTGAACCGTTGGAGACTCGGGGAGACGCCGGACCACGAGTCACTTAGATCAGCTCTCCTTAGCCAGCCAGCAGTTCAAACTACGGGTCACTCTCACAACACCAACCATTCCCAAGCGACGCCCAGCTCCCCACCGCCACTATACGAAGACGAGGCCGCGGCGACTCGCTATGGGTTTTCCCCGACTCACGATGAGCTTCCGCAGACTCACGATGAGTTTCCACAGACTCACGGTGACCTTCCACAGGACGCGGCGGATATTTCTCGTCCCGCTTCACCGGCTCGACCTCGATTTGTCATATGTGTCGATTACGGCACAACGTATACCGGTACGTGACATCTAAGCATAGAAATAGAGGAGTCGAAGAAAGAAAAGAGAGGGCTGCGAGGAAATGGCAAGGAAAAACGCGCGGGGTACTATGTGGATATTTTACTAATTCAATTGATCTTATGTCCTCTCTTCGTGAACAGGCGTTGCTTGGGCACTCACCTTGGGCGAACAGCTAAAACTATCCGACATTTTCGTCGTCCAGGATTGGGGCGGCGGCGAGTCCATCCCCAAAGTTCCCTCCCTTTTCACGTACGATCCCCAGGGTGGAGGCTGTTGGGGCCACAATATCCGCGAAAACTCGGTCATCATTCGCTGGACAAAGTTGGAGCTGGAGGTCCCCCGAGGTCCACCGCCCTCGAGGCCTTGAGACGAACTCTGGCCGAGGCAAGTATGCTTCGTTTTACCGCCCGAGACACCTCGGATGGCAATGTACCCGAGCACCTTATCAAATCTTCGCCCCAAATCATGACGGCTTACCTTACCGAGGTGGCGAAAGCTGTCCGAGCCGACATTGAAGCGAAGCGAAGTGCGGCGACCGAGCTGTTGGCCAGGTTTCCCATCGATCTCGTCATCACCCATCCCGCGGAGTGGGATCAAAGAGCGAAAAACACCACGTTTAGGGCCGTAAACGAGGCTTTCCGCAATTACGGCGCCTTTCCGTCGTTGAGGACGACACCCGGCTCCGTTTACCTCGTCACGGAGCCGGAAGCGTGTGCTCAATATACGGCCGTCACGGCTTCGGAGCAAGGCGTGGGGAGTTTGCAAAAGGTATCTTACGCTTCCTCAAGATATTCATTTCATGAAGAAGTACTATAGCTGCTAGTGAGATGTATGGCTAACCGTATGCATCCGTGGCTGATCTAGGAAGAGTCTTTTGTCGTTGTTGATGCCGGGGGCGGGACGGTAGTAAGGACCAATCCAGGCCCAATTTCCGCATCCAAGTAGCAAATGTACTCCCTGCTCACATATATTTCCCTCGCAACTAGGATCTATTATCCTACCAAGTCGAAGAGCCCGCGCCAAATCTCAGAATTAAAAAGATCACGAATCCAACAGGTGAGTCAAAATGCATCTATTACCCGAGCCCCTCCCCACAGTGAAAAAGAAAAAGAAACCGAAAGTAAACCAAAGAGCCCATGTTAAAAGGGAGAGAAGGCTAACCGTGCGATATATCAAATCTAGGCGAGAACGTGGGGGCAACTGTCATCGACAGGAATTTCCTAGACCTCGTCAAACAGAGGCTTTCGTCCGAGAACTACCAGAAGCTGATGACGCTCGGTAATGGGCCACGGTTAACTCACGGGGGTGGCTCACACGTCACCTACACACGAGGTGAGCAGTGGTTGCTGCAAAGATTCGAAATTATCAAGCACAACTTTGCCGGGACACCACCAGGACGGGTCGAATCGCGACCTTTTACGGTAGAGCTTCCCGGCGATATCGGCAATCGGGATGACCCGAGCCAAGGCATCGAGGGGGCAATTTCCTTCTATCACATAGAGATATGGAAGACCTGTTCAAAACATCAGTCGATCGCACCATCGAGTTGACCGAACAGCAATTGGTGCAGGTCGACTCGTGGACCCGTCGTCCCGCGAGCGCCATTTTCCTCTCTGGTGGCTTCTCGAGAAACGAGTACCTATTTCAAAAGCTCAACGAGATGGCCCGAAATAAAAGATTGCTGCTCTTCCGGGGTAGTGACGAGAGAAACGATAGTTGGACAGCCGTCTGCATGGGAGGCGTCATCATGGGTCTTGGCATGGAGTGCTCGCCCCTACGGCCAGCAAACAAGTAGAGGCCTACTTGGGAGTCGTGGTCTCTCAGCGCTTGCCGTACTGCAATATCATGACCAAAGAAGCGCGCGAGGAGCATCACCGGCCGGAAAGATATACCGACGCTTTTGACAAAGTCCATCGCGCCAAAAACCAAATTCACTGGGTTTTCCGGCGCGGCGATCTCATGTATCAGTCCAAGCCCCTTTCTAGGAGCGTGACGCTAGTCCAGAAGATTAGCGTGACGGGCGTTCGGAAAGGATCTGTCAGAATCGTCGTTTCACGAAACAACGACGCTGACACAAAGTTTTCCCAATATTCAGAGGATCATTCCGGTAGGTTACAGCCCCTCGCCGTCGGCTCATAGTTTCCGCCGTGGCGTTACATCCTCCGCGCGTGAATAGTTACGCCTCGCTAACATCAAAATAGAAAACAATGATATGCAGGTCACGGACCTAGACTATGACTTGGCGACACTCGAGGATGACCACGACCTATTGGCTCGGGTGATGCAACGGAGCGAGGGATATTATCGCATCGTCCTACATTTGGACATCAAACTGTCCCAAAATGAGGTGCACTTATCCTTAGAATGTGACAAAACCTTTGATAGACACGGCGGTCGTGTCCGGCCCAGCCGCTCCCTGTGCACCTACACACTACCCCTCTCGCAGTAATTTTTCGACCGGAGTGCAGCGGTCTATCGATCGGAGGAACCTTTAAATACTAGCCTGGTGAGAATAATAAGTTTCTCTGCGAATATGTATCACGTTCCCTAAACTGCGCCCTCTAGCCCTTAGGACGAAGTGAAATCTGTAAATTATCAACATATTACATGATTCCCTCAAGGGCTTTCGTCCTTAGGACCTCGGGTCAGCTGCCTACTGCATGGGAGACCGAGGGGCGTCGCTTGGAGACCTGCATAGAGTAAATGCAAGGCTTGACGAGCCGCCGCTTTACGAGAACAAGAAGGGGCGGTCGGCAAATGTGCAGTGATGGACCAATTGGTGCCCGGTTGCACGTCCCGTTAGATGTTGGGCTCAAAGCTACATATGTAATTATACTTTTGTCTCCTGTCGCGGCCACAAGTTTACCCAAGGCCCCCAGAGGGTTGGAAATGAGGGGGGGGGGAACGGGCAATGGATTAAATGTTTCCTGACGGATCAATATGCAGACCGCTGTATTAAATAGGTCGTATAATTATACTCATTAGTCCGAATTCGGCAATACAACGCGCGATGGGTCGTACAAGGCTACCGCCCCCATGTCTTTGTCAAGTATCCTTTTCCACTTGTGACAATCATCTACTTGTGCGTTATGTGCCGCCCCTTTGCCTGGCTCGGAATCCAGGGCTCTATTCTACCCGTCCTACCAAGAAACATGTGGATTGTACTGCAGCCTGGCCCTAGTAGACTGCGGACAGTGAATGCTCAACCCCAGCCAATCCCCCATGTCTAGATCTATCTGAGAAGCACTCTCGCTTGCGCTTATCAGTCATATCATTCCCATCTTGCGTGAACAATTGAAGGCCTCTCGCCGCTCTGACACACAATCATCTCCACTTGATCAACTTTGAGCTACAAGATCGATATCAGTATAGAAAAAGCTTGTTGCGGTGCTCGACTTTCCAATATGAGAGCTTGGGCCGGACACAACTATTATACCGCAAACTGGATCAAATGGCCTTCGCTGATGAATCTGAGCACGGCGGAATGGGGCATCGGCAGTTTTCCTCCCAACGTGGTCGCAGTACCCGACAAATATACCGGCACTCGTAAATTCCCGCCGGATCTTTCATCATCGGCAACCTCCCCAAAGAGACAATCGGAGGTCGGCCACTGGAGCGAGTCGTCTTCGGCATCATCGCCGCCGTTGTTATTGTAATATGGACCAGTATTTGGCTCTGGTTCCAGAGGGAAACGTGGCGCGATCCCAGCGGTCTGAACAGGGATTCGATCAACTACAAGCCCGTCGTGGCGGTGGATGTATCGGACATCGAAATGGGCCTTCGCGCCGACGATGGCCACAGCGGCACTACCATTGCCGGCCCCGCGGGCGCGGATGGGAGCAGCGACCCAGCAATTACCCTGAGACGCGTCAATGATAAAGATTTCCGGAAGTAACTCTGCCGCAAATATTACCAGCTTGGAGAATCCGAGCTAGAACTATGCGACAGGCCTAGCAAGAAGGTTACTGGCGAAGACGTCGAGGCTGTGACAGACCTGCTCATAGAGATGTGCAAGTGCGACCTCGACCTCTGGTCGAGTGGTTCGACCCGGGTGAATCAAGCCCGTCGCAAGAAACTTGTAAAGGAGCAGAGCGACATCATCTGGACAGAGGTGCAAAAATTGATCGGCGAATGGGAGGGTGTTGAGAACGGGCCAACGTGGAAACGAGATGAGAGAAGACTGTTGGACAGCATCGTGAAGATACTTGAGGAGATCGGACCCGATCGACACAGCGAGAATACCTCTTCTCGTCGAGCGCAGCCAGTTTCCGCTCGGCGAGCTCAGCTTGCAACCGCTCCTCAGGCCCAGCCTCTTCCCGTTCATCAAGGCCGCCGGGTTCCGACTCCGCAAGCCCAAGATATCCCCACGCATCAAGCCCGACTTTTTCCATGCATCAAGCCCAGCCTATCCCCACGCAACAAGCTCAGCCTATCCCCACGCATCAAGCCCAACCTTATTCCATGTATCAAGCCCAGCCTATTCCCACGCATCAAGCCCAACCTGTTCGGGCGCAGCAAACCCAACCTTATTCCATGCTTCAAGTCCCGCCTGTTCCCGCTCCTCGGAACCAACATCCTACCCTTCACCACTCCCGGACTTTTCCCAATAATCAAGACCCGTTTCCTCTTGCCCATGAAGCGCAACCCTATCCCATTCACCAAGCCCAGCACTTGCCAACACGTGGGACCCAAGCTCCTCCCATAACTCGGGCCCAGCCTCGTTACCTTCGCATGACCCGGTCCTTCCTTACGGATCAAACCCAACCTCTTGCACCTCATCAAGCCCAAGGTGTCCCCACTCATCAAGGGGAGCCTATGTCGTATTCTCAGTCTCAGGGTCCAGGCATCGGGCAGAGCAGCCATCCTCAGCAACCGGTCCCGTTGTCAACCCAACAACAACAACATTATGACGCATACTATCAAGCCCAAGGTTTGCCCACTCCTCAAGCACGCCCTTTTCCCAATCACTCAACCCGGCCTCCCCTAGATGATCAAGCCCAAGGTGTCCCCACTCATCACGGGGAGCCTATGTTGTATTCTCAGTCTCAGGGTCCGGGCATCGGGCAGAGCAGCCATCCTCAGCAACCGGCCCCGTTGTCAACCCAACAACAACAACATTATAACGCATACCAGTCTCCCCACAACCCCATTCGTCAATTTCAACTCAGTATCGTAGAACGTCAGGGCTAGGTGTGCCGCAGACGGGGCGAAACCCTAGCCTACAGAGGCGGCCGGTGCCAAATCAGCCCGAATAGCGAAGCACGAGAAGGAAATAAAAACAGCATCAATGGGATGCCAAGAGGATGAATTCCTCGCGTAAATAACCGAATGCGTTTAGTCGTACCCTGCCGGCAACTGTGAGGCCCGGTTGTGGTGGCGGCCTGTGGCTAAGGACTACTCGGGTTACGGCTGCTCTCCACACTCCAGCGGTATAGAGACCCCAAAGCTTTTGTCACGGAGGTCCATGAGAATAGCCAGTTATGGGCTCGCTTGATCTGGATATACAAAAGAGGACAGGGCCAGGGAGGTATACAGCGCCCTTGTGTGCTAACGGAGACTTGAAGGAGAGGTGCTGTTGGCCGCTTTATAGACGCCTGTATCATGTTCTTTTGGGTTGATAAGGCCAAAATGACGAAGGCTGATATTTATGACACCGCTATTCGATAGACTGTAATCATGTGTTGATAGATAAGTATAAACAAGGGTTAGGGTTGTAATCAATACGGAATGTATAATGACTGACACGGAAAATATGAATACGGAGTTCCCGTTGAAGATAACACTAAACGAAATATTGAGATGATATATACAAATGTGGTCGTAAAGATGATATTGGCACGCTATTCCACTTCGGACTTCCTAATCTAACTATCATATACCCGCCATTCACGACCAACCTCATCACGTTGCCCTCCTCCACTTTAGAACTTCAGAGCCCTACGGCGCTGGCAGGATCCTCCGCTAGAAAGCACGGTGGTGGAGGCTACAGCTCCGGTATCCGAGGAAGAGGCGTCGTCAGTAGCAACGTCAGTGGGGGCGCTTCCACCGGGGGCAGTTCCCGTAGGGGCAGCACCACCGCTGGGGAAGACACCGCTGGGGAAACCTCCGGGACCACCGCTAGGGCCGGCACCACCGGGGCCGCCGGGCTGGAAACCACTGTTCTCGTTGCCGACGCCACCATCCTCGAAGTGCGTCGCCGCGGCGCTGACGTTGCGGATGTAGGTCATGTCGACGCCGAACGCCAACCAAGCGAGCAGGCCGTCCTCGACGGAGTCGCCGAGCAGGACGTAGCTGAGGATGGGGTCGACGCCGGTGTTGGCCTCCTCGGACAGGATGTTGTCCTCGGAGTTGAGGGTGAGCTCCTGGGTGTTGGTGTTGTAGGGGCGACGGCCTCGACCTGCTCGATGAGGGACTGGTCGAAGAACATCTGGCCGACGTGGGTGGCCTGGGTGCTGTAGAGGGTGCCGTTGGAGAGCTCCTGGGCGTTGGCGTGGACCATGACGTGTACGTGGGTGGTGCGGCCGGTGTAGTGGCCGGGGAAGAGGGTCTCGAACTGGACGACGCCGTCGGCGTCGGACTTTGCACGCCGCGGAGGAAGGTGTTGTCGATGTTGGTGGGGTCGGCGGTGCCGGCGCCGTTGCCGGAGGCGACTACGCCGCTGTAGACGCCGGTGGAGTTGCAGTCTGTTCGGTTGGTTAGCCAGGTTCAGCCAGAGCTCCAAGCTTTGATTTTTGGTTCCAAGCCAAGAGGGGTTGCAGCTGTGTGCTTGTTATGGTACTTACGCCAGATCTCGATGTAGAGGTCGGGGACGGGCTCGCAGGTGTCAACGTCAATGACCTGCGTATCAAACGCGACGTAGACACCCTCTTGCTCCTCAATGTTGTTGGATCGAACATATTCGCCACTCACGTCTAATTTCAGCTGTCAGTATCCCTGTAACGCTTTGCATTTTTTCCTTTCCTATAGAACCCGAGTGGTGCGACGTACAGTAAGGGCCCTCAGTGACCTCGGGGTGAGGACGCAGTAGTTTCCGTTGGCAAAGAGGTCGGCGGGGTTCGTGTCCATGGTGTACTCCTCGTCGGAGTGGTGGTCGATGTTGAGGAACTCATCGATCTGACGCTCTATTGGCGAGAAGAGAAGGCATCGTTAGCAAACAAGCGCGCGCGAAAAAGATGACAGTGGGAAGCCGATTCCCGCGGCTCGTAGAGCACAAGGGCCCCCAGGGTAGCGGGATGCAAGGCGGGAAGAGACTTACTTTGCTTGGCGTAAGCGTGGGGGCCTTGGCGGCAGTGAGGTCGAGAGCCCTCTTGGCACGCCTCTCGGCAGAGCGGCGGGCGAGCCCGTTGCGCTTCATCTTCTCCGTGCAGTGAGAGAGGTCGCGGCGGTTATGCTTGAGGTATTCCCGGCGCTCGGCAATCTCGTGGGAAGGGTCGTCGCCGGGGTGAGCCATGACGCCGGCCGCGGCGATGGCACCGGTGAGAAGGGTGGTGAGATGCATGGTTGCGGTGATTGGGGTGGGAAGAAAATCTAGAATCGAGTTGTAGAGAAGAAGTTGACAAAAAGCCAAGGCCGAAAGATAAAGAGTGCAGAAGAAGAAGAAGAAGATAAAGTTGAGAGAAGAACTGAAAGGATGAACAAGAGAAGAGAAAGATAGTCGTTGATGCGGATGAGGCAAGTGAAGAGAAAAAGAAAGATCACCAACTTCCGGAAGTCTTTAAGATTATATATAACTTAGCGGTGGCAGCTCGTCAAGCTACGATGTGGTGTGCACGTCTCCCGCCGATCACCTCGACCTCGCAGTCAGTCCGTGGGGCCGGTGGGGGAGGCGCCGGGCAGGGCTCGGAAAAATGGGGGACGGACTACGATGACGAAGTATCCACGACGGGGGAGGACAACCCAGGTCAAGCCACGAATGCGTTTTGGCGCAGCGGTTTCAAAGCCAACATTGAATAGCATTCAAGTTATTTCGCATTACATCGGGGCGCGTCCCATCACTTACTACCCTGCCCTACCCCCTATCATCCTACCTTGTATGGCACTCGCACGCAAACAAAGACAAGCAGCGAGAATAGGATGGCAGGCTAGGATCTCCCTCCAATCAAAGCCGAGGCATTTGCAACGCGTTGCGGTGGGGCCTTGGACTTTGAAAGCTTGATCTCTAAATGAAGGGACCACTATCACAATAACTTCGACACATGGATCGGTGGGACCCTTCGCTCATGTCACTCTACTATTGGATAATGTATATTCTTCCTGGTCTTCTAGCTTCTCTTCCCTTTGTTTTTCTCGCCCTTTCTTTCTCATGTCCTCCCCGTTATGTGACGCGTATACATGTCCGAGACCAGCACGGGTGGTCCGACCCCACCGGATTTTGCGCCCTCCACACGCAGACTGGGTATTACTACTTGTAGACAATGGGAGATGGGACGTGGGGCTCTTGGGCGGCGGCAGATGATCGACGGGAGAGATTTTAGCGTGGCCCCGACTCGATCGATTCTTGCTTTATTTTCCTGCATGGAAAAGCATGGGTTCTGGGTTCCTTTCTCCCATCGAATAGCCACATGTGCGGTGTACTATCTGCGTGTGTGTGTGTGCGGATGGCGTCTGATGACGAGGCCCCCGGACCAGGGACACCATTGTAACGGCGAATTGCCAAGAACGGGACTAGCGCGCGTCTTTTCCTGGTGCGCCCCCTATTGAGGCTGACGCAAGCCAAGTTCCCTTTTTTCACATCTTTTTCATTATTTTTCCCATTTTTCTCCGACGGGCATGACAATGCGCATCGCCTTCCTCAACCGGGACCTCTCGTCTTTTGACGAAAGGAGAGGGGTTGCTCTTCGGCCGTGGCATGCGTATGCGTGCGAAGGGTTGCATGCATCCAGTCGGTTCTCACATTCCTTCCATGGACTTTGTTATTTTTTTAGGGTTATTTTTTTCCAATCCCTTCTCGTGCTGGAAACAAGGGTACTCAGTCTTATTATTTTCGTCAGTCTTATTAGTTTCGTCCAGCTGTCGTAGATTGTTGGGCTGAACTGCGTCTTCTCGCCACCGTCACGTAATGCCAGCTGCGCCTCGCCGTTGTAAGGGTCGAGGCCGAGGCGGGAGAGAAAAACCTCCCTATCGTGAACCTCCCTGTCGTACCTCGGCATATGGCGGACGGCGAGGCCTCTCTCTTTACAGGTAGACAGACGTCAACGCTGGACAGGGTCAAGGGCCCGGCGGTGATCCTATTTTTGTGCGTCCATTCCCAAGCATTCGGCGCCGTGGGCAGCTCTCCTCTATCAAGTTTCAAACGATGGGAAGAATTACGTGAAGCTATGATCTCGAGAATGAAGCCGACAGAGATTTCCTTTCTGACCCCGTTGGCCCCTCCTGCAATCCTTCCTTGAACCCCACAGCTCAAGTCTCCCACCCCTGTCCAAGCCCGCATGTTATGCCATTTGATACAAAGTCGTCTTAGCTCGCGCCAAAACCATCAAACCCGGGCGACATGATTGGCGAAGAGACGTGAAACACATTGATGGGCTACGAATCAACTGGATTGGTCTCAACTGGATTGGTCTCTCCGTGGTCTCTCGCCTCCTTTTCCTGTGTCTATTAGTAGACCTCACCCGTCTTGGATCATCCCAGTCCCGAAAGCCGCGCAATACTGGACGGCATATGCTGACCTCGGGGATGAATCCCCAGAAAGGCGCCCAACTGCGTTAATAAACAAAAATTGAAAGCCGAGCCCCAAGTATCTTATCGCCGTTATAGTAACGCACTAATAGTTAGTGCAGTTGAATGTCCCCCACATCTCCCCCATCAATTGATCAAAAAAGGTCCTTGTGCATCACCAATAGACGAGGTGACCCTGTACACCCACGGGTCACCAATGCTGGCGCAGGGCGCGCGCGTGACGGGGCGACGAGCCAGCCATTGATTCTCAATTAATAACGACGGACCTGTCTCCCCTTTACCTGTGATCGTCGGGCAAGCCGATTGCTTGCGATGATGCGGTGGCGCGTCCTCCGAAGCTTCGTGGGGCCGGTTTGCTAGACGCCTCGCTGAAGGGAATCCACTTTTCAAACCCACCTGCCTTCCTTTGTTTGCAAATCGCAATGGATGGCCATGGAACTTTTCTACAAGTAGGTTTAAGCTGTGGAAAGGAAATTCTATCTTGGTAGTATGTAAATAGAATGTTGCAGTCAGTGGAAGGCGGGCAACTCCACGCTAGGTGAAATCGGGATACTGCTTGTTGCCGCAGGAGGGGGACTTGGTTCATGACACTTTCTGGTTTGGGAGATAGATCCCACGAGCCGCGGCCCACTGTTCCCCAATGGGCCGCGTAAGTTGGCAATATTACTCATTTCTTTGCCAACTCGCCTATTGGTGGCTCGGACACTGTTTCATTCGCTTCTTGATGTGGTCTTGCTGTGATGAGATGCGCCGGAGGCGACGACGGCGACTGGTTGTGAGTTTCGCCCTGACTCGATATCTTCTATCGTCGTGATCACACCACCCCGCTTACGCCTCCTCCGTCTTTATGGAGGAATGAGCAGATTGTGGACACATCTTCTACTGGGCCCTTGACCTTCACCGAAGTCGAGGGTTCACCAAAAATATTGAAAGAACAGAGAAGAAGAAAAGATGATGAAAAACAAGGACGGGCGGAAATAACAAAACAGGAAGGAAATACAACCAAGGGCCGGTTAGAGACCGATATGCACAGAGAGGACCCTGTCCACTCGATTATCTCGGATCCTTAACTTCAAACACGACAGTGAAAATAGTAGTCAAGAACTACGGCCTACGAGAATTCGTCATCGGTATGCAGGATTGCAGGATTCATTTAAGTTTACTTTGTTTATCAAGACCTTATCCTATTCAAACAGTGCAAGATAGCTGCTAAGATTCATCAAGGCCCTGCCACCGATGAATGTAGGGGAAGAATAATTAGGAGCTCGCTCCTCCCTTGGCTCCAGCCTCCCTAGCACGCTCACTGCCCTTTTCAAAGGAACCACCCGACGCCTTGCCGCCCATGGAAGCGATTTCGCGCTACAGAAAGAAGATGTGTCAGCTTTTATATATCGCCGAGAGTCCAGATGGGAAAGGGACAAAAAGAAAAATCCATACCTGTCTATCGGGGTCCATGCTGGCGAAGCCTTGCTTGCCGGTGCCGCTGTTGCCGCTGCTACCGAGACCGCTGCTCGCCTGGTTTCCCGAGCCGGTTTCTGCCTCGCCGGCGTTCTGGGTCCTGCCACCCTTGGCGGCAACCTTCTTTAAGTCGCTCTTATCCCTGAAGCAAAGGTGTTAGTAGGTAAAGAGACAACTGCGAAGGCCGGCAAAGACAATGAGGTCTCTAAGTTTTCTTACCAGTTGGCGAAGTTTCCGGGGTTGCTGTCGGCCATGATTGCGGTTTGAATTGGTGTGTATGGGAATTAGGATTAAAGAGATGTGTGCTGTGTGTGGATAGTATATTGTAAGTGGCTGTTGATGTTTTCGAGTGTTAACTCTTGAGTGATGAAAACTTTCTAGAAACTGGGAGTCTCCGGCCCCATTATATAGACTTGTCTCCCGCAAGACAGATGTTCGAGAGCTCTTTCATATCATGCTTAACAAGTCTCGGTGTGTTCTTGACGTAGGTTCGCCGCCGACCGGAGGCGTCTACCCCGCGCCCCGGGTGGTCTACTACCAACCTTTACGCAAGGATCATTGATTGGAAAACGATAAAATCAATACGGGTAAAGCTGAAAAAGAACATCACACATCATTCGATTTCATGCGTGCACAGTTTCGCCGGTTTACCGCTGGGAGAATTCACAAGTCATCATCGCTTCGACATTTGGATCACAGAGGCGGGGAATGCGCGAGGGCTGACGTAGAAAGAGTGGGGCGCGATGAGGCAGGAATGAGCGCCGGGCTTAACGGTAGTTACGGCGAGAGGCCCGCACCGATTCCGCCTCCTCGCATCAATTGCTTGCCTTTTGAATTTCTCCCTCCCTGTAGCTCCGGGTGGGGCTTTCCGGTATAGTCGGATCACCACCTAATAACTCCCTTCCCTGCAGGGTAAAGTTCCCTCACCGTCACCCTATCCAAGGCAACAGCGCCGGCGCCGGGTCGGGGGTGGTAAAGCGGGGTCCCCGGACGATGCACTGTGTGTGAAGGGAACCAGGTGAGCGCGGTGATGCGCCCCCGCGGTCCGGTGTTTGAATCTGATCAGGTTGGGCTGGGATCAGGTTTCGTCAGATGATGGCCAAGCTTCCGATCGATCTAGGCTTTTTAGCAGGCCGAGTTGATGATGCGGTTGAGGTGATTGAGCGCCAAGCCAGCTAGCAAGGGGAGGCTTAACGCCGCTTGTGGTAGGGTAGGGCCAGCAGGGAGGCAACGGGTGCAATGGATCCATCCGGGACAAGAAGAACTACCGGTTTAGGGTGCATTGGCGGCTTGGCTTTCACACTTTGATGGGACGCTTCTACTGATTCATGGTCTATTGTTAATTGATACAAGACCGGCTGCTCTCGTCTGTTTTATATCCTAGTTATTATTATTATTATTTTCCAGCCGATCTTGGATTATTTGGGCCTGGCTTGTGATGGTTTCAACGGTGCACTGCATCAATTGATTCTTGCGTTGGGGACGATGATGAAAATGGGACTTCAAATTGCTTCAAGTTCTTTGATGAGCGCGCCGCGGGGTCTTTGGTTTGGTCCTGGAGCTGGAGACACTGATGTTGTGGCAATTGATGGATCAGCCAGTGCCTCTAGGACGGAAGGTGCAGTCAGCGGGAAACCCGTCGCTTTGGCTTCATTGTGACGCTCTTGTGAAGTGGAACCGGGGATTCATTTGCTGTGGCGAGATGAAAAGCGTGGCTGAGCCTGGCAGGAGGATAATATTGCCCTGGAGTCATTGGGAGAGAAAGGGATAGAGGCACCCAATGAATCGATCCTGCGTGTCTTGGAGATTAATAATTTCCCGAGCAAGGAAAACCACAGTCACCCGACTCCACCTGCACCCACCAACAGCAACAAAACTGCAAGGCACGACTGTGTTTGGCTCGTCCCCATCCAAATCTGGTTGACGAACGAGGACCAATCCTGTGCCTGGCCCGCGCATCCTGCGCCACGCTTGGACTAGGCCCCTTGGCCCCGTCAAAGAAACTAGTGTCGTAGGCAGTCGCCTCCCCTTCGTATCGAAAAGCAACGATGAAGTGAAGGAGAAGGAGAGGAGAAAAAACAGTCGTCACCTCCACCTTCCGACTCGAAATCGTGCATCTCCATCTTCATTCTTCGGTGTCGAGTTTCATGGAGGCCCGCGCACAATCCTAGGAGCAATAAGGCGCGTCAAGGAGACGAAGAGAATTGATCCGCTGCGATACAACTCAGGGACATTTATTTCCACTACCACTTTCCCCTTTTTTCTTCCCCCACCTTGGGCTCTCTCGCCCCAAGCCCAGGCAGGCACAAGCACAAGCACAAGCAAACACGCCGCCCACCATGGATCGCCCCATCAAGGTCATCCAAGCCCCGACCAAGCCCACTTGGATCACCAAACTCGTTTTACGCGCCCTCGCCCTCATTTTCGGAATCTCCCTGATCGGCCTCATCGGCGCGATCGCCGCCATCCACAGGTATTCCTACTACGACGATGGCTACTACTATTCCAGCTCCGATGCCTGGCTGCCCCTCGCCATCGTAGGCGGCCAGATCATCGTCTCCATCTGCTGGAACATTGCCGAGATCATCTCCATCCTCGTCCGCCGAGGTCACCGCGGAACCCACCCGGGCGCGTGCGTCGGCATGGATCTGCTCCTCTGGATCGGCGTCCTCGTCGGCATTAGCATGTTGGGTGCGTTTTGCTGGGGCGCGACCTGCGGCTACGATTTCGACGAGGATGGTGATGAGGGGCCTGCCGTCCTGTCTCGCACCAAGGCTCTCCTTGGACTTGGCTCGATTCTCACGTAAGTCACTCGGCCTCTACGGCTTCTCTTCTTTTTTTTTCTTCGTTTTTGTCCTCTTTGTGTCCAACCTAGTCTTGCCTTTTGATTTCAGAGCAAAGTGGAGCCCTTGACTTTGCCATCTCAGCCTTTGGTTGCAAGCCACAAACTCTCGAGGCAACGATAAACTAACTAGTCGTTGTAGCTTCCTTCACATCGTACTCTTCTGCATCGCCTGCTGGGAGACCAGCGTCCGGAATAGCGTCCCCAAGGTGGTTCTTGACCGCAACGGCGCCCCTTTGCGGCCCGCTCCGGGTGACGCCAAGATGTACCAGCAGCCCCAGGTCTATTATCCCCCTCAGCAACCTATTCCACACGCCGGTACCATCCCTGTTCAAAACTTGGGGACTGGTCCTGCGCCCGGCCACCCCGAGGCCAAGGTTTCCGAGTATTATGCTCGCGCTGAACCGGTCCATCAACAGGGCGGGTTCGGTTCGCAGCCCCCGTTGGCCACTCCCCCGCGATCTCTTCACCTTCGGAAGTGTCCAGCGCCCACCCCAACCCGGTCCATGCTCCTCATTCCTAGAGTCGGCCATGGACTGTGAAGGACCCACGTCTCCCATCGAGACTCTCTTGTTGAAAGTCGAGAATTCCCTTTCCTTAGATCGGTTTAAGATGGGGCATAGCAGACACAAAGATGGTCCTTTTGAGTGGCGTTGCAAGAGATCTTAGATGTAGTTGACATAATTCCCCGAACCTTAATGATACCCTCTTTACCTTGGTACTAAACCTTGCGAAACTCAATGTAGTGCTGTGACTTGGCTTGCTCCAAATGTCTCCGTCTGTGCTGGCGTGTCTGCCTCAGTGTGTCCATCTCGAAGCTTAGCGCCGCCTCTCGCCCGTAACGGAGATACATATTCGATGACTAAGCGGAAAACAATACCTTTATGTCCGCCTCTCGGCCGTATCGGCCACTATACACACTTCTTCGCATCGTTTTCGCTCTTGGGGACGGACTGCCGCACCACGCCTTCCTCTTTCACACTTCCATACTCTTTTCCTTTTGGCTTTCCATGTTTGTAATCACCGAAGAAGTTGCCCAGGCGATCCGTCGCAAGTCCGTACCCCCATCCTCGGCCTCAATGGAGAGGCGCCCGCCACACCGTCGGCGAAGACCCGCCCTGTCCTGCGTCGAGTGCCGGCGCCGCAAGATCAAGTGCGATCGGGAGAACCCTTGCGCGCATTGCGTAGCCGCAAAGTCCGAGTGCTCCTACAAGACGTTTAACAACCGTTCTTCCGCCCCCGGGAGCTGGAACACGCTCAAGTCCGTTCCCCCTCGGAGAGTTCCTCTCCGTCGACGGGTCCCCATGCAGGTGCACAGCGGGACTACCATCCCACGAGGCACGCTGTCGGCAATGTGCCGCAGGACACACCTGATTCTGATTCGGCTCCAGTTTCAGCGCTGCTAAATACCCCTGCGCTCGACGTGGTCAATGGCACGGCCCGGAGATCCCACCCGACGCAGCAGCAAGCGGACGAGTCGGTGGTCTTTCGCGATCTTCTCGATAGGGTACGTAGGCTCGAAGCTACTCCTGCTTCGAGCCTGGCTCCAACTCGCAGCCCCTCCGACGCGAGCCGGGATGTCCTATCACTTCAGACGGGACCTATCCAGGATGCGCAAATCTTGTTAAACAAGACCAGGGTGCTTCGTTGGAGTTTCTGGACAGGCATGTCTGAAGAGGTGCGACCCCACCCTGACTCTCTATTGCTTTGATTTTGAGGATAATCGCTAACTAGTGTTTACAGCTCATGCCTATAATATCCTGCTTCAGCGAGGCGTGCAAGCCCACTGGGAAAGGACCCTTCGCACAAGAGGACATCGCGCCCGTGGTCGCCGACATGGGCCGTCTCCTTCGCAAATGCAAAATGATTGCCAAAGATCTCAAGGCATCTCGGCCCAGTAGAACCCTCTCCTCCACCGAGGTCCACCTATACCCTCCGGCCCGCGAGACGGCGGATAAACTGGTCCACCTGTATTTCCAGTCCTTCGAATCCGTCTACCGCATCCTGCACAGGCCAACCTTCATGGCCGAGTACCGCAACTACTGGGACGATCCCACCGCCGCCACCGACGCCACCCGCCTCAAGCTCCTCCTCGTCATCGCCCTCGGGTCGAGCATCCAGGAGCTTGACGGGAGCGACCCGTTCCTCGACGAGCAGACCCACTCGTGGGTGTATGCCGCCCAGACGTGGCTGGCCGGACCCTTGGAAAAAGACCGCCTGAACATTGCGGGGCTCCAGGTCCACTGCCTGACTATTCTGGCGCGGCAGGTATTCTCCGTGGGCGGCGACCTCGTGTGGATGACGGTCGGCTCCTCATCCACCAAGCCATGCAGATGGGCCTGCACCGCGACCCGGACCGCCTACCTTCCATGTCGTTGCTCACCGCGGAGATGCGTCGGCGGCTCTGGGCCACCATCCTAGAAATGACGGTGCAGGCATCCCTTGACGCTGCCATGCCGCCCCGCATTTCCTTTGACGATTTCGATACCCGTGCCCCGCGGAACTGCAACGACGAAGACTTGAGCGAATCGTCCACGGCCGGACAGGAGCAGCACCCGAGGCAAGAATTCACCGAAACATCCATCCAGCTCATCCTGTATGACTCGCTACCCACTCGCCTCCGCATCCTTCGATTACTAAACGATCTCCACTCGGAGCTGTCCTACCCCGACGTTCTCCGCCTAAGTTCCGAGATCACGGACATCTGCCGAGGGTACGCCCGTTTCTTCCAAGAAAACGAAGCCAAGGGAATCACCCCTTCCACCGCAACCTCGTCAACTACCACGTCCGCCGCTTCCTCATCCCCTCCACTGCCCCTTCGCCAACAAGGCCCGCACCAACCCCCTCTTCCACTACTCCCTCAAAGTCAGCCTCGACACCGCCACCGCCATCGGCACCCCGGAGCCCGACGACGCCTTTACCCGCCTGTCCATCGCCGGCGGCGGCCTCTTCAAGGAAGGGTTCCGCTACGCCATGTCCGCCATCGGTCTCGAGCTCGTCACGCGCGTCGAGGAGCGCCGCCTCGACGGGACGCTGCGCCGCCCGTCCGAGTACTGCGAGGGTCTGAAGCGTACCTTGCGCTCGATGCTGGCGCTGAGCCTGGAGCGCGTGCGGGCGGGCGAGACTAATGTTAAAGGCCACATGTTTCTGCAGATGATTCTGGCGCAGGCGGAGGCCAAGGAGGCGGGGGTGCCGTGCGAGCTGCATATTGCAACGGCGGCGAGGGAGAGTTTGGAGCTGTGCTATGGGGTTTTGAGGGAGAGGGCGGAGGTTGCGCGGCTCGGGTGTGCGGATGTGAATGCGGATACTCCCTGACTGGTCTTGAGAGTTGGTTGGGGTCGGGGATGGATTTGGACATGACGGCGTTTTTCATGGGAACGGACTTTTCCTAATAGGTGCATGTGTGGTGTGATGAAGTGTACATGTATTGAATAATATGCAAACTGAGCAAAAGGGTACATCAAGGTTGGATTAAAAAGCTCCTCACATAATATGAATACGCTGCAAGTAATTGGCCTCATGTTTTTGTTTCCTGGAGCCATGCGTATGACGTTCTACATTCTCTATACGGTGTAATACGAATAAAATAACACCTTGATATATGTTTTGTGAGGGTAAGCACCCGTGTTGGCCGATACGTGCGAGCGCGGGGCTAGGAGCGACTTACAGCGGGCGGCGTTATGGGGAAGGCGGACATATCGGCCGTACGCTCAAAGTGGCACGGCCGAGCATGAGCGACCCGATATAAAAGCGAAGCCCTTCCACCACCTAGATCGATGTTTTCTTTAATATTCAGAGACTTAACTACCGGAAAGCAATTATTTTTACCTCGGTGTGCCCCAATCCAGAAACGTACACTCTCCCGGCTATACCCATCTTTCTTTCTGCTCTTCTCGCTCACCGGATCCCCATGGCTCGTCTCAACATACTCATCAACGGCGCAGGCATAGCCGGCAACGCCCTCGCCTTCTGGCTCACCAAACTCGGCCACAAAGTCCGCGTCGTCGAGAGGTTCCCATCCCTACGCACCACGGGCCTGCAGCTCGACCTCCGCGGCCACGCCATCCCCTTGCTCAAGCGCATGGGGCTCGAGAAAGTATTTCGCCAAAACATGGCCCCCGAGCAGGGTATGCAGATCGTCGGCAGCTCGGGACGGCGTTGGGCGTATTTCCCCGGCGGGACAACTTCTGAGGGCCTGCAGGCCTTCTCGACCGAGTGGGAAATCATGCGCGGGGACTTGTGCAGGATCCTGTACGACGCGTGCCGTGAGAACGCGGTCTTCGCTTTTGGAACGGGGATCGAGAGCTACAAACAAGTCGACAAGTCTGTTGAAGTTCAGTTTACGGATGGGACGACGGACACCTTTGACCTCGTCGTGGGTGCGGACGGGGTGGGCTCTCGGACTCGGAAGTTGATGTTGGGCGCGGACACCCCAGACCCATTTCAGCGGGTCGAGAATTTGTACATGGCATACTACTCCATCGATCGCCCCATGCAGAAGGGGAAGAGTACATCGCCACGGCTTATGTCGCCCCAGGAGGGAAGGGTGTCATGACTCGCCGGACCAGCGCCAACCAGCTACAGGTCTATCTCACTTGCCGCACAGACTCCGCGGCGCTGAAGACGGCACGAAATGGAGACATCGAAGCTGAAAAGGCCGGCTTGGCACAGGAGATGCGAGGCTCGGGCTGGATCACGGACGAATTTCTCGATGCCCTGCCCGAAGCCCAAAACTTTTACTGCGAGCGGCTGGGCCTGGTCGATATGAAGCCATGGTACGACGGGCATGTCGTCCTCGTCGGCGATGCGGGGTATTGTCCGTCGGTCCTCACGGGCATGGGGACGACGTGTGCCTTTATGGGGGCATATATCCTCGCCGGCGAGATCGGAAAGCACTGTGGGAGCACGGACAAGGTAACTGCCCAGGATGGAATATCCGAGGCGCTCCGGGCGTACGATGAGAAATTTAGGCCCTACATGGACAAGATTCACGAGGGGGTGGCTGAGAATAGCGATTGGTGGCCCAAGACATCCTTTGGCATCTTGATGATGAATATGGCTGCGGGGATCGCCTCGCTGTTGCGAATTAACCTTCCAAGTAAATTTGTCTCAAAGGAAGATATCAAAGGGTGGGATTTGCCAGAGTACGAGGAGCTTGGTCGGTTTTAAAGCCCAGCCAGCGAGATTACAGCAAACTGGTCCAGACTTGTGAGATTTAAGACTCATAATGTATACATATAGATATAATAGAGAAATACTCCACCCTGGTCCAATATAGAGAGCCATGCTTTTCGATCTAACCCTTAATTCGCCACCCTAGATTGGCGCCAATCGCCTTTGCTGCCTCTAGAAAACTGGTCTCTGCGTTGAAAACAAACTGATCGATAGTTTTCGAGAGACCAAAGGGATCCCTGTTGAGAAACCCTAGTTTCGAGTTTGCATGCGGAAACTCCCCACGCCGGCTTGCATCGCCATCCTCCACCTCGAGGAACGCCTGAAGTTGAGCCCACCGAGAATCCTCATCTGTCGCGTTCGCCATCTCCCGAGGTGAGTCAATGTAAAAGGTTAATAGCCTGTTCAATTCGCCCCGGTCGGAGAAGAACTGGACGGTCTCTTCGCTGTGCTGCCTATACTTTGCTAGGTATTTCTCCGGGCAGTCGTCGGCGCGGAGGCACCCGTACATTGTGGTATGGCCATTCCAAGACCGTCTACGCGTGTGCGCGCGGATGCTACTCAGCCAATCCTCCTCGCTGTCTCGTAGGCTCAGTATGAACTTGGCGGTAGGGTATGCGTCGGCCATTTCCCTGTATGCGAGAGACCAGGGGATATCTTCAAAGGCGCCGAATCTCTCCGTGTGGCGTAGCAAGGCCTCGACACGGCCGTTGGTATAGGCGTGAAAAAGCCAACGCGAGCGAATATCCTCCCAACCCGATCTGTGGTAGCCTAGCTGCGCGAGGGCATCGCCTAGACTTGTTGTGCCAGTCTTGCTTAGACCAATGACGAAGATCTTTTGGTCGATAATACTAGCTAGGTCGCCTGTTGGAGAGTCGGGACTGCCCATAGCAAAGTAGCCAATTAGGATAGCCAGAGCGATAGCTATAAGAGTGCCCCATCGCCCGAGGATATCGGCCGGGGTCGGCGTCGGTGGCCCCTTCGGTTTGTCAGTCATGATCCTTGGCTTTCGCGAAGATGATCGTTGTCGAATACGAAACTACTACAAGAGAGAACAGCAGACTTTCCCGAGAATTTATAACTGGTGGATTGCGGGCGGAAAGAGGTATGGTCTTGGCATAACTGGTCGAGAAGCTGACACGCGGTCGGGAGGCCTTTTCTGATAGGCTCGCAGGCAATCTTAGACGCTTTGAATGGACGCGCTCGGCTTAGAGCTGCCGGTCCCCGGAAGAAATAAAGAAGGGAATAAAACAATATTGCCTAGGTTTTTCTTTCGTTTGGTGCTAGCGATTGAGCTTGAGATTCCACAGGCTGGGCGCTTGGTAACAATGAACCCTCATGGTAGTTGACACTAACAACCCCGCGAAGATGAGCACAACGGATATGATTCCGTCAGCATTTACATTACAGGAAGCCAGCCTACTACGAAACATCACTATTCTTGGACTCGTCACAGAGAATGAAAAAGGAAAAGATTTAAATTAGCCTCGGTATGTTTCGACGATATACATGAGTCAAAAGGCCAAATCCTCCTCCCTGGACCCGTAACCAAAACAGAGATCTGGCGACGAGAACGCCCAAGAGTGCTATACGTGGAAATGGGACGTGATTGAGGGGCCCAACCAAAGCAGCAAAGGTATCAGCCACTCTCGCGCGAACACCAGTCGCAGGAAGGGGGACAATGCCCGTCTCTTCCGGCTAAGGAGGGCACCTCGAGAGGATCAAAGAGTCAAGAGACGGGCAGGAAAATTAGCTGGTGGGCGATGGAGAAAGAACGAAGAGAGGTTGCGGGACAATAAGAGTGACGGCTGGGAAGGGATCTGCCTTGGCTGGTCTCCCAGAGCCCCGCGACCCCTACTCGTCCCCCACCCCCATGAGTATTAAAAAAGAAGAAAAGAAAAAGGAGAAATCAAGGACAGAAGCAGCGGGGAAAAACATCGACATGGGGTTCATGTTTGGAGACGTGAGGACAGTCGCGCGGGTATGCCAATTAGGCAGCGGTCTTGCCAGACTCCGTGTTCCTCCTGTTGATGTCTTCCTCGTGCTCAGCGACGCGGATCTCCTTCTCAACCTGCTCGAGGTCAATGTGGGCAGTCACAGCGTCGTCGCCGTCAAAGATACGGGCAATCTCCTCGAGAGTGGGGCCCTTGGTCTCGATGTAGAAGAACCAGACGAAGATGAGCTCGCAGAAGTCCCAGAGGGTGTAGAACAACATGAAGTTCCAGTGGTTGGGGAGCCTGTTCCAGGCAAGGAGGTTGGTCTGGTTTCCGAGGGCGAGGATGGCCTGGATGGTGATGTTGAGAATCATCATACCCTTGGCACGGAGAGCGAAGGGCAGAACTTCCAGAGCGTACGCAACGAGGAGACCGGAGAAACCGATGTCGTAGAAGATGCCGAAGAACCAGATGAAGACGACCTGGGCGTATCCGGAGGACCTGTTGGTCTCGCCAGAGTTCTCGTAGATGGCACCGGTGATGGTCCAGCAGACGAAGGAGCCAACCATACCGCTGATGGCGAAGAGGAAGAGGGGACGACGACCAATCTTGTCGACGGTCAAGGCGGCGCCGATGGAGATGATGAGATCCAAAATGGTCTTGCCGGCGGTCAACTAGAGGTGGGGAAACGGATTAGTATTGGTTCTCCCAAGGGCGGAATGAAGGATGAGGATATAATCCCCTCCGGTTTGTGAGGGTGAGGGTGAGGGTGTATGTAGTAGGGGTAGCTGAGGGCAGGGAGAAAAGAACTTACAGCAAGCTTTTGGTTCTGCTCACGGATACCAGCGTTGGAGTAGATGTCATCAATGTAGTTGGAGAACAGAGCGTTGCCAGAGTACTGAGAAATGATACCGAGGGAGATGACAATGGCAAGTCGCCACCTGTTACCCTTGGTGCGGAAGAAGTCCATGTAGCTGGTGCTCCTGTTGGCCTGAGCCTCCATGACAATGGTTTCCTTGATCTCACGGAACTCGAACTGGACGGTAGCGTTGGCAGAGTTGCCACCGCCGTGGTGCTTGACGAGGACATCAAAGGCCTGATCGGGCTTGTCCTTGCTGACGAGGTAACGGGGGACTCGGGAATCCACCAGACACCGCAGAGCTGGAAGATGGAGGGAAGGCCTGGATGAGGGTGATGGACCTCCAGCTCCAGTGGCCGTCGATCTGGGCGGTACCCCAGCCGATGACGGAGACGACTGCGAGGTTTCCGTGTTAGCGAAGCCTAGGGTTTGGGGGAGGGGTCCCTAAAGCTGGGGGAGATGAAAACTTACTGAGGGAGCCCAAGTTCCACAAGCAGTTGTAGACGGCGGTGAGGGGACCACGATGCTGAGGATGGCAGATCTCGGTGAGAAGGAGGGGAGAGCACATCTGGGCGGGGAGTTGCCGAAGCCGAGGAGGAAACGGCCGGCCAACCACACTGCGATGGGGGAAGAGAAATCGGTTAGTGACCTAGCCTTGAAACAGAGGCCAACAAGGGCCCATAGGAAATTGACAGCAAACCCGTCAGGGGAAAAAGAGGCACGGCTCAGACTAGTACTTACTTCCGTAGCCGTTGGTAAAGGCAGAGATGAGGGCGCCGAGGATCATGACGACGCAGCCAGCCATGATGGTGGGCTTTCGGCCGAATCGATCGGCGGCGTAGGGGGTGATGAAGAAGGAGAGGATGGAGCCAATGTTGAACATGTTGACCATGATGCCGAGAAGGTTCTCGTCCTTGTTCCAGTCGCCGTCCTCGAACTGGAACACGTTGCCGTGGTCACGGTAGTACTCCTTGAACTTGTCCATTTGCTGGGCGGCGTTCATCAACATGCCGTCGTAACCGGTGGTGGCGGAGGCGACGAGCAGGAAGACGCTCATGAGGTAGAGCTTGCGGAGATGAGGCTCCTTGCGCCAGTTGACGTGCTCGAAGCGGGGGCGTCGCCGCGGACTGCGGCATCGGCGCCGGCGTTGGCAAGGCCGACCATGGTGGCGGTTGGGGTTTGGTTTTTCGTGTAAGAGCTGGGTTTCTTTGGTCGGTTAGGTGAGGGGAGAGGAGGAAATTGGGGGTTTCCCGCACAACGGGAGGGTATCAAAAAACGAAAATGAAAAAGAAAAAAATGAACAGCGCGGAGGGGGTATCTCAGATCTCAAATAGGGAGGGGGAATCGTCACGTCGACGGACGAGAGGGGAAGAAGAAGGAATTTTGGGGAGCGCGGACGAGACATCTAAGGGTAGAGTAGCCGGGGAGGACAAAGAAGCTATATACCCCAAGGCGATAAGCCAAAAAGGAAAAAGAGGAACCAAAAAAAAAATATGGATGGAAGCTAGGTTACAGCATCAAGTGGTTCGACACCACACGGGGCAGCATTGGAAAAAGGTTCGGCGAGGGGGATATTGTCAAGGGGGCAGGAGGGGGCGTGTGCGAGGAGATGCCACGGCCGGTGCTGGAGTGGAAATAAACTGAGCCGACAGGACGTCAGTCAGGGTCTTCGGCCGGCGCCAGCTTGATGCCTATTTGCGCTTGTACCCCGAGCCGGGAGGAGTAAAAAGGAGGGGGGATAGCTAACAGGAAGGGAGAGGAGAAGGACCGCCCATTTCCCGTTGCTCTCATGTTCCCCAAAACGCCGCCGGCGCGGAGTCGTGCTCTCGCGGCGAAGCGGGAGAAATGGGGTTCGGGGGTAGGGGTAGGGGTAAGAGCTCGAAGGAGAGGTCGTGGCTGTTGTGCATATGTTGGGGTACAGGTACATGGGGTGGAGTGGGAAGCGAGAGCACCGCGGGGCCGAACCGACAAGAAGAGACAAAGAAAAGGGGGGTTGTTCAAAGTTGAAGCGTCCTATAGTATCGAGAGATTGAAGGGCGGACAAGGGAGCGACGGAATCGTGGTCCGAAGCAACACGAGGGCGCAGGGCCCCGAACGACGCAAATGACAAAGAAACCTGCATGGAGAGTAGCACCACACCACATTGTTTCTTGCCTTCAATGGTCTTTGTCGTGGATTGTGGGTTCCCCTGCACGCGGTTAGTCAGGGAAGCAAGAAAGATGAAGCAAGAAAGGTAAAGCCATTTGTTCTTGCTAGGCTTTTGCGATCAGCACGCGCACACGCCCCCTCCTCTCTCTCCGACCTCCTCCTCTGGCTACGATTTCGATTGATCCATGTCCATCGCCCGTCCTCGTGGCCTCGAGTCCCGTCTTTTTCCCTTCTTTTTCCACCCCTGGTACCCCTGTAGCTTCGTGGGCCTCGTCTTGGCTTGTTTGGTTGTTTTATCTTTCTTTTTCTTTTTTTCTTTTTCTCTTTGATTTCCCCCTCTTGGCGTCCCCGCCCGCGTCCAGCCGGGGTACCAAGGCAGAGATGGAGATGAATGCTTGTGTTGTGTACACATACACGCTCCCATCCATTCCCACACGCTAGCCGTTATGAAGCATCCCATATGCACGGAGATGGGTGCTGTCTAATTCTGGATCAACCCCGCAGGATGGCGAAAAGCCTCCCTTGTTCATCAAATCCGTCTGCGACTTTGGCGATTTCAAAACAGCCAGAAACGAAAAAGGAATAAAAAAGAGAGAGAAAGGAAAAAAGGGTAGACAATCCCGGATCCCTAGTTCAGGGTTACGAAAAGAACTGGCGATGCAGCCATGTTTGCTTCCCGAGGCAGTGTAAACGAGAGACGCACACTTCATTTGGACGTCTCTTGGCCTGCTTATTCATGAGATTGCGGGTTATATAATGTTCAATTCTCAAACATGCGCACCAGGCACGCTGCTTCTGTAAGCATGCGCACCACTCGTCCTTAGATGGGCAGGGAACCGGGTCGGCAAAAAAGCCGCCGAGTCGAAACACAAAAGGGAAGACGAGTGTGGAGCTTCAGAGTGTGCTGAATGGATATAGCCATGGATGGATCTGATCATGAACAAACGCCAGATGCTGGGGAGGGAGGGGGCGTGACGACTATCCATTAGACAACAAGTATGAGGCGGGCGGGCGGGGAGAGAGGCATAGGCTGGTGAGAGTCGACGTGAGGAGGCCGCTCTCTTCCGGGATTCGCTTTTTCCTTTTCCTTTTTGCTCTTCACCCATCCCTCTCCTGATAAGATCAAAGCACGCCAAGATTCCCCTAACACCGAAAAGGAAGAGAGACAAGAAAGAAGAAGGCACAAACCTGATGTGACCCGATCTTCCCATCGCACGCGCTGGCTCTCCTTTGCCTGGGAATTGCCTGGGAAATCGAGCGATCCATCCTCTCATCCCGTCCATCCTGGTGCCCCAATGTTAGTGCCAGTCCCGGGTCCAAAGCAGACGGACCAATCCCCATCTTGGATTGACCACAAAAAATGGTACCCCCTAGTCCCGCCCCCAGCTTTTGCTGTCTAGTTCGCCCGACATGAAGCCGCCCCAGCGCGTCAGACGTTGTTTGGTGCGGGCAGCGAAAGTGGGTCGAAACAACGACGAGCGCCCGCTCTCTTTTTCCCATTTCCAGGGCCATCGTCTTGCACTCGTGCCCAAACAATCAAGCCAGCGCAGCCGATGTCTCCCTCCAAATGGCCCGTCCACGTCCACGGGCAGTCCCCGTTGGTCATCCGGGATTTGGGCCCGCCCGCTCTTTTCCACCCCCTCCTCTTCCTCTCCCATTTCTCGCTGTTCCCCCTCCTCCGCCGCCCCTCCCCCTGCTCGAGGTCCACTCTTGCTCACTCTTCTGCCGTTGCGACTGCCATTTCCCTATTTTCCGAATGCTCCATTTCTCCCCGGTACGGCTCTTAGAAACAAAGAAAAGAATGAAAAAGATCCTGCCATCGGTTTTGTTTAGCGAGAGCCGGCGTCAATTGAGTGCCGGTGGAGGCGGGGCTCTGATTAGACGCGGTGCGAGCTACGATTGGGCGTGGTGAAGTATGGGGAGGAAGAGCAAAATGGACAAGTAAGGAAATTTCGAGGTTTGCTGGATGCATCTCATTTCTCTGTATTTGATATCGAGATGTGCTGCGAAATCATTGGGCCAGCCTAGGGGAAGAGGGGGAGAGAAAGGCTCGGCGTGCACAGTGACTGATCCCAACTCTGGTTCAGCATTGGCCTCGGCGAAGCACCTCATGTCCATACCCTGCTGCTTTGCCGTCTTGTCTTTTTCCTCTTTCTTCTCCCCTTTCACTGCCTCTTTTTGTTTTTCTTCCTTTCTTCCCTTTTGTTCGTCCGTCCCTGCAAAATGGTACCTCTTGGACTCCTGGGCATCTTGGCACGGGGCTTGTTTTGAAGTTGGTTCGTGGAAAGCGCATGACGGGTGCCCCCTCTTCCCCCTCCCTCCCACCACCACCACCACCATCACCACCATCATCACGGTGATGCACAGGCTTGGCCATTTAGGGGCCTTGGCGACATGTCAACCTCGTACGAAATAGGCGGACTCGACGTGTACCCTGGCCGTTCCTCTTCCTCTAGCCTCCCTCTTTCTCGATTTCGGCCCATGAAGCCGAAAGAGACAGCCAGCCAAGGTAAAACCGCCGAAGCCAAGCCAAGCCACCCAACTAGGGGCATGAGACCAGAAAAACTGAAGAAGTGCACTAGAAGGCACCCACCAAAGAGGCAGCAATCGCCAGCAGAAAGAGCCGGCCAACCCCACATCGAAGCGTACAAATCGAAGCGTACATGTAACGGGCGATTGGCGTTGGCCAGCCACGGAGAGAAGAAGAACCCTCACAAAAATGCCCAGAGATTTTCATAAGCTTGTACAGGTGGGCACGAACAGCCGACTGGCTGGTTTATCCAGGGCAGAATAGCATCTCGAATTACCCGCTGCTGTGCCACCGTGCCTAGCACCGACTCGAGTCTTGGCCCTCACTCAAGCTTCCCTCCCCTCCTCTTTCCTTGCTGTCAAGCTTTTGTCCCCCGCTCATTTTTTGTTCTTGTCCATGTCCGATTTGCATTTACGCCAAGTGTCTTGGAAAGCCGTGCCTCAAAACCACATTTCTCGGTTGTCCCCGTCTCTTGGCTTTTGTTAGGTGTCTACCATTTTTAGTCGGCCATTTCTAGTCTACCTTTTTCTTTTTCTTCTCGCTTGTAACTCTCACTTCCCTTTTCACCATGTTTCCCATTGATGGATGGTCGTGGCGAGTGGGGACCTTGTCGTGAACGGTGTGGCGTATCTGTAGGTCTCACGGAGCGGCAATGGCGTCTATTGCCCCGTCCTGTTCGGCTTTCCCCCAGACCCTGTCACAATAAACACGAAATAAGAGCCGAACGGAAAGTTTAAAAAACGAAGAAAAAACCCAGGCAAGGCAGTTCCAAAGTGGGAGAATGGGAAGAAGGAATCCACAGTGGGGAAGCGGGCCACGGCAGTTGGGTTGGGACCAGAGGAGGGAAAACAACGAGGGCGAGAGTGCGGAGGGAACATGCAAACGAAGAACGAGGGAGGATGAGAGGACGGAAAAAAAGAGAGCGAGGCCGGGTCATCTCTGCGGGAGTGGACGGGAAAACTGAACCGTCTTCATCTTTCGACTGTTTTGGGGGCTTCTGGATAGCGACAGCAAGGGTGGGTAAAAATAACCAGACACATCCAGTCTTCGGCACGGCAGGGTCATCTATGTGATGGCCGAGTGGTCATATGGTTGGCTACTCTGGGAAATGGGCAGCATCGCATCGCATCGTATGGGGGACCCACCGCCCGGGCAGGACACGGCTCGCTGTCCATCTTTTTCATGTCTTTGGGGGCCAGACGAGGGGACGGGGCACGGGGCACGGGGACTGGAGACGGACGAGGGTCGAGTAGCATGACCGACCACCTGTTTATCCTCTTACATTGCTCAATTGAATGCAATCTTTCGAGGGTGCCCAAGTCGGTTAAGATGGCCCAAAGAATGAGGAGGGAGAGAACGAGCTGGCCCTGACTTCGTCCTGCCTGGGACAGGACACTCACAAACTGGGTACAACGGGTACAGTGCACGCGCCATGTTGCAACCGATGAGCATAACATGGAATTGGTTCAATTAATTCGATTCGCTT